GCATAGGGTGGACCAAACCGTACCTATAGAGGAAACAGTTACGGATTATTTCTTCACTTCGAACTTATTATATACTTTTACTTTTTAGCAGTAAATGTTCTCTCATTCGCTAGACATGTTAATAATTTAGTTCAATTATAGGTGGGTGAACTTAAAAATCTTGTGGAAGAGGGAAAAGTGAAGTATATAGGACTATCTGAAGCGAGTCCAGATACTATAAGGAGAGCACATGCGGTTCATCCCATTACAGCTGTGCAAATAGAGTGGTCTCTATGGACTCGTGACGTTGAGGAGGAGATAGTTCCTCTGTGCAGGTTAGTTCAAGTTCATAGGAATGTAAAGCTCTCATAACCGTTTCTTCACTAAAAGGAAAAAATAATTTAAACTCTCTTTAATTATGAACTACTTGGACCACAGATAATTTAATATAAGCTACTTGAAAAGAGGGTAATACGATAAGATAAAAAAAAAAAAAAAAATGGTCTGCTAGCTGCATGCTTACGTTATGATGGAGTCACTACTTTGTTTGATACTGGGAGCTTGGCATTGGAATTGTACCATATAGCCCCCTTGGTCGAGGTTTCTTTGGTGGCAAAGGAGTTCTGGAAAGTATGCCTGCAAATAGTGCCCTGGTACAATATCTTACCACTTGTGTGTCTCTGCTGAATACCGTAGAATTTTTGGATGTGAAAAATTAGCCAGATAATTGCGTCAATCCTTCATCTTGAACCTGAATTTAATGTTGAGCAAATTTAATTCTTCATTCTATAAGTACAATATTTATGCATTCGTTAATTTGCAATTACTTGTTTTTCGAACAAAAGCCATGATGAATCATGAAAGGTTCCATTCATGTCATTTTTCCATACAAAAAGCTAGTCAAAATAGTACAAACTGAGACTTGATAATTTTAAAAAATTGCATAAGAAATTATTTGTTGTCTGATAGATGGTTTTTTTCGCTTATCAGGCTGCGCATCATCCCCGCTTCCAAGCAGAGAACTTAGACAAGAACAAGAAAATATTTGACCGGATAGAAAGCCTTGCTAAGAAACACCAGTGCGCTCCTCCCCAATTGGCATTAGCATGGGTACTCCAACAAGGCAACGATGTTGTGCCTATTCCTGGTGCGTGACAGAATAACTTTTCCTTTTTAAAATATAGAAAGTGATAAAATATAACCTATTGACTATTCCAATAACTATCCTTAGTGTGTTTCGCTTATGATTCTCTTTATTTATTCAATCTGAACAACCTATGATGCATTGCATATTTCTGTAACTGCACTTGTGCATTAGTAAAACAAGAGAAGAAATATGCACTTTTCTTCTTGTGTATGTGGGTAATATTGTTGTGCATTTAGTAAGTTTTTCTTTGTGGTCTATTAATGTGTGTTTATAGACATTATAAATTTTGTTTAACATTGCTTTTCCTGGTTGAAAGGTGTTCTATTGCATAGGTGCTAGTCAAAAGTTGACGTTTCACTAAATTAGCTTGTATGCTAGCCAAATATGGTAATACAAGAATGATCTTGTGTGCTGAGGTTACTGGCTGAAAGGTTTCTCAGTTAAGTTCTTAGAATGAAATCATTGTCAGTCCAGACACATCTCAGCTTTACTATTGCCTTCTCAAGTGTTCATAATATTCATAGATATCAATCAGAGGAAGTTTCGATGAAAAGAGTGGGAAAGAATTTTTTTTAATGTTTTATATGCAATTTTCAGCAAGGGTTTTATCTTTGACCATGTCAACTGTCGTTCGTGAGCATTAAGGAGTATAACATTGTCACTTAGAGGAATGGGAGCGACAAAATCAAATTTTAGACCACATGCTCGTAGAGACTCTAATTCAATGTCATAAACCAACTAGAAAAGGCAATTAGATGCGCATGAAAGGGTTATATTTTACAACTAAATCGTCACAATTCGTGAGTGTATTAAGTTAATTACTGACTGCAATTTTGTCATGACCTTTACAGGAACAACTAAGATTAAGAACCTGGATCAGAACATCGGTGCATTATCACTGAAAATAACAGAACGCGACTTGAGAGAAATTTCTGAGGCAGTTCCCGTTGATGATGCAGCAGGTACTCGACACCTCAAGGGGAATGATGAACTTTCTTGGAAACTTGCCAACACACCTCCGAAGGGTCTCAACTTGTAGCCCTCGAAATTTAACTGTTGGATAATGCACAAATTTGTGAATTGTCATTTGTCAGATGCAAAAACTAGTACGGTTTGAGCTACCAAGGCATTATCTAGAAGGAGGTGCAGTCGTACGGAAATATATGGACTGTCGATGGTTGGCTAATAGATATTTGGTTGGTTAAAGGTTTATAGTTTAGTGGACCCAAAAAAATGTTTGTAGTTTAAAATATTGTACAAGTTTATTATAAATGGTCAATATTAAAGAATAAAGTCATGTGAGACTTTTAAGATTACATGATTTCTTTAATTAATCATATCGTTTAAAAAAATTGAATCATGATTATGCATATGATTCAGATTTATTTCTTTCATTCATGAAAATGTATTTTTCACTTTTACTCTCACTCACAACTTTTTAAATAAAATATTTTTTTATAAAATTTTGACTTGATTGATCTTAGAAATAGGCTTGATTTAAGTTGAGTCTAATGTAAATTAGGTTATAAACTTACATTGTTTAAAATATTTAAGAATGATTTCACTAAAAAAAATTCAGAATGATGGTTGAAAACCAATGCTATACTTGCACAACGACAATGACAATCATAGATTATTTGAATTTAAAAATTCACATCTTATCAGCATGAAATGCCTCATATAACTACTATTTCAATCATCACTCGTTATAACGGATTTGTAGAAAGGCAACCGAACACTTAAAGGTCACGTGTGCTCATAATTCATCTATGCGCCTTCTATTGTGGCCTCGTGCTCTTCTTTTATTTTTTCAATGTTATAAATCTCTCGGAAATTCATGGAGGTATTAAATTGAATGAATTTTAACAGATAATAAAAACAAAAAAGTTTCGTTGGACAGCTTTAATAAAAAGCTTTATATTATATATGCATAAGCTTAAAAAAATATTAACTTAAAAATTTGTAATTAATATTACACATTGCATGTACATCACTAATGAGCATAAATACTAATTTTTAATAAATTTGAACACTTTTAATGATATTTAATATACAATTACTTGAATAAAATTTTAAATAATAACACTATTTAAAAAATTACGCTTGAATTTTAACTTAAAACTTTAATCTGAAAAATAATTCGATATACAACCTGTACTAAATTTTACTGAATCCGAATAAATTCATTATCACATAATTTCAAAATAACGTTGCACTTATATTAATAACTCTGTAAAAATAGAATAAATTTACGAGAGATATTAGATTACAGAAAATGTCCATATATAAATATATGATACAATTTACTCTGATAAAAATAATTATTGCAAATAATAGTAAGAAATATATTAATCAATCTTAAAAATAAAAAATGTTATTATATCTCATCATAATAATTAATCTAATACATCATAAGATTTAATAAAATATATTTTATTTATTGTTTTTTAATCGATATTCTCATGACTCTATTGCTTTACTAACAATTATGATATATAAAATTGTCTTGTCATGTGATCTTAGCACTACTTCACATTATATTATTCTTTGTTTTGCTTTCAATAGTTGACTAATTGTTGTTCACAGTTTGAATAAATTTATCCCATTAATTAGTCCCCAAAAAAGATCAACAGATTTATTATTGCTGTTGGATTAGTGTCATTGACAATGTTTAATTAGTTTGCAATCTATAATAATCATTAATAATCTTGAAGTGGGGCAAAAATTAAAAAGAAAAAGTAATTGGGAGAAAGGTATAAGAAAAGAGGAGAGGGTGTTTTCGTTTGACCTAAATACCCTCTCTTGCGTTTTGTTCAGTGTATGGATTTCCCTTGAAGACCCTCTTTCTAATTCCCAATCTTCCTCTCTTCTCCTTACCCTTCTTCCCCTAATTCCGATTTTCTCCACTTCCCCGCCATTTTTTCAAATTCCCGTTTCTTCTCCTTCTTCTTCTTTCTTCGATTCGCATTACCTACACTCATTTCCATTCCCACGTAGGGTTGCGTTTCCTCTTTCCCAAGTTTAAACCTTTCAGGTAATTTTAATCTGATTCTCCTTATCAAGATTTTTTTTTTAATTTGAAATTTTTGGGGATGTAGTTTGTAAATCCGACGTGTTAATTTAAGTGTAAGTTCCATTATTGCTTCAATTTCTGGTTATGAATTTACATTTCCTTCAAAGTTTGTCCTTTTCTGTTAGTTGCTACACATGTGTGAGATAATCTTCACTGGGAGGAGGCGGAGGGGGTGTTACGTTGAAGTATGTTCTTTGATAAGTTACGTATAGCTTGAGTCGGATTTACTTGGGTCTCCACTTTTAACTTAAGCTCAACGCGAGACTGGATTGCAGACTTGATTTTGGTTTTTCATTCTCTGGTATTAAAAGGTTGATGGTTTTCTTTGTGTGGCTGCCCAAGAATTTGGTTCATGCGATTTGAATTTGTTTTGGGGATGGTTTATAAATTGATAGAAGTTAGAAATGGTATGCCTGTGGTTGTTGGTAGTATACACTATGCAACCTCGGATTTGCATATTTGTAATCCCAATAGGGCAATTGTAGTTTGTAATCAACCCTTGGCGTTGTATCATGCTATTTGAGATTTGTAATGTGTGATAGTTCTGGGCTTTAAAGGTGAACAGTTATTTTGTATGTTTAAATGCATCCCATCTTTGTAGCTGCCTCTAGTTTTGTTTGCATTTCATATTTTTGTAGGAGTTGGCCATAGGGGTATATCCTCATCCCTTTGCCTAGTTTGAACTATTTATTTGCTGCAGTTTTGGGGTTCATCATAGAAGCCTGACATGATCTAATTGTACCATCAAACTCTGCATTTTGTATGATTATCTGACTTGTCTACTGTTATTTGTTGGTCCTTGCAGCTGCTGTTCTGTCCGCATATTGTTGTTGTTATATATAGTGATCTATGTCTTCAATGGCTGATCATGATTTGATTCTTGGCCAAAGTCATAATTTAGCCCTTGGCCATGACCAACAATTGGTGCTGAGCCATAATCATAGTTTGGGCCTCAGCCAGAACCATGATTTGGAATTGGGACAGGCTGATGATCATCATTTGGGTTTGGGACAAACCCATGATCATGAACTGGGCTTAGGACATGCTCATGACCATGAATTGGGTTTAGGACAGAACCACGATAATGAAGGAGATGATGTTCACACGTATGGGCATGAGAATGAGTTAGCCATTGATCAAAAACCTGAACATGATGACCATGAGATGCCCCTTCCTACACAAAATCATGAGTTGGCCATATCAGAAAACAATGATTTGACTGTTTCTGAAAATCAGGAACTTGAGGAGAGCATGGCCCTGACTGTGGTCCAAAACCCGGAAATGGGTATGGATTCTGCTGACGATATGGGTGTCCATGAATCCCACCATATGGTTACTTCCACTCCCCCTGTAATTCAGGCTCGTACATTGGCTATAAATCCTAATTATGAATTGTCAGTGGGACAAGAATTCCCTGATGTAAAGAGTTGCCGGAGGGCATTGAGGGATACAGCAATCGCCCTGCACTTTGAGATGCAGACTATAAAATCTGACAAGACCAGATTTACTGCTAAATGTGCAAGTGAAGGATGTCCCTGGCGCATTCATGCAGCAAAGCTCCCTGGGGTTCCAACTTTTACTATTAGGACAATCCACGAGAATCATTCATGTGGAGGAATTTCTCATCTTGGTCATCAACAGGCATCGGTTCAATGGGTTGCTAGCTCTGTGGAGCAAAGGTTGAGGGAGAACCCTAATTACAAGCCAAAGGAGATATTGGAAGAGATTCATAGGGTTCATGGTATCACATTATCATACAAGCAAGCATGGAGAGGTAAGGAACGTATCATGGCTGCAATGCGAGGATCTTTTGAAGAGGGATACCGCTTGCTTCCGCAATACTGTGAACAGTTGAAGCGCACAAACCCAGGTAGTATTGCATCTGTTTATGGAAATCCAACTGATAATTGCTTCCAACGCCTCTTCATATCCTTTCAAGCATCAATATATGGCTTTTTAAATGCTTGTCGGCCACTTTTGGGGCTTGATAGAATGTACTTAAAGAGCAAGTATCTTGGTACTTTACTTCTTGCTACTGGATTTGATGGTGATGGGGCTCTCTTTCCTTTGGCATTTGGTGTTGTTGATGAGGAGAATGATGACAATTGGATGTGGTTTCTGTCTGAACTTCATAACTTGCTTGAGATTAACACTGAAAACATGCCAAGGCTTACAATTTTGTCTGACAGGCAGAAGGGAATAGTAGACGGTGTGGAAGCAAATTTTCCTACTGCTTTCCATGGATTTTGTATGCGACACTTGAGTGACAGCTTTCGCAAGGAGTTCAATAACACGATGCTTGTTAATCTTCTATGGGAAGCAGCTCAAGTTCTTACTGTAATTGAATTTGAAGCAAAAGTTTTAGAGATTGAAGAGATATCACAAGATGCTGCATATTGGATTCGGAGAATTCCACCTCGTTTGTGGGCTACTGCATATTTTGAGGGGCAAAGGTTTGGTCATTTGACCGCAAACATAGTAGAATCTTTAAATACATGGATATTAGATGCATCTGGACTTCCTATAATTCAAATGATGGAATGCATTAGAAGGCAGCTAATGACTTGGTTTAATGAGCGCCGAGAGACAAGTATGCAGTGGACACCGATACTTGTACCTTCTGCAGAGAGGCACGTTGCAGAGGCTCTTGAACGTGCACGGACATATCAGGTACTTCGTGCTAATGAAGCTGAATTTGAAGTTATATCTCATGAGGGAACGAATATAGTTGATATTAGGAACCGTTGCTGTCTTTGTCGTGGCTGGCAGTTGTATGGTTTGCCTTGTGCACATGCTGTGGCTGCACTTCTCTCTTGCAGGCAGAATGTGCATAGATTCACAGAAAGTTGTTTCACTGTTGCAACTTATAGGAAGACATACTCACAGACCATACATCCAATTCCAGATAAGTCTCTTTGGAAGGAGTTGTCTGAGGGGGATGTCAATGCTTCAAAAGCTGATCAAGTTACTATCAACCCTCCTAAATCTCTCAGGCCACCTGGACGACCTCGAAAGAAACGGGTTCGTGCAGAAGACCGAGGGCGTGTAAAACGGGTCGTTCATTGTAGTCGTTGCAATCAAACAGGTCACTTTAGAACCACATGTGCAGCTCCCATCTAAGTCTCAATGTTACCTCTTTATCATTATTTATTTAGGTTTCCTAGCTTAGACAGTTAACCAAATCATGTATTTATTTTCCTTAACATTAATGTGAATTAAATTGTTGCAGCTGCTCCATATATATATATATATATATATATATATATAGTCAAATAATTGGCATTGTTTGAGAGCGCACATAATAGCATTGTTTTGGAAATTGGATTAGACCGTTGGGTCACCTGGCTAATTAGAAATTCTGTCATCTGGTTCGTTCAGCTAAAAACTTTAGTTGATTTTAAAATTGGTGAATTGGTTGAATCAGTTTAAAACTGGTGAAAACTAATTTGAACTTTTTAGTTTTTATTTCATTTCATTTTTTATTATAATTCTTAACTAATTAAAAGTTCAATGACAAGACAAGTTCTGAAGATTTATATACATGAATTTTTATCATTAATTTATCATACAAAATTTATATTACTGCCATCTTATGTCAATTTAAAATTTAATTAATGTTAGTTTTTATATTATTATTTACTATTTTACGTGACAACCCATTTTACCTTTCAATTCTACTATCTTTACTTAAGCTTTCAAAATTGCCACAAAAATAGCATTTTCATAAAACGGGATAAGCGGCCCAAGCGCAAAAGACAATCAAAACTCTCACATTCTCACCGCACCCAAATAACATTCTCAAGCACACGAATTAAGCATACAAGCTCGCCCGTATTTAACCAGCATGTAATTTATGCAAAATCAGGAAGGGGCATAAGCACACAAACTAGATAGAATCATCTAAAAAGTAAATAACACATTGAAGGCCACGAATAATCTGTTTAACCTTTTCAAATGATTATCAGCACAAACAGAACACAAGGGTTAAACAAAAATCTATTATTTATCAAATTATTACATTCAATCTGTTACTAGCATTTTACATTTAAACAATGGCAACTTTAGCTGCACTGCCCAGCTTAGAACCCATAGTTTGCACCATAAACCGAGCCATAGCCTCCACCATGCCCTGGATTAGAAGGTGGAGACGCATAGACAGATCCATGAGTAGGGTAAGAATTGTATCCTTGGTCTGCAGCAGGCCCGCCCGCTTGTGACTGCGCTGGGGCTGCAGCTTCAGCCATAAAATTCTGCACCACATATTTAAAATTGCATTGCTTGATTACCGTGCAAACTTATTATGTAGAGTAAATCAGTCATTGACTACGTACATCCAGCAAGATTAGTATTAAGCTCATAAGACCTTCAGCCTTTATTAGGAAATGAAAAGAGAGAAGACAGAAAATGCAAGAAATGAAATTAAGTCCAAGATAATTTTCTTCTGTCATACAAATGAGGGGTGAACATGAAGGGAAACCTATAAAAGTTACAATTTTACACACAATTTTTTATTGAGATAATACATGGGAAGGTTAATTGTGTAATTAGAAATTCAACAAGCTTATAGTTTCCTCTTCACTTTCTATCCATTTTCAGATGAAAGATTAATGCTGATTAAACTATAGTGCAAAGTGAATCTTTTAGGTCCCCGATGAACACGGCAAATAGCTTTTCATACTATTAAGGAGAAAAAAAAGGTTTCAACTGCAGTTAAAAATATATTAACTATACAAGCAGCATGTTAAGGATTGAAATAATTAGAAGACGAAGATCTAGATCACCTGTATCAGTTGCTGTGCTGTTTGGACTTGAGAAGCCGTTCCACTGATTTCAACTGTCATCTCCCCAGGAACACCTCGTGTTTCTTGTATGGTAACAGTAGCCCCACTAGCTCGTCTGATGTAGCTTATACTTGTTCCAGCTGTTCCAATAACAGCATCAGCATAAGAGAGAGGAATTTGCATTTGCTGTGTGATCTGCCAAAACAGCAAAACAAATGACTTTTAATGATAAAAATGTAATAAATTTCTCAGGTCCATATATGTATAATATTATACATAATATTTGCAATGTTCTCCAATTCCAACAGTCACTGGTCAGGACTGCATGCCCACATCCATAGTTCCAATTAAAGCAAGGCTAAAAATATTAATCTTACATATAACCACCCACATCTAATCTCAACAACTGAAGATGACATTCACACGGTATTTCATACACTTTATAGAACATGCTTAAGCTAAATATCCAAGTATTTGTGCATACATCATCTTCCGCTATCCTAAATCTAAATTGGAAATCAAAGAACCACTACTTATCAATTTATATGAGAAATGTTGACTTCCGGTTAGCCCGCTAAGTTTCCCCACAATTAAAGCACAAAATTGAAGAAACAACAAATTCCACAAGTCTCCTTATCAAACCACAGAAACACAAATCTACAGACAGAAGGATAGCAAATTCTAAGACTTGCAGAAAATGCAAATTTGATTTGAAAAATAAAAAGAAACTTATAATTTCATAGAACATACTGCTTCCTGTTGGTGATTACTAGAAAATAGATTTTCAATAAGAACAAGTACCTGTGTGACTACGGAAGGTGCAGATTGGGTATTTGAGGATGCATGAGGTACTGAAGCATCTCTGCCATAGGTAGATATACCGTGATGGGGCTGTTTGTCCACTGGAGGAGGAATTTCGGCAGGTGGATAATAACTATCAAGTTGTCGTGGAGGTGGCATGTATTGAGAAGTAGGTCCAAAACCAGGACCTCCACCAGCATTTGGAGGAAGACCCTGAGGTGGAACCCATGATTGGTGGGGTGGCATGTGCTCCACATGATGGGGGTTAGCCATTTGCATCTGGAGAAAGAATAATTTAGCTGCATTTCTAGGCTTATTGTGAAGACGGATTCTTTACAAGTGCAAGATGAATCAAACACTTACATTCATTTCAAAAATTGGTATTACACTGCGATCAACTAAAAACTTCCTTAGCTGGGAGGCAATTAACTCAATTGCCTTATGCACTCCGGCAGGATCCCCTACTACTTCTACCACCCTGTCATCTTGAAGAGCAAAAATAGGCAGGTCTTCTGCAAAAGAGAAAGATGTACAGATGCTTAGCAACAAGAGAATGTCTAAGGAAGTTAAAAGCATAAATCAGAACATCATAAGTAATAGTTGTTATTTGCTCCATGATCCATTCATACCACTTCCTTAAATTGTATCCTGAAATAATTTTCAGTTAAAAAGGATAGACAGAGAAGGAAGATTCCAGAATGCCAAATTTCAAAACTAATTAGATTGTAGTGATATAGAATAGAATGTAAAAAATGAGATCATGATTATTTTTATGGCAACTGAATTAATAAATGAACATTTTTCATTTTTTACAAGTCATTAAAGTGGTGCCGATAGGAGTTAGTGATACATATCTGACACTTTTCATGATATCAATAATATAAAAAAGTGATAAATTCAACAGTGACTAGTATGTTATGACACCTGCACAAATTTATGACACACAAATTTATGACACTAGTGAATGGGCTTAAAAACATAGTAGTCAATCTCGAATAACAGCACAGAGTGACCGACCGAAAAAATGCTATAGCTGGATGACCACTATTCTGAAGTCACTGAAAAATGTGCAGGTTTGCAGGAAGTTTCACCGAAGGTGAAAAAGATGACCAGAGAACATCTATTGCGTCAAAAGCCCTGCTGGAGATGGAGGACACAAGAAGCAAGAGGATTGCGGAGAATGAAAATGAAGAACAGAACGATAGAGAACTGAGACATGAGAATGAGAGGACTTGGAGCTAGCTCGAGGGAGAAGAAGATATCATTAAGTAAAGGGGAGGGGGAAATTCCAAGATTGCACTCCTTAAAAGTTGCCCAACATTCAAAAGTGGAGCGCAAAGTTGAGATTTGAGCACAGATGACATAGCGGCCGGGATTTTCCCTGTTTTTGGTTGCGATTCATGGTGTGATGGCTCTACTCTGAAATGCAACGACGTCTTCATAGCAGCACCCTGCTGCTTTGCTCCTTTGCAATAGCAGTCGCTACAGCCGCTATTGACTACTATACTTAAAACACATTCAGATAATGTTCTACTATTACAGAATTAGTACCCACAGCATAAAGCTCAACCTTACCCAGATCAAAATCATGGTAAGGAAATTTTTTAATAAAAACCTAAGTCCATGGAAATACAGAATTTTAAAATAATGAAATTAAGATAATAATGCAGCAACTGTATAAGAAAATTTCATTTGAAATATTAGAAAGAACCTGCTCCAAGAACTCTAACAATACAATTTGAGGCTTCTTGGATAGATTTTACAGTTCCTCCTTGTTTCCCAATTAAACTTCCTGCTTGTGAAGCGGCCACTAGTAGTTTTGTTGAAACCTTCCCAGCCATGCCTGAAGGAGCATGAGTAAAATCACTCTCTAAACCATCAATAATCCGCTTATGAACCCTCAGCAACCCATCAACAGCAGGAGGAAGAGAAGAATCAGGCTCCTCTTTAGCTGATACCATTACCTAATCAAAATGAACAAATAATAGTATCAGCCTATCCTTGTCCTAAACAATTTCTCCAATGTCTATATTTATAGCAACAGAATATAGAGTGGCAAACAAAAAGTTTATCTTTAACCAAAAATAACACACCAACAAAAGCACCAATTGCCAAACATATCACATGCCACCAACAATCTCAGGCTTAGCACAAAAGCAAACAAGCAAGCAACTTTGGATAATGCAAAATGTAATAATTTAGAAGGACTCAGCAAAACAGCCAATCCTGTTTTTGTGATATTTACTTCCCCAATTAATCCGTATAATATCCTCCTGTCAGGCAAATGCCAGAAGGAATCCTTTACCATTAAATCAATGTTGTAAAAGTCCTATAGCCAAGACCAACTGGACAGTTATTTTGCCTAATTAATCTACATTAACCAACCTCATAAGAAAATTAAAACAGTGATGAACTTTTGGTTTAAGTAGCAACCATAGCAGCACATTGTTCATTATAAGCAACCGGTCATAGTAATACTGCAAAATCTTGTCTTCAGGATGGATAAATGGAGTACAATTTAGAAGAAAAAAATCTTAGTGAACATCTTATATAATGAACAAATGAAACATGATAAATCTAATGTCTAATTTAAATATTGTGCAACCTGAACTCTTCACCTGACCAAGGTATTCCCCTCCCCCCTTTTCTCAGTCTAACAATATATGCAATAACTCCACACCTTGTGTATCTTCCTCCACAGCTATCCACTTGTTTCCCTACTTGAAAATTGAACAATAAACATATCATGTTACATTTCTTTTCCTAGCTCTTTACTAATATATGCAATCCAAAATTTCCTTATACCACCAGAAATGCTCCTTATTCTCTTTATTCATCAAACTAAAACTGACTTAAAACTGATTGAAAAAATAGAAGTCTCACACTGGAATATAATCATTCTAATTGGCCAATAATTTGTGACATGACACAAGATGTAAGATGCATGTCACAATGGAAGTTTCTTCTAATTCTTTAGTGATTGCATCTCAGTTTAGCAATAGTGAATTTTAGCTTGATTTTAGCAACAGTATGGCCAATATTATATCTTGAAGAATTACTCTGATAACATAAATCATTAACACATAGAGATGCTCCACGTGTTAAACGGAAAGTTGATTGACACACTTTCGTTGTTTTGAATCCTTTTTTTTTTAACATGTACAACAAACAAAAAAATTAAAAAGTTTCGATAATTGATGGTTTCAGTATTGTACTAGAGCTGGTTATAAGCTTCTTTTCATTGCTTGCAATCTGCGGCAAGACATCAATCATCTGGGTTTTGAATTTACCAGATGAAATGCAGAGCTTCGTGGTACTTTGGAACAAAAGGTCTACATGTTAATAAACTTTTCAGCACTTTGCAATGCTCAATGCTGATCCCTGCATCTGGAACTTTGGTTCTTCAATATTGGGACCTAATTGATGATTGAGTCGTTGCCTTTAAAATTGGAACACTGAACCTGCACAGATTCATTTTCTGTTAGAACTAAATTCATATTTTATGGATTCTTGCCATCATTCTTCTTTTTCGAATTTGCTTCATCTTCGTCACCTTAGTTTTTTTTCCTTTAGTGTAGCATATTAAGGTCACACTTCAGAGTTAGACCATGAACAAGCTATACTTTTTATTGTTTGTAGTTCCTTCATTTAAATTTTCTAGCTTAAACAAGAGGACACTGGGTATTGTCATGAAATATTGCTGAAGGAAAGACAGTCACAATCAGTTCTCCTTCATAACATCATTGACAGACACATAGACGCAGCTACACTGGATAATTAGCACCACTACAACTTACTCTGAAGTGATGCCTGAAAAGCTGAGACATAAACCCCAGATCTTCAAAAGGAATTAAACCTCCAAATACACAAAGAAACTTTGGAGCTCTCAATATTTTCTTGTGTAAATATTTATAAGCAGTTAGGACCAGTAAATAGGAAAATACCTCAATGAAAACACAAATATTTACCACATTATCCCTCATCTTAGAATAGGAGACACACCAAATCATATAGCTTCCCTTCATTTATGATAAACATATCTAGTAACAGTAAACCAATGGATTAAAGATATAACACAAATCTATAATCGCAAGTACAGACTACAATCACTATGAAAGTTCATAAGAAATCAGATAACATCAATATCATTCTACCACTATAATCACAGAGAAACTCGGCCAAAAGCTTTTTAAATTATAAATATACAAGCTAGATGAATTTTTTTTAAAAGACACAAAAGAGCATGCAATAGATTCCAGATGAATATTCCAATAGCAACCAGCAGAAGTATCAACAACAGCAGCAAAAAAGATACACATAACATAATTGATTAAGTTGCAGTGAGAATGATGAGAAACGAGATATAAGACACTTACAGCCCTTTCTGCAGTTCCTGGAGGACCATCGAGAATCTTAACGCGAGCTCGTGTCTCCTCCACAATTTTCTTAATGAACTCTCCTTTACGCCCAATTATACCCCCAACCTTCTGTGCAGGAACTAACATACGAAACACACTCTCCCCAGGCCACCCCGGCCATCTCTTCTCGGCCAGCACCACCTCCTCACCGTGCCCTTCCGCCACCTCTGAGTTCTCAATTGTTTGCTCCTCGCCATGTTCACCGGAGTTATTCTGATCAACTTCAGCCATCGAAGTTTCACTGCCAAAAGACAGTAATTGGTAACGTTATAGAGATAGCAGAAACGAAACGAAACGAAACATGAAATCACATGCAAATGCAATCTGGACGGAACTGCTATGATAGAATAGGAGCAAGGATTAAAAAGTAAAGGAAGTTAAAATTAACTAACTGGATCTAAACAATGATTGAACGAGTGTGTAAAAAGTAATTGCATGTGGTGGTTAAAGATTACCTTGATTGATGGAATCTAGGGCTTTGGATTCAGGAAAGAGAAGAGACGACACAATTGAAAGGTAAGAGAGGTTAGTATTATATGATGAAGCCGATAGCATAGGGTTCGTTTATGTCATCGCCTAACTAATCAACTAACATCTTCGCAAATTTCCTCTTTTTCTCACAACCGTCAACTTTCAACTAAATTATTCAATAATATAAAGGTAATGTTAAAATAAACGCGTTCAAATACACCTAATCAAAATTTTTATATAATATATTTTTTATAAAATAAAAAAATTAATACTTTAAAAATTATATAATAATATTAAATGATACAATTTTTAATAAAATATTATTTAATAATTTATTATTGTGTATTTTCATACATGTTAAAAAAATTAACTAATATTTTAATCTCATTTTTTATTTTAATTTATATTATTCCTATTACTTTTAAATGTTAGTTAAGTAATTTTTTTAACTATATTTAATTTTATCAATTACTAGCTTTTTTTAATTATTATCGTTATCATATCTTTTTTTTTATTATTTAATTAATGTTAAAGATGTTTTTTTATTTTATTTATAATAAATAAATATATAATTTATTAATATCAATAAAATTATTCATATATTATAAATTTATTTTTTAAAAATAAATGAATATATTAACTTATATGGATAAAAGATAAATATCTTAAAAACATAAACATCTAATAAATAAGAATTTTAAAATTTCTTGACAATTAATATATTAGAAAATTATTTTTTTAATTTTTAAACTAAAAAATATTAATAACTATTTTTTATAAATAGAACTAAGTCACACATTTTCAGAGTGATATACTTTAAATTTTATATATTAAATTCATAATTATATTTTTGAACAAAAGTATTTTTAAAAATTATATTCATTAGTATCATATTATGTGACTTTTTAATATAGATTAATTTTTATTCTTTTTAAATATTTTTAATTTATTTTTTGTATTATGTATTGATTTAATATATCTTTCTTTGTTAGATAAATTAAAGTTTAAGAATATTATCATCTCAACCAATCTTAATTTAAATTTAGTTTTATATTTTGACACATTGTATTAATAAAGATAAGAAAGTATTTTTTTAATTCAATCTTTTAATTTATAAAATTTAAAAGTAATTATATAATATATTTTAAATTTTTATTTAAAAATGAGTTTAATTTATTAATTCTAAGAACTTTGAACTAGCACTTTTGAATTTGTGGAATTAATTATGCCGTGATTCTAAGACTATATAAGATTTACTAGACTTGATTAAAATAAGATATTGAAATTGGATTAAGATTAACGATTTTATGTACTCTTATCTATTTGTTTGTTAGGTAACTTACCCAGCGAATTGCCTAACTTGCTGTGGTACGCGAGTGCTTGTGAATTATTGATCCTACGAATTAATGGCTAAGGTGGTCAATGCAAGTAAATATATAATAATTGTACATAAAAATTCCAGCTCACAATCAACGCAAGTAGGAAGAGCTGGAAAAGCAATGAATCAGTTTAAGGATCATGCAATCATCATTATGTCCAGGAATGCAATTCAAATTGTCAATATTGGAAATATGAGATCAACATCTTTGACCACTATGTGGTGCTTATCATTGTAACTTCATGACTTTTTTTTTCTTTTTTCTCATGGGTATTCAACGAAATAATTTATCTATCTACTTCCCCGATGGTCTATGAATGGAAACAGCACAAAGAATCAAGATGCTAACTACATAAGGTGCTCATTTAAAATAGCATTGAAAATAATGAAACTTCTATATTTGTCATTTCTTGTCATCAGCAGCTGGTTCTGATTCAGTGGAGGCAGGAGCCATCAGATTGTCAAACTTCTCAGATTTTCCAAGAACAATTTCAATCTACAAAATTATGAAAAAGTAATCAATTACCATAACACAGATTTTTTTTTTCTACCCTATTTTAAAAGGGCCAATTAATCTTGCTAGAAAACAAAATCCATTTGGAATCCACCTTAGCCTTCTGCACCAGACGACCTTTGTTCTCATCTTTCATGCCAACTGAAGATGTCAAAACCTCTGTTCCATCCCACAATTAGTGGATTAGGATAACAACTACCATAATGTAAATGTGGCATTAATAACAAACAAGAAAAGATCTTACTCTTCTCAGTAGCTAGTCCATTGTTTTTCAATATCTCGGCAATTGTGACCACTGTAGTTATAGCTGTGGAGAGTTTTATGCCAACTTAATGAGCATGAATGTACAAACGGAATCAAAATGATAGGATGTGGAGTAAATAGCATTGGAAATTCTTTTAGTTGATAGGATATCAGTTGGACAATATGTGCACAAATGAATTTTTTCAGTGTTCAGCATAGAATATAGGGTCTTCCACTTAATTTTGGATTCTGCATAAGACACATGCCATACCGTTGTGACTACGGAACAATTAAATGAGAGGGTGTATGTAAATGTAAATACAAAATCTTGAATGTGTAAATCATATTAAGTAAAACAGCATTTGCATAATTGTATCATATTACAGTTCCCATCGTACAGAGATACACGAGTGGGCAAAAGGATATCACACTAAATTAGTGCACAGTAGGGACATATCAGAGGCAGCCAACACAAAATGCTAAGAAAATATAGCTAGTAACGTACGAATTAATAATTGAAAAAATGAATGTGCAAAAGAATAAAGAGAAATTCCTTTTCTTAAGCCTTTTGTATTTATAATTTTTCTGCAATTCATACACAAAAACAAAAAGGATCTTCTGATCAAATTCACATGAATGAAAACACAAGTTTCGGAGAAAAAGTACCCATTCCAAGAGCAGAAAGCACAACCTCATTGTGCTGCTGTATGTACCTCTGCATTAAAAACAGAAATTATTTCAGCGTTGGATTTTATATATGTTGGCACGTTGGCTTTCTTCTTTTCCATCGAATATACTTACATGATATTTAAAAAAAAAGTTTAAAATGACAAAGCCTTTGAGATAAACGATAATCGATAAATTATAATGTAGGTATCCAAATAACAAATTCAATTACTACATATAAAATAGTGTTGTTACTTTCAAAATATAACTCCTTTAAACATATCTAATCAATATTTCCTCTACTACTGTCCTAGCATTAGTTGCAGATCTAAGCGACAAGGAAAGAAATGTGACACCATTCACATATACACAATTTCAAATAAAAAAAAAGGGAAAAGATCAATAAATTAGGAATTGAGTAATGTGAAATGACCAAAAACGTAAAGAGTGGCAAAATGATGATATACCTTGGCAAGATTGACGTAAAAGAAAAGAGGTTTCTTAGTATTGGAAACCTGAATTCTGTTTTTCTTGGGAGATTCAAGGTCAGTGTTTGGAGTTACAGCGGCAGCAACGGTGGCCATTGTTGTTATTATTGTTGTGCCTTGTCCTCTTTGTGTGTGGGTAAAGTAGCAGAATTGAGTTGAATCATCATAAATGATAGCAATGATATAGGAAATAATAGGACACGTGGCGCTGTTTGATAGGATGTGGACGTGGTAAACTCTGAAATTCGTTCATTCTTTTGTTAATGTTAAAGCAGTTGCGATTCCGTTAGGAGGAGAGAGAAACTCTTCATGGTCGTTATTTTTTTCGTTCGATTGCCGAATCTGTCCCTTGGCCCAAACTCTGCTAGCGTGGGCTTCATAATGAAGCCCAATGCAAAATAATAAAAAAAACACGCTTCATTGCTCGTGGGCCTAAGAAAGGAAAGGCTTCATTGCTTAATCTTTATGCTTTTCATTTTTTTTCGTCGGTCACATAACATTATTCTTACGTTGACTTTTCTTGAATTTTTATGTAGATGCAGAAATTAGTAGATATTGTGGTCAATTGTGTTTTTATCATTTTTATGCGACTATAAAAAACCTAAAAAGAAAGAAAAAAAAGGCAGTATTTTTCAAAAATATATTTTATTGATACAGAGAAATTATATGTTTTCCCATGGATCATATATTTAAAAAAAATGCCATTTAGAATCGAACAAAATTTCAAAAAGAAAAAGGTGGTTGTGATTGGTAATATGAATGATTGAAGTACAAATATTGCACGTGTTACAGATTGTTTTGTTTTGTTACTTTTCCTAATTCTGATTCTGGAGTTTGCATGTGTGCTCAAATTAAAAAGGAGCATTAATACAGCCGCCTCAACATACAGTGAGAACCTTCTTTTCTATCCATAAATCAAAGAATCCAATATTGAAAGAAAGGGAATGAATGAATTGTCCCCTGTAATGTTTTTTCTTTTAAATATTGACACTTGATTTACAACATATATGCAACCATGGCAAAGCAATGTCCCAACTATGTAGTTGTGATGATCTTTTTGACAACTTTATTTGTCGTATATGCGTGCAACTAGGTCGGCAACGTTGGTATGGTGGTCCAGACAAATTAATAAAATCAGTCACAGCGTCTCCATCCCAAGGAGAAGTTGCATTCTCTAAATTTAACTTTGCTTCTCTTTGAACATAAAGGCCATGAAAAGTTTGTATCCCCGCGTGGGGAAATGTAGGCCCAAATACATTTGATTCCTTAGAATGCTCTATTCCGTGGAGCCATACAAGTAAAACTACATAGCCTTTTTGAATTATTAGTCCTTTTCTTTGTGATAATCCATTAAGAAGCGTACCAGAAGAGCATTGATACCCACAACCCCAAATGAAGAATTCAACACAAAATGACAAAGCAAAAAAGAGAAAAAAAGAAAAAGGGTATGATCATTTGTGAACATGCACTATATAATATAGATGTATATAAACCACGTTTGATTGTTAATGGGAGCATGGAATTCTCTCAAACAAAATCGTGATTATTATAGGAAGAAAGATTCCGGGATCCAATACCTTTTGTTGTTTGAGAAAATTCCAATGCTCCAATGTGATTGACATTATATATTGATTTATTATGATTATTGTATTATTTCGTTTAACGTCTAAATCTATTTCAGCTGAGCTATCGAATGTGCGGGACACCAAGACGATGAAAGTTGACAATGAATGAAAATCAGAATTGGTAGTCAGGTCCCATCGTTTTTTAGGATTGGCCTTTGCAAAATTTATCATTTTTCTGAGACAATTGACTAATCATTTAATCAGTTAAGCTTCCACGTCTCGTCTTGATTACGATCCATTGTATTTATTTTATAATAGAGTTATCAAAGTTTATAAATATGGAATATGTATATGTGCGTCCCACAAAAAAAAGTCCAAACTTATCATGAGAACAAATTGGATGGATAGGTGCTCATGGGGACCATGGATTGAGTCATACTATATAGTCGGTGCAAAATTATTAAAGATGAAAGGGAACTCAACCAGCAGGATATACATGAAATAAAATTAATTTTTTATTGTTAAAATAGGACTAATAATTATTTTTTTTATCTTATCACAATACTCTTTATATGAAGTATGTTTAATATTTGAAATGAAAATATGTATAATCTAGTAGGATTATCTCACTTGATAGAAGATTATCTTTTTTTCATACCCAACTCAGTCCAAAACTTTGATCATATGAAATTAGATTAGATTGTATTATTTAAACCAACCTTGTTTTATAAAATAAATGTAAAAAAGAAGTTAAATTTTATAATACTTATACATAACTATAATTAATATCATCTAGATGTTATCACATAAAATTAGAGTTTTACTAACTTCAATCTTTAGAGTTGATTTTAAAATTTTAGAAGCGATAAGTTCTTGTTAAGAAAAACACATTTAAAGCATTAAAATTATAATAAATATTTTTAAAACAAATTTTATTATTTTCAGTTCCTTAATTTCAGCCTTAAAGATTAAAGTTGACGTTAACCATAAATCTGACCAAGTCTGTAATAACTAATTTCATTTTAGTTTTGTTATATGATTCAAAGATTTTCCACACAATCTTTTCATATAGTTTCTAAACCAACATTCTTAATTTTTAAAATAAACTTAATACTAAGAAATAACAAGTAAATGTGACCAAGTCTGTTTTATTGTGGGCTTTCCTTCTTATCTCCGTCTAAACTATAATGATGAGAGCATGATATATCTTGAAACAATAAATTAATCCAGTTTATATATTGACACTTCTCAGTTAGATGCTAATATTCGCATGTTAATTACTGTTTTAGAAACTAATTATCAACGATAGTATGTTGAGTGAATCTCTTTTCTTTTCATTGTTGTTTCTTTTCCATTGCAACTACCCAGTGATTATATAGTATAAGATATTAACATTAATTGAAAGTCCGTATAGCACTGAGCGAGCGTGTGAGAGGTGATATTTAATTAAGTGCGAAGGCTAAAATTTCCCAAAGAACGGTGCAATCTTTTTGACTTTGCAAAAGTCTTGGAATAAATGGGGGAGAATTATGGATATTCAAACTTTTAAGTAATGGCCAAAAACGTAGGTTACATTAAAAAATATGGTTTTAAAAAATTATTAAAAAAATAAATTAAGCCTACACTAGATTGACAAAGCTATAATATGAAAAGTAACATGACAAACAAAAACATCTTTTTAAGTCTTCATTTTCCTTTACAACCTGAAACCAGTGAAAAGTAGCAATATAAAACGAATCTTGGCAAGTCAGAGTAATATTATACATTCATTAAACAATGTTAGAATAGATTATGGCTAAATATAGATAACATGACATGACATAACAAAACACAAGCCGCTATAGAGTGAGGATCAAATCTTTAACTACGATATTCCGTGCTTAATTAAATAGAGATGGTAGAACATTTTACACTTTAACATAATTAAGAGTTAATATATTAATTTGGAGTGTTTGGAGCACAAATTTAAGACATTTATTTCTCTAAAATGCTTTAAACAAGTTTAGAATAAGATACAATTTTATATGTTGTTGATGCACATCAATGTGAGACTTTTATAGCAATACAAGTAGTGCAGTACTTTATTTGGTAATTACCAATTAACAAGATCAGTAAATTTTGTTCGAAAAAAAAGTTTAATTTATGAAATTGGAATTGATCGAAAAGAGATAGATAGATATTTACCTCCTTTGCGGCTTGAAATTCAAAAAGGCAAGGGCGCTTTAGAATAAGGGTAAAACGAGAGAAAAAGAGAAAAAGTTGGTCTTCTTCAACAACCAAGGTGTGAAAAGGTGTTGGAGTACCGAGCCAAGCTTTATTCAAAATTTGAGCATACTTAGGCCTAGCAATGGCTACTCATCTCACTTTGGCTGGGCAAATTAAAATAACCATCTAATTTTGGAAATTCGCCAATCTATCTATACATAGCTTAAGTTCACAATTTCCTTTTTATTCCATATTTCTGCACTCTGCCATCCCCATCAAGACTATATGTTTAACTTTAAAAATATGCATAGTTCAAAATATGTCATTATTAAGTAACTCCTACTGCAAATGAAATACGGTTGCTTGTAAGAGAAACTCTCATATATTGCCACGGTGAGGAAAATTCATGTGTTTAAGTTGTGGCTAATAAATCAACTAACAGAAAATTAGTTAATTAATGGCCAAAAATTTAAAGGGGAATTTCCTCTCTCACTTTTAATAAGCCAAAAGTCGAGGGAAAACGTCTCAAACGTATTTATTAATTTATTTGTTTGTTTTTGTTTCGAAGGAACTTTCGTCTGAGAATTATTTTAGATTAATACAATTCTACATTGTAACGTCTATTTTCGTCACTTTATGTGTGCGTGTACATAGGTATTTACTCAACCGGAATAATTGTTTTTTTCTTTTTAATTCCATTGATTGATTATATGCCCAACAAATACCCATTCAAGATGTTACTTCTATCTTAAGAATGACGTTTGGGTGATGATGAGAACCGGAGAACAATCAATAGTAATAATAAAAAAACTTGCACATATTCAAGTAATTAAGGTTAATCTGCACTTTTCTATATCCGAAGTAACACTCTCTAACGCTGAAATGTACGCAGGCACATCTATTTCTATTGATAATACTCGCGCGAATGTATATGTTAAAGACATGAAATCTTCAGCTTAGTGACGAGGCTATGTCTCGAGTACGATGTTTAAGCATTAGAAAGATTGCACAAAATTTTCAAGCTTGGGGTGACGCGGAGAGAAAGAGAATCCATGTCCATCGTAGTATTCATGAGTTGCATTCGTGATTTTATACTGTGGATTATGACAGCATCAACGACAAATTCAAAATTTTTTAAAACATTTTTATTTTTAATAGTTCATAATTTTTTGATAGGGAATAATAAATGCAATAAATGAAAAATATAATAAAGATTAAATAATAAATTTTTAAAATTTTTAAAATATTAATTATTTTCTTATTTACTGCAATCACAATACAGAAGCAACCATCAAGCATTTACTGGGGAGTGCTCTCATCATCCCTGAGAAAGAAATTATGATTTGTGAAGATATGGGGGTTGTGTGCTATCGAGTTTCATTCATTAATTTAACACTCTTAATTAGATTCTTAAAAATTAAGTTGCTTTCATGAAAGGGCACGTTTAACCCGTTTAAACAATACTGCAGTATGTGATTGTGAACAAGAAGAAACAAACAAAGTGGCAATTTAAAAACAAAAAAAACTATAAATTACGTAAAATATTAATGACCTATTTTAGTAATTATAGGCAATACATCGATCCCAATCATTAGTTATAACATTACTATATATGATAATAGAAATTTACATGCGTTTGGTACCCAACTTTCTCTATGTATACCCTATTTGCTGCCGAGATTGCTTAGCTCTCTCCGTCTCTTCTGGATCCTTACTATCTTAGACAATCATATGGAGATTGATTCTTAAATCTGTCCCTTAGACGACAACTTTTAATCATTAAACTCGCACCATCACAAATCTCGCTTTGCTTTGAAGAATTTATGGTATTATAGTTTATACAAAATTTTACATGTAGGAAATCTTACTTTGAATGAAATCGCGTTTATGTCATCAGTGTTTGGAATAGATTCCTACTAGCCTTGGTATATTCAATATATACGAGAGAGAGAGAGACTGAATAATACGTGAGGTGAGGGTAGTTTCTGGTCGTTTGTGGCTAGAGGTGGGGAGATACTAAATAAGGTATTAATTTGGAAAAAATCAAAGATAGGAATATTCTAAGTAGGGAAACAAATAGAAAGGTCACGCGGGAAGGGCATATACGTCAATAGACAAGACCTGTCGCTTTAGCCAATTTTCCGACAAATAAGACGATATCATTGTATAATAAAAACTCCTCGTTTTATTTTATTTTTATATTTCTTTAATTTAAAAAAGAATATGCAAAAGTATTGTATAAATAGTATTTCTCTAATATTTTAGACTAAGAATGATTTTGGTGTTATTAAAGTTAATTTAAATAGTTACGAGAAAAAGATTCTGATACCGGAAAAACTAGAAATTTTGTTTTGTGGAGAACCAACGATACCACCACGTCTTTGGGTGAATGATTAATTGTTTTTTATTTATTTTGTGGACAAATTGTAAGTTGCCATTGAGAAACGGCGTTACCAACGGAATTATGAGCACCCAAACCTCATTGGTTCAGTGTCAATTCCGAATAGCAGTGCGGTTGTAAGTTGAAACCAAAAGGTCATTGTGATTCGGCACGCTTCATATACCAAAACATTGCTTCAATCTCAAAGATATTATTAGGCCCACGCCAAATATTTGTTTTAATTAAAAAAATACTATTTTTTAAAAATTTGTATTTAATAACACATATTCAAAAATTAAATACTCTGTATTAAATAATTTAAATTATTATAAAATATGTACAAAATATTTTTCATAATTTTAAAATAAAAATATTTTTATTTTTTATAAAATTATTTTTAATTTCTTAATATGTGTTTTTTTACCCACGTTAAAAAAAAGTAAATAAGTATTAATTTGTAATCATTAATAAAAGGAACAAATGAATCTTTGAAACATTTTAAAAAATTAATCTTCGACTATTAACTCGTGAATATTCTTAATTCACATGTTACACGCACTCGTGAATTTTTTATTATTTTTTTACCGCAGCCTTATTGAAAAATAAATTTTAAAATTTTATTACTTGAATATTATAATTTCGATAATGTGTATCTTTATTTTGACATTTCTTTTAAATTAAAATACATTGATAGTATTATACTTTTTATGCTATTATTTTATCATTAATTATTATATTAATAAGAATTGATAACTATTAAGTTTGTTTGAAAAAGATGAAATAGACTGTAATATAACACATTCAATTAAAATTTAATTGAACTTTTTAAAAAATATAATACCATTCAATGTTACGTTGACATTTTATTTGACTAGCTTGATTGTAATAATAACTGAGTTTGACTCCACCAAAGCGCATGGTTCATATTGTATTTAAAAAAAAAAAAAGGATAATTATTGATTTCAAAGTAGACGTTGAATTATCGAACGCATTATTTATTACAAACATATATTCTATTTTCATCTAACAATTATTTTTTTATTAATACTTGTTACTCTGTATTCTATTAAAACCCCATCTTAAGTTTTGGAGAGTTTGATTTTGTAATTATATGATGCTTTTAACTCTTTAAATAATTTATTATATGTCCAAGCGATTAATATGAATAATGCATTGAATTTTTAGTAGAATAAAGATCATAGAAATATTTTATTGAAAATAATCCAGTGAATGGGATATATTATCCATACGAAGTGTTATTGGAAAGTTTGGAATAGTTGGCCTTAGCCCTTAAGAATGTGTTATGTCATGAATTTGGCGATTTATGGGGTCACACATCTTTGCAGTTCGGACCACACAGGGCCTTACACGTGTCGGAAATGTGTCCCTCGTTTCTCTGTCATTATTATGGATTGGATTGAAATTTGGGACGAGAGTTGTTTTCCATTTTGACTTGAACGTCACATTGTTCAAATCTCACTGTCATTTTAACACCGTCTCACAAACGGTGAAAACTGAAAAAGTAAAAAGAATAAAAACCACGAGAATGAAATGGCTGAGTCTATATATAACCATTAACCAACGAAGGAACACTAAAAATCGAAAAAGAAAAACCTCCCCTAAAGAAAAGCAATATCATACATAAATTTTGGATTTCGCACGTAACACACAGAGAGAGGTTAGAAGAAGAAGAACAAAGCAACAAACGCAAAGAAGGCCTCAATCCTCGAGATCCTGTCAGATCGGAGCGCAACCGCAAGCTAGATTGTGGTGCGTTTCTTACACTTCGTTCTCTTCCTTTTCTCCCTCTCTGCAATGTGCATCTTCATCTTTCACATTCTCGGGATCTCTCTTTCTATTACGAATTCCCTCTTTTCTTTTCACACCTTTCTAGTTAATCTAATTAATCAGTGCTTAATTTTGTTCTCTCAATGCTTGTCTTGTTATTATTTCCCTTTTTTGTTAACTCATCCACCTAAACCCAACTAAAACGTTTAAATTGATTTTGTGTTTACCTTTTCATCATTCGAATCTCGTTTTTTTGTTTTTCCGGGCTTCATTCGAATTTGCATGCATATTTCCAAATGATTCGCAGAATCATACCTCCAAATGTCCCTGTTACCACTTTTCTACTGTTCCACGTCATAGCATATTCAAAGTCGTCGTTGTTGTTTTTTGAAAATGTTGAAAGGCTTTGGAGTGGTTGGGAAAATGGCCAAAATCGCATAGAAGATGTACTTAATATGAAGAGATTCTGGTAGAATAGCAACCTTCTTTCGAGCAGGGTAGTATTCTGGATCTTTTTTGGTAGGATGATAAACGACTAGTACTCGTAGCAGTTGGCTTAGCCTGGGATACAAGATGCTTCCAGTGTCTCATATGTCCGTTCAAACTTCAAAACTTGGAAGAAATCGCTCTTTTCAACTGTATTTTAGCGAATTCTCATCTATCTGATTGTGCATCCTTCTCGAATTTTTCTGGGTTGAATGCGTTCTAGCTTTCGTAGGTAGAATGTCCAGAAATCAATATTTACAGTTTTATTTAATTTTAAATTTTAAATTATTTTTCTGTGTTTTATTTAATATCTATACCTCCATCCTATGTGTATTTGGCTCCTTTTTTTTTTCTTATTTGAAATATCTCTGTTTCCTCTGTTGGTTTTAGATCATTTGTTTTGTGTTTTTATATTTGTATCTTTATTTCCTGTTTTTCCTTTAGTTTTTCATCCCCATCTTTCTAGGTTTGGGGTGGCAAATATTAGGGAACTAGTTCTGGCACTGTAAAATTCAGGTATATATGTGTGTGTGGATGTATAAGGGGCATATTAAGTTAAAGCAAGAAATGTGACGCACACAAGGGTAGGCTGATAGAAGAGATCTGTTCCTGTTGTTGTCGAATGTTTATGTATTGATCTTCTTAATATATTCTTGTTATAATATTCATATTTAAAATTATTCTTTGTATGTCGAAGTCCTGTATCTTCGTCATCAACCACCTTTTCAAAATGTTTTGTTGCTTACCCTGCAACTTGTGCCATGCAGCGTCATGGGAAGGGAAGTTACTGGCATACAGGTTGCGGACAAGAAGCCAAATGGTGCCATAGCGGCTTCGAATGGCAATTTTAGTGATAGGGTGCGTGTTTCTCCCAAAATTGCAGCAATGGTTCAAGCTATGGATCATGAAATAAAGGAATCTGCTGAAACTCATTCTTTTGTTGAGAAACATCATGAGAGGAAAGATGCTTTGACTGCCAAAAATGCCAAATTAAGTGTTGACTTGCCAGAAGAGAAGAATGAGAAATCTGAAGTACAGAAGACGGGTGACAATAAAGAGTTCAGTTCACCCACTGTGGATAAAGAGCATCCAAGCCCCTCTGCTCCACAGCCATCTGATCAAGTTGCTGAAAAGCATGTTACCCACACACTGACTGTTGATACTGAAGCTGTCACAGCTGATCCGAATTTGTCACCTAATGCTAACAATATACACTCGCCTAATTCCTCAAAGAATTCACAGGTATCGTGTCATCATATTTTGAAAATTTAAGTTTGAACTGCTTCAATTCATATGTGAGAACGAAGTCAAGTATGCCAAATGGTCCTAACATGTGTTGTGCATGATGGTTGTTACATTTTCCAGTAACGCTTAAGAAAACAAGAAAGTGCAAGATTTTAGAGAGTAGGAGAACTGGGATCTACCTTTTGTTTTTAATGCTTGTGTATTTGCATGATATTTGTTTGTGACCAAGTATTTGTTTTTCCTCAATGCGACCATTTAAAAAAGTATTATGCTGTGAGACTCTTTTTAGATAGTTCATCTGCCATGGTTTAAACTTTAAACAGATAGAGTCATGCATACCTGCTAACTGCAAAGGAGAGAATCAATCGATTACTTTTTAACAGGTTGCACTAGGTCAATGTCAAATGCGATCGATTCCAGAAAATGTTCTAGGGAAGCTCATAATACCCTACATCCATACCTAATAAATACAAGCAACAAATTTTGTTCATTTGTTAGAAATTCTTTGTAAAAGACTTAACTGCTTACATGTCTTAATATTTCTAGGGGATGCTGTACAATTGCATGGGTTGCTATTTGTGATGCCGTGTGATTGAGACAGGGAGTGTTTTGTGAGATTACTGATTTTTTTTCCATTTTTCTTTTCAGCCAAATTCTCCTTTTTCATCAAGGAAGCTCTTGCAGCATGATGATAAGAAGCACCACGATGATGAAGATAATTGGTCTGTTGCTTCCTCGTATCCTCAAAACTTGAACATTTTGATTGTTTATTCTGAACAGATCAAGTTTTAGGTATATTGAAAAAATTGCACTATGCTATACTGAATCCTATCAATGTCAAACGGTTCCTACCCTCCAAATAGAGCTACATTTTTCCTAGATTTAAATATGATATGCAATAATTCGCATGTGTTCTTTAACCATAAATAGTAGCGTTGCATCTGCACGCACTGGCAGATCTAAGGTAACTGTAGGTTCAGCCCCTACTTTTAGATGCTCGGGTCGTGCTGAGAAGCGGAGGGAGGTATTGTTTTTTTGAACATTCAACAATTCAGGATTGTTTTCTGAGGCTGATAGCTGATTGCATTCCTAGTTGGAAAATTGGCATTATCAGTTGAATCTAATTTGTGGTTTTGATTCTTCTCATCACCTTGATTTATCTATCCAGTTTTATCTCAAGTTAGAGGAGAAGAATCGAGCTCTAGAAGAAGAAAAAAACCAGTATGAGGCAAGGAAAAAGGTATATTGGTCTTTATCCTGTCTGCTGCAGACCCACCCATGTGTGGCTTTTTATTTTACACTTTTTACTTTTCTTTGTCTCCCCTCGTGCTAGAAACATCTAATCACTTAAGCCAAATCGTAGTACATGGCTGACTTGTTTTCTGTTGATCCTTCCAGGTTACCTTTTGCTTATTCAATTCATTAAAATAACTCTGCTGTTTATCTGATATTAACCTGTACAGGAAGAGGAAGAAGCAGCCATTAAACAGTTGAGAAGGAACTTGGTCATTAAAGCAAAACCAGTACCAAGCTTCTACTACGACGGGCCTCCCCCTAAGGTTGAACTAAAGAAGGTACTCTTCGCTTCTCCATCTGTCTTTCTGAAGTCTCAGAATCAATATGAATTGCCATATAAAATTTTGGAATTTGCATTAATAGACTGAAGGAATAATAATGCAATAGGAATGTTAAAATGTCTAATAAAATCAGGAATGAAAATTTGACAATGGGATACATCTATGGTTGTGGTACTATTTCTTGTCACGATCATGTGATTTTTAGTTCTTTCCAAATTTGCTTATAGCCTTGAGTTTGAGAAACTTTCTATTCCCTTTCCTTTGATAGCAGCTGCCACTGACTCGCCCCAAGTCACCAAAACTATCCCGGAGAAGGAGCTGCGGTGATGCAGTTAACTCATCTGCAGAAATTTGTACCCGAGCCCGTCACAGTGTTGGCAGTAATGCTAAGCAGGGATCTGGTAGCCCCGTGACTAGCAAAAATAAGGACATGGTCACTGGACGTAACAACAGCAATGGCACATGCATAAACAAAGAACGACCAAAACTGGATAAGGAAACAAAGACAGCTCCTCCTAAAATCACTGAGCAGACAAACGCCGACATATCAGTCCAATCATGAGCTTACCAAGATTTTACTGACCTCCAGTTGAGAGGAAAATAGCCTTCATTTTCCTTGCTCACACCAGAAGGGATATTTGCAGAAGAGATGGCCTCATTTTCTTTTCATCCGGACTGACTTTTTTCTAAGTGTTTTGTTTTTTCACTTGAAGTGTATATGTTTTGTAAGTTATATCGGCACACCTTATTTTATATATAAATAGTTATTGATGTAAGAAGATGTATGTACGTAATTTGATATTCCTCAGATTGATGCGGACTTGGCGAGGGAAATTTATATGAAATATATTCCTTTTTTGTAGGATCTATAACTTATTTTATCAATGCTAAATCTCTTGTCCAGTGAGTCAGTGACCTTCCATTGTAGGTGGTTAAAAGGAGCTGGATTCGACGTTGTTAGTAGGAGAGACACATTCAAGATCACGTGATACTAGATAAAACAATGGATATTTGCGATTTAATTGTTCCAGAGTTTTTCTTGGATTTGATTATGTTTATTATTAGATTAAATTGTATTTATGCTGGCGGGATGTAAGTATGAAAACAGTAAAAAATGAACATAAAAATTCCAATATAATTAATTATTCATATTGTGTTTCCCTAAATTTGTAGACCGTGGATGACTTTTGTTTTTGGTCGAACTTATGGATGAATGCGAATGTTTCCAATACTTCGTGCGTAAATTTCTTTGGATCAACGGCAAATGTGAAACGTAAGTGGGGTTTAATTTTGCACCTCGAGTTTGAAGATACTTAGTAATTTTTTATTTTAGATAAAAATTTAAAAAAGAAATAAAAAAAAGGTAAATTGATAAAAACATGATTAACAAAAGAAGAGAGTGATGATGATGTTTTGTTTAATTCAGTTTATTTTTAAATTAAAGTGTTATCAAATATGTGCTTAAATTATCTCATGCTCCCTTGCCAGTTGCCACAGATAAAAATGAAAAGAAAAAAATAATGATATTAATAAATACGAGTGAAACAATACTCTGGTTTTTAAATAATTTCTTGAATTACGTAAAAATAAAGTTATTATTGAATTTTAATAATCATTTATAAAAAAATAATTTTCCTTTTATAATCATTAGCTAATTTGGTCTGGAAGTTGTAAAAAAAGTATAGTCTAGATAATAAAGTTAAGGTTGAAAAACTAAATTAACTGATAAAATTGCTAAACTTAAGATTCAAATAATTTTTAAAAATAAAAAAGATTAAACTAATGTGTCAATTTAAAAAATGAAATGAAACATTTTTCATAATCTGAATTATGAAGAGATTAATCGATGATACTTAAAAATATCTACGTATTGTGAGATAAATAAACGAGAATGAATGGAAAAAATGTGGCGGTATAGTTGGGTTTTCCAAGTCCAAACCAATCTCGGAAGCCATGGTTGCACTTCAACCGCTGAACTTGAAGAACTGGAAAGTGTTACCACTTGCCCCGTGCGCGTGGCCATCCACGAGTCCAGTGCTGAGTAGATGTAGTTGTGGCAATGGCACGGTGAAGATGCAAAAATCTTCCTCCTCCAAAAACCGCAGAAAATCATCATACGGAACCTCTAGAAGATCAATTCTCAAGAAATCCTTCAATCAAGAGCAAGTCACCTTCACTTCTCCTCTCTCCGATGACCCCAACGTTGCCATCATCGGCGGCGGCATCGCCGGCATCATTTGCGCCATCTTTTTAGACAAACGCGGTGTTCGCTCCACCCTATTCGACACCGTCAGTTTCCTCTTTCTTCTCTTCTCCTCTCTGTTCTAATTCACCGTTTCTAAATGCGACGTCGTTTCGTAATCGTAGGGTATTCATGGTCTAGGAGGACGAATGGGAACCAGGGTTATCGATCCTCATCCCTTAATATTCGACCATGCGGCTCAGTTCTTTACAGTGAACGATTCTCGCTTTGCTGAACTCTTCAATGCTTGGATGGACAAGGGTTTGGTCCTCGAGTGGAAGGGTACCATTGGAGAGCTTCACAGTGGTGGTAACTTTGTTCCGTTTCTACCCTCTCCTCCAAAATATATAGCCACTAATGGAATGCGCTTTCTTGCTGATTCCTTGCTCTCTGAGGTGATTAGATGCTTATTCAATCAATTTAATGATTAAAGAATTGCAACTAAGTGGTTTGAATTAAAATATCCCTGTTAAACACCTGTTTTGTTGCCGTTATTATTTCAGTTTTTGCTGCTGTTAAGACTCTAACTATCGTGCAGACTCGCATGGTTAATGTGGTGAGACCATGCTGGATCAGTAAACTGGAGCCCTTCAATGGAATGTGGCACTTGAGTGAAAATGGAAAGCCTTGTGGCAAGTTCGATGCAATTGTTATTGCACACAATGGTAACTTTATATACCCATCTTAAATGTATCGTTTCTTCGTTATGCTTCCTTGCTAAAGTGATTTCAATGTAGACTTCATTTCTTTTTTCTCGAGTTAAAAACAAAAACTACCAAAGGATAGGGCTTTACTTTTCTGGATGTCAGTTGGATTGTTGTTCTGAAATTGTATTAGGAAAATGGTAATCAGTGCCCTAGTTAAGGAATTTAAAATAGGAAGTTTTTATTGATAATTTCATAATTGTTGTCGCACTGCGATTTCTAATACATTCCCGATGTGATTTCCAATACAAACTTTCTATTTTTTTATTTCTTAACCAGTGCAAGGGTACTGGTTAGCAAGATTCGTTGTATTAATATCTGAAAATTTGTACAGTTTTTGGCTTCTTCTGCGCGGTTACCCCTGTTATGGAAACAGTAACCCAAATTTTGGCTTCTTGTAGTGAGTGACTATTTCTCTGTTTGCCAACAGGAAAATGTGCAAATCGCTTGCTTATGACGTCTGGTTTACCACTGATTGCAAAACAAATGAAGGTCAATCCAGGACATGCCCTGTTCAGTTCATTTGATTTGATGAGCTAGTGCTATCAATCTCATCAGTTTCATTCATTGTTAAGGATTGTTTATATTCATCTCATACTGTTTCTTGTCTCTGTTGTATTTTTCATTGTGTTAGAGGTTGGAGCTGAGTTCAATATGGGCCCTTCTGGCAGCATTTGAGGATCCTCTTCCTTTTCCAGGCAGCACAGAAGTTCCTTTTGAAGGAGCTTTTGTGAGAGGAATTGATTCAGTGTCATGGATGGCCAATAATACCAAGAAGCTACTGACTTCCCAGAATGGTAGCCCACACTGTTGGACCTTTCTGAGCACTGCTGCTTATGGAAAACAGAACAAGGTTCCACAGGTTGGTGGTTGAATTATCAAATCAGTGTGATACTACGATTTATGAAATAGTTTCTTTGCAACTGTTAGATGGCTTTAGGCTCACATTCATTTTTTTGGGGAATGGCTTGTAATATTAACGATGATGTACCTTGTCTAGAATTGGACTCGATTAATTTATTTATATCCTATATTATCATGCATTGGTTAGAACTTTTTATTAACGTGTATTTCATGCAATGATTAGGGCCTTCTATAACTCAAATTTGAGTCAAATTTTGTTTATCAGGAAAACATCCCTACTGCTACAGCAGCAAAGGTAAACGATGGCATGCTAGAGGGTATTGAGGCTGCCCTTGGATTATCAAAAGGGTCACTTCCAAAACCTTTTTATACCAGACTCCAACTATGGTAAGGGTCATATACTCATCTCAAAATATTGATGTTTGTTGCTTTTATATGTGTACGCTATGAATGAAAAATCTGGGTTAATGAGGAGAAAAAGGGAACAAAAGAAGAAAACTAGATGATTGAATAGAATTAGCAATTAACTTGAATCACTGTACTTGGGTCAAATCAAGTTTAAAGAAAGGACTTTAAATAATAAGGGTTTTTATTATGCTGGAGGATGAGGATATGAATATTAATGTTTTTCTTTAGTAGGCACAATATGCTACATGGGAAGGGGTACAGAAAAAATGTGATGTCATTGACCACAACGTGACTTCTCAAATGGTTCAGTTGCCTGATAGTCAAAATGTTAATTGCACATGCTCCCTCAGTAGCATTTCTTGTGTGGTTGTTCTCAGCCACTGCTCAAGCCTCAACAAACCAGATGGGATAATATTTAAATAATCTCAGTATTTTAAAGATAATATTGGTTGCTCTAGACCATTGTATGTAAACTTAATTCATTGAAAATTATTATTATCTTATTCTGACATTTACAGGGGTGCAGCTCTTCCAACTAATACACCTGGAATTCCTTGCATCTTTGATCCCTTTGGAAGGGCTGGGATATGTGGTGATTGGCTACTAGGTTCTAATATAGAGGCGGCAGTTTTAAGTGGAATGGCTCTCGCTAACCATGTATGCCACTTTAACTTTGACTTGTCGATTGATATCACTTGTTTGCCTCAAACATTTTTAACATGCTAATTGTACCATAAGTGATTCGGTTTCAATGAAGTGCTTTAAAATATCCTGTTGTTGCTCAAAATTCAGTTGGACATTTGTGACACAGATTGCAGACTATTTCCAAAGCCCTGAAATTGACCGTGCAGAGTTTGCTGTTGGTTTAAATCAGGAGTTTCAACCACTGGAAGGTCATGATATTGGACAATTCCCTGGTTTGGAGTCAGAAATAAAGATGAATGAAGACCAAGCATACGAACTTGCTAAGTAGGCCATGGTGCTCAGGAATGTCTCTCCTTTGGCAACGGAAAATTGATTTCATATCCATGCAAAGGAAATCTCCCCAAAAGCAACGTCAATACGTCATGGTCAACTGAAGATTTTGCTTGAAATTGGAACTCTCCTTTGGGGCAATAGGGGCCTTGGCTCCCTCAACAGCCACATGATGACATGAAACAACACACATGTAATTTACATGTCTTTTTCTTAAGAGATAGTGGCATTATTGTTTTGTTGGGAACGAATTAAATTGTGTCCCTGAAATTATTACAACATCCTTTTTCTCATATGCAGAACAAGTATTTTCCTTTTCAAATTTCACCTAAAGAAAACATGAAATTTGAATAGTTAGAACCTGTACTGAATGCGACTTTTGCCTTCAAGATAAGATACAGCACTGCTTACTTTTATACGAAACAACTCTTTCTGGTTTTTAGGCAGCATAAAGCACGCATTACAAGTCAACTTGAACTTAGACAACCAAACAAAACCGGTGATGAAAAGGATAAGTGAGGTTTTCTATAATTCTAATAAACAGTCTCAGTATTCACAAGCAACAAGTTACCCGAATGCTGTCCATGCAGAACTCTAGAAACATGACGAATGATTTTCAGATTTTGTGGAAACATATCCGACAGAAACAAGGTATACATTATGTTCATATTTATATGTAGAAAAACATGATAGTGGGGAGGAAAAAATAGAAATTAAAAACCCAACAGATAAAAGGAACAATCGGTGCCTTATATACTTCGAAGCAACGCAAAATAGCCAGTTTTATTTGCTTGAAATCCAGGGCTTCTTTGAAAGCACGAAGCTGTTTACCCTAGAGCAAAACAACCACCTAGAGCATTTCTCTTTATCGGCCGCTTTGATTGGCAAGTTGTGAGAAGGTGGGATTGGAATTCATATTGGAATCATGGTCAAGCTCATGCTCACTTCCAAGGCTCAGGTTTTTATAATGGTTTGCCATGTCGTTGTCCCCCAAGCTTATTTCTTCAAACTCACTCTCTTCAACACGTGCAGGGCGAGTTGAACCACCTTCGTTATCTTGCAGGTTGAGAGCAAATTCGAGATTCCACAATAGATCATTCATGGAGGGACGATCAACACCATGATCAGACAAACACTTTTCAGCACTGTCTACAAACTTCTTCAAGCTTTCTGGATTAATCTTTCCTTTGAGGCAGGGATCAATGATATCCTCTAGAGTTCCTTTTTGCTTGCAGAGCAATGCCCATTCTGCAAGACTAACCTGATCCTTTGGAAGACTAGGATTCAGAGCAGGCCTTGCACAAAGGGCTTCAAACAGAACAACCCCAAATGAGTATACATCAGATTTTTCAGTCAACTGTTGCCTCCTGAAGTATTCAGGATCCAAATAGCCAAAACTACCCTTCACCACAGTACTAACGTGACCAGTATTCATATTTGGACCCGTTTTTGACAACCCAAAATCTGAAACCTTGGCAGCCCAGTTTTCATCCAAGAGAATGTTTGTTGTTTTGACATCTCTATGAATGATGGTGTACTTGGCCCCTGTGTGAAGGTAGTGAAGCCCTCTTGCTGCTCCAATGCAAATCTCCAACCGTTGCTTCCATGATAGAGTAGCCATTGGCTTGTTGCCCTTGTAAAGATGTTCCCTAAAGGTGCCAAGAGCCATGTAGTCATAAACCAGGCACATCTCATCATTTTCTTCACAAAATCCAATCAAGGATACCAAATGCTTGTGTCTCAGCTTTGAAAGCATCTCAATTTCAGTTTGGAATTCATTAACTCCTTGTTCTGACTGCGGGTTTGACCTCTTAATTGCCACCTTAATTCCATTATCAATGTCACCCTTGTACACCTTTCCAAATCCACCAACCCCAATAACGTTGGCCTCATCAAAATTCTTGGTTGCTTTCTTTATCTCTTGTAAGGAGAAATAGCGGCAAAGACCTTGAGCCATGGCAGATAAGTTGGCACTATTAATGCTCTTCCCACACGAGGTGGATTTGCTGCTATTCGCGTTTGAGTTCAAATAAAGAGGCAACCAGCTTGTGTGAGTATATGACCCTGGTGCTCTCTTCTTCTTGTTGTAGACAGCAACACATATTACAGCCATGAAGGCAGCACCCGCAGCACCTCCAGCAGCTCCACCAATAACAGCAGTCTTGTGATATCCTCTGCTGTTTGTGAAACCTGCATCCTCCTCTTCCTGCTGGAGGAGCAATTCCGAAGGAGTAGGATTAGGAGCAGACAAGTCTCTGTCATTGAGCTTGAATATCTCCACCCCATTGAGTATGGCATCATAGTACTCTGGCTTGGTCTCAGGTGCAGGATGAAGAGCTAGCCATAGGTGCTGATCACCCTCCCCACCTTGGACATACACCACATAGTCCTTATAAGTTGGCACGCCTTTGCCTCCTGTCCACCCAATCACATCCGCCTCAACTTGTGCCGTTTGGTTGTTGACAAATATGTTGAAAACAATCTCATTGATCTTGGAATAATAGTAATCACAGAAATGCAACCTTGTAAGGTACATGGAATTAGGATCGATATGGAACATCCAAGTGAGATTATAGCCCATGTTGACATCCTTATCATTCCCCATTGATCTTGATGTGGAGTAGACATTAGGAGGGGCAATGTACTGTGGCATGGTCTGGTAGTTGATGGAAACATCCTTCTCAGCCTGGTTGGTGACACCAGTGGCTGCACCAAAAAGGTAAGGTGTGTCATCATACCACATCCTTGTAAGGCCAGAATCTTGGGTAGGAGATATATACTGTCCACCAACATTAAGTCTAAACATGGTTTGCAAATTCAAGCTCTTGACATCCATGGTTTGGTCAGACATCCCTACCAATGCAGCGGAATCAAACAACTCGGGCATTGGGATCAACTGAATGCCATTCACGAATGCAAAAGCCCCATTGGACTTGTCAGAAGGCTTGAAGGTGAGGGTCAAAGTGTCTGTATTCAAAGGAGCAAGGGAATACTCTCTGTCGATGTAGGCTTGTGAGAGGGCCTCACAAATGATTGAAGCGCTGAAATTGGAGAGGAGGGTAACCCCATTTGCAGTCACTGAAAAATATGAATCAGAGGGGTTGAAACTGCCGTAAAGAGAGGGATAAAAATGAAGCCTGAGCCAATAGCGCTTATCAGGTTGAACAGGGAAATTGTATTTTGTCTCAGATGAGAAAACTCGTGCAGACATGTATGGAACCTCAGATGTAAGGGAAGGGTCTTGGTATGAGGCTTTGGATGTTTTTGAATCACTATTTGCCTCCAGAAACTTGTTGTCAGGACTCCATTGCCTTCCATCATTATCTTTGGCACCTCCTTCATCCAACCCACAACCTAAGACCAAAGAACCTGTCTCCTCTCTCCATTCAGCATGAATCCCATGCACCAAAACAGAGATGCAAACAAGGGAAAGCAAGACACTCTTTGCACTAGCATGCATGATTGAAAAATACAAAAGATAAAGAAAATCCAAAGGAACACACGTTTTGGCGTACAGGAAAATGAGCTGTGTGATAACAAAATTATATTACAACTTACAAAACAAGAAGGATTTTCCTGTACGCTGAAAAGGCGTGAATGGCTTCTTGGTTTTTCTGTGTGTTTGGATGATAAGGTGCTTGTTTAAGCCATCTTAATCATCCATGGACTCGAGCAACTAAGAACCTACCTGGGTTGGAGGAACCAAACCAGGCAAGAAGGAAAAAATGATCAAGTTTCTATCTTTCTTTGTATTATGATCCTCTTTGGGTACATTTTTTGGTTTCTTTTCCATACTTAGAATGGGAGGTGGGGAGAAAGTATCGTAATTGAATGAATTGGATTGGTTACAGCGTGGTTTGAATTTGAAACATGTCATGAGTCTAAGCTATTTTTAGCATTCAATAGAATTTGTGGACTGGTAGCTTTTGTTCAGAGTCTGTCATTCCATACACTGAAACGAGGTAATCAATATACAACTTCAAAACTCGGCCACTTTAGCTCTCATGTCATCCAAGAGATTATGTTCAAGTTTTGTCGTAACTGCTAAAACTTCGCATAATGCATGACGACATGAATCATATTGACTAGCATGTCCATAACAGTAAGATATATGTACGTTATAAATTATAGTAAAATAATTTTATTATTGTAAGAAAAACCATGAATAGTAACATTATATTTTCAAAAAATAAAATAAAAACATAGTTTAACAGTAAATACTATTATTAATTACTAAAAATCATTAATAAATTATCATCATACCACTATTATTTGCATATATGTAAAATAAAATAAAATAAACGTTTCATAATTTTGACCATAAAATGTTTCATTTTTGTAAATAAAAGGGTTATATCTTTTATTTTATGTATAAACAAGTATATAGACAGATAGGTATATATTCCTCTAACAGTTTCATTTCTAATGTTTTATAAATATATTAAATTAAAGGTGGATGAAAATAGAAATATTAGATGAAATGAAAAAAAATTAATTTGATTATATTTCAAATAGTTGTTTTTTAATTTCTTAATATTTATCTTTTATTTGTTATTCTAAGTATTTTATATAATAATTAATGTATAATCCATGCAAAGCACGAGCAAGATATAATGATTAGTAATTATTATATGTATTTACACAACAAAATTTTGAGTTCAACACTTCTTGTATCAGGTAAAGAAACACTGACAGGAGTAAATTTGAATAAATTGTTTGTTTTGTTACACAAAAAGAACGTGATCTAAGAATAGTATAAGATTTGTTTTCGTTATGTATAAACAAAGTATAATTGTTAGGTTGGTATTCCAATTGTGGTTGCATGCAACGATGACACGTTGTGCATGAAATGCAAAGTGAGAGAACGCGGCAACGCGAAAATGATAGAAAAACGTAAACACTGAGACATGCATGCATGCAATGATACATCAGGGATCAATTGCAAAATTGCAATAATGCTATTAGTAGAAGGAAGCGAAGTAGAGGCTCATAAATTTTGGAATTAATGGTTCAAGTAAAGCATATTCCACTTTATGGCGAAGATTATACCCAAATGTAGCTGCACTCTACTAAATATTCCTCACCTTCCTCCTATAATTAACGCTGAGGACAGTTACAAACGAATGGTTGAATACAAAGCACCAAACTTAACCCCCATTAATAGTTCCTATTTAGATACCTCCATTTTCCACTTTCACCATTCATTCCAATATCACCAAAGTCCCTCGTCTCCACACTAATCCACCCTTCACTGCGGCACGGCGAGGCAGCCGCGGTCTTTCTTAGCTGCCTCCGCCGTCGGCACCACCGCACTTACATTCAAGAAAACAAATTAAGTACCGTTAATTTAGCCATATCTATAAGGGTACTAGGTGTATATACATTATGTTGATTAAACAGCAAGTGGAGATGAGGGAAGAAGATCAAGTGGTTCAAATGGAGTTGCAACAAATGGCGTTGGCTGGACGCGCGTGGAAGCAAAGGAAGTGTTTATCGAAGCAGTTATCGATGAGTGAAAAGCTGGGAGACATGGCGTGGGAGAGAAGGAGAAGACAAGAGAGGAGAAGGAACAGTATTCAAAGTTGTGAAGATGATGTAACGGACGATGACATGAGGGAGCTGAAAGGGTGCATAGAATTAGGTTTCGGATTCAACGAGGAAGATGGACAGACACTGTGCAACACGTTGCCGGCTCTCGACCTCTATTTCGCCGTCAACCGCCAGCTATCTCCGAGCCCTGTCTCTACCCCTCATAGCCGCGCCTCTTCTTCCTTTGGCAGCCCTATCTGTGCAGCTGATCCTTCAGATTCTTGGAAGATTTGTAGCCCAGGTCTTTCATTACTCTCACCTCTATCCATGCATATATGCATTATTTCTTCTTCTATATTATATAATTATCATTCCCAGTTCAATAACATTATCTGATGATGTAGTCCACCTCACCTAATAAAATAAGGCTTTGATTATTGTTGTATTATAGTACGTTATATTACATTACATGATATCTTGTGTCGATTTGTTCATTTGAGAGATTAATAGTTTTGAGAACTTAATTTATACATGCAAATATTTTAAGACTGCCAAATCAATGGAGAATGTTATTTTTAAGAATGTATATTGTGTAATGTATCCCATGTGTATTAGCATAACATATTCTTGTTACGTAACAATAAAATGTTATATCTTTATCTCGTATTAGCATGCATGTGCATTCCATGAATACTTGAAATTTTGTGTTGTTGGTAATTTGTTTGTTGAATATGTATGTATGTATGTATGCAGGAGATGACCCTGAACATGTAAAGACCAAGTTAAGGCACTGGGCTCAGGCTGTAGCTTGTTCTGTAATGCAGTCTCATTAAATTGTGGATGTCTTGTACAGAGGGAGTTTCTAGGGATGCACAGAGAAAGTGTAAAAAAAAAAAAAAGCATAAGCAGAAAACAGAGAAAGAAGAGGAGCCAGCTTCAAGTTTCATTCTATTTTCTCGTTTTTGGGCAGTTAAAAAAACAGAGAAAAAGTTTGAAGGAAAAATAAAAGAAAGAAAAACTGTGCAGCTTTCGTTGGGGGGTTTTTGTTGGAGCTAAACCAATGCAATGCAATGAATGGGTGGCTCCAATTAAAAGATTGGTCTAAGTTTGATCAATTACCCCGTTTTTCCTTTACCCTTTTTTTTTATTATTATATGTATTTTTAGTATGTGCAACTGTCTCTCCAAAGGTCAATTCATGTAAACAATTTTGAGCCCCTGCAAAAACCAGGGCATAGGGGTCTTCTCTTTCTTTCCCAGCTTCCAAATAATATGTATTTGTATGTAAATTCATATTTTATTATAAAAAGATAAAGTAAGTAATATAAAATAGATATATATTTCTTTTATCGTGAATCACTAAATTTTGTAGTTTATTAGTTGATCATGATTATGTATTTTTAGATTAGATAAATGATCAAGATATTTTAGTGCAGAATCATAATTACTGGTTAAGTAAGATTGACATACAGTAATTTATTTATATTATAATCTTTAACAGTAAAGTAATCTATAGACAATTGAAGAATAAAATTACTGTTAAATAATTAAATAATATGAACCTAAATAAATAGCTACATGTATATTTCATACTTATGATAAAATAATAATGTAAAAATTAAATATTTTATTAAATAATATTTAAAATAAAAAATATATGAAAAAAATAAATTAAAAAAATATAATAAGCAAGGAATAATATAATAATTAAATAATACTATAAAAAGGAAGAAATGATATAAGAAAGTTCTAAAATAACGGTAAATGCATATTATCATAGATAAAGATAAAATTAATAATATCATTTTTATAAGAATAACAATAACATTTTAATATTTCATGTTAGTTTCTTTTTATTTTACCAAAGTAAGTAAAATATTAAAAAAATAAAAATATAATAAATTAATTTTATTTTAAAATAACTTTTCATATTATTTTTGTTATACATTATTGTATACAATAATATTGAATGGTTAAAAATTAATATTAACCAAATATTTTGTTCATTATATAAAAATTTAAATATAATTTTATAGAATTTAATTCTAGATGGAAAAGATAAAGGTTTCAAATTTATTAAATTACTTGTTCAATGAGCACAAACTTTTTATGGACCTTCAATATAAAATAAAATAATACATAACACATTTAGCTAAAAGTTTTAAGAATTAGTTAAAATGTATACCCATTTTATAACCTAGAAGACAATTATATTGATTCCTTAAAAATATTTAATTATGATTATTTTAAAAAAAATTAACCAATAAAAAATAATTTAATTTATAAGTCTTAAACACAAACAGTATTACCCTATAAACTCAGAAATGAGAGTGAGAGTCTAAGAGGTTTCAGAGTCTTTGAACTGAAGAAGACACTGAATCTAATCTCAAACAATACGATAAAGGAAGGAAGAAGCAATTTCAATCCCAATTCCACTGCTTCTATGACTCCCGATGCTTCTGACGCACTTGCAGTGAGGCACAAAGTTCAGTTATTCCTCAATGCCGCTCGCACTGGAAATCTCGATCTCTTCAAGAGTATGTATATGTTTTACTCTCTCTCTCTTTCTCTCTTTCTCTCTATTGTGATGTCATCTTTGATTGTTTATTTGTTTTGGTAGATTTGGCGGAGCAGTTGAACGAGGGCAAGGATTTAGCCAAAACAGTGGAAGCAATTAAGGATGCTAACAAGCGAGGGGCACTGCATTTTGCTGCTCTTGAAGGCCACACCAATGTCTGCAACTACCTTTTACACCATTTGAACATTCCCGTCGATTCTCAAGATGACGAAGGTGGGATGATTCCTCTTTCTCTCTGTTATTCTTTGTCGTTTTCTCATATATTAATTGTTGCTATTGATTGTCAGGCAAGACTGCTCTCATTCATGCTGCTCATAGAGGACACACTGATACTGCTAAATGTCTGATTGACCATGGTGCTGATCCCACTGTGGCTAGCAACCTAGGTGCTACGGCTTTGCACCATTCTGCAGGGATAGGTCTATTCTCACTTCTCTTTATCTTCATGTTTTTATCATTCAAAAACAATCGTTTTTTAATTCCTGTTGTAATCTGTGGTTTCAGGAGATACTGAGCTGCTGAAGCATTTGCTGTCCAGGGGAATTAATCCTGACTTAGAAAGCGATGCAGGAACGCCGTTGGTTTGGGCTGCCGGTCATGCCCAGCCAGCGGCTGTCACTGTTTTGTTAGAACATGGAGCAAATGTAAGCTCTCTTTTTATTCTGTTTCTTTTTCCTAGCCTAATATAATTGATTTGAAGCTTTGATGCTAAATAATGTTCTGGTGTACTTCTTTGTTTGGAACTTTATTCATTCAAAAGAGGTGTCCTTTTCTTGTTTCTAAGTGAATTTTATACCGATATGCAGAGTGTATTCTGTTTCTTGTTGCAAAAAGTATTTTCCTTTTCTAACTTCTGGGTTAGTGGAACTAAGAAGTATTAGTCATATGACCACATGCCAGTAATCAATAATGCTATAGTTGCACAATTTTTTCTTATTCCCACGTCAATAATTCTATGATTGGATTAGTGAAATGATTGCAATCAGCTTAAGCTATATCAAATTTGCCTTGTCATGGAGATCTGTTTGCTTAAATAGTTCGCTGGGATTAATTTAATCTCCGTGCTTGATTCATGGCTGCTACCTAGTAATACAATGCCTTAGACTTGTTTATTTTGTACTGTAGAACAAAAGTATGTTATTTTTGTGTTATATGATTTTAATATTGTAATTTTAAAAACAAATGGCCTTTCATGAGGATGCCAATGATTCAAATAAGATTTCAATTTTAGTTTTTGAATTAATATTTTATTGAATAGCACCCTTCGATTGATAGAACAACAATAATATTCTCCCTTTCATACTACTGATGTTATTCCGCAGCCTAATGCTGAAACTGATGATGGTATTACTCCCCTACTTTCTGCTGTGGCAGCCGGATCTCTGGCATGCTTAGAGCTGTTAATTCAGGTTCCACATCTTTCTCAACTTGTGAACTTTGGCTTTTTTTACATCATGCATCTGTTTGAATCTATGAAACATGGAACAAATTTAGAATGCATGGTATGATATAGATACTCCAACATGGAAATTGTACAAAAGATACAAGTACTATAAGAGAATTGTTATTTCAATGCAATCAGGTTTACAATTTATTTGTGTTTTCTATTCATAAGGATTAGTTATTTCAAAGTACAAAAATGTACTAGGAAGGAAAGAGAACTAGTGAGAGGAGTATTTTGACATACTAAATCTAGAAAATGAAAAAGAGTCACGTCGGTAAAATATGTTTAAAGCAATGGTAAGCTGGATTGAACTGTGTATTTTTTTGAAGAATGTGCTTCTGCTTGCAAGATGTCTCTAGATGTAACCATACCGATCCATTGATGTTTACGTATGTACTCTAGAAGTTTTGTTATACTGTCCAAATGAATATGGATAGGGGGGGAATGTTTTCTTATCAAATATACATGGATAAGAAAATATCTCATATTTATGCATACCTACATATATGAATAAACCCTGCAATTGAGATCTCATTTAATGAATATTTATATGCAGGCAGGTGCTAAAGTAAATATAAGTGCTGGTGGAGCAACTCCTTTGCACATTGCAGCTGATAATGGAAGTCTAGAACTAATAAATTGCTTATTGAAAGCTGGAGCTGATCCTAATGTCTCTGACGAGGTGAGAAAGATTTTATGTCCCAAAGTTATTTTCTTGTACTGTCAGCATAGGAATCCATGACCAACAAAATAGTGCTAGTTTACTTATCTAGTAACGCAATAGTCCTAAGAACACCCAAACAGTACTCAGATTCATTTGTCTTTCCAAACTTTCAGTACGATTCAATAATGTCTCTGTTTATCACATGCAGTACTTACGGTTGTGGTAAAAATGTGCTTGAATGAATATTTGGAATAAAATTTGACATCTGTTTGCATCACAGGATGGTGTTAAGCCAATTCAGGTTGCAGCTGCAAGGGGCAATCGTGGAGCAGTTGAGATATTGTTCCCCTTGACTTCCAAAATTGATACAGTTCCTACTTGGACTATTGATGGGATACTTGAGTATATGCAATCTGAAACTAAAAAGCAACAGGTACTGGAATCCTAAATTTCTCTTATGCCCTAGTGGACTGAGCAAAGCCATATCTCTGCAGCAAGAACATCAAATAACTATGAAATCATGCTTGACAAAGTTACATCATTCTCATAAAATACAAATATTTGCCATGTAAATTTGTACGTTATCCAGAAGGAAATATGTTCTGCATTTATTTTGTTACAAAAAACAGGGCATTCTCTAGAATTTTTCTGTAGCTTTCTAAATTAAAATGCCAAGTAATTAAAGATATCCTCTGCACTAGCTGAGCAGCAAATATTCAATCCTCCAACCAAGAATAGGCTCTATATGCTTCTGACACTTCTAAAATTCTCAATCCTTTAACTGGTTTTGGTTAAGACTTTCACCAGTATATAATCTCAAGCATATTCTACTCATTTTCCAGTTTAAAAAATGGACAATTAAATGCTGTCTGATGCTAGTTTCTATGCTGTCTGACAAAGTGGATTTCTCAGTCTTTTTACTAAGTTTGAAGGAAAATATGCAGGATGAATTTGTAAATGCTAAAGAAATTAATCGGCCCAAGGATGCTGCTTTTCAGGAGCAAAATGTCCCAGAGGTGTGCTTTTCTTTTGCTAAATATGTGTTACCTGTATTTCTTTTAACTGTGTTGCAGCTGTGCTATTGAATGTAAAGAGCCGCACTCATTTTGTAAATGCAGAAGAAATTTGAGTCCCATATAATTATGCTTATTCAATCAAAAGGATTTTCTCTCTTGGTCCTTCTCTCTCTCATCTTTATATTCTGCATTGTTTCAAAGATTATGCATTCACCCTGAGTTTAGGTTTCTTTTACAAAAGAAGATTGTGGTCAGCCTCATTCTTCTAGTTGATTATTCCATATCAAATATGTTTACATGCTTAAACTTTCTTAAAAGATATTTGAGCTTTTAATACATTGTTAAGTAGGTAATCCGTGATTAATTTGTTCTTAAAAGGACATTTTTGAACTTTTAGGTTTCAGCTAATGAGTATATAGTTTATCTTGTATCTGTTATAATTTCTTTTTTTGTTTGTCAACTTATCTAGGTAGCACCTGAAGCCAAAAAGAGAGCAGCAGAAGCAAAGTCGAGAGGGGATGAGGCCTTTAAAAGGAAGGACTATCACATGGCAATAGATTCTTATACACAGGTAAATCTCTAATCTCTCATTTGACTCTTGAATTTTTTTTCCTACTATAACTTAGTATTTTTGGGTACTTTTCTTGCACAAGTTCAGATCATCCCCCTTGTGAGTAATATGTCATTAATGTTTCTGTGCAATGTCTACTGGACATGAGCATCTAGTGTGGTTTGACAAATATAATTGCCTGTACCTCTTTCAGTCTTTCTATAAAATGATCAATTTATGAAATGTTGTTTTCTTGTCATTGTTTGAAATTTATTTACAGGCAATTGATCTGAACCCCGCTGATGCTACTTTGTTATCCAATAGAAGTCTCTGCTGGATTAGGTTGGGGCAAGCTGAGCATGCTTTAGCTGATGCAAAGGCTTGCAGAGCATTAAGACCAGATTGGCCAAAAGCTTGTTACAGGGAAGGGGCAGCTTTGCGTGTATTGCAGGCATGCTATCCGGGAACCCTTTGCCCCTTGACATTAGCAGCAGAATATGTAATTCACATTTCTAAAACTATACTTGGCTTTCCTTCTTGCAGAAATTTGATGAAGCTGCAAATGCTTTTTATGAGGGAGTAAAGCTTGATCCTGAAAATAAGGAGCTTGTAAATGCATTCAGGTTTGCATACTGGTTTATTATTTATACCTGTTGCCAGTGCATGTCCAAATAAAATTGTAAAAAAAGAAAAGGCCTTGCAACTTACGAAATCATTATAGAAACTACTGCATCCTTGTTCAACAGATATGATTACTAAGTGGAGTAATTAAGTTTCAAGTGATTTATAGATAGATCGCTATTCACATTGTCCACATTTAAGTCTTCAATCAGCTAGACAGTTCTCAAATGTTATTTGCGTGTTTAGCTCATGTTGCATCATCTTTTACAGGGAAGCTGTCGAAGCTGGGAGGAAATTTCATGGCACAGCTGAGAATAAATCATAGTCGGGTTTTTGCTAATGCCCTTTTGCAGAGAGGAGAGACCAAAACATTAAAGTTGGTGCTGCCCTTTTTTTGCATGATCCTTTTTTTCCCATACAATGCGTGTGTGTTTTCTTTCAGAAGGTAGTCCTCCAGGTAGAGTCGGCTAGTAATCTATTTCGTTAAAAATTGTTGTAGTATTTAGAAAGGTTATCCACATTTGACGTCTACGAAAATTGTTGCTGCATTGGTGCGTTTTGAAAATGGCAATGCAGCAGGTAGGTGCATGCTGTCAAATTTCTATCGGCAGTGTTATTTTTGGTGATTATGTATGAATGATTTCGTCGGCTTTTCTTCGCGACTGTTGGTAGTAAAATGCTAGTTCGTGCAACTGTAGCTAATTTAAAACAGATTCTTTCGGTTCTTTGTTTTTACGAAAGTATTAGTATCCTTCGTAATTCGTGGCTAACTTTCAAGTAACTGAAATACAAATAAAAAAACTTCGTGTATTTTTTACTTCAAACAAATGAGACGAGATACACATCTATATGTTAGCAATTTATTAACGTCGCCATCAAATAGAAAGTATATATTGGAAAAACCGCCTTTAAAAGGATGCCAAAATGGGGGAGGGGGGCTGAAAACAAATATAAGTGCACACTTTTGTTGACCCAAATGGAAAGTTAAAATGTTTAAATGGAATAAAACTTAAATTTGATGAAAAAGGTAAAATATTAAAATAAGAAATTTAAAATGTCGGTTCCCTCTACCTTATGGACAGGGCTATCCTTAACCAAATGTACTTTCCTTACTTAGGCTTCCAGATTACTTGACAAATGAAATGCCCAAAATAACCATGAAATATTCTACTAGGGCTATCCTTTTTATCATGGGTGCTAACCCAACGTCCTCTACAACACATTCATTCTTAACCTTATCGTCTCAAGTACGATAACATTCAGAAATTTTAAGAGATCAACTGACTGAAAATAATCCAAGGGTCCATAAGGTGATTTTGACAACAAAAACCTCGAAATCTATCAATAACAAAGCTATTAATCCTCCTCAAGATTGATGGAGTCCTTAAACTTCGCATATAAAATTTTCTTCAGTTCAGTCATCTGAGCAAGCACAGATTCCTTCTCCTCTTCAAGCTTCTCCAATTTCTGGCTCGTCACCTCTTTCATTTGTTCTATCTTGTCCTCAACTTCATCCTTTGGTACATGAGCAAAAACCTCCCCTATTTGGAATCGAACTACCTCTTCATCTGTGAGAATTAACTCGTTACTTGCATCCTCCAAATTGTCATTTGTTTCCTGAAAAAAAAAACAGGATAACATTTGAATCCTATAACAAGATGAAACGTGCTTAAAAAATGCTCTTGCAACTAAAGTAAGCTTGTATCGACACTGAAATTAGACACTATAACATGACTTGCAAAACAGGTATTTCAATTAAAACTTTTTAACTTGTGCCCTTCGGGGACACATTGAAAAAACTGTCTTATTAATGAGTTAGTGTCAATCATTAAACCAAAGAGGGAAGCTGAAAGACAGATGCACAATACTTGATATATACAATACATGTTGGATTAGACCTTTTCATCTTATTTTTTTTGCCTTTTCAAAAGAAAAAAATTACGCATACTGCTACTCAAACCAAATTAGAACGGACATAAACAGCAAGCCCACATAACAAATTTTGAAGGATGTAAATCGCGGAATGTGGTCTAGCCCTCAAATAAAATCTTACAGGTTTTTCCCCAGAATGTTCTATTTCCCCCTTCACCCTTTACCTCTAACCTATTAGCACAAGTTTAATCTATTTCTCAATTTTACATGCTGCATAAAAGTCCCCTTTCGCCAACCTTATACATTGTTTGAGGAGTAGGCAAAACATTTAAGCTTTTCCAAATCAGAGCGCAGTTCACTATGTCCAGCATCAATAAAAGGCTTGCAGCCTAGGATACAAAGGAGACACACAAACATGCTTCACTATAGTGATATATGCACGAAGTGAAGTGAAGGGAAGTGAAGGGAAGGGAAGGGAATCTGATTCCTTTGGTTAATTTGTTTCTACTCCTTCAATTTTCAAAACTAAAGGATCCATTTCGAACTACTCAGATAATTTGTACAGGGCTTGAAACCCCAAATCGAACTACACAGATAATTTGTATGAATTGCATGTAGACAACCATTTTTATACATTACTATCACCTTGGCGATTTTGACGTCATCCTCGAGCTCGTGAAAGCGATTATTCAACCTTCCGAATTTATTGATGTTCTGCTGATCCTCCCATGTCACTTCCGTTTCAGATCCTTCGCCCTTTTCGGATCACCATAATCACAATCAGAATCAGAAATCACAACAAAGAATAAATACCAAATATTTCAGTACCTGCTGCATTCTTCTGCTACGATTCAATTAGGGTTTTCTGATGCACCAAACTTCAGCACGATGCCTTCACTCTTCCCTCTATTTGGAAGTAAAGTCCCTTAACACAAATTTTAAAATAAAATAAAAATCAGAAATAGTATCGAATTTTAAATCAAATAACGCTGCTGCTCCCCCAAAAAAAGAGCACAAATCGAATTTTTATGTTTTTAAGATCTAAATTTGATAATCTGTTTAGAAGTGCACCTTGTTTATCACATAGTTACATTCATGTCATTTTTCTACCAATAAATAACTAACGATTTATCAATAAAAAAATAATAATGTCCTTGCGGCCTATTGGAAAATTGTATCAAATGAAAACAATAACAATTTTCTACCAAAGATAAAAGCAATAAGAATTAGATATTGAAAACTTTTTTTCATATAGGCTTTTCTTTTTCAAAAAATGAAGTTAGCAGTAGGTTTACATTTTCATTTTACTTTATTTAAACAATAACCAAACAAAAGAAGAAAATATTGGTTAGTATCTACTTTTTATTTTTATTTTTTTGTTACGTAACAAAGATTTGTTATTTTTCTTGTTTGTTATTAATTGAGGGTCTGTTTAGGAGAGAGTTTATAAATTTAAGTTAAAATTAACTTAATTATATTATTTTGTTTAAAAGTGAGTTTAAAATATATGATTTATGATTGAAAACTTGTATCTTGAAACTAAACTCATAGGATAAATTAGTATAAATTTTTTTAACTTAATGTAAAATTAAATCTATTATTTATCATATTAGTTTACCACATGAAATCCAAAAAGTATTTTATTTATTTTTTAAAAAATTTTGCTTTTCAAAATTAAAATGTTTTATTTGTCTATAAACTCTTTTGAAAGTATTATATTTTAGATTTTCTAAAATGCAAGTATTTTTTATATGAAAATAAAATTAATAACATGTACATCATAGTAAAATTAATTTATTTGAAAAATTTTAGAAATGTACTATTAGCCTGACAAATATTTTAAACCAAACCTGACAATTCCATTTAGAGAAAATTTTGAAAAATGTAATCAATATATAATAAATATTCTAAGTATTTAGGCTCCTTTCAATTTTTTATGAAACATACAAATTGCTTTCTTTTTTTATGCAACAAAAATTGAATCCCCTTTCTCCTACATCACTCGTTTCCTTCTCTTGTATTCAATCAAAACTCTCACATGGCACGTCGTTGATGCTCAATTCAATTTTACTCTTTTTAATTAAATATATAGAATATTTATTAGAGATTTTTTAACCTGTGTAAGCTGTATAAATGCACCATTTAATCAATTTGTATTAATTATTTTATTATAATTTTTAAAAAATTATTTTTACTTTTTTTTTATTAAATGATATATTTATTGAGGTTTATCTTGTTTAAGGTTACAAAGATTAAAATATCTGTATTTATTATTATTGTTATTATTATAGGATTATTTTTGTCCCCTTAAATTTCGCAACAACATGCGGCATGGACGAAGTTTCAGCAGCCCCTATCGTAGATTTCCATTTTGACGCGTCTGCATATGTTAGGCCTAAATCCACACCATGTAAACATTTTTTATAATTTTTATTTTAAAATTTTTCAAACGTCTGATAAATGCTATTAATATAATTAGTAATTTTTAAAAAATCAACTATAGTATGAGCTAAACATTCAATAAATCAATAAAATGATGAACATTGCATTGCACGTATTAGATAAGACAATGGTAATGTTATTGAAATTGGGCATCAATGTGTAATTACGTATGCAGCAGGGTCACTACCCTTTGCTGACCGCCACTGTACGTTCTACGAAATGGTCGCATTTCAGCCTAACACGTCCCTTTTACTTTTTTAAGTTTCGTAATCAGAGGGGATTTATATTTTTTATTATAGGTGAAATAATCTTAATTATTAATTTTATACTGATAAATAATAAAGTATTAATAATTTAATTTAAAAATATTAATATTTTTTATTTTTAAAATATTAAAATATCATAACGTTAAAGAGAATCCAGAATACTATCTTAAATTTATAAATATTAAAACAAACGTATAAAATACTCTCTCAAGCTTATAGATATTATAATAAACACTTTTAATTAATTTTTTATCAAAGATTTATTTTGCGTATAATAATTATTATTTTATTTTTTATTGAAATTCATGTGTATTTATTTATTATTTTTATTAAACTATTTTATTAAAAAATATAGTTTAAATATAAAAAATATATTTTAAAGAATAAATTTTTTTATCGATTCTATCAACTAAATTATGGAAGTTTAAAAATAAATTATTTTCAATTTATTTTTATAAATTTTGTTATTAAATTTATAATTTAAATTATCTTTTAAAAAATATTAACATGAACCATTATTTAAACACTCTTAATTGATAGTCGTATTTTGCAGGGCAAACATGTTCAAAGTTTTGAAAAGGGTACTTTGATATTTTCTATCTTTAGTCATGAGTTATGATCAGTTTGTTTTATTGTTCATTTTGATATTATTTATAAATTATTTGTCAACAAATAAATATAATGATCGTAACTATGCCGCACCACCTATTATACATCTTTGTCACATTCCTTTAAAACACTCTTAATTAATATTCTGTAAATTTTATATGTTCAGTTGCTTCCTTATGATATCTGCTACGTACTCAAACATATTCAGAGTGATAGTTTTAGATACGCAACAAAAAGAAATAAAACAGCCAACGATTTCAACTATCTGCTATTGTACAGTATAAAACGAATGAAGCATGACGTAATACTATCATTTACTCCTTTCAATTTCAGAATAAAACGTAAAGCGTCACTTTATTTATTTGATTATTAATCAGCAACAAAGCACTTGCATGATGCTATGTATCATTTATTCAATTCAAGTTTGTTATTGAGTGGAGTAGAATAGAGCACGTAAAAGCTCATTAATTATTATAACTTGGGAACTGATCCACGAAGCTAATCTAGTCACCGCAATCCACAAAATCGTAGTTGACTGTAAGATGGCCTTGAGCATTCCCATTACCGTCCGTGTCCAGCTTTTGGAACACACCAATATCCAAGTCCAAGCCCCCGTTGCTGCATTGATCAACAATTCTCACAGTTTGCTGAGCGTTTGTTCTTGTGTTTGTCACCTGCAACACCCCATCAAAAATGAGACCTTATGCTTCCTTTGCTCACATTAATTAGAATAAAAGAAAAAATAAAGGTAAGATCTGGGTATGAATACTTGTATCAAGATATTTAAGTCCTGCATAAGTGGATTAATAACATATAAAAGGGGATATAACTCGAGAGTTCATTTTTAACTTATTTCAACAAACGTTTAATTAAGCTGTATATTCAAATACATTTGATATTTATTAGAAACTATTCAAACCAAGCTTACTGTGAAAAAAGAATTTTTGAAGATGGAAAATTGTATATTGCTAAATCATTTGAATAAAGTTGAATTAGAAAGGAATAGGTACCCTCAAGCATTTGCCACAAGCCTGTTGGCCCTGAGGCCCAGAAGGTCCACAGAAGGCTGTCCAACCATATTTACTGCGCCATGACAAGGGTTTGTCAGCATCCCAAGTTGCACAAAATGCACTCACTGCGAGTAAGTCCCAATTATGCTGCTCAGGTTGGTATAAGTGATAAGTAGCTCTAACATTGGTAGCACTCTGAGCAGAGGCCAAAGCCAGAATACCAAGCACACACACCACAAACACAGAAAGCTTTGCCATGTTCTTAGTTGTTTGCAATTGCATTTGCACTTGACTTAAGCACCATAGCAACTTCCATATTTATAGGACTTATCCAGGATTGCAAAATTATGAAAATACCCCTTGCCTTTGTTTGAAAAGTATCACAATTCCTTTCCTTTACTCCCTTACGAGAAGACCCAAACGTGGTAGGGTGTTTGGTTTTGGTTTAATTTTTCCTTAAAAATCATTAACATGTGGTTCAATTTAATTCAGTTTAAATATAATTTGAAAATTAAATTAAATGGAAAATATCAATTTTATTTAAATCAGTTTTTGTTTATTATTAATTATTTATTTTTTAAATTTTATTTATTATTATTATATGACTTAAATTATTTTTATTAATAAATACATGATAATTTAAACGATATCATTATAAATAAATTTTTTTAATAGAAATGATAATTTAAATTAAATATTTATATAATCATGATAAAATTGAGTAAAAAAATAAACTTTCTATGAAAATACAATAAAAATAATATAAATTTATTATAAATACAATTAAGTTTGGTTTAATTTTAAGAATCAAACAATAATATAAAATAATATTTTTATTTAATTATTTTTAATTTAATTAGTCTTCAATTTTTTATATTAATTTATCAATTTAAAAATGCTTGTATTCAATTTTTAACACCCCCAATACGTGGTTTGCTTGATAGGCAGGACACGAGGCTTGTGATGAACATTCTATTTGTAGAATGATAATTCAAGGTCCTGTAAAACGGAATGTTAAGTTTGTTGGTTGAACATTCTAAGTGACAGATAAGGGGAAGAAAAGGAAAGAAGGTTCTGTTTAATTAGATATAAGTTTGTGAAAATGTTACACTTTTAAAAAGAACGATTCATGTAATGTTAAATCAGTAATATTTCTACTTGCTGGTATTTTATCATGAATCAAATTTTGAAAAAAAATGAGAAATCAGACCTATAAATATTTTAAATCATCAATAATTGGCGACGGTCACCGAAAGAAATTGAACTCCTTGGAAATTTCTCAAGTCACGAGTCAAAGGATGTGATATATAAGATTGGTCTTTATTTTCCTTCTTAGTCTCCTGCTGTACACAAGCCCATTATGAATGAGAACATGATGTGGGTTTCTCCATTTCCTAATTTTGCTTAACCATTATCATTTATATTTTGTAATATATTGCATGGACATTTTTAACGAAATTCGTATTTTATGTAATTTTTAATATAGTATAACTCATTAAATAAAATGTCAGTATAAATTTTAACAATGGTAAATTTTCAAATCTAACCCCTAATTGAATGTTATTGTTAAACATAAAAAGTTGATAAAAAAAAAAAGGAAGAATAATTAAATTAATCTGTAGGTATTTAAATTATTTAAAGTGTAGGAACTTTATTAAAAAAAATTAATTATTTAAAGACTTGATAAATATTTAATCCAGAGACCAAATTCTTAAACTATTTAAAATTATTTAATTAGGTTCTTATACTCAACAAAACTCTAATAGAATTCCAACAGAAGGATCTAATCAAAAATAATTTTAAGATTTAGGAACTTAATTATAAAATTTTTAAAAGTATGAGTACTTGTTTAATTTTTTAAAAGAAAACTTAATAATTTACGGATTAATTTAATTAGAAAATTCACGTGTAGCTTACTGGATATAATACCTGGTTGTATTATCAATGATTCATTAAATATTAATTTTTAGAATATATTAAACATTAAAGTTGAGGGACCAACTCTTAAATGAAATTCCTACTCAAACATCTGAAGAATTTGGCTAAAAAAATTATATATTCAGCATTATTGACCATAACTATATACAAACTATTGCAGTACGTATCTCGCATTCTCTTCCCACCATAGTCTTCTTTCAACTTATTTGAATTTTGTAATGTTACCACTTACCAGCTAATTCCTACGAGTGAAAATGTGATTTTTTTATTATTTTTTTTGTTAAAGTAAAATGAAGGTATTTCCTTATGACAACTCAGGTAATAAAATTACGAGACATGTTATAAAAATGAGTAAACTTTTGAAAGTGTTGCAAACAGTTTATAAAAATAATTTATATCCTTTTTTTTTTTTCTTGTCTTTCACTGTGTGCTCCTTCTGGTTGTCACTGGTCATGGATCCCTCTCGTAACAATAATAGTATAGAACTCTCTTCGGTGACACACTCCAAAACAAGTCCATCTTCCACTGTGTCAACCCATGCATCCAGAAAGATGGTGGGAACTGAGAAGTGAAAACAGCACGCGCGAATTAATTAGGTGTTACACTTTGATGTCTTAGTCATTGAGAGCTTAAGCCAACAAGTAGCAACCTCAAGACCTGATTCATAATGTATGTGACTTATCACTACAAGAAAACAATAGTTTATCTATGGTTAATTATGACATTAACAGAGGTTTTAACCATCGTAAATGACGTTACCTGCGGTTGATAAAATCGTATTTAATTTAAGTGTGACAAATAGATTATCAGCAGTTTTAAACAACCGCAGGTAATTTTGGTATTTTCTACCGTTAATGAAACTTATGTTAATTAACAACGATTTTTTATAGTTGTTAATTGTCTGTGGTTTATTAACTATCGTTAATTATTCGCAGTTTATTAATCATCGTTAATTACCTGCGATTTACTTACCGTCATTAAATATCTACAATTTCTAAACCAACATTAAATTTTGCGTGGATTACCCGCAGTTTGAAACCTCCATTAATTTGTCAAAATTGCCAGCGGTTTTGAAACTCCCATTAAATGCATGTGAATATATAAAATTTGGATATTTAAAATATAGCTTATTTTTAATTCACCTGTATATCATATAATATTACATAAAAATCAAATAATTTCCTTTAATTGATAAACATAACAAATTTTAAAAATCACAAACACTTATATAAAATCAAAAGTCATACATAAAAACCTCATAATACACACTTATAATAATATTCTAATTAAAAAAAACATGTCATGTCTTTCATTTCATAAGTCAATATTATGACATGCTCCCCAGACCTAACCATCTCAGCTTCTTCAAGTGATAATACATACTCTTCATCTAGAATTCTCTCCTTGAGGTTATAAACTAAAACATGCTCAAATAAAATCACAAGGTTCTCACTTCAGATTCTTTCATCAAGCCCTTGGCATTATAAGGGGTTGAGCAAGCTACTATCTAGATTACAGGGATTGACTAAAAATATGACTCCAGTCTCTGTGAGTGCTCTGCTCTAAGTTGCTGCCCAACTCAACAAGGCCCATGAATGACAATTGGTATCTTAAACTGGCCTCCAGAGGTATAATGGAGCATACCACAATTGTTAGAGATTTGGTTAAATGCCAGAAATAGAAACCCCATGTTCATGCCTTCAACAATTGGCCTTAGACCAGTCATGGCAGCTCCAATACCCATGCCTATGAATGAGTTCTCAGCAATAGGGGTGTCCAAAACTCTAAGGTCACAAACTTTTCAGCCAATCCTTTAGTCACCTTGTAAGATCCTCCATAATGACCTACATCTTCACCCATGACACACACAATGATCCCTCTTCATTTTTTCTTCCAAGCCTTCACGTAGGGCTTCAAAAAGGAGAAGTTCATGCCTAAAAATAAAATATATATCTGGTGAATTTCATCGTAATTGGTCATAACTCTACAATAAGTACAGTCAATACGAGATTAAAATAAAATAAAAATCACAGCATTCTCTAGCAACTTCATGTGTTAACCATTTTGAATTAAGTGTTACAAGAATGTCCCAAAGGTTTTCAATTCTCAACCCAAAACAATTACTTCATGGGGCTTCTAGCATCCTTCTAAGTGCCCCAAAATCTAGTACTAAATATCATTACCTAACTCATGGTGCTTGATCATAATCTGTGATGTATCAAAAAGTTGACAACTTTATGGAGCTTGTACATACTCAGAGACTACAGGAGAACAAAACATCCTAGAAGTTTGGACAGTCAAAAGGTTGCCCTTTAGACTTTTAAGTCTCCTACTACTGATACTCCCTAGCACAGGGGAGGAGTCAAGAGGTCCAAAAGCGTCATCTTGATAGCACCAGCAATAACCTTCAGTACATAGCTCTAAGGCCATTGTGGTACAAAAGGAGCTAAGTTAACGGCCCCTATGCCTTAAATCCCTCATTTTTGAAAGGCCATAGAACAGTAAAAATTCCATCTAGTAAAGTAATTTACTTTGATAGTAACAAGGGTTCTCTGATCATTGGCCTATAAAAAGCAAAATTTTAACTCCTGGCCTAAGGATTTTTATGCAAAATATGTTGCTAATTCTACTTGCCATCCAACCATAGCCCGAGTCTTGATAGACAATACCATGTTAGATTACTTTTACACGTTATTTTAGGAAACTGAAAGATAGACATTAATTTATAGCTTTTCACTTAAACAAAGAAGTTGATCTATCAGCAAAAGAGTAAACACATCATCTCACATTAAAAGAAATTAAAAAATGATTAAATTTTGTATAAGATGGAAAAACAACAGCAAGTGATAGCAAAAATAGACATACCTAGGTTTTGATGTAAAAGCCATAGAACTGCCTTCCTTTGTCTACAAAAAAGTAACAAACACAGTTTACAAACTTGATAACACCCTATCCCATTGATCCTAAACTAAACTGCAAAAAAAAGGAATTGAATGAGATTGATGAGATAATATACTGCAACTACATTAGTAACTAACAATTCATGCTTTCGAGCTCCTATCTTTAGGACTTGGCTTACTTTTGCATCAGATCTGACAATAAAAATCCCAGCCTTTCTCTGTGAATCAATCAAATATTGCACACAAATTGAAAGAAACAACATTTAAAGTCAATAATACCAACCTTCAAAAGGAAACTACCTAATCAAAAGAAAAGGAACAAAAAATTTGAAATCAAAACCCTAAACATAAAACCCCAAACATAAAACAAAATTCATACCTTCGTATGACACCGAGAGTAAAAACAACAACACCAAATTGATTCAAAGAGAGAGGATTTGTGAGCGCAGGAAAGAGTAGGCAACAGTCGAAGTTGAGAAAGACGACTTATGTTTCACGTTTTTGGGGAGTTTCTAAGGCTTCTTAGAGAGGATTTTGGCAACATTGGATGTTCAAATAGATTTCAAAATATGATATTGGAATTGAGAAAGATGACCTTCTTTTCACATTTTTGGGAGAAAGGGGTTTCTAAGCACGAAGATTAATTACATATCTGGGGTTGATAAAAAAAAATTAATATTTACCTGAAGTTTTCCTAACTATCGTTAATTAACTACGTTTATAATAGCAAATTGTGAAGAAAATTTAAATTTAACTACAGTTATTTAAACTGCAGGTAAAATTCAAACTCAACCATGATTATATAAACCGCGAGAAAAAAATTGTCAGAAAAATTAATAATTCTAGTAGTGTATATAGCATATAAGTTACATATATTTATTTGTATTGCACTCTCATTTTATGTAAAGAAAAAAAAAATATGAGTGAATTTACTTTGTTTGATTTATAAGAGTAAGAGTAGATATGAAGTTTTAGAGTTACATGTAAAAAAAAAAGAGAGTGAAAAAAAATCATAGTCACATACTACACCTTGTTATAAGAGTTTAAAAATCAAACAGAGAAAGGTAATTAAAGTGAGATAGTAACTACTTCATGAAAGAAAAGAAAAAAAATTCTTTCATTCATTAGAGTAGGATAGCAACTCTTTTGCGAGAGAAGAGGAGAAAAAAATTATGCTTTACAAACTCAAAATAGTCTTAAGATAAATTTGGATTTATAAATCATTTATTATTAAGTCGAGTTAAAAATTTGACAATAATTTTATGATGTGTAATTCTTCGTAACGGTTATATTCTTAAAATGAAAACATGATGTGATTAATAATATTTATTTAATTTTTTAAGTATTTTTATCTGAAGTTTTTATTTTAATCCAAACTACCCCTGATTTTTACTTCTTCCAATAACATAATCTTTCTTATATCTACTTTTATTGTTATTACTTTTCTCGTGGATTTTTGCAAAGTGGGTATTCAATTCAAGAAGTACAGTTATAGATAAGAGCACGTGCATTAAAACAGAGTAGGTTTGAGCAATTCGAGAAACAAACTATACAAATTAACAAAGTACGTACTCTTATTCATTCTATAAAAATAAATAACAACCCTTTATCGCAAAAGAAAACACAATATAATAACTCCTGAAAAGAGTGTGAATTTTATATCTAACATTATGTATACCCATTGAATAAAGTCAGAGCCGTGAGCAACTGAAACAAGTAGGTAGAATTCATGTGGGACCCGCGTCTTTGCTAAATTAAATAGTTATTGACTCACTGTGATGCCTGCCATATACATGATAGACGGCATATTCCAATACCATTAGGCATGAAAAAGAAAAGAAAAGATATAAATAAAAATAGAAAAAGTTTGAGGATAAGAAATTATATAAAAAAGATTAATAGTTTTGATAATTTGTAAATTATTTATTTTTAATTTATACTTTATTATAAATTAATTTAACAAAATAACATAGAAGATTTAGATATTATAGTAAATTTTTTACGTTAAAATGAAAAAACAAAATCCAAGTCTGCCTCGATTTGTCATCTAAAGCACCGTTAAATAACGTCGTTTTCTGGCTGACGTTGAAATTTCGCATTCAAAGTGTTCCCATCCTCTGATCCATCCCTAATTACCTTGGATTAAACCAACTACTCTGAGGATTAGAGCCAAATCTCAAGTCTATCGTTATATGTTTTTGGGTCGACCAGAGCATATTTTATCTGCTAATCTCTTTGATAAATACTTGATATAATGCTTAAGATGCATATGATCGTGTTGACTTGGGGTTTCTCAAGGGAACACAATGAATCTGCAGTTTGCAGAGGTACAGCGGAAATAGATAAATAAATAAAAGAGAGTGAGTGAAATTAAGGTGGATTTTGATGTGATTATATAAGGATAACAAAATCCAGACCTAATTATTCTGAGCATGACTTTCGAAACGGAAAGACTCTAACTCTACTCAGAAAGCAGCAAGTTTTATTGATTATTACAGTAGTAGTAGACGATGATGTCAAGGAGAATCGAGGATCGAGAGTAAAGGATTGGTGAGGTGAAGCTCATTCCCACAATCCACAAATTGATAACTAACGATGAGATGGCCCTGTTGGTAGCCTCTGCCATCTGTGTCGATTCGGTTGAACACTCCCACGTCCAAATCCAACCCTCCATTGCTGCATTGATCCACAATTCTCACAGTTTCCTGCGCCCCCGTGCCTGAGTTTGTCACCTGCATCATCATCGTTAATACATCATACGATCAAAATTATCTTCAAATATAAATGATTCCCTTACCCGCAGGCACTTTCCACAAGCATCTCGACCCTGAGGCCCAACAGGTCCACAGAAAGCAGTCCACCCATATTTGCTGCGCCAGGAGTAAGGTTTGTCAGCGTCCCAAGTTGAGCAAAAAGCACTCACGGCGTTCAAGTCCCATCCGTGTAACTCTGGTTGATAGTAATGATACGTCGCGCGTACATTAGATGCACTTTCACCACCGCCACCTCCGCCGCCACCCCAGCAGTTGCTTTGGCAGCCCTTTGAGACCGAACAGTAATCTTCGGTGTCGCCGCACCACCCGTATTGGCTGCAGCAGAGATTGTTGGGACATATCTGCCCTCCAGCTTGTTGACCGCATTGTTCGGCCATCGCCGTGACCATGAAGCACAGCAGCAGCGCCAAGCCTACTCTCACTTTCCCCATGTTTTCACATTTCCCCCCATGTTTGCTTCGCCATTTATATAAACCAAAAAACCTTCTGCTGCACGGTAAATGTATTATTCAATTATGTTAAATAAATAATTTTAAATATATCATAGATTTTTAAAATGTGTAAATATTATACTTATTGATGATAAATAATGTGTTATATTAAATAAAATTAAAAAATACTAAAATTATTTAAAATATAAATTAATGTTATTATTAATGAATAAATAATACAAATTAATTTAAAAATATTTAAATAATAATAATTTAAAATTATTTTTCAACAATTACTATTTACAAATTATTTCTAAAATTTGATTAATTATTACTAAGTGAACTATCCATTTCATTTCCCTCTTTCTCAGCTTATTATTTATTTAAACTAAACTTTTTAGTCAGTTCTCGAAATTTTGAAGTCATGTATTTAGTCTCTAAATTATAACAAATTTATAATATTTAATTTTGTAAAAGATATTTATTTAATTTTATTATTACTTTATGTTAAAAATCAAAATAAGTAGTGTTTTATAATACTGAAGATTAGGAAGGAAGTTTTAATTTTATAAATTTAAATATACTGTTTATATAATTTTAAAAACTAATTTAAACGATATCTCAATTTATTTAAGTTATGACACGATGCATACGCTGTACCTAGTCCGGCGGCTATACGGATATAAGACGAGTACCAGAAGCAACCATGTTTTATATATAACATTAACTTTTAATAATTTAAATAATAAAATTGTAAGTCAAAATCAAATGGCAGTAAAGTAATCTGAAAAAATTAAACTCTGTTTTTAAAATATAACTCAACTTTATGATTTATAATGGATAAATTTATTAAAAATTTATAATTTATTAACTAATTAAATTAACAAAATGTTACAATTAAATTCTTATAATTATTTGATAAAATTAGTTGTATAGATGGTTAAAATAAATAAAATTATTTTCTATAAATGTAAGTTATTTTAAAATTTTAAAATAAAAATATATTAAAAAAGTTAGTTTTCATCAAGCTAAATGTTACGTGAAATAAAATATAAAAAAATTCTAATTTATTTAGATTTTTTTTTCAAAATAAAATGTATTTTTTATAATGTAATATTTTATATTTATTTTGCTTCAGCGTTTATATCATTCTAAATAATTTTGAATGATTTTTCAAATAAAATGTTGAAAGATGAAAAGTCTACATTATTCGAGGTTATATTTCGAGTCTTAGAAATTGCATTAATGCGTAAAGATATATAAAATATTAATAAATAATTATTAGTGATCGACCTGCCTATGATGTATGCTACCGAATTTAGTTTCCATAATTTGGACCGTAGATCGTCAATAATCGAAATGTCATATTAAGATGTGAGAGTGCAAAACTATGTGCTTTTTGTTTTATTTCCTATATATATTTACAACGATAATTAACTACTTAATTTAGTGACAAAACTATTTGTTTTTTGTTTTTTTACGAGAATGACTTTTGTATATAGTTTGATTTTCTTTGGAAGTTAAATTTAAGAGTAAAAGGGAAGAAAGATAAGGTTTTATTTGATAAAAAAAAATATTGTTTGAAAGTTTTTAAATATGAAAGAGATTTTTTTTATAAATCTTTTAAAATTTTCATAATTTATATTTTTAAATTTTTAAGTTTTTAATTATTTTTTATTATCATTAACCCTCGTTGTTTTAAAAATTTATCTTCTCTTATTCTTCATATCCTTACATTTTATCTGCTTCCAGAATTTTAAACAAAGTTTTAGTTGGTCTAGTTATACGTAAAAATTAAGCTTGTAAGTATAAGTTTTGAATTATTTATTTAATTAGAATGAATCACAATTTTTAAGGGTGTCTTACTTGTTTGTTTTTTTTGTTGTTGTTAATAAATAGTACAAATAAGATACCGTTAATTTATTTATTAACATAATAATAACTCGAACATATATGATACAAGTTGTACATTTTATACGATTTACGATTTATAATATGTGTATATATATGCATGCTTTATATTTTTACACCAAACAAATAGGCGCAATAGGAATAGAGGGAAGAGTGAGTAACGAGAATAAAAAAAATAAATGTTAAGTGATATCTATAAATAAACACATCATCAAAATCCCTGCAATAGGGTATGCGTGAAAGAAAAATGTGTTTTGATAAAATATAAATTAGCTGCTTTTATAGAAACAAGTGGGCAAGACAACGGAACATTACAAATTATCATCAAATTGAAAAAGGCACGGACTCTGAACGTGAGAGCATCATGGAACCCAACCCAATAAGATTTAACAAAGAAAAAAGAAAAGAGAAAAGAAAGATGGTATATATATACATGCAGCCCTACGACCATCCCATTGAACCTTTTATGACTAAAAAACGAAAACCTTTTAATTTTTAAAAATAAAAAATGAAAATAGTATTCAACAACTCTCCTACTTAGCCAAGCTAGGCTCCATCCCTGTACTGTGACTGTAGATTGCGGGTAGGAATTATCCTTATCTTAATTAACAGTTTGATTAATATTTAATTACTAAAAATTAACATGGTGTACACATATCTTTTGGCAATAAAAAATGACCCTGTAGCCTTCTCCTATTCGTTTGAATGTGAAAAAGGTTGCTGGAAAATGAAAAATACAGTATAAATATATTTTGGCAATAAAAGTTTTCTTTGATAATCACAATAAAATGAGACAGGGAGGGAAGGCCACAGGAAAAAAAGTGGGAACACGTGAAATAAATCAGTGGAGCCCTCAATGAAAGGCTGCTGCACAAAGCACACGTTGCCCCACCTTATCCCTATGTTCATCAAATTTTATGTATTTGCTTCCTCGACCAACCAGTTCCAACTCCCTCATAATGTGAGAGACAAGAGCACGTTGCATAATTAATACGTATAGGGTATGCGTGATTATGCACGTACAACCATAAACGTAGACGTTGTCATTAGACAATGTAACATTTTTCACTTAGAAGCAAAAACGGGCTCATATAAACATACTCCATTATTTCTTGTCCCTACCTATTTTCCAACTATTTTCTCATATATATATATAATACACAATACATATACAAGAAAATTATTTTAAAAAAATGGACGACACATTACATAACTTTGCTCCTATACTAGATTACACCTTGCTCCAGAAATTTGCTTCCCATGAACGGCCAAGAGCAACCAAGGAGATTGTGGTTTGAGCGTGGAATTAATTTACAAATATGACTTCAGCTTATTCTTGCACTTCTCCACCGCTCTTGGTGCTGTAAATTCAGGAGTAAAACAGTTAATACACATTAATTTATTAATTAATTAAACTAAGTTGATTTAGATCACTAACCCAGCCCAATTGCCTCAGACCCTTTCATTATGCGCAGGCGCCTGCATGATTCCACGAACATCCTGTAGAAGTATATATGCTAATTAGTAATAATTAATTAAAGAAAATTTGTTTTAGTGAAAAGAAAAGGAGATTAATTAGCGACTTCATCAGACTCACTCCCAGGGAACGTCACCAACGAGCATCCAGTCTCCATCTTTGTCTTGATAGGTTGGTACGTAATCAGAGCCATTGAGAAGATCTATCAATTTGGTCTCATTCATAAAGTCCTTAGTGCCTTGGGAACCACATTTATCAACGGTGAAGGAACTGAACATTTTAACGAGTGCATCGGAAAGCTCTTGGTAGCTCTTGTACAACTTCAAGTCCACTTTGCGTAGATAAGGAGCACCATCCATGCACACCTTCACGAAAGCTCCTGCCACACTGCCGTTGTTGTTACTCGTGGTTCCTGTTGTTGCAGTGCCAACTTTTTCGCCTCCATTGTTATTGTTGTTGCTCCTTTGAACGTTAACAATGTTCTTTCTAAATGACCTCACAGGTGGCCAACCCACCACTTGTGCCCTGCAAATTCACAATTAACGCCTCATCAATAATAAATTACAATCTTCGTTCAACATAAACATGCAAATATGTAGCATTGTTTTTGTAATTACCTAACTAGTCTGGCTAAACAAATTATCGATTTTATTAATATAGTATTTAAGATTCATTTTAAATGTATTCAAGTAAATAACTTTCTGCCAAAAAAATGTATTATATTTATAATATACTAATTTTTTAAAATAAAAAGTTATTATTTTTACACTGAATTTAATATTTTTCATACATTATCAGCTGGTGTGAAATGGAAAACAGAAAACAAGCAGCAAAAGCAAATTTCCAGTCAAGGCACAGAAATAATTGTTAAGAGTCGCATAGTTTGAATTCCCTCTGATATTTAATTTAATTAAAAAAGTATTAGTTTTGTATTATCAAGTGTACAATATAATTTAAAACTATATAAAAATAACAACATAATTGAATAATAATACTTAATATTAGCTTAAACTTCAAAATAAAAAAGCAAGTAAAAAAGAGAGAGAGGATGTGATATAATTATTAGTGTTGGCCACATGATTTTGGAATTAATATAATGATGTAGAACAGATGAAAGGGAGAGGGAGGGATGTGTTAGGTGATAGGACAGGGGCGTGGACTATCCTTTTCCTTTTTCCCCTTTGCATGTTCGAGTCCAAGAAATTGTTGGGTGGTTGAGAAAAAGTAAGATTCCATGTGTCTTGTCCTTTTTCACTGTCTACCCGACAATGAAGCATGCCATCGCAAAAGAAATCCACCCAAACCTGCCTCATCCTCCATCACTCGTTACTTTTTCTTGCTCTAAATCTGGATGACATTTTCCTTTTCTCCATGATATCCCAACGTACATAATTGCATTATGCTTCTTCTTTTTACTTTTTAATTTTTGGTACCTCAAGTCAAGAGAAAATAAAACTAGAAACAAGACCATCCTTATGAATAATACATCAAAGCGATTGCAAATTGCAATTGATAACTCGTGCTTGTTTAACGTCGTTGTATACAAAAAAATCGTTGAGATTCATAAACTCCGCTGTAAATGGAAAATTCATTTCTCTGTTTAAATCGAGTACATGTTTTAATATAAACTGTTGAGATTAATTTCAACCCGAGTTATAGTCGAGTTAAATAATTTACAATTAAGTGTATTAAAATTTCAAATTTGGAATGCCAAATTCGAGTATCAAGTTTGAGAAGATGTTCAACCGATAAATTCAAAAGGGGATGAGGAAGCGCGCATTAAACACAAAACAGAGGCAGTAATTAATGATATAAAGAAGGAAGAAAAAACTAACTTTGCTGGTGGGTCGTTAGCGCGAGGAGGAGTGGTTTTGTCTTTAGGCGCTTGAGAAGAGGCAGAAGGCAACGCATTAGAAAGATTAAGCTTCAAATCGACGCTACTACCACTCGTCTCCGAAAAACCCCTCTTTCCATTACAGGCAGCACTAGAAGGTGTGGTTTTGAGCGCCGACTCGCCTTCATTTCCACTCAATGGCAGACCGAGTCGCAACTCGGTTTCTTCGAAATTGATCATGCCGTACTTGTCTCGTTCTGCAACCTTAGGAATCAGTTTATGTCAGGACTCGTGTGTGTGTATATATATATATATATATATATATATATATATATATATATATATATATATATCTGTAACTATTTTGTTGTGCTTGGTTTTCTGATTTGAGTTCAGAATCAGAAGCCTGTTTCCTCTGTTTTGAGATGTGTGTGGGAAGGAGAAAGAAGTGTGCGTGCGTTTGGAATGTGGTTTTGGTGACATTTGTTAGAGCGCGTGGTGTGCGCCAGAACATCGGGCGATAAATATTCTGCCACGTGTAAGAGATTCTGATGGCTGGATCATCCGCAGCGTGTCGGGAGATGATGTCACAGCTGATGTCATAAAAATGAGAATAGTTGTGATTTGTGCAATCCTATCCTAGTTTCAGTTTCACTTGTTTGCTAGCCTCCACGCACCAATTATTAATTCCATTTACTAAGGGATAAGTTAGTGTATAAGAAATACGTACAACTATAATTTTTACAACATTTAAATATATAGTTATGAATATTATTTTTTTATTTTTAATTTGTATTAAAATTCTAATTTTTACTGTTAAATTTTATTATGCTATAGAAGTAATACTAATTTAGTTAAAAATTATTATTAATAATATTATACTACTGCACTTAATTGGATTTTCTTCTTCTCATTATTGGTTGTACTCATAACCATAAAATGAGTTTAGATTAAAAAAATTAATTATTACTATTATATTTGTAAAATTTGTTAGTATGGCATAATTGAGTCATGCATATAAACATCTAATACCAAAATGTACGGATATTAAAAGTATTATTTTAAATTTTATAAAATATAAAGATATTAATAAATATCATAAGATTTTATTAAAGAATAAAGATAAATATTTAATATTAGTAAAATTTTATTAAAAATAAAATTATTTATTATATTTTTATAGTTTAAATATAATAACTGTGTATTTTTTTAATAAAAAATTTTTATTTGTGCATGCTTAGAGTTTAACAAAACTCATTATAATACTTGAAACACGTTCAATCATTATCATTCCCTCCCATTACAGGAAAGCTTAACAGATAACTCAGTTAGTGCTTTGCTTTATATGCGTTTAAATTTGTATTAAATATAAATGAAATTGAACTGCATGAGAAACATCGTCGGCGAAAGAAACTTTGCTGGTGGGAGATGACAATGGCCTTTTAAGCATGCCCGTGTTGCAATCGAGGATTATGCAGAAAAGGAGGAGGGAAAGATAAGGTTTAACTATTCTTATGTTTGGCATTAAATCTTTTTCAATCTTTATGTACTTATCCTTTGTCCACTTTGCGTGGCGATCATCTAAAGCGGTCCCGAGGGAGGGTCCAACCACTGTGTTTCACTGTTGTCAACCATGCCTTCCAGCATAACATATAAATTTAATGTTAATCAAACTTATCAACTTATCATCAAGATTAACTACACTTCATAAATCACTCACAGTGCAAGTTCACGTTTACTGAATAGTTCTGCGGGTATGGTTGGCGATTTCCAACAAACGAACACTTGTGATAGTACGTACAGGCTCACATGTCTTGGTTTATTTTATTAATTATTCGCATAATTAATTTAGTTTATGCTAAGATGGTAATTAGGAAAAATGGTTTTAAAATAATGCTAATGACTTAGATGTTTGAATTATGACACAGCAAACAAAAGTTATCTAAGATTGTAACTCGTTATTACTCCGATCAATTATATCATTTTATAGGTATATATGTTTGATAAGAGTTTGTCTTTTAAAAAGCCATGCCTATTTTTACAATAATATGTTGAAAAAGTGGATAAATCAGTGACTATTGTATTGTAATAAAGTGAACCGGATTCAGATATGCATTAAGTAGTATTGCTTTACTGTAATTAAAATTTTAAGACCACTTATTTTAGAAAGGAATAACGATGACTTCATATCCAAATACGATGATTTGGCACCCTTGCCATACACATTTCATGTAAGAAGAGAATAAAATAAAATAAAATTAATGTATTCTTTATATAAAAGAATTCACATTTCATGCTGATTAATTGTTCGTTGTGTTTGAGTTTCTACTTGCACTGATAGTATTAATATGAAATGAGCAAAAGTCTGAAAACAATTTTAACAATGCTTAAATGAAAATTCAGATCAGAAGCACTATTTCGTTTTTAAATTTTGGACAAGTAAAAATATATTTTTTAAGAGAAATATTGACCTCAAGTTTTAGACAACTAAAAGTAATAACTTTATTAAAAAAATATTTATTATATTGAGTGTGTGAAAATATAATAAATGTTATTCTTTTATTAAAAATTACTTCTTATAGATATGTATGGGTTGAGTTTAAATAAAACTATTTTTTAATTATGTTCATAACTTATTATATCACAATTTCAATATTAAACTTAAATTTAGCTTTTCATTAAAAAAAATTCATTGAATAAAACTAATAATATCCAGACACTTGCAAATTATTTTAGTTTTTTACAGTTGGATGATTAAATGGAAAAAAAATAAGTGTAATATTTTAAGTATTCATTAACATTTTATAATTAAAATCAAATTTTTATCTAAAAATTTAATATTATTTTTATTGAACAATTTAAAAACAAATAATGTTGTTGACCTTATCTCCTTTCTGTTTTAGCATTTATTGTTATTATAATTATAATGAATGAAGAGAAAATGGGTAACTCCAGTTATGTAAAAGACAATAGAATGTCATCTTAAATAGTTTAGAGTACCTGGGTCACTGAATTCGGGTTCTATCAAATCAGACAATATACAATAAATTGTTAAATTAATTATCTAAATGGTTAAACATCAACAAATAATATAAGTTTATACTTTTATATGCTTAAACTTAAAGCATTTATTTAACATTGTTAAACAATTTATGAACACAAAAACTCAATTAAAACCTTTAAAACATACAAATTTATTTGAAAAGTTACAAGTAATTGGTGACAAAATAATTGTTTTTTAGGGTGAGGGCCATGGTATAAATGCAGGAGTACAAGATTGCTGAAGCATGCATGCATGGCAGAGTGCAGTTGCAGAATGAGAAGTTAATGTTTGTGTTGAAAAGTGAAAGTTAAAATCAGAAGGAGAGAGAGGCCCAAATCTAATGGGCTAAGCCTATTGTGTGGCTATGGCCCCTTACACTTAATTCCTTGTCTCTCTTGTCCCAATCACAGGGCCCCATGCTCTTTTGTGACACCACACGTGTGACATTTATGAGCTGATTTGATGCCTTCAAATATTAGAAAGGATAGAATTTAGTTATACAGCCTTATGTATGTTTTCATGTTACTTTTTAATTCAAGTTATAGTTTATTTTAATAATTTGTATCAATATTAAATCTAATTTTTTATTGGAATGTAATTTTAATTTTAATTAAAAAATATTAAAACTATTTAAGTTATGGCATCTCAATCTTGTCTTCTTATAAATATTAATTTGAACTCTCATATTTGATTTTAAATCGTTAAAATAAATATTTTTTATTAAAAATTTTATTACATAAAAATATAAAAGTGTAAGAATATTGTTTAAATAAAAATTATTATTTTTAAATGCTTCAAAACAAACTTAACGGTTGAGTTTTTTTTTTTTTAATTTTGATTATATTATTAGAGTATGTCTATATATTGTGACTTTTATTTAAGTGATTTTTATTTATAATTTTAAAAAATAATTGACATTTTTAAATAAATATTATTAAATCAGAGGGACGATAAATTATAGATGTATAAAAATGATAGTAGATAGTTTTAGTTGTTAAAATAAATAAATACACATCTATTTGTTATCACATTTTTTATAAAATTATTATTTTAGGATGTATAGTTGAAATTTTCAACTAATAGATCAATGTAAGCTATATTAAGCCCCGAAAACTTAGGATAACAATGCTTTTAAAAATACATGTATATGATATTCGTGTGAGAATCGCTTGATTATTTCGTTTAATATAAATATTTAAGTAATCTTAATTTCATACGAAGTTAAAGTTAAGTATATACTAAAAAAAATACAGATTTTTAATTATTAATAACAAAAACTCATCATATTAAATATGATCGGTTTAAAACAATTCAAATTTTAAAACAATAAATAAGTGTTTGACATAAATTGAAGTCGATGTTGATATATAGCTATTACGTCGCTTTATGTCTTTTGTACTATCTAACAGCTGTTTTGATCATTTTAATTATGATTACTTTTTTTTAATAAAGATTTTTTTTTTTTACATAGTTCTAAAATTCAAATTTTATAATTGATGTTAATAAAATAGTTATAACAATTTTTTTTTTATTTTGATACGTGAGCTTTAAATTCACTTCAATTTGACCATAATGACATTTTTATTTTATGTTTGTTAGTTCCAAAAGAACTATCAACTAATGGGTATCTTTAGTGTTAATTTAGAAAATCCTTTTATAAAAAAAAAACAAGTGTTAAAATGGGTAAGATATAAATATTGTCTACGAACTGCAATTTCACAATTGCACGAATTTTCATTCCTTGAAAACTATCTATTCCTTTTATAAATACAATGGTAACAATTGGAAGAAAGTCAACAGACAAATCATAATTAATATAAAAATAAAAAGAGCTCTTATTGAAAAAAATGTTTATATAAAGTCACTTGATTTTTATTTTCACATAAAATTACGTCATTATTTTAATAACCACTTGAATTTATTTATAAGTTTAGTTGGAATATGATTAGTTAGATGATTTAATTGTTTTGTCACGGTTAGCTTAATTGTCAATGGAGTTTGACTTGAACAACAATTATCATGATGTCTAATTCTTGTAATATTATGTTAATACTTGATCAACATTAAATGATAATATGTAATTATTTACAATCCTTTTAACTATCAACATCTTCAGTCGTTTTAATTAATTTTTTGACAAAAGTTTAATTAAAAAGTTAATGGATTAAATATGAAAATAGGTTCAATTTTCTTTTAATTACTTTGGAACACAAATGTAATAGAATTCACTTCATTTTGTTAATCCTTCTAAGACAAGTGCATGTGAAAAAGAAAAGATGTCAAGATTTAAAGATGAAGTAAATGGTGAATTTTACCTTAAATATTAACAAAATTTTATTTGTATTTCTTCTCTCCCATAAAATATCATCTCCTTTAAAAAAACAAAACTATCATCACTTTTGTGTTGAAATAAACTTTTACTATATCATTTAATGATGTGGTTTCATTATTTGTTATCCTATGGACATTTTTGGTTTACACTATCTTATGGACTTCAAAAAAGGTATATAAGGAGGGAGATGGAAGTTTTTTGGGCCCAAAATTAGGAAGTGATTGAAATTAACCATTTTGACTGAACTATATTGGGCCTAGTAATCAGACCATTTTTCAATAAAAAAATAAATATGTTCGGCCGAAGAGAAAGAAATAAATGCCTGGACAAAAAATATAATATTAAAATTATAAATGTGAGGACATTTTTCAACAACATATTTTTATTTTTTATTTCTTAATAAGTACTTTAAGAGTGTTTGTTAATGATTTTTTTTATAATCTTAATACTAATAGTTTATTTATTTTATAGTTAGACATAGAGGATTAAATATTGTAGTTTTCAATGCAAGATACACGTTTAAAATTTATTTAACAGTTTAAAATCAATTTCATTAAAATAAATTTTACTCAATTTTAAAGCAATACAAAATTAATAATAAAACATGTTCTCTCCCTATTTGTACTAGGTTAAAATCTATGTTTTTGAAAACTATAAATAGTGTTATTTATGGTAGTTCATTGTTAAGTTGAGAGATGAAACTCTAGCTTTGTGATAGGGAGTGGAAGTGTCAAGAGAATAGTTGAGAGATCATTTATTAGAATTATGAAAGTACGAATATGAATATCTAAAATTTCTTATCAGCCTACTATTTAATGCAATTATCATTCAGATAGTAGATTTTATGTAAGATTCAATTTTTTATTTATTTATGGAGAACTAAAGATCTAATTCTATTTTTACTTAAATAAATTTCAATTCGTTTAACAGATTTCCTTGAGCAAATTGTCCTTAACCAAAAAAAGTCTAAAAAAAATTTGTAGCTCCTAAAAAGGTAAAACATTCTAAAATAGTAAACTCTACAATAAAAAGGGGTTGTGCTAGTTCTGTAAAAAAGTTAATTTCTTTTTGGGCTTAAAAAGCTTACTTAAACTAATCTATTATTCTTTTATATAAATGTGTTTTATGGTTAAAACTTGAATATGAAGCTCTACTATTTGCAAGAAAAGTAATGCAATTTAGGAGTGAAGATAGTTGTTATGCATCAAACGGTGTTATGTCTCATTGGTCCTCTCATGCCAGAATTTGCTCATAAATTCACTTTATTCTCTCGAAAATCACTTTCATTGTAATATATGACTTATGTGATTTTGATATGATATCTTTCGATTAAGAGAGAGAATGTGCATTTGGATGATGTTGACTTTTTCCATCTCAAATTCTACTAATCAGATATGGGACTGGTTTATTCAATGTTCTGTTTTTCCGATTTAGATCAGTCTTTGAATATGAAAAAAAATTGTATGTAAGTTTTGTACATCTCATCAATAATTAAGAATAAAAATAAGCTTTAAATTGTTAAAAAAATATTGTTATTATTAACGTAATAATTTTATAATATATTTAATTTGTTAATTTACATATAAATTTAAGCTCATTAAATTACTTGAAGTCAAGTTTTTTTTTTTAATTCTTTTGAAAAAAACAATTACAAGATAAATTTTTAATTAGACTTGGAACCTTAAAAAATGATTTATATGAAGTCAATAGATTAAACTCAAGTAGTATAAAGGCAAACACAAATTGACTTATTTTTACCATTACACATAATTTGATAATAAAAAAAAAAAATAAAATTTCACATTCTTAAATAGGAGTTTCTCTTGTTGAGTAAATAATGAAAAAATGGAAAAAGGAAATGAGGACAAAAGCAATATCGTGAAGAGTTGAATTGGTGGGCGTTGGAGAGGAGTCAAGGGGCAGTCTTTCTTAAAGGGAGGCATAAGGGATGTGGTGAGGCCATTCCGTATATCATAGCGAAAGGGGAGGGAGAGAGGGAGAGAGAGAGAGAGAGAGAGAGGTTTCTTAATTTTCTTAATCTCGCAGAATCAGATATCGCAATGAGGTGGGCGCAAAGAAGTACATGAGAGAGAGAGAGAGACCGAACCTGAGAGAGAGTGAGGAATCGGGAATAACCGCAGCGTCTTATTCTTCGTCTTCTCTCTCTCTCTCGCTCTCTCTCTGAATACGTAAGCGTAAGAATTGGCTAAAACCCTAGTTTCAATGCTCTAACGAATAGATCGGGAAGAACCCTAGACCTTAATCAATGGCCGCCGAATTAGGGCAACAGACGGTGGAACTATCCACCCTCGTCACGCGAGCTGCTCAAGATTCCTACACCGCCCTCAAAGAACTCGTCGACAAATGCAAGTCCACCGAATTATCCGACACCGATAAGAAGATTAGCATCCTCAAGTTCCTCAGCAAGACTCAGCAGCGCATGATCCGTCTCAATGTTCTCTCCAAGTGGTGTCAACAGGCAATTCCCCTTTCCCTCTTCTTCTTCTTCTTCTTCTTCAGTTCCAAATATTTGTTATTCGACCCAATACGTTGTTAATTGTCATAACCAGTGCTTTTTCCTTTTCTTTTTTGACTATGTTAGGTTCCTTTGATTCAGCACTGTCAGCAACTCGGTTCCACCGTTTCCAATCATGACATGTGTTTCACTCAAGCTGCGGATTCGTTGTTTTTCATGCACGAGGGCCTTCAGCAGGCTCGTGCGCCCGTTTATGATGTGCCCTCCGCCATTGATATTCTTCTTACGGGAAGTTACCAGCGTTTACCCAAATGTGTAGAGGATGTGGGAACTCAGTATGCCTTGACGGAGGATCAGCAGAAGCCTGCTTTAAAGAAGCTCGACACGCTTGTTCGCTCTAAATTGCTTGAAGTTTCTTTACCTAAAGAATTTTCTGATATAAAAGTTTCTGATGGTACTGCAATGCTTGCCGTGGATGGAGAGTTTAAGGTTTTGGTAACCCTTGGGTACCGAGGACACCTCTCTTTGTGGAGGATTTTGCATTTGGAGCTGCTTGTTGGTGAGAAAAATAAACCTGTGAAGTTGGAAGAACTGCGGCGTCATGTGCTTGGAGACGATTTAGAGAGGCGAATGGCAGCAGCGGAAAATCCGTTTTCGGTTTTGTACTCGGTTCTTCATGAGTTATGTGTTGCACTTGTCATGGACACCGTCATAAGGCAGGTGCAGGCTTTAAGACAGGGAAGATGGAAAGATGCAATTCGCTTTGAGCTCATATCTGAGGGTGGTGCTGGCCATGGAGCAAGTTCTAGTTCGGTGCAGAACCCTGATGGAGAATCTGATTCATCTGGTCTACGAACTCCAGGGTTGAAAATTGTATACTGGTTGGATTTTGATAAAAATGGTGGTATGTCTGAATCGGGTACATGCCCATTCATAAAAATTGAACCTGGATCAGATCTTCAGATCAAGTGTCTCCACAGCAACTTTGTCATAGATCCGTCAACGGGCAAGGAGGCAGAGTTTTCTTTGGACCAGAGTTGTATTGATGCTGAGAGGTTGCTGTTGAGAGCTATCTGTTGCAACAGATATACCCGTCTGCTGGAAATTAAAAGAGAACTGGTAAAAAATACTCAGGTCTGTCGCACTGCAGATGATGTTGTGCTCCAGTCTCGCATGGGTGAAGATGATATTGAATATAAACAGGTTAGTTTACATTTATTGGAGAATTTTTCTCTTCTTGGAAGTTTGGAATGTCAAATTGGTGTGTTGCAGTGGGCTTCTCTGGTATATGATTCTTTGGGTTTTGTGTGCTTGTTTGATGTCAGTCCTTTTGGGTTGACTTTGTTATCATCCTTCCAGTTTCAGAGAACCAGAGTCTCATCCTGGATATTCAATTGCCTGTTGTTATCATTCTTATTCTGGTATAATGGCATCTCAATTGCCTTGCTTCATAACTGTTGGTGCAGGGAATGTATGTTGTTAGATAGTTATTAGAACATTGGGAAAACCCCACACCAGCGTCCCATACTTGTAGTGTGCAACTCAAGTTTTGTACCATGCCTTGCAATTGGATCCTAATAGATAGATTATGAATATATGCTGAATAAACTTTTGTTACTGAACTGTGAATTTTGGCTAAAATGCTTTACATAGGTTAAGATAGATGGTTTTCAAGTTCTGGCCAAATTTAAATTCATATTCTTACTGCATTCATTCTTTATTTTGAATTTTGAACCCTCCTTCTCCTCTGTTCTCATCATATCTGTGTAAGCCCCAGAGTACAAGGTGACTAGTATTGGAAATTTGAGTTTTGTTTGTTTCCTTGGCTTTTATTGTTGTTTACTTGTATGTTTTGCTCAAGATATATGTCTCTTTATTGTTAATTATGAATATGTCATGAATTTTGAGGTTATTTATTTATTTATGAGAATATATATATATATATATATATATATATATGTATGTATGTATGTATGTATGTATAATTGTTTGATCTGTATATAAAAATTCCAAATAATAGCCATCTCACTATGGCTACCCCATTATTGTGTATTTGGGATAAGCTGCTATGTGGGATTGATAACAATGCTTTTCATCATGCAAACTGCTGTGCAATTTTATTGTTTCATTCTTGATACCTTATTATGGATTTTCTATGTGTAATATTATACCCTACCTTCTTCCGTTCAATCTTGCATGGGGTTTTAAAATTAACATCTGCTTCTGTCTGTAGAAGGATGATAAGAGCTGCAGCAAGGACTCTGAGGGGCTTGAGGTATTGCGTGTTTGTGCCTATGGCTCTTCTTTTTTTACTCTTGGAATTAATATCAGGTACCTAACTTTACTTGCTTTTCCCAATCTCTTTGATTTTAATTTGGGGTGTTTTTCAAATCATTCCCCTCTTTTGTTATTTCAGGAATGGCCGTTTCCTTCTACAATCTTCACAAAACGTAGTTGTTTCTTCTGCTTTATTAGAATGTGAAGAAGCTATGAATCAGGGGTCTATCACTGCAGCTGAGGTCTTCATAAGGTTGAGAAGCAAAAGTATATTGCACTTATTTGCATCTATTGGAAGTGTATTAGGCCTTGAGGTATCTTTACCTGTTTTCTCTGCTTTACTGTTCAAAGAAAATTTTTAAAATCAATCTGGACTGTCTTTGACCTTATTTTTTGGATTACTGGCTTCCCTAAGTGTCTAAGACCTATGAATTATGGGACACTCTTGCAGGTATATGAGCATGGATTTAATACAGTTAAAATACCCAAGAACATTTCAAATGGTTCAGCTATGCTAATGATGGGATTTCCAGACTGTGGAAGCTCTTACTTCCTGCTGATGCAACTTGATAAGGATTATAAACCCTTGTTTAAGCTGTTAGAGACTCAGCCGGACCCATCTGGAAAAGATAATTTTTTTGGTGAACTTAATGAGGTGGTGCGGATCAAGAAAATTGATATAGGACAGATGCAGGTTCATGAAGATGAAATGAATTTAAGCCTGGTTGACTGGGGAAAATTACGGTCTGTCTTGCCTGATGCTGCTTGTCCAAATCAAACATCTGGACATGAGTTTTTTTCTGATATTTGCCTTGAGAATTCCATACAGATTGCAAAAGGTCATCCATCAGGTTTTTCATCACTTGTTGATGAGGTGTTTGGACTTGAGAAGGGGTCTTCAGCGCCTTCAATCTCTGTTCAAAATCATTCTTCGTCTGTGAATACATCCCTTCCTTCTCATTATGGCTCTACCCCTATGAATCTCCATAGTTTAAAGGCTGGAACCCCTTCTCCCAAATGGGATGGAGGAATGCAGATGTCACAGGTTAATAATGTTACAAAGCCTTCTGTTGTTACTAGTCACTATGGTGGTTCCTTGTTCTCATCAGGCAGTGTGAAGGGCCCAGTCCAATCCAGTTCTGTTGGCTCACTTCCAACTGGACAAGGAAGGAGCAGTGGTGGGAAAAAGCTATCTGCTTCAAAGTCTGAACAGGATTTAGCCTCTATTAAATCACCACATTCAGTTGACATTAGTTCCTCTGCTGCAATGGATGAAGAACAGCTAAGAGTGTTGAGTGATACTTCTAATGATGCTTTATCTGGAAGTCGGTCATCTCGACTATTATCTCCTCCCCGGCCAACTGGCTCTCGAATGTCTGTACCTAATTCCAGACCTAATGGACCTCAAGCTGCTGGATCTAGTTCATGTGCTACAACTCCCGTATGTAAGATACTTCCTTTGTATCTACATCTTTAACATGTGAAATTTATTCATGCTGCTGTTGTTATTATTAATTTTATTTTACATCTTTCATTGAACCATGCATGACTGTCAAAATGTATCTTGCAGCCCAGGCACTGGAATCCTCAGTTAATTATAGCACCGCCGAAGACATTACCTCAAAAAATGATAAAAAATCTCGAAAACGAACGGCTTCAGATATGTTAAATTTGATTCCGTCTCTTCAAGGTGTTGGAAACAACTCAGGACTCTGCAAGAGAAGAAAGATTTCAGATTCCTCTGATTCTCAATTGTCTTTGCCTCAAGGCGTTATATCTGCTGAAATGATACCAAAAACAGAAGGATACAGTTATGGAAGTTTAATTGCGGAAGCAAATAAAGGGAATGTTCCATCTTGTATTTATATAGCGGCTCTTCTTCATGTGGTTAGGCATTGTTCACTTTGCATCAAGCATGCTAGACTAACCAGCCAGATGGATGCATTAGACATCTCATATGTTGAAGAAGTTGGTTTAAGGAGTGCATCCTCCAACATTTGGTTCCGTCTTCCATTTGCCAGAGGTGATTCATGGCAACATATATGCTTACGACTTGGCAGACCTGGTTGCATGTATTGGGATGTTAAAATTAATGATCAGCACTTCAGGGATTTATGGGAGCTTCAGAAAGGAAGCAGTAATACCCCGTGGGGTTCAGGTGTTCGAATTGCTAATACATCAGACATAGATTCACACATACATTATGATCCAGATGGTGTTGTTTTGAGCTACCAATCTGTTGAGGTAGATAGTATAAAGAAATTAGTGGCTGATATCCAAAGGCTTGCTAATGCAAGAACGTTTGCACTTGGCATGAGAAAATTGCTTGGGGTAAGAGCAGATGAGAAGTTGGAAGAGCTCATTACCAGTTCTGACACCAAGACATCTGGTGCCAAGGTTGCTTCAGATACTGCAGACAAACTGTCTGAACAGATGAGAAGGGCATTTAGAATTGAGGCAGTTGGACTGATGAGCTTGTGGTTTAGCTTTGGTTCAAGTGTCCTTGCTCGTTTTGTTGTTGAGTGGGAATCTGGTAAAGAGGGTTGCACCATGCATGTATCTCCTGATCAACTTTGGCCTCATACAAAGGTTTGTTGATTTCTCTTCAACTGATTGCTATTTATTTCATTTTTTCCCTCATTGTGTTTGCTTTAGTGTTAGTAATGGATGGGATATGTTTTCGTTGCACATCAAAATATTGATAATTATGTAAAATTAGAATAATACATGCATGCCACATTATCCACTGATGACTGTTGACTTCAAACTGTTTTCATGGTTTTGTCACTATGTTTGATCCCCTCCACCCTGTCATGAGAATTGGTACACGATCCTTCAAAGCTGTTGTTCTCCTTTGACTGTAACTTGTTGCCTTGTCCATTTCGTATTTATTCTGATAATTACCTTATACTACCTTTTGGGTAAAATTACTGTGTAACACCTTTCTTTTGTTTGTTCAGCTGATTATGCATTATAAACTTGAACATGGGTTGCATTAGTTTAATTGTTTTGGTTATTTCTGCTCATGTGTCTGTGCACTGAGAGGTAATGCTTGATGCCACCTTTGACATTTTAGTGGTGACAAGAAACCAATTATTTCATGTGAAGTTGTCTTCTTCATAAATTTTATGTATCAAATATTATTTTGTCCTGGATGTCTTCCCACCCTGTTCCCAAGATAAATTCTTGAGCCTATATATTTACATTAAATGTTTGTATTATGTACAGTTTCTGGAAGATTTCATAAATGGAGCTGAAGTTTCATCACTTTTGGATTGCATTCGGCTAACTGCTGGGCCGTTGCATGCTCTGGCAGCTGCAACCAGGCCAGCACGAGCTGGTCCTGTTCCTGGGGTTGCTGCAGCTCTATCTTCTATTCCTAAACAGACTGGTTATATATCATCACAAGGACTTCTGCTTGGTAATTCAACTACTAATGTTGGTCAGCCTACATCTGGTCCTGGGGCAAATCCTGTCATGTCTTCTGCTAGTGGTCTCTCTAACCAAACCCTTTCAATGCTAGCTGCTGGGCGTGGTGGCCCAGGCATTGTTCCAAGTTCACTTTTGCCCATTGATGTCTCTGTTGTGCTCCGTGGTCCATATTGGATACGAATCATGTACAGGAAGCAGTTTGCAGTAGACATGCGTTGCTTTGCAGGAGATCAGGTGTGGTTGCAGCCTGCAACTCCGCCTAAAGAGGGTCGTCCTTCTGGAGGGTCATTGCCATGCCCCCAGTTTAGACCATTTATCATGGAACATGTTGCCCAGGAATTGAATGGATTGGATCCTAGTTTCACTGGACAACAGGCAGGTGGGCTGGCAAATTCAAATAATCCAACCCCTAATTCAGGATCCCAGTTGATGGCCGCAAATGGAAATAGAATAAACTTGCCAACTTCTGCTGCAATGTCTAGGACTGGAAACCAAGTAACTAGTTTAAACCGAGTAGGAAATGCTTTAGCAGGCTCTTCAAACTTAGCTTTGATGCAATCGGCAGTCTCTCTACGGAGACCACCTGGAACTGTTGTCCCAGCACATGTCAGAGGTGAGCTGAACACTGCCATCATTGGCCTTGGTGATGATGGAGGATATGGAGGTGGTTGGGTTCCTCTTGTTGCTCTTAAGAAGGTTTTGAGAGGTATTCTCAAGTATCTAGGAGTGCTATGGCTATTTGCCCAGTTACCTGATCTTTTGAAAGAGATCCTAGGATCTATTTTGAAGGACAATGAAGGTGCACTTTTGAACTTGGACCCTGAGCAGCCTGCCTTGCGGTTTTTTGTTGGGTAAGTATCTTATTTTTCCCTCTCCTGCTGTGCTACCCTACTTTTTTTCTGCTAGAAACTTTTTATTTTAACATGGACATCTCTCTGCAATAAATTTTTGTATTCCTTCTTGATACAGAGACTTTTGCTACATCTTTACCCTTCCTACTTTAAGAAAGGGAAAAATATGACCAATTGCAATTGTGATATTGCTGAAGTGGTATTTTGATTGTCTCTCAATTTCATCTTCTTTCAAAATGTTTCTTGCATCATTCTTTGTTCATATTTTCATTGCCTTATTCCCTTGGGTGATGTAGCCTGATCAGTTGTTGCAACAATAATTTTTCCATTGTTGAATGCTGGATAAGGATGTAAAATATAAATGCCTTGTTATCAAATTTTCTTATTTTTACTTAATTTGAGCATGATACATAAAATTGATTTTTTACTATGTTAATGAATATTATGCACTTCGATATTTTATGTGACTGTTGTTGGCAAACAAAAGGTTGACTACATTTTGATCTCTTTAGTGTGATGAAAGTTTAATTTAATCCCTACTTTGAGTTGTAACATCTGCAATTGGAATTTAGCGTAAACAAAGTTGAATTTATTGAAATTAGGACTATAATTGTTATTTAGCTTTAAAAAGAAACCGGACAGCTAGCATCTTCTCAGGCTTTTTTCCCTACAATATTTGCTATTATCATTCCAGTTATTAGGTGCACTAAACAGAAATGCTGTATTTTCATCCTTTTGCAGCGGATATGTATTTGCTGTTAGTGTCCACAGAGTTCAGCTTCTTCTTCAGGTGTTGAGTGTTAAACGCTTTCACCAACAGCAGCAGCAACAGCAGCAAAATTCAAATCCTGCACCAGAAGAATTAAGTCAATCTGAAATAAGTGAAATATGTGACTACTTCAGCCGTCGGGTGGCGTCAGAGCCCTATGATGCTTCTCGTGTTGCATCATTCATAACTATGCTCACTTTGCCTGTATCAGTACTGAGAGAATTCTTGAAATTAATTGCTTGGAAAAAGGGATTATCCCAGGCACAAGTTGGAGATGTTGTTTCAGCTCAAAAGCCACGGATTGAATTGTGTCTTGAAAATCATGCTGGGTTGAATGTGGATGAGAACTCAGAGAGTTCATCTGCATTCAGAAGCAACATTCATTATGATCGCCTGCATAATTCTGTTGATTTTGCACTTACTGTTGTTCTTGATTCTGCTCACATTCCTCACGTCAATGCGGCTGGTGGTGCTGCATGGTTGCCGTACTGTGTTTCGGTAAGATTGAGATATTCATTTGGTGAGAGTCCTAATGTATCATTTCTTGGCATGAGTGGTAGCCATGGTGGTAGGGCCTGTTGGTTGCGTGTTGATGATTGGGAGAAGTGCAGACAGAGAGTGGCACGAACAGTGGAGGTTAATGGGAGCTCAGCAGCAGATGCAAGTCAAGGTAGGTTGAAATTAGTTGCAGATAGTGTGCAAAGAAATCTCCATATGTGCATTCAAGGGCTAAGAGATGGTAGTGGGGTCACAGCTAGCTCGGGAGCAACGTGATGGTTCTTTTACTAGCAGCAGTTATATATATGCCGGGTTAGTGCTGTCAATATTGCATTTTGGTTTACCATTATAAGAAACGGTGCCGTACTAAGTTTTAAGCATGCCCTCATCCTAGCACATCTCTTCTGCTCGTAGTTTATGCAGTTCTATTGGAGATGACCTTTGCTGTAATGGAGAAAGTGCACAGGTGGTTAACAGATGATTTTGATAAAATTTGTAAGGAGATTGACATTTGATAGTCAAGTTAGATTTTCGAGCACCAATTTTAGATTACTAACCAATATATATAACGAGTGTTTGACGTTTCTCAGATCATTAACTAGGTTGTACAATATCTTTGCTGATAGTGTAGTATCATGATATGACTTGGCTGGTGGCTATTATTGTACAGATTACATCAAATGAATAGCTTAGTTTTTGTGAACATCATTTGAATAGATTAGTGAAGGAAATTTGTTACGCCCGATCTCTATGGATAATGAACGCATGCAAGCAATTGAAAGACATTGCTGCATAATTTAATTTTGAATTCATCTTGTCCGTGGCGATGCTCTTGCTTTTTCAAGCCTCGTTTCGTTAATGTTATTTGTAATTTCTCATTAGTTTGAAAATTATGATGTATTTTTTATTTTTTTGCGTGTGATTTTTAATGTATTTTAATGTAGTCGACTGAAAGTATTTTAATGTAATATGGAATAAAATAGTATTATTTGTTGGTTCCTTAGCAGTGTCTAAGGAGCATTAGGAAGATGAATGAAGGTTAATATAAAATACTTTAATTTCGAGTAAGATGAAATTAGAAAAGTTTTGGAAGGTTTATAAACATTCTTTTTTTCATCTAAAAATTCTTTAACAAGGATAATAATTATGGAAGTGTTTTTTGTATTTCCTCTAAAATTAACTTCTAGATAAAGTTTTAATCTCGAGAATTTATATGTTATTTGGACTAAACTTATATTGACAGATTAAAGATAGTTTTTACCGTTTAAGATAATTTACTAAACTTCAGAAACTCTAGTGAAGAAAATTTTAATATGAATCCCGGATTTATTCATTTTAATGATTAGATGAAACTTGAGTGATGATTTTCAGCTGAATCATATATTATTTATTTACAGAATATGTATTGAATATTGAAATTTATCTAAATGAGATTTATGCCTCTGCCAGTATGTAAAAAAAAAATAGAAAAAGAAAAAAGAAATTGAAGGGAATCTAACGCTAATTTGATTAGCGAATGAGTCAGAAAAAAATATAATTCCAAGTCATACCTTGGCAGTCCATGGTTTTATAATTCTTGTGATCTAATAAAACACCGTCAAGATCAATCATTAAATAATTTTTTTAAACAGATTTTAAAAAAAAAAGAATAAATCTTTCTTATGGCCTTGTCTACTGCCTACATTAACTAAGAGAGATTCTCACCCATCTCTAAATAAAAAAATTATGAATATTAATGGAAAGATAAGAAGGCTTCTTTTTTTCACTTTCTTCGTTATCGTTAGGTTCAATAATCTTTCAATAGGGGACAATTCACTTTTCAAAGAGGCAAACGAAACTCACCTGTACTGTACAATTATTTACTTGAAAAGTCCTCTTTTGGGCGAGAAAATACTAACTTTTCTAATTTTCAAACAGCTTTACAAGGCAGCTAACTAGAAGTTCTCTTCAGATACGTCATACACCCATACCTTCATTTTAATCGATCTCACTTTCCACCAATTCAAAATCAATAACAAAGTAAAAAAAAAAACCATCCACCTCAAATATTGGTCTTTCACCGCCTACCCCCCTACCGATATTACAAGAACATGTTGAGGCTAATCCTGTTTAACTTATTTGGAATGACATTCCGTGTTTGACAAAGCTTGAAAACATTGAACAACATCACAAACTTGATCCCTTTATCCAATAGAGAATCAATTATAAAGTAAATAATAAAGTAGAAATAGGCTTGCCATGTCACAAGAAAGGAAGAAAAGACCAAAGTTGTGAATGAGAATTGTGCTAAACAAACCTTTGTATTGTTTGTCAACTGTTTGATTCAGGCGTGAGGAGTGATGGTGGTTCTGATATGGAAGTACCAAAAATGGTTGATGCTAGAGATATTGGCATGACGCAAAGTGCCTTGGACTGAAGAAATTGCATAGCAGCTCCAACATCTTCTTCCATAAGTTTAGCAACTTCCTGTTCTGTGCCATCATTGAACCACTTGTCCCAAGCTTGCTTATTGGCTCCACCTACTATGTCCTCACCCTACCAAATGCAATCTCTGGTTATTATAGAGTCACAACATAAATAGAATATAAATTAAAAACCAGCGCTTCTTCTGAAGTTGATTTTTGCCAATTTTTACTACCTCCAATGCAGAAGGGGAAACATCAGCCACAAGCTGAGCAACTGCACCAGCTCCTCCCAATCTACTCATGCTAAGGACCTGTTTTAATATTAAATGTTCATGAAATTAAACGCCACGTAAAGGACTCGGAAATCAAATATGGGTTCATATCACTTTAGATACTCAATACAACGTAGAAATAAACAATGGAAAGTTAAAAAAGATGTGACAGATATCTCTTGTTCCGTTGAGAATTTGGAGGAATTTATTTGAACTTATAAAATAATGGCTGTTTTTATAAAAAAAATTTTAACTAAAGAAACTTATTAGAATAAATTTTCTTAACTTATTTTAATAAGATGTACAACAAAACTTTTAAAGAAGTTCTTAATTAGAAAATCTCTATTAAATAAACGTTTAAATACACTATATTACAAATATAGAAGATACAGACCACAAATAACATGACAGAATAGGAATTAAGAATTTTCATTGAAAGATTTTAAATAAAAAATATATTTTTTCGCATCCCGTCAGCTATATATTATAATAATATATACCTTTGAAAAGAAGAAAGATATAGGGGAGAGAGAGAATGATCAATATGAAGAGCAAAGTTTGTAAGGTGCTTATAAAAATTAAGATGGCCAAAAAGTAGTTGTTTTAAATATGCAAACGGGAAATGCAGTGAGTATTCCATAATAGCAGATTATTTGGACCATCCATACCTTAACCTGGAGCCTTAAGAACTTGACATAATCCACAATTTCGTCAAGCATGGCTGCTCTGTCCGTCTACAACCAGTTTCATAATATATAATTAAAAAAAATAGAAAATTACATTATGACATTAGAAAAAAAAACATTATTTTTTGAAGTACTACTTTTTACTTTCTCATGTATGTTACTTTGATTTACTTTAAAGTGGCCAGATGCTTTTGGGTATTTAAGCTAGAATAAAAATTTAAATAAATAAACATCTAATTACGTACTAAGTTCTTAGTAAGTTTTACCTTAATGGTAGTTTATATAAGGGAGTATCTATTAGCAGTCAACAACAACAGATGTTTTTCATTTCAAGCTTGAAGCAATTATAATTTCTAAGGTTCATAGAAAATGTATATATAGTTGCTAAAAATTAGGACAACTGCGTCCAGAGCCGAAGACATTTACATTATTTATTATAGTTAATGCATTAAATTACAAAGCCAAATGCAACCTTATTGGCGCTGGGAACTAGTTCCTGCAAGGCCTTCATTCTTTCAGCGATTCTTTCACGACGTAACTACATTCAACACAAAAGAATGAATGAGAACCAAGTAAGCACATAGCCATGGACATGAAAATTGAAAGAACAGAAAATTTTTCCCCTTTCTTACAAGAGGAATCATGCATGCAACGAATCGTGAATTACTTATGATGAAAAAAGTGTGGCTTACTCGCTCAGCAATACTGTGTGGATCTGTGGCTTGACCTCTTCTTGCTCGCACTCGAGGGCGTATGCCACTTGCTTGTGGAACAGCAGCAACAGATACTGGAGCTGGTGGCTGCCCATGATGGGGCTGCAACTGCATCATAATTAACATCACAGCCCATGTTAAATGTTTTTTTCTTCTTCTTTTTAAGGGTTGATTACGTAACATTACAGGTTGATTAATGATATCAGTACCAAAAAAAATGTTTACTAATAAATCAAAATTGTTGATTATTAAAATAATTTTTAGTGGATAAATTATTCAACAAAATTAAATTTTTAGTAAAGATATTTTAAATTTATACTAAATTAATTAATTTTTGTATATTAATAGTATGTATTAATAGGATATACTATTAAGATGATCTGTTAGTGTAATATATCATATGATTAATATAAATTTAAAATATCTATATCAATAATTTAATTTTTGTCTGAAAAATTGTGTACTGATAAAAGGTTAATTTAATGTTCAATTGTTAGTAAATGATAAATTCTTGGTAGCGTGTATAATCCAATTTATTAAAATGATCAAACAGCATTAGTTTATTTGACTTTGAGTTGAGATATTCAGCTGTGATGCAATTCCAATGTTTACACCGAATGCCATCATGCACAATGTTGTCTTTGAATAGCCACTTCAAATGTGAGTATATATTTAAAGCTTGAACTTTGAACAGTGGCTAAATTTGTAGTTGTAGCCAAACCTCATATTACAAAACAACAACAATAACATTTTTTACAAAACTGATAATTGCAAGTATATATTTAAAGTTTGAACTAATAATTAAGATTAACAGAACTGATATGTTATTCAGAGTTATAATATTTTATAACAATCTTTTTCATCACATCAGTTACTTTATATATATATATATATATATATATATATATATATATATAATTTTATTTTTCTAAGTTACAACAAAAAATTGTATTAATTATTTTTACAAATAACATTTCTCTCTTGTATATACATATCCATATATAATTTCATACTTAATTAAAAGTATCTTGACAAATTTAAAGCATTAATGAAAACACAAAACAAACACTACATATAATAGAGGCTTAATAGTTGGCTGTCTACTCTAATTATTATTATTATCGTCGACGAAATTCTCCTCCGCTTTTTGGTACGACGGTAACATCGTGCACTACCACACTTAACGGACAAAACTCGTCGTTTAGTTATGAAGACTCAAAAGCTTAAGTATATTTATTTGTTTATATACTTTAAAAAATTGTAGTTGAATTATAAAGTGATTTACACAATAAAAATTTAAAATGCGAAGAAACAGAAAATAAATGAAAAAAAAATTATAATATAAAAAGGAAAAAAAACCTGACGGTGATGCGGCGGAAGTAATGGAGCAGGAGACGGCACCGTAGATTGGGCACCGCCGTGACCATGCAGCTGTCCCAACGTTGTATACAGACCCCTCATATGCATCGAATCCCTTTCCTGTTACACACGAAACTACGTCACATATATAACATCCAAAACTACAAATAAAAATAAATAATTCTAAAATTTTCTCACTGTTATTCCTTACAAAGAAAATCTATGCATGCATTAATATTGCACTTGCATTAATTTCTCATCCTCTCGATGTTAAATATGCTTCTTGCTAACGGGTGTTTTTGGTTAAAGAATTTTTTTTAAAAAAAATTACTAAAAAAACAAAATAAAACACTTTTAAAAATCATAAAAAATTAATTTAATACTTTTTCTAAAATAATCTTAGCCGACACTGATTAGCATCTTCACACAATATTTATTCGAATTAGAAGGACTAGGAGAGAGATCGAGAAACATTGCATATATATTCATATTGTTGAACTGGTTCCCAGCCAAAAGTAATAATATCCATTTCAAACAAGCATTGTCAGCAGGAATATGCATGGAAAACAAGAAAACAATCATCATTTTGTTGAAGTACAGTAAGAAGAGGATGATACTTACAGTGATTCCTGAAGAAGAAGAGGATGAGGTAGTGGTGTTGTTAGCATTATTGAGAGGAAGGTGATCGTAGTCATTACCACCAACACTACTTTGTTGGTGTCTGAGAAAGCCATGCTCCAAATTAAACTCCAAAGGCATGCCCACACCTATTGCCATGCTTCCTACGCTCCTCCCAAAGTCGTACCCACCACTCTCGCTATACACTGAAGGTAATACCAACATCTGCTCCAAAAAATCATCACCTAAACCCTCCGTGCAATTACCCGCCATGCCTTTGCAAGCAATAATTCTTCTATGCAAAGGTTTCAACAATAATGTTAATATGTCGGCAAATAAAGGAACCTTTTTCAAGCCACTTATTTATTTATTCATTCATTCTTCTCCAAGGTGAAATGAAAATTCAACAAAGTTTGAAAAGCAGAAAAGGAGGAGAGTTTTGAGAACGCACCCCAATAACCCGGGAAGACTTGCACTACTCCAATAATGGCATGACGTGATGAATTTCCTTTATTTAATTTACGACCAGAAAAGATGGTTTGAGACAGAGAAAGGGAAAATGAAATGGTAAGAGTTGCTCTTTCTATTTGTATCGTATAATTGGGAGTTGTGTGGGCTTTGAGCTTTTGGTTCTGACAAGAAGGTGAAGAAGTGCGCTCTCACTTTAAAGAAGAAAACAATGGAAGAGACAAGAGTCGCTAAGGAATATAAATTGGAAAGTTGCCCAACGTTGATCGTGGTTTGGTATACTTTGTCTTTTCGTGCATTGTTTAGTCTTTGTTACGTACACGCACGCCCTCACTCTTTCTTTTTTTCAGGAATATCTGTAAAATTTAGGATAAGTTTAAATATGGAGTTTTTAAAAAATATAAATATTAAGGACGATTGTAATATCTTATTTATTTATTGTGATTCTTGTGTTGAACCATCTTACTCTTAATTGATTCATTTACACCCACCTGTACCTCACACGGGTCTATGAATTAATTGCTTTGATCTGCTTTTTTACATTCAAATAATCAAAATGTTTTTTATGTGAGTGAATGAGTTTTTCCACAAATACCAAAATAATAAACAAACCAACTTGCCTAAGCTTACATTAAAATAGCAAGGCCGAAGCTTGCACAAGTTGACTTCTACTCTGGCAGAATTACTCACAAGTCAAAGTGAAGTATTATTTGAACCATTAAAAAGTAATATCATTTTATTTATTTGTTTTTCTAATATATATATATATATACATCGTAAAATTGAATATTCTTTAACTACGGAGAAAACACCTAAAAATGTTTCAGACTATTGGAACATATTGTAACAAAAATAAAATAAAATAGTGCTACATATACCAGCTTTCTTTCTCAAAAGAAAAAAAAAAATCTAACTTTTTAATATTTAAATATATTCCTATAATATTTTGATTTAGTCTTAATTTTTTTGTTTTAGTATAACTTTTTAAAAGTTAACACTTTTAGTTGATGGTGATGCTTGATAAAAAAAAAAGTCATATGCCAATATTTTTGTTGTGTAATCTCAAATAAATTGAAAATGCCAATTTTAAAAAAAAATTGGAGACTACAATATAAAAAGATTAAAATTAAAATCTTACATAAATGTACAGACTAAAAATTATATTTTAACCTTTAAAAAAAAAACAGAAGTTAAAATGAAAAAACAAAGTGACTATATTATCTATTTTGTGAGAAAGATATAAATTTTGTTGGACTATGAACTATGTTGATTATTTAGGTGTATATTCCTCCATCAGAAAATGTAGAGATGACATTGTTGATTACAAGTTTTTCTAAAAGAATATTGATAAGTTTGCAATTAGACTCTTTTTTGTAGTTTATATATTTATGTTTAACTTTTATTTTATTTGAATTTTACATTAATTTTATATTACTTATGCAGTTTAATATAAAAAGGTCACAAGTGAATTTTAGATACGTTTTAAGTCCAAATTGATAAAAAAAAATTAGAGTTCCACAACAGTTAGCAAGCACATGAGTACTTCAAGTCCAATTAATGAAGAACTTTTAGAGTTTTCAAACCCTATTGAAGGGAGACTTCAAGCACCAAGTTTTACATCTTGTCTTTTACTCTTTGATACATATTTTATATTGTTTCTCTTGCACAAGATCGTTGGCATACTCTTAGTGAGATTTAGAGCTTCGAACAATTGTACTTAAAAACAAAAAAATCTTCTCTTTCTAGTTTACTTTTCTCCGTAGCTTTGTTTATGATTGTTTTAGTTTTTCTCTTTAGTATGAGTAACTAAATCCATAGATAGGGTTATGAAAACTATTATTCATGAATTAATGAAATTTTGAAGTTTGAATCTATATTTGATTTTCGTTTATGATTAGCCTTTATCGTATTGCGCATAATTATAATCTTAATTAATTATATCATCACACGACTGTATCTTGATTAATTAATAAATCTATAGGATAAAATGAGATAAAAAATTAAGTGAATCAAACCAATCTTTCTCCTTCAATCATTATTAAATTAATAAATTCATAAGTGATTTATGTTTTCTTTAATTGATGTCTTGCATGATCATTGATGGTATTAATTTAGAAAAAATAATATTAGTATTGCATGATCATTAGGTATTAATAGTATTTTTATGAATAATTAGTGATTACAAAAAAATCAAATTTAGAGTTAAATAAAAAAATAACATAAAAGATTGAATAAGCAAACTCATATGCCATAAATTCTTTTCTTATAAGTTCAATCATGAAGTATGTTATATTATTTATTTTTATTCATAATTAATTTTATAATTAAATTTTAGTTCTTACTTAATATTACATATTTTAAACTTAAATAATTGAATTAAAAAAAATTTAATAATTAAAAATTAATTTTTATGAGACAATATTTTAAAAATTTATTTTAAAATTTTTTATTACTTATCGACAGGTATACTTGCCTTCCAAACAAATATATAATTTAGTATAAATTTGCATATATTTTATCATTCTTTTAACTGTTATTTTTTAAAATAATATTTACAATGTGTTATTTTAGACGGATAAAACAGTGGGTTACTTGTAAATTTTCGTTCTTTCTTTTCCTTGGGCTCCGCTTTGTGATTCAATATTTTGAGAAAGTATTCTGCATAAATCCGTATTGGACTTTATCTCGCAAACCAAAATAATTTGGGACTCTTAAGTATGACTTACTTTTGCCATTTTCAGATAAGCATGCTAGCATTGAACGGGTATTTTTAAATTTAAATAAGATAAAAATAAAAATTAGTTATTAAAACTATAATAATATCTAATTAAATAAATAAAATACAAATATAAATAATTGAGATTTAGAGGGGGAGATCAAATTTCAATGTAAAAGATAAAAGAAATTATTTGAAGAGTATAAATAGTTAAGATTTTAAAAAAAGTTAAAATAAATGAAAGATTTGTAAATATATATTTTTAAAAATTTATAAATGTTAAATAATGATAAACTCGAGTCACTCAGAATGAAGAAAGCACAATCAAAGATAACTTCATTTTTAATGAAGACTTGACTATATTTTATATATATATATATATATCTTAAAGTATAATGAAAATAATTTCTATAAAATATAAAATTAATCCCCTCATTAGTCAATGAAAAACTCACATTCCAATAAAAACTTATCACTTTAGATTAATTTTGAAATACTATCAATTATGATTTAACATTAATCCTACCAAAATCAAATCTACTTAACTTTAAAATAAACAAGTCCTAACAAATCCAGTAATCTTCTTTTCTCTCTTCTTCCTGCCTGTTCATTTTTCCTCCTTCCTTTATTTTCTTTTCATACACCTTTCTTTTCCACTCACTTCCAAACCAACCAGCAGTCAAACTAATATTGCTGTTAATCATGTTTGATCTCCTAATCGCTATTAAATCTACAACAATTGAAGAACATAGATGACCAGGCGGCCACAGTGAAGAAAAAATGTTCAGCATCCACCACACAATGTATTATCAATGCTTCACTTCAAATCTTGGTCATGATTTAAACAAGCATCTTGCTAACGCTTGTCCTAAATGCACAGTTTAAAAAATTAATAAATAGAAATGTATTAAAAATTATAAGGGTATGTGCTTTTTCATGCTTTTTTAACTCTAAATTTTTTAACTGATACTCTAAGATGGTTGATTAGCATTTTTCTTTAAATAACGAAAGTGAGAAGACAAAAAAAATAAAAAATACTAGACTAACATATGAGAATCAGAGAAGAATGGTTTGTCTCAAATGCATAATGTCAAGGATGAGAATTTGATATCTACTTTATCACATCATATCATATATTATACAAATCTCATACAGTCTCCTTAGTGCTAGAGACCTCAATGTCCTGCTTCTCCTGTTCAGGTTTCTGAGACAAGTCCTCTTGTGTGGAAATGGCATCAGCATCAGGTTCCTTTTTCAGCTCAGACTCAAACTCCTTTGCTGCCTACAAACAAGATTTACAAAATACAGTAATATATCATAGCATTCACTCAATGACAGAATTCAGATAATAAAATTGAAGTGATTCCAACACAGAGTTTAAGCTTTTCGGTTAAATTATAAACATCCTCTACAAGTAATGTCACACAAAATGCCAATAATAATTACAGTTTGCATTTGAATTGATTGATGAGAAATGATAAAATGAATGAGCAGAAAAGGAAGGGAAACCTGTTGGAAGCTCTTGACAGTTTTGCCGATGCTGCGGCCGACTTCAGGCAACTTCTTGGGCCCAAAGACGAGGGCAGCCACGCCGGCGATAACGACAAGCTCGGGTACGCCCAGCCCAAACAAGGCGTTGCAAGTGAGGCTTTTGTTTCTTCTTCTGCGACCCTTAACGGCTATGCTCGCTGAATTCAACAAGTTGGGGAACGATGAAGAGAAAGAAAGGGTAATATTAGGTCTTGCAATTGCTCTTCCAATTCCAATTGAAGACGAAAACGATGCACAACTCGCCATCTCCATCTCTTCTCTCTTCCCTCTCTCTATCTGTGTCCGTGTCTGCGGCTAAGATTTTTCACATTTTTTTTTTCAAAAAGATAATAACCTAACACGAAATCCGCCAACATTGACTATGGGTAGCTTCGGAAAAACAATCATAATTAATTCTCGTACTTTTTAATATAAAAAATATAATTTAATTTTTTATATATTTAAAAAATATTTAATAATTTAAAATTATTTTTTATTTAATTTAAATATTTATAAATTATGATTAAATAATGACTATTTTTTTAATATAAGATATTATATATTAAAATAAAATGAGGCAACTGAGTATCTATTATTTCTTTTAATTATGAGAAACTTTGTAAACTTTATTATTTATAAAAAATTTATTGAAGGTATTTTGTTACTTAGTGCCATTTGATTTCATTCCTATACCTGTTATGACATTATCTATTAGAAATATACAAAATAAAGAATTAAATTAAAAAAAATGTCACAATTCTTGAACATGATAGTCATTTTTTTTAGTTTCGGTCTAACTATTTTATAATAATTGCATGCCAGTTTCTTTATTTTGACGATGTATAATCTTTTTGTACCAAAAGAAAAAAAAATAGAGAGGCTAGATTAAAAATAAATATAACAATCGAATTCGTATAAGATTGGTATGCGTGACAACCTCAGAATAGATACTACATTATGATTGCATTGATGAACCTATTGAACACGGTAATAACACAAAATGTCAATATCCAATTTGGATAGAACTGAACCCACCAACAATCCTCTGTCCCCATCATATCTACCTAAACATCAGCCATTTGAGGATATCAACACAAAAACTAAATTTAAAAATAGGATTGATTATCCATCAGAATATGCTCAATAAGATTAACAAACATCAAATTGATTTACAATATAGTCAACAAGAATAGGCCCTTACTTACAAATGGTAGAAATAAGAGAGTTTTAGAATAATTTCCTCGTGAAATCATATTGTAACTTAGCTACTACGTTATTGGTCTCCATTAGAAGCAGGTGCACGTGAATCTGCTCCACCACGAATCCGCTTCTGAAGATGTTCCAAGCTAGCAACCCGGCGTAGGGAAGTGTTCTTGTGCTGCACACTTTCAATGCCATTGTTATTTGAAGTGGGTTGAGAAAGGTGATGATTTGGGTCTTCTTGGACAGGAACAGCTGCATCAGCTGATGTCTCAGATGGGCTTCCATCATATAATGCCATTCCCATTGATGACATTGACATCTCAGTCATGCCATGAAACATTGGGTTCAACCCAGTAATTCTTTTCACCGTCTCTTCAGCCATCTTCACCTAAAAAACACAACGACATGGAAGGAAATCATAAACATTGTTAAGAAATTTGAGTTTAACTTACTCCCAAAAAAACTAGTTCATAAAAAGAGGACTCGTTCTAAGGAGTATTGTGTCTTTATTTCAAGTCAATGTAAAATATCTTAACAAAACATGTCACACATCAGTTATTGGTATAGGCTGAAAAGAGTTTATAAGAGTCATAAGCTTTTTGTTTTCATAAATTCTTATAAACACACCATAAAAATTTAAAAGCAAGGATTTACCTTTGCTCTTAATGTTTCAACATCAGCTTTCAATACTCTGTTGTCAACAGCAGCATTATTATACTCCTGGCTCACATCAGTCAAGCGCTTTAACAATGAAGAATTCTCGCCTCTTAATTGAGAGACCTAAGATACAATATTAGGTCAGAAAATATACAATTCTTTGAGGACTAACATGGAAAAAGAAAAAGAAACATACACACACCTGTGTCTCCAGCTCACTTAAATGAGCCTGCTTTCTTCTTCTTGAGCGTCTGGCAGACTCCCTATTAGAAAGCATCCTGAAAGACAAATTCGTCAAGCTTTAAATTCAAAAAGGCATGATTTGTACTTTAATTTAACAAAATTAATGTTTTCCTATAAAGGTAAATAAAGAAAGAATTTCTTTATGAAGTAAATAAAATCCAGATTCATTGAGCTCGAACACTAAAACAAAAATTATTGGATAAAATATGAGGGGCATTGTCGCTTTAACAGTAAGTATAATAATTATGCAACCTATCTTCATGATAGTACTGATGAATTTGCATCTGTGTTTGACATAATAAGTTAAAGTCTACCTGAACTTAATGTCCATGCAACCACATCAAATCAAAGGTTCATACATTATTTCATTTTAAAGATCTAATATGATACCAGAAGGGGATTGTCAAGCAGGCCACACAGTTGGTTTATTTATCAGAACTTGATATTACAATCAATACTCCAAAGATCAGAAGCACTAACGCTTTCTATGCTAAACATAGTCAATTCTGAGACTATAGTTACCTCCTTACTCGTTTTACATCTGCAGGGTTCATGTTGTCAGTCATGTTAATCTCTCCCTCAGCTTCCTCGTCATCTGACTGTTCTTTTGATGACCCACTTAATGTTGGCATCATCACAACAGCAGGATTCTTTTGCATGGTAGGTGAGGAAGGAACCCCAAGTGGTAATTTGACATCTTTATTTTGAACTTTCGATGGATCATTTCCAGAAGGGCCAGATCCTACACAAAAAATGCAAACACAGATATAACTTACAGTTCAGTATATGTATTAGGAGAGGAAAAACTAAAGTTCTAAAGCATTCTAAACTAAACAAAGTTGTACTCCTAGATTTTCATGCACCATACTCATGCAGCTTCTAGTAGCCAATAATTTATTTTACATTCCACATGCACCCTCACTCTTTGCATTGAGCCTGTATTATCATTGAATTTCCATTAAGATGTGACCTACTTCATTTAATGGACCTTCCATGTTTTCATATACACACGCATAACATAATAAACAAACAAAAGAATATACCGATTCAAACCTTTTAAGGTAGCCTGAGATCCAACTTCAGAAGGATTAGATGCCTGTGATCCACTGTCAGGGTCTTGAGATTTGACCAAAGATCCCTATTGCCATGAGCAGAAGAAAACATTAGATATTTGTTCAGTTTCAAATGAGAAAGAGGTGACAGAAATAGGGGATTGGTAACCTAAAACTAGGAAAAATGTTATAGATCATGCATAGTATATCCAACTTCGAAGAACAAGATTAAAAACACAGAAAAGCCAAAAATAAAATGTAAAGTAGGTGGAGTGCAGGCATCACATAAATGAAAGTACTTATTATATTCCACGTCTAATGGGGGGGGGGGGGGGAGGGGGATGGGGGGATAAACAAAATTTCATTTTAAACAAGGAAAAAGGATATGTATTTCAATAAAGCATATGAAAAGAATGCAATTAATGCAAAATACCGATATGGAAAAAAAGAATGGGTAAGATTTCCGTAAGAACCACTGCTACAAGGTTAATTAAAGAAAACCAGAGTCAAGAATTATCAAGTTTAATTGTGCCTCAGTGACCATAGTTTTCCAAGTAAGAAACTAGCATGATATGGAGCAAGTTCAGTTTGACCATTAAATGGAAAGCGATAGCAGAAATTGCCATTAAGAAGAACAAATCTATCCGGATAAATAAGTTGGATCAGGCTTCTAACTAATATTATTAAATAACCTCTCAACACAATTGACATTAGATACAATAAAGCAGGCCTGGGCAAATGTTTGGTGCAAGGAACAAGTTACCATAAGCAGTACCACTAACCAAAGCAAACATCAGTGGCACATCAGCAACTAATAGGTTATTGGCATTCCACTAATTGAGTTTCAGATACAGCCTCTTTTTTCCATTTTTGTGTCTAATTCAGTAGTTAACGTTATAAGTTGCATAAAATCAATGCCAATCTACCCCTGACAGATGTCAGGAATGTATACCTCCAGGATATCATTCTGTAAGTGTAGTTTGGCCATTTTAAATACTTTAGTCTACAAATATTTATGAAACAAGTTTTTATCTTAAATGACGTAGATCTAAATGGACTTGCTGAGCATTTAATCCATGACTAAACATAATGGCATCATTTGATTCATATAATTGTCCCAATTAGTTAAAAAAGACTTTATTTGCTACTGTTATTTACAATGAGCATGTAGAATAAGAAGAAAATCATTAAATTTATTGCAACATATAAGGCAGAAGCTTATCTATCATAGTTTTGTGTCCTTGAGCTTGTCACGGAACAACCTTGCGGATATAAAAAATAAGTGATGCTGTTGTGCTGATATTGTGGAGAAATATATGGATTAGATATTATCTCTAATCCATATATTTCTCCACAATATCAGCACAACAGATGCTGTATGCATGCAACAAGCTATTGTATGATTCATAATTCTAGGAATAATAAGCCCTTCAAAGGTCTTAAGGACAAAATTACGAAACTGAATTCACTGTTCTAAGGTACAGGAAGGAACGTATCAGCTTTATTGCTGTTTAGAAGAATAAAGTGACAGATGAGTCTAGAGGAAAAAAAGGAGACGAAGAATAATCATAAATTCTGTTCCTCTCATTTTAAAAAAAAATGTTAAAATGGTCATCCATCCAAACATCACCATCCAACTTTACATGGAATTCTCCTGCAGTAATTGCAGTGTCAACCATCCTATCTGAAGTTCTGGCTTGGATCAAAGTTAAAAATATTAAAAGAAAATTATGCCCCACACGGGTTGTTGGAAGCCACTGTAGAGCTTCTAAGCGGAAGCATTATTCTTCTTTCTGTATATATGTTGGTCGAAAGAACATACTTTCATTTATCAACTGAATTTTAGAAGATTTTTTTCGGTGCATTGAGTTTTAGAAGGATAAAATACTTTTAAAGGCGAAACCCCTAAAAAAAGAATTGTTAAACAGCAAATATCTATCTGACTATGATGTGTACGAAATATGTTATCTTTATTTAACCTTTCACTTCTGGAGGTCCAACTGACCTGTTGGGCTCGTTTTAGTAAATTTTTAATTTCAAAAATAGCCAATGCTTCAGCCTTTGCTTCTGACGAAACTCACTTCCCTTTCACAGAGAAAGGCATAATTTTTATTGATTTAAGCCCAAAGCATGACCACCAAAACTGCATAATGCATGGTTGAAGAATGGCATAACACAATACAATATGTCGTATTGATCTTAAAATGAAATTCCAAGACCCAGAAAGCAAAAACTAAAAGCAACATAAGAAAGATGAAAGTTTCAGTCTCCCCTCTTAAAAAGGACGGATTTTTCTCCACACCCACTAACAGATTGAATAAAAAGAGTAAAAGGTTTCAAATATTAAAAAAATAAAAATACCCGAGTCAAAGCAACGGCGGCGCAAGCGAGATTGAGCTTGGTCTTGAGAATAGCGTGGTAGTCCTCAGAATCAACAGTTACAGGGTGGTTGGCGCTTGGATCCTTCTTGAGTTTGACATCAATGGATGATGATGAAGAAGAGGATGAAGAAGAAGAAGCTGCTTCCTTTAGAAACTGCTGAAAGGCCCACTCAGAATCGCTCCGATTCATCTTTGACTTTGACTTGCACGATTCATTCCTCGCTGCCACCCAATACTGTTCCGATATTTCATCTACTGACAACACCCTTTCCATTTTCTCGTTCTTTCTTTTCTCTCTCTCTCTCTCTCTGTTTATCAAATGTTCCCTCACCTTCACCTTCACCTTCACAATCAAATCCCACGAAGCTTAAATGAATGGACGTATGGTCAATTTATTTATTTATTCATCTTCTGTAAAAGCGTGTCCTCCTCGTATCACATCTTTACCACATAAATAACGTCACGTTTTATTTTTGATAATATTTGATGCTCCCACCACCATTAAAATTAATCGAATATGCAAATAAAAAATTGGAATAATGATGTGGCATGTAGCCTCATCCGTTATGGTTGGTCTTCTCTTGTGCATCCTAATCCATATCTCCAGCAAACTTGTGTCCCTCTCAGTCAACCAACTTGCTGCTAGTTTCTATTTTTGGAATCAATCTAAGTCTATATATATATATATATCATGTTTAATGACTCGTTCAACTTGTTGTTTAATATGTGTAGGATTATGTAAACAACATTGAAATTGAAGTAGTAATGGATTTTTGGGGGCAAAGAAAAGTTAGATATTTATTGATAGTTTATTAATAGAATGGATTTGTTTGAGGGAAAGAGAGAGAATTGGTTGAGGAGCGATGCGTTGTGAGTGAGTCATTGCGGATAGACACGAGTGTGTGTCAGTCTCGTTTGGTGGGATCCCCACTCGCTAGTCGCTATTCCTTTTCCGGACTCTTCAACGTCACTTTGCGTTCATTTCAAACACCATAATAACACTTTTTCTCATCCCATTTTAACTTTACTATTATTTTTTTTTATATATAAATATTTTCAACAACATTAATCATCACAAAAACATGGGCTAGGCTTGGATTCTGTTGGGCCCTGCAGTTACTCTGCTTATTTGGGCTGCATTTAGACTTGTACAACTAGACCAAAAAAGAGTCTTAAAGAACAATAATAAGACCAGCAGTGAATAACGACTGTTGTTATATTCTTAATCAATATTTTAAAATTTGAAACATCATATCAATATTAATTATGTGTTTTGATTAAAATAATTTCACATCAATATTAGCCTAATAAAAAGACTCATTTAATATTTATACTTAAGTGAATATGAAAAAGAATGTGGCATTAGCCTCCTAGAATTTGAAAGAGGTATTGAAAATCTTCAATGAATAAAGAAAAAACAAGGAAGGAAGGTGCGTTATGGATCCATCCAAATCAAAATCCAAATCCAAATAATAATTTACGATTATTGAATTTGTAATTAAGTGTGAGTGGCAACAAAGAATGAAAGTGAAGAATAAAAACAGAAACATGAACGTGCATTTCAACGAATGAATCCCAACACTGCTTTCTCTGCGGCTTCGTACTCTGTTTTCTTGCATGTGTGTGTGTGTGTGTGTGTGTGTGTGTGTGTGTGATGAATGGAATGTGGGTTATGTTCAAATTCACATATAGATGATAATGATAATTGAGTTCTAAGTAGGAGCAATAATGCAAAATCTCCACTCACTCCTACGTCAAGCCTGCAAATTTCAACTCAGTTACGTTGGATGTGTAATTAATTAGAAAAACACTAAAACAGGATAACGCTATATCAACATTACAAATAAAGCAAAACATTCAATTAGATAATGAAATTACATATAACTCATTTCAGTTTTTCAAATTACAAATAATTATTCTCAAATTAATAACTTTGGTTTTGCTAATTCCACCTTTGTTTGATAACGTAGATTTATATACATATATTAAAAATAAACTAATAGAGTTATTTGATAATTATAAAATATAAGAGGCTTATAACTTTTAAAAATTATTTTTTTAAAGTTTATTATAGTAACATTCAATTTATAATTTATATTTATTAATTTTTTTTTATCATTTAAATAAATAACATATATAAATTTTAAAATTTACTATGTAAATATTCTAGTATTACAATATTTTAGTCAATTTACTAAACAGCGCCTTAATTTTAAATTTAAACGATTATCAATTATTTTAATCATTAATTTTTAATGTGTATATGTCAAATTGGTCATTAATATTAAGTTCTGAATTAATAATTATTACAAATTTCATTTTCAAAGTTTGACTTAGTAAACGTTTGGCAATGAATATTAATTACCTGCTGTAGTAATTGTTATTTAGTATTTTTCAATAAGTATTAATTACCTGCTGGCAAATAATTTTGAAATAAATAAATAAATATCATAATTGAATAAACAATTTTATAATGTCTAAAAATTCACAAAAAAATTTACTAAAAATTATAATATTTAATATTATTAATATATTAAATTTGTAATAATTTGTGACTTTTAATAAAAAATTATTATATATAATTTTTTAATACATTCTTATGTACACGTTAGAAAATTTGTTAATAAAATATCACATAGATAAAAAGTGTATATTAATTAAAAAAATTATAATTAAATCCTTATAATATTTTAAAATATTATAAAACGAGAAATTAGCAAACACCCCGATACTCGAGATAATACTCATTAAATAAAAAAAATATAAAATGATATTTTAAAATCATAACATTTAAATGTCATTAATACAATATTTATTCATTAATTAACGTTTTAAAGTAAACATTAATAATATTATTCTGAAAATATAATAAATATTAATTTTCCTTAAATAAGCTTAAATAAGATGTATTTAAAATAAAATTTGTAACTAATTAAATATTTTATATGAAAAAATTAATAAAAAATTATAGTTAATATATATTTTTTATATAAAAATTATAAAATTTAATGAATATAATTTTTTATAAAAATGTAATTTAATTTAATTTAATTTATAAATTTGAATAAAACTGATTACATGCTTATCTGTGCAATATAGGTTTAAAAAATATATTAATTTAAAAAGTGCTCTCCAGTGAGAGTAAAAGTGAATAATATTGGCATGGAAGGAGCGAGAAATGAAACGTAGAATTTGGCCGTGTCTTAGCCTGCAACGGATCCAATAGTGGGGAAGAAGTAATAAATGAGTGGCCCTGCATTCGCTCTTTGGCACTCCATTCTCTTCTATATATAGCAATGGCAGAACCCCACATGCATCATGCATTCCAAATCCACCTCCATCTATCCTTCAATTCTCAGGTACCTCTCTGGGTTACTACTTCTCTCTTTCTTATGCTCCATTTCTTTTTCCTTCTCTGTTTTTCTTTAATCTCAATACTTACCACTCATTCCGGTACTAATATCCTGGATTTTTTTTCTCATGTTTTGTAAAAAATTGTTTTTTCTTTTTTGAAAAGAGGAAGCAGAACGAGTTAATAATTTTCACATGCTTCCCTTATTTTATAACGTTGTTCCATTCCATGTGGTCTGTTGTGGGGTATGTGGTTCTTCTGATCTGTGTCGGTTGGATTTCTTCTACCCAGATTCTGTTTCTGTCTTCTCTGTCCAGTTGTTCCTTAAAAACAGCAACTTGCATGGATTTCGGATTTCATGATGAAGCATTTTTGTTTGTTGTCGTGTTTTGTGCTTCTCTGACTGATTGATGTGGTGTGCAGAATGGGAAGTTCTGGAACAACCGACTATGGTGCATACACTTATCAGAACCTAGAGAGAGAGCCTTATTGGCCCTCTCAAAAGCTCAGAATTTCCATAACTGGGGCCGGTGGTTTTATTGCCTCACACATTGCTCGCCGCCTCAAGACTGAGGGGCATTACATCATTGCTTCTGATTGGAAGAAAAATGAACACATGACTGAAGACATGTTCTGCCATGAGTTCCATCTTGTTGATCTTAGGGTCATGGATAACTGCTTAACAGTAACCAAGGGTGTGGATCATGTTTTCAATCTTGCTGCTGATATGGGTGGGATGGGTTTTATTCAGTCCAACCACTCTGTTATTATGTACAACAACACAATGATTAGCTTCAACATGATTGAAGCAGCCAGGATTAATGGTGTTAAGAGGTTAGCAATCTTAGATATATAGACTGTCATATGAATTTTCTGTTTTTGGAAATCATTGAGCAAATCCCTGCGCTATGGTGTCACTTTCAATTATTCAATATACTTTATCCTTGTCACAAAGTTTTTTTGTTTTTGGTTTATTTTTTTAGGTTCTTTTATGCCTCTAGTGCTTGTATCTACCCTGAATTTAAGCAGTTGGAAACCAATGTGAGTTTGAAGGAGTCTGATGCCTGGCCTGCAGAGGTTTGTTGGTGATCGTTGTAATTATTTGTTCAAATTATGCTTGTTATTCGTTTGTGTACTTGAGTTGGCATGAAAAATTTTAATTTATGACTTGTTGTAGCCACAAGATGCATATGGGCTAGAGAAGCTTGCAACTGAAGAGTTATGCAAGCATTATAACAAGGATTTTGGAATTGAGTGCCGCATTGGGAGATTCCATAACATATATGGCCCTTATGGGACATGGAAGGGTATGCTCTTTGACCAATTGCGAGTATTACAGTTGTCGAATCATGATCAATAAATTATTAGACATTATTATTTTACCTTTTGGATTTATGAAATTTGTTGCTTTGTGTTGTTTGTCATACAGGTGGTAGGGAGAAGGCTCCTGCAGCTTTTTGTCGTAAGGCAATCACTTCCACAGATAGGTTTGAGATGTGGGGAGATGGATTACAGACAAGATCCTTCACCTTCATTGATGAGTGCGTGGAAGGCGTACTCAGGTATGCATTACTCAATTTTGTGGCTATTACGTCTAAATTAACGATTTATTTCAAGGGTTTCTCATTTTAAAATTTAATTTATGGATTCTTGTTTTTATGAAAGATGAAAATGGAGCAAGTGCATCCTGTTAATTGTTTATGCTTGCAGTTAATCACAACTATTAGTAATTGTAAAATCTCTATATTTATTCTGACATTGCTATTGGTGAAGATGCTTAAGATGACCTAAGAAATTTTCAATTTCCAAATTTCATAAGTAGATGTCTTAATGAAATCCAGCTGTTTAAAATTGGAAGAAACATTATTAGCTCAATCAACATCTACTGAATTAAATGGAAGCAAGAGGGATTTAAATGACTTTACAAAAGTTAAGATTTGTCCATTTTGGTATTAAGAAACACAAAATGTTTATCTAATCAAGCATGTATTAGCTTCTTGCTTGCATGTCTTTTGTTGGTTATTTCTAATTCCTTGGGAAGATTTAACATCACGGTCATGTTCTACTTTTGTTAGGCTGACTAAATCAGACTTCCGGGAGCCAGTGAATATTGGAAGTGATGAAATGGTCAGCATGAATGAGATGGCTGAAATTGTTCTTAGCTTTGAGAATAAGAGTATACCAATACACCACATTCCTGGTCCAGAAGGTGTTCGAGGTCGTAACTCAGACAATACATTGATTAAAGAGAAACTTGGCTGGGCTCCAACTATGAAGTTGAAGGTATTAATGCTATTAATGGGTTGAAGCTTACCCTTTTTTTTCACTTTATACAATTTATTTCTAGTTCTGACTTCAGATGAAAGTGCATAACAATCATTTCTCCTTTTATTCTCTAACAAAAGAAATTCCTACCAACTTTGATCTATATCATCATTAAGATAACAGTAATGGAATGAGATATACCTATCTACATTATATTTTCCTAGCATACATTCTCAAGTGTCCATTTTCACTTCACTTCAATGTCCATTACACGTGTTTCTCCCCTCTATTGCTTTTTAATCTTGTCTCAGTCAACAGAATTGTTTTACCCATAGCATCCGAATTCTAATATTGTAGGATGGGCTGAGAATTACATACTTCTGGATTAAAGAGCAGCTTGAGAAAGAGAAGGCTTCTGGTGTTGACCTATCAGTCTATGGATCCTCCAAAGTGGTCCAAACTCAAGCACCTGTTCAACTAGGCTCACTTCGGGCTGCAGATGGCAAAGAATAAAGCAACTACTGCATTGATGAAGGGTTAGCTTTTATATTGTTATCCTGTAGAAATCCCTTCGGGCAGCAGATGGCAAGGAATAAAGTGACAAATGCTTAGGTGTAGTAATCACCTAAATGTTTCAAGTGAAGGTTTAGCTTATATGTCGCTACTTAGTAGAGATCTTTGGTTATAGTTAATGAGTTATTAAAGTTACTTTTGGAGTTTGTCATTGTCTTTGAACGGAAGCTGTGATGCCCTCATTGTATTTTACGTGGCTTGTTTGAGGCAACAATTGGTTCTTAAAGGGTGTTACAACATTAGAAATTTTAAATTATATGTTTAATTGATTAATAATCTTCGGAATAATTTCTTCCATATGAAAATTAATTTATTTTAGACAAAACGCCAAATATTTGTAGTATTGCTTTCTAGTCAAATTTAGCGATGATTCTTCGAATAAATTTTTTATTTTATTGAAGAACAATATTAAAAACAAGTACATAAGTTTCTTGATTTATTTTAGGTTGTGGTATGATTTTCAATGTAAGTGATGCGAGTGGTATTTTTTTTTTGGGGGGGGGGGGGGACTAAATGCTGGTGGTTCTTGTCTTCTTGATAAGGAAGATGGAGCAAGGCTTGGGCCGTAGACAAACAAACAAGTAGGGACCGAAAAAGTGTCATTCTATGATGGAACCTGTATCTTTGACGTTGATAGCTGATAGCCATAGGACAACAAGCTCTGGGATTTATTAGTAGATTATGTCCTTGTCTTTTTAATAAAACTCCAAACTTTGGAATGGGAAGAATTCAAAAGTGGTCCTCGTTTTCGGATGTTGTTGTGGAAAGTGGCGGTTTTGTGAGGACGAACTTTAGCTGTAAACATTTAAAACAGTAATGTCAAATTGGGTTTGTCCGATGGACTGGCCCCTAGTCCATTAAAAATAACGGGTTGAGTTGAGATGAATGTTCTTAATTTTTATTTTTTTAGTCTTTGGCAACTTAACTCATTAGGTTGCCAATTCACCCTTAAATAAGTCAAGCTAAAAAGTTTAGCTCATTTTCACACCCTTGGGAGGCCATCTCGTAACATGGCAGTCTAAAATTACTTTCCACGTTATCCATAGATATCAATTTCTTGGGACCCCAGTTTTGTTTGCGTAAAACGCTAATGGCAATTTTTTTCATGTCATTAGCCCATGGCTATTCTTCTGATAAAATTCCTAGCTACTTGGACGTGACATGGTTCCAGCCAAGCATCTGTCATTTTGATTTTTGGATCACTTTTCATGTTCATAATTAGATTTTCAACAAATGAATTAGATTAAGTTTAGCATTAAAATTTAGGTTTGTTTGATTTGACTTACTAAAATGTCGATGTTCAAGTTTATTTGACTTTTTTTTTAAAAATAAAACAAATTTAAAGTTTTGAGTCTAATTTAATTAAAAGTATTAAGTTCGAGCCTGACTTATTTATCATGTTTATAATCATAATTTTTTTATTTATGACTCAAACCATTAATATTTGTCAAGAGATTTTATTTTTCCTTTTACCCTCTACTCTACTCCATTAATATTTGTAATAACATTACTTTTATGTTTTCTCCCCTCTAGCAAACCAAAAACAAAACATCTTATCTTCTTTAAAACCAAACAATGCATTAATATCAACCTCATAATTCTTAAATTTAGTTCATAAAGCTATACTTGAAATTTTGTGTTTATTAAAAACGTGTTTCATTGAGCATTTAACAAGTTTAAATAATTCATGAACTAATTAATTTATGCACCCAAATTCATAACCTTTTCCTTGTATTTGCTACTAGCCTGTAATAGATTGTCATAAAGGAGCTTTCTTTAGTTGAACAAAAAAGGAACATTCTATTCGTAGCGGTATTGTCCACCCAATGTTATCACTTTAATCCTCTATCAATATGAAAAGGCTATACAGAATTCAAGTTATACATATACATATAATCATTCACTCGCACACGATTATAAGGAGTATGAATGTTTGACATTACTCATCCCTTATATCTCGTAGTCGAAACCAACAACTGGGTCCAGTTTTATTAATGGTATATTAGGCGGATATTCGAATAATCAAGTAGCAATTCATAATTTCATGAGCACGCTATTTAAGGTACCTTCACATAAGTAAAATTCATTATACACGGTATATATTGCCGAACGGTGTGGGGGTTGGGTGCGACTCCCAAATGTTATGTAATATATAAAGTTTCAAATATAAAATATGAAATGTGTCCCCTTAAATTCTTCTCCCTCAAGCAAAGTCCTGATACACAGGATTAACCTCAAGCTGCTCTGCGAATTTCGCGAGGATATCCTTCACGAGTTTTGCTAGATCTTCTTTATGTAATTCGACACCATCTTTTTCTTTTGCTATGTCACCAAAAATAGCGTCATAAAGAAGAACAGCTGCCTCGTCAGCTTGGGCTACCGGTAAACCCAATTCCTTTGCGTTTCTCTCCAAGAAGCTCCTTATTATTTCTGTGCTCCCTAAGCCATCTTTTGCCTCGGGTTTTTCCTGCAATGCCTTCTCCACAATGTTGTTTAATTCCTGTTCATTGGCTAATATCTGCAGCATTGTCCACAACATAAGTTGATAAATAAGAGTTGGCTGGACTGAAGTGTCCAAGATGTCTCGGAAATCACAACCAATAAATCAAGTTATTTTAATTCCTTTTTAGATAATGCATGAAAATTACCTGTCTTAGCTTAGAGCCATTAATTATTTGAATATTCTGGATGAAAACAACATTCTTTTTGGAAAGTTCCTCTTCTAGATCTTGCAGTACAGACTGCAGAAGCTGTGCAAATTGTGCCTGACCTAATTCTTCTTGTCCATGAGCTCCATGTGTTCTCAACAAGTCATTTAGTCGAGGAAATTCTGCTCATTTATGCTAAAATGTCAGTTTTATCAAAGCGAGAAAATTGACATGTTTAATGCTGACTGATGACAAACAAAATAAATCTCGTAAATCATTCAATACAGCGCATATTTTAGATTGAGGCCAGTTCAAACAACGGAAAATATACTTCGAAGTTTCCTTTTTTATGGATATAAATTTGTGCATCTCCAAAATGTTATCTATGATGGATATTCCGAAGTGAAAGCAAATACTTCGTGAACGCAATCAGTACAGAAAGATATGATACTGTTTAATTAAACCAAATGCTACACTGGCCAACGATAAATAAGACTATCACAGATGAACAATCTGCACAAGGATTTGTCACAGCCACGTTGCATAACATATCCTCAAGGCAATCAAAAGGATAAGCCACCCCCCCCCCTACTGCAGTTCTACACTTTGGCAGTTGCCTAATCCACAAGGTGACACGGAATGACATGCACTAGCATATTTTCAATTCACTTTTAGGATTCATTGCAACGAATCAACCAGTTCTAAGCACAAATAGAAAAATCATACATATATACCTTAGGGGTTAGTCAGGGTAAACTAAAATCTTTCATGCTTTTGTGGATATAATATTTCCAGGAACCTTACGTAAGTACATAATAATCAAGATGAAATAGAAATCAGTAAACTGTCATGCTTTGCATCTTACTATTGAGGGTCAAAGGAAATTATTGACAACAACGAGAATATGAGATGAACAGACAAAATTGTAGCCGCAAAATAAATATGAAAGGAGGAACCTGAGAAAGGAGGAACACCCATCTCAACTCCCATCTGGACAAGAGCATTCTGAATTTGACTCTTGCTGATTTTCCCCTTATCTTCGACATCTAGGTCGGTGAATAGATTTTCTGCTAACATGGCAAAGTCATCCTCGTCCTCTAATAACAAGCGGAGAGTACTTCCATCCAAGACTGACACAATAAGAGGATTATCTACAAATTTGAATGTAATCAGTATTAGTTTTCTCCTCAAAAAATTAATAGAATAATTATTTGCTCCTAAAAGCATAACATTATGTAACAATATTCCATACGAAAAAAGAAGAGCATAACATTTGCAGTAATTTTTATTCCTATGAAGGTAATATCCAACCAAGTCCACCAACCTAAATTATCTACATCAAGTTTCAGTCAAAATTGATGAAACAGGGAACTCAAGAATTTTCTGCCTTGTGGTATCATTTTCACTGCAATCAACCTTGTTTTGTACTTTCTAGGAAACGGAAACTGAAAATGTAATAACAAGAGGAGATCTACGCAATCACGGATGATAATTAGTGAAGAAAATAAGAAGACTCTCCGCTATCCGAACAGAACAAAATAGTAAAATCAATTCAGACATATTTTATACGAATTTAAAAAGAGAATAAAGATGAGAGTAATGGATCGAGATTAGAAAAAGCATATCTGAAAACGCAGAATTACGCGCTTAATCGATCATCTACTAGTCCAGGGACTAGATAGCTTCCTTGCATCTTGATAGAAAGCGGTAAATCTTAACAATTATTATTGTGTTGATTGTTTTTGAATTTGAGGAAGATGATCGCTCGCTTGCACGCACAATAATGTAACAGCAGAGGAAGAAAACAAACCTTTGAGTTCATCGGCGATGGCGGTGATGTAGTCTGAGAGAATCTGGGAGGCCTTATCGATAGAATAATCGGCGGAACGGAAAGCGTGGGGGTCAGGGGTGCGGAGGCGCGTGAGGGCAGAGGCTTTGAGGGAATGGGGTAGTGAGAGACCGAAGAGGGAAGAAGAGGCTCGGGAATGGGCAATGTCAAGTATGTGAACTCCGGTGAACGGAGCATCGGCGTCGGAGAGGGACAGATCGACGGTTCTGAGGTGAGTTCCGTCCAATATCTGCAATGCTCCGTCTGACATTTTGCTTCAACTGAAGGTCACTTCTTGCTTCCTACGCCTCCCCGCGACTGCTTCTTTGACTTAAATTAAATGAAATTCAACCAAAATTACCTTTTCAAAAAACAAACAAAACTACGCCCTTTCTACTTTGCACATATAAATTCTTTTTTTTTTTTCTTTTCTCTTTTATGTTCAATGTGTTGTTTGGTTTCTTATTCACGCTTTCCGAACAAAATTTATTGTTATTACTTATTTTAACTCAAATTAAATTTTTATATGTTTTTTTAATAATTATCTATCCATTAAAAACTTTTTATATGACATAATATTATGTTTATATTGATAGTATTTATTTTAAGATATTACAACTACTATACAATTATTCTAATTTAATTAACAATTTCAATTTTAGAAGATAAAGTCGTTTCAATTCGTCCTATAAACACCTTATAACAATTCACAGGTGACATGTTATCTCTTTTTAGTTTTTTAAAATCTTATTTATCGTTGATAAAAATATAATTGCATACTTATAATTTAATATATTTCCACTAGAAGAAGCCTGCCCTCAATTATATTATCTAATTTTTTTGAAAAAATGATATGTACATAGAAAATAAAGTAAGAATTTGCGAGTTCTTTCTGAATCAAATAACACCTCCGAAATCTGAATCCTAATTATAAAAAAATTCCATTCACACTTGCAATTAATTGTCATGATCACTACATAACAATTACTGTCGATTAATAAATAAAAAATATTATGATAATTTGTTAATAAAACCTTTATTTAGTAAAAATTAAATTATTAATATATTCTTTAAATATCTATATTAATAAATAATATATATATTAGTATTTAATATATTCATATAATATATTAATAAATTTATTTATTAGTATAATATATTATACTGATTATAAAAAATTCGTAACTTTTATATTAATAATTTAAATTTTATTAAAAAAAAACTTAGACTCACAAATGATATCATCCGTGCAACAAAAATATATCAATGGCATTACATAATGACATAAATAGTTAATTTGCTGATCTCTTATGACTTGTTGATTAGTAATTTAGAAAAAATAATTTGTTAAACAGTTAGTCTTTGAAAAGAATAATTACTAATTTTCTTTTCACAGAAGACACCTCAAAAAAAATAATTAATTAATGTCTAGATGAGCATTTGTAAGCTTAATTTTGACTAGTCTTAATTCTATAAAAATTAATTTAATTTGAAACGTGTGTGAGATAAAATAATTTGTGCTTAAAAGCCTTTTATTTTAAAACTAATTTTCACATAATATTCATACTTTCTGAGGAAAAAGAAAACATATTTTTCAATAGATGACGACTTTGTGAATCGAAAAGACGAAAACACGCTTAAGGAAACCACATTTTTCCTTGGCATGTATTTGTTTCTACCAAACCTCATTCATTAAGATTAAACGTGATGGATTTGGTCAGGAGGAACATGGAACGAAACAACAACATAGTAGACAATAATGTCTGAGACATTTGAATTCCTTCCGTTATCGAACATCGCGTTACTGTTCCAAAGCGTGTATTCCAACGAGACATCGGTGAACATTTTTTGTTGACTAATTAAACAATTAGGTGTACGACTATGCCATTTGAATCTGGCCAAATGACCTTGACTCGCTAATACTGTATGAAACATCTTGAGTATCATAAATTTTATTGCGCTTCAGGTTCTCAAAATTTGCACCATACAAGGCGAAAGCCTCCTCTCCATGCAATGCCTTGTCACCTATTTGTAATACATCGGTGTCAAGCCTGAGTGGTACTATGATGCCCACAAGCAAGCAAATCAAGGTGGTTGTAACAAAGTTGAAGCAAATCACAAAAACAATGGCTCCAACTTGGATGGCCATTTGTCTTAAACCCGCATGAGTTGCACCATCATGGAGGGCATAGGCGAGACCAATGTATTTTTCCCAATCTGGCACCATGTAGAAGAGACGGCACAGTTTAGGCACTGCTAAGAGGCCCGTGAGAATGCCACCAAGAGCACCGGCTATGGCGTGGGTGTGGAACACCGCCATGGGATCGTCGATTTGCTTCAAGAAGGAGACTTTATCATGGATTACCATCATTGTGTACCAGGGAATGCTTCCTGAGATCAAGCCCATTAAGATTGCTGCCCACCCTTGTACTACTCCTGTATTATTTGATTGATTTAATTATTTATTAAAATTTATCATGTTTTATTTAGATATGATTATTATAAACGGTAAAATTCTTTTCATGAGTATTAAATATTCAACAGGAAGAGAAAAGCAGGTGACATTGTACCTGCGGCAGGTGTGATGCAAACGAGGCCAGTGATCATGCCTTGTACGGCGCCAAACACAGTGGGCTTGCGGAAGTAGAAAGTGTCAAGTAGGACCCCGACGATGATGCTAGTGGCAGCGCACACGTGTGTGTTAAGGACGGCGAGAGATGCCACCGTGTTCACCACGAAGGGACCTCCACCGTTGAACCCACTCCAACCCATCCAAAGCAGGCCTGCGCCTGCAAGCACCACAATCATGTTGTTTGATGGGAAGCTTTCTCTGTCCTTCTCCGATCGTGGACCCACCTATTCCACCACAATCACATGCAATCGTCAGTTTCTTATTATTTTTTTTCATTTTAAATGCTTATAACTTTGTATTAAAATTTACTATATCAATTTAGTAGTTAATTTATATAAATTACTATAGTAATTATCTATACACTTTTTTTTATATAATTTAAACATTTATAAATTTATAATCTAACAGTAATTGCCTATATTTTAATAGCATGTTATATGTAAAAAGTTTCAATTTCATAGGCTTAACATCTAGTATTATTTGATCATGTGCCTAAATTTGTGTAATTATCAAACAATTTATAAGCCATTTGATATTCATATGTGGTTAGTAAGATCTATCTGCATTTGAAAAGTTTTCTCAAAAAGTTAAAAATAATATCTTACATTTAAAAAATACATGGAAAATCAAGTTTGAAATGTAAACAAACACCCTAAGCCGAGGTATATAAAACCAACTTGTATGATAAAATGTATGTTTATACGAAATTGAAAAGAAATAAAAGAGGTGAAGGATGATCGTGGAAATGGATGCATGGAGAAATGTTATACCCAATAAGCTGCGGTAAAACCAGAAACGCCAGCAGAGAGGTGAATAACATATCCCCCAGAGAAATCAATAACTCCAAGCTTCGCCAACCACCCGTTGGGGCACCAAATACTGAAGGCAGTAACAGTGTACGAAAAAGTAACCCAAAGTGGCACAAAGAGCATCCACGCACGAATGTTCATCCTCCCAAGTAAAGAACCAGCTATCAAAATCAAAGTGATCGCAGCAAACACACCCTGAAAAAACACCATGGTGGCCGTAGGAAAGAGCCCCGAAAAAGCTTTCCCGAAAAGGAACTTCTCATCCAACGCCACCCCCGGTTTCCCCAAGAAGAAAACCATTTTCTCGCCAAATGACATGCGAAAACCCCACCCAACCCAACAAATGAGAACGGCCGCAAAGGCATAGAAAGCCATGAAGGCAGAGTTAATGGCCCATGTCTTCTTCACCATGCTTCCATAGAGGATTACGAGCCCCGGAATGCTTTGTAGACCCACCACTGTTGCTGCCATCAATTGCCATGCATTGTCTCCTTTGTTCAACCACTCTGGACTCGCCTCGTCTGCCAAAAGCTCCATCCTTCTACGTGTTACGTGTATTCTATAATGTTTACTCGTCTGCCAAAAGCTCCATCCTTCTACGTGTTACGTGTATTCTATAATGTTTACTTGTTCGATAATAAAGTATATTTATAGGTTTATGTAAACAATCAATCATTTTCGGCTCTTTGCTATTGCTATTTCATAGATTACATGCACTGTAATTTGGACAGGACTTGGGGGCCGGCTTTGTTGGCACACGAACCAGCATGGATTATTTTCATTGATTCATCGTACGTATGTCGTGATGTACAGTACCAACGATAGAGAATTTCAATAGGAATCTTATAGTTTGCATTGGCAATTAAATGACGTACCTTACAAATCAAACGTAATTAAATATCGAATTATACTGTAAGGTGCGTTTGACAAGTGTTCTAGTTACGGGAACTCTATTCAAGCAAACGCTCCATTTGTTTTTGTTTCATATACTTTTCAATAAAATAATATACTCATTGAAATAATTTTTGTTAACCTTTATTTTCTTTAAACACATTGATCCAAACATTAAATTACAGTTAGAATAAAGATTTTTTTTTAAATCATTCAAATTATAATTTTATATCTTACTTTTTACAAATCTTGTGAAACAGATTACTAAATTTTTATCTCTTAAACATTAAAAATTAATTCATGTAATCCTTAAATATTTTAATAAAAATAAAAATTAAAAAATTTTAAGTAGAATAAAATGAAGGAAAATATTAAATTTGCATGATTTTAAAATTAACATCATTGTGCAACTAAAATTTAAAACAATTTTATTGTAAAAAATATTAAGTTTTTTTTAAATTAGGTTTATTATTTAGATGGTTAATATTTAACCTAAGTAGCAACAATTTAAATAGGGTTAATAATTGGAATATTCAATTTAGAATTATTTTTTGGCTTTTATGGTTAAATATAAATATTTGATTGAGTTTTTAATTGAAAGTCAAAAATCATGATAATTTTTTTTTATAAAATAACTTATCAATTTGTTTATATAATTATTATATCCTCTAATTGTGTATTGTCCTTTTTTTTACACAAAACTTGTAAGCATGAGTCTCTAATTAGTTAGTGTCTTATTCCTTTTTAAAATTCATGTTTAATGTAGATGAATCAGTTCTTGGCAGTTAAAGTCTTACAACCCATGATGGTTCGATTAGAAATTGACAAGAAAATTTTGATATTTGCTTCATAAAAAAATTAACAAATTGTTCAATTATAAAGTCTGAATTGTGGGCCCTATAAATTGATCTTAGACTTATTAAAAATCTTCAAATTGAGAGTGCATTGACAGAATTTGATTTAAAAATAATAATTTATTTGGCAAATTTTAATATTTTTTTAGTCATAGGTTGTTTTAATTATTAGAGAGACTAAAATTCTAGTTGATATATTAAATTTATTAGTCTCTATCATATTTTTAGGAAAACTAACTGCTGTGTGTGTGAACTTTCTAGTCAATTAAACTTTTCAGAATGACAATGAAATATATTTTTTAGAATGATTAATTAATTATCTTTTATTCTGTTTTATTTTTTCTTCTTTCGGCCTCATTGAATATATAAAAAAATTAATGTTATTATAATGTTCACAGTCAAAATGAAATTTAATTTTTAACCATTTTTTATATAGATATTGAAATATAATTTTTATATAAATTTTAAAAAATAATTTTTTTAATTAACCTCTAATATAAAGTCATTTATATATTGTTACCTATTTGTTTTTGTTCCTTTGTTGCATTTAACGTAACTTAGATCGTACCGTTAGATTCCCAGCACCTTTTGCAAGCCAATATCAACGACATTTTTGCAGGCAGACCATATATTATAGTTATGCTAATGACCAAATTTGTAACTTCTACCATATCATTTCAATTACGACTAATGCCAATTGCCAAAAGATGTATGTAATTTTTTTAACCAATTATTTTTAATGATATTTTCTTATTATTTGTCCTAATATCTTTCTTAAATTGATGATTATGATTTAATATTTTAAAAATTAAATAATATTTATATATTCAATATAATATTAATAATGATAATCATTTTAAATACTTTTTTAATTTTTAAAATACCATTAAAAATTATCTATTTCCTTTATTCATCAATTAGATGTGAATTTTAAACATTACAATTATTTTTTTTTCCTAAAAATATGTTTTTATACGTGCGAATTGTAATTTTAGAGTGAAACATTATTTCATCGTTCTTAATATTTTGTATAAAAGCAAGTGGTGACACATTTATTATTTTATATATTAAAAATTTTTCGGATGAACCTGAAAATAAATTATTGTAAGAAAAAAATAATATAAAAAATAAATAAAACATTTTTACATTAAAAATAATTTTTTGAGTTTTAGAGAAATTAAATAAAAATAATTTTTAAAAAATTAAAAAATATAAATTAATTTGAACTAAATAAATTTTGTTTTTATATTATTTTTTCTCTTACAAAATTTTATTCACAAATTTACACAAACGGAGACATCGCGTCAAATATAGTTATTTTAATGAAAAAGTATTTTTTTTCATTCCATGATAAATTAATAACAGTTTTGTCTAAATTAAACTTATTTCGAGAGGGGACAATTTATCATTCTTAATCTTTGGTACCAAGAAAAATAAAAGCGGTGGAATATTTATTATTTTATATAACATGTCAAATGCAGTTAATTTCTCAATATTAGGACACAGTTCAAAATATTAAAAAATAAACAATTAATAATGAGTTTGACTAAGATTCACTCGGCGACAAAAAATGAGAAACCAGATTTTCAGAGAATAGTTAATAGAGCCAAGTTAACGTTCATTAGCGGGTGAAGCAGAGTCAAAATCAAAGGCGTGTTTATGCGTTTGTCATTCGTTGGTCGGCTAAGCGATGGGACTCTCTCATGAAATTTCAGTACCACAATACAACCCTATTTCCTTTTCCGTACATCACTTTCGGGCTACAATGGTTGATTTGTATTATCAATTTATCTATCAAAAATTGTTAAAAATTTAAATATGTTAACTAATATTCTTAAAATATTACTAAAAATTAGATCTCTTAAATCCGAGTTCTTAAAAGTATAAATAGCTATACTAAATAAAAGCTTTGAGAGAGACTTTTAATTTTCAGAGTGAACATGTCCAATAAGATATTGGTAATATACATCTTTTCTAAAGAACATTCGTATACTACTTTAAAATTATCAGTAAATAATTATCAGTAAATACATGAAATCGCAAAAGGCAAATTTAAACAAATGAAGCTGCACGGTTTGACCGTTATTGTTGTTGTGTGTGTGACATTATCATTACTACTTTATTGTTTTGTTTTTTCCCCGAAACCCGAGTACGTTCTTACCTCTTGCGTACACTTTTGTCTTACATGTATGTTTTGGTCAAAGCAATTAGTCATGGAGATTGTGACATCAGTGCCCTCTCACTGGATCTCCCTCCCTTGTGTGTACAGAGCGCTTAAATATCGAGGTGAAAGTTAATTAATTAGCTATTAAAGTGAGCATGAAGGAAGCCTTGAGGGAAGAGCAGATTGGTGAGTTTTTGGAAGCCTTTTGTCTTTTTGACAAAGATGGAGATGGTAAGTACGTTTCTAATTACATTCAATCATCGTTTGTGCATGTGTTTGTTTTCTCCATTGCTTGCTCTTGCTGAAATTGTCCTTAATTTATTCTTTTCTCATACACCATTGCATGTCTATATATTTTGTTATATTTGCACACATACATATACTGGAGAAAAGGCTGCATAACCATCGAAGAATTAGGCACTGCAATCAGATCATTAGATGAAAATCCAACGGTGGAAGAGTTGCAAATTATGATGAGCGAAGTGGATACGGATGGCAGCGGAACCATAGAATTCGGGGAATTCTTGAATCTCATGGCCAGAAAAATGAAGGTGCTTGAAAAGAAAATTAATTAAGTATTGTGATTTATCAGCAAGATTAGAGTTGAAAGCTGATGATAATATGTTATATGTTTGTGTTGGACCAAAGGAAACTGAAGCAGAAGAGGATTTGAAGGAAGCTTTCAGGGTGTTCGATAAAGATGAAGATGGTTATATATCGCCTAGTGAGGTTCCATTAATTTATTTATTGCTTCGGAAATTATAAATCTTAATTGAATCGTTCATGCAATGAAGCATATAACAAGTTGAATTATTATGTACATACTTTTGTTGTGTGTGCAGTTGAGGTGTGTAATGATAACTATTGGAGAGAGGGTGACAGGAGAAGAATTGGAGCAGATGGTCAAAGAAGCTGATTTAGATGGTGACGGTCTCATTGATTATGAAGAGTTCGTGAGGATGATGTTGGCTGTAGAATAATAAATAGTGAGACAAATTAAGGAAACAAACAATAAAATTAGATATTGTATGTAGGAAACTAGCACACACATACACCCAAGTTTCTGAGCGATGGAGAGCTCTGCATAAGAAGTTGTCCTAAAAGTGTCACATTACGTAAATAATTTTCATTTTCAAATTTCACAAAATAAAGGTTAAAAATTGTATTTTCAATTCATGTCGTGATATTTGCATCAATTTGTTTTTTTGGTCTTTGCCCATGTCGTCTTTATTATAATACGGTAAAGTATACATATTTCATTTAAAATAAATATAGTACATTTTAATAAAAATAAAATACAAATTCCAGTAGACACGACATTTTTAACATAGCTTTAATTATTAATTAAAATTTATTAAAAATTAAAAGATGTATTAAATAAAGTGTGCTAGCATTTCACTTAAAATAACTATATGCAAGCAAGTTCAATTAAAAACTTTTGACTGTTACTAAAAGGCCAACCGGGTCTTTCACTTTGGAGTTGAAAAGAAAAACATTTACCTAAATATAAACTGAACTACCATTGATTTTACCTAAATATGAGAGTCTCGTTAAACGATTGAATTGATAAGATTTAATATTCATAAATAATCATTAAACAGAATTTTTTTAATAATAAAATACATTTATTATACTTAAATGTAAAAATAACTTGTTATTTTCACAATATTATTTATTTATAATTAGTATTTCACTTTGGAGTTGAAAAGAAAAACATTTACCTAAATATAAACTGAACTACCATGGTGGGCACTAGGTAGCACTAACTGATTTTACTTAAATGTAAATCTTCTTTTGATCTTTTGTAATGCAATTTGCCATTTTACATTTTCAAAAGTTTATGTGGTTTTTTGCATGGTTTTGTTTTCTAAAGCTAAGAAGTGGATCACAAGTGAATCGTCAACTATATGTATGTATAATTGGACCTGTATGAATAGAATGGGGCAGTCAGTAATCTCCTGTGAGCCTGGAACATCATATAGGAGTTCTTCGAAGCATGGGAATGGAGGTACAAGAGAGTCACCAAATTGATCAAGTGTTACCTCTGCGTCAGCCTCAATGAACATAACACCTTCTGCAGTACAATCCACCATCAACTTCCGATCACGCCCTTCCCTAATCCTACCCGCAAATGGGTAGTAGAACACAAGTGTTTCAGCGAGTCCTTCTCGAATCACTTCAACCGGTCTTTCCCTGCCATTGATGGTTCGTTACGATAAATCATTATGATTGGAATCTGAATACGCAAGCCATCTTGGTCATCTATGTCGGAGAGTACGTATAGTTTGAGTTCATGAGGAGTAGTTTTAGCAGGAGCTACCAACTCAGGTTGGCAACTTCTCACTGTAAATTTCAGAGAGGAAGATAATGAAGCCATGTTAGTTATCTGAAACTGAGTGAAGAAAGAACAACGGTATTATCAAATGATTTTTTTTATTAAATCGGGTAATATGTTTATGTTTGAGTCGTTGGAGCAACGGGTGCTAGTCTTTGTATAGACTGAGTATATTGCCAGAAAATAAGGTTGTAATTAACACAATTTCATTATCATATGACCCATGAAAGCTACACCTTATCAGTTTGCATTATGTTCCACGTTTCGGGCATACTTTCACCAGAAAATGTTAGGGAAGCCAACCTGATGAGTTTTTTTTTTTGGTCATCATTATTAATTAAGCTGATGGGTTGAACTTATTTTATTCCTTCGTTGTGGTAATTATTTATTGTTTATGCACCATGATATTTATATTATATATGGTTATAATCTCTTGCATTAAAAATAGGGAAAACATGTATTAGAATGTATTTTGTATCTCTTCATGAAATAAGATTGGCAAAGCAAAAAACATTATACATAAGTCAAAAACAATTATATATAGGGACAATTTAAATAACCTTCTCAACGCTTAAAAGAGAAAAAACCCAAAATTTTTCCATAAATTAAAGTTAACATATATCCCCACTTTAATTCATCTTAGTTTCTTGTTTTATAAATCGCTCTTAAAAAAATTATTCAAACACCTCCTAAAAAGTTTAGTCAAGCCGTTTTATTTCTGTTCGGCTTCTCTCCGCTTCCACCCTCGGCTTCTACCTGCAGACTGAAGATGCCTCTTCTTCTGTTGGTTCGGACAACTGACTTAAGGATATTAGAGACACAACAGTTTGACTAAAAATTCTCAGTACTTTGTTTAGTTTGATTCAAGAATCCATTTACCAAATCCATAAATGATTACAAAAATATTATATTAATCGCATTTTTACTGTTCTTTTTATAATTTATAAAAAAGAAAAAGAACTTTGTTATTTTCACCGTTACTTAAATAAATATTTTAAAATATGAAGTGACATAAAAATAAAGAAACATTTTATAATCAATTGTTACAAAAAAGGGCAATATTGTTTTAAACGGACAGGAAAAGAAAATATAACGAATGAAATTTGTTAACATACACATGCACCACATTGATGTCAATCCAAACAATCGAAAAGGAAAAATCGCTATGTTGAATGTCATAATACCGGGAAACTGAAAACTGATGTAGGATTTTTACCGAAATAGCGATCAATTCGAACAATCATACGAATCGAAGTAAAATATAATCACAACATCAAGTCTCATTTAACTTCAGAAGGCTGACTCAATTCATACCCATTTAACACCATTGAGATTTCTGTTGGAATTTTCATATCCGTTTAAAATTCTGTTTCATTTCATTTCACAATGAGCCAGCTACCATGAACCTTCCGCACCTACCGTTGGATTCTTGAAGGCAGAGAACTCCCAGTACGGTTTCAACGAGAATGGTGGGAATACAGTGGCACCTTCATCAGTAATTTTAGATATCTGCAAATACATTACACATACGATAAATATTATAAATCATAATGCAACAGATAATCCCTTCAATTCAAAGATTATATTAAGAACAAGAATCCAACAACAAAGGGAGGAAGTCAGGAAGCATGTCATTTAATTCAGATCCAAGCCTCAATCTTCACATAGATACGTTGGAAAGGGTACGACAAAGATTTAGCATGTTCGACATATATAGTGCTTAGCATTCAAGAACTGCAACATAAGCGGCACAGTAATAATGGCCACCTACACTCCACAGAATGAGCACAGCAAAAGGAATTGAAACTTTTATATAGATGATATCCTTCAAAACAAGGTCAGCAGACACAACTACAAGGTAAATGGTAATGACAAGCAAGGAACCAATTCTAGGTGTTATATCACCTTCCTGTTTGACTTGCAAATAACAATTTAACACTAATTCACCAGATCCCCTACTACGCTTCACTTTTCATAAACAAGTGTACCTTCTTTTGTTGCATTAAACAAATGCACTGATATTACTCTTGCATGTCAAATTTGGCACCCCAAATCATCCAATAACACAGACCAAATTATTACTAGATCGTCTTTTATAGGTAAAACCATCATTTTGCAGGTGGAATAATAAATAGTGAGACAAATTAAGGAAACAAACAATAAAATTAGATATTGTACGTAGGAAACTAGCACACACATTCACCAAGTTTCTGAGCGATGGAGAGCTCTGCATAAGAAGTTATCCTAAAAGTGTCACATTACGTAAATAATTTTCATTTTCAAATTTCACAAAATAAAGGTTAAAAATTGTATTTTCAATTCATGTCGTGATATTTGCATCAATTTGTTTTTTTGGTCTTTGCCCATGTCGTCTTTATTATAATACGGTAAAGTATACAAATTTCATTTAAAATGAATACAGTACATTTTAATAAAAATAAAATACAAATTCCAGTAGACACGACTTTTTAACATAGCTTTAATTATTAATTAAAATTTATTAAAAATTAAAAGATGTATTAAATAAAGTGTGCTAGCATTTCACTTAAAATAACTATATGCAAGCAAGTTCAATTAAAAACTTTTGACTGTTACTAAAAGGCCAAAATAAAGATATGGGACAAGTCAATAGGAAAAACGCTTGTCCACGATACTTCACAAATTAAATATTAAAAAAAAAATACTTTTAGACTGGCAAAGGAATTGACAAGTCAACAAGAGTTGCATAAGCCTCCTATGAAAATTACAGTATTTAATTTTGCTCAAAATAATTTAAAATTTATTCTCATTGATCTAGTTGACATTTAATAATGAGATACTGATACTAGAATTAAAATTTTGATTTATTTACATGTTTATATTCTCTTCTTTGTCTGGTTTTGCACATATGCAGAGTACAAAATTGGATTTTTCAAAGAAGTAAGCATGGAGGCACAACATCAGATTATCATGCAAGCCAAAAAAAAAAAAACTAGTACAAAAAAATTATCAAAAGGATTGTGGCTTACTTGAATAACTTCATCAAGTAAATCAAGCCTTATATTCGTTTAACAGCCATGCATTTTTTAGAGGAAAGTTACACAAAAGGAGTCAGGCATTTGACAGATTTAAACACTAAAACAGTGCATGTGTGTGTATTCCTTCTAATTGTAAAAGGGGAACAGATGTAAGGAGGCAGGTAAAGACAGTCCTGTCCTATATTCACTCTCCAAGAAAGCAGTCAAAGCACAGCCAGTGGAGAGCAATTCATGCATTAACAACTTGCGAATGCTCATTAAGCTCATGATTGAATAATTTTTTCATTGTCACATATACCTCTAAATATAGGAAACTATAAATTAGATTTGCACATGGTTTAAAGAAAAAGGCACATGAAAGACCATATGGTATGTACAAAATCAAAACACATTAAAAGTTGAGCCAGAATGTGACTTGAAAAAAGAAATAGCATTAACAAAATGTAAGAGAGAATGCTAAATGCAATCCATTAACAAAAGAAATAATCAGAGAAGGTTACAACAAGTAAAATGCAATAGAAAGCAATACTCACCAGGCTTCCCTCCAGACAGTGCTGGACTTTCTACTGGTTCAATCCATATAGCTAAGGAAAAGGGAAAAAAAATCACAAACAATACAGGGGTAACATTAGAAAGATTAACAATTTAACACACAATAAGAATATTGAAAGCCTAACCTTTATATCGGGGGTTCTGCTCTTTCAGATATTTCCAAGCCCCTGTTACTGTACCTCCGGTCCCAATCCCAGAAACAAGAGCATCAACCTTCCCACCGGAGCCCTTCCAAATCTCTGGTCCAGTGGTTTCATAATGGATCTAAATAGGAGGAAGAAAAGCATGTGTGAAAACGCTCAAACCAACTGATTTTAAACACAAAGCATATTGACACAATCACCAGACTTCCCTCCAGACAGTGCGGTCCCACATCTATTAAAATATAGGCGGGGTTACAAGAATTCAACCCTATAAATATTGGGTATTAAATGAAGGAATCCGAGAGAAAACAGACACGGGGTCAATGGGTGATCATGAAGGCCCTGACCTAGGTTAGTGATCTCCATTGCACTTGGGAGAGGTGCTAGCTTAAGCTCTTCTCATTTAAATGAGGAGAACCTACGTGACATTTTTTGGTAGTGGGGGTGTGCGTTCGCGCTGCCCCCTATAATCTTCAGTCCAAGAATTATCTATATTTTGCCTGCAGAAGGAGAATAGAAGAGAAGAAAAAAGGTGACATAGGGTATGCTATAGGAGCCAAATACAGGTCAAGGGACAGTGACCAAACCACTCAAGATTGCAACGCCTCAGGTGTTCAAAGATTTCCCTGATTTGTTGAGGTTACAAGCTTTTACCATTGTGAAGAACAAGGCTTCTCAGAGGGTGTTGGAAAAAGCTGAGTTCCTTGGAGAGGGTGTTGGAACAAGGTACTGGGTATATATTTATACTCGTTTGAGCTTGATTCCTCCGTTAGACGGTGTCCCGATATTTCTGCCTTCAATCTGTTAACAACAACAAATTTTGCGCAAAACTGTTGTGTTTCAATCTATTAATTTCTATTTGCTGATTTTTTTAGGTTAATTATTGGTTAATAAAGAACAAAAGTGTAATTAGGTGATGTATTTGTCTGACTGAGTCAGTGGAGCATACATGTTGCTGGCCTTTAAGAAGGGAGTATATTGTAAACAAAACTTGACTTCGTCAATTTCAGCTTTTGATATTTATTTAAAGTATATAGATATAATAATTTCTTCGTTAAAAAATAATATTTACATTAAATATTATAGGATAAATATTTAAAATAATATTATTTTGACACTGGATTTGAGAGTTTGTATTAAACACTTTATATAAATTAAAAAATAATTATGTTATATGTATATAGGTGTGCTATAAATATTTAAACTGGCTGTTAAAATAATATTATTTGAGTGTAGTTACTTTTTTTATTTTGATAAGCTTTTTAATTATTTGTGGTCTTTATTAAATTTAAATTTTCTAGAATTACTCATCTTTATAACGAAGTCATAATCTCTATTTTGTTGAGTTCTGTTTGAAAAAATTATTATTAAAATATTTATATCATATGAAATGAAGTCAAGTTCAATTAACAAGTTTAGACTGTTACTGTTACTAAAAGACCAAAATAAAGATATGGGACAAGTCAATAGGAAAAACGCTTGTCCACGTTACTTCACAAATTAAATATTAAAAAAAAAAACTTTTAGACTGGCAAAGGAATTGACAAGTCAACAAGAGTTGCATAAGCCTCCTATCTACGTTACACCACATAAAATATTTTTAAAAAATATGGTAATGGAAAAAAAATTTTTTACCTCATCACAATTCCTTCTCAAGTGAGAATCACAAAGGCCAGCAACAATACAGTTTGTGTCGCTGCAACAACTACTGTACACTATCACTTCAAGTTACTATTAACTCTACTATCTTATGCCCTCTTCAACTCATTTTTATGATACCAATTTGTTCTATCATTCACTAGATATATTGTTATAATAATTTGATTCTATCATAGGTAGGTGAACTTAAAAACCTAGTCGAACTGTGGAAGAGGGTAAAGTGAAGTATATTGGGTTGTCTCAGTGGCAATACAGATTAAAAAGTTGGTTAGGATTAATAATTAATATATAAATTTGGAGAGCACAGTAAAGTTGAAAAAGTTAGGTGTACCTACCAATGAACACTAACACATATTGGTAGAAGAATATAGTTGGAAAATTTGCGGAGGAATTATTAGAGAAACAGAAAAATGGAAGGAATTCCTCGAGTGAAGCTTGGAAGGCAAGGCCTTGAGGTAAGTGTGTATGAATTGTGATATCTTGTTGAATTGATTTTATTGTTCATTCAATAAAAATGGTCATTGAATTTAAGGTTTCAAAGTTGGGCTTTGGGTGTATGGGCCTCTCAGGAGTGTACAATGATCCTGTTCCCGATGAGGTTGCCATCTCTTTGATCAAGCACGCATTCACCAAAGGGATCACCTTCTTTGATACAGCAGATGTTTATGGAGCCCAAGGCAACGAAGTTTTGCTCGCAAAGGTTAACGCTTTTCTCTCTTTTTCAGATTTTCATGAAACAAACAACAATCATTAAATCAACAGCGTGATGTAATTAACGTAAATTTGAATTGAATTCTCAGGCGCTCAAAGACTTGCCTCGAGATCAAATTCAGATTGCCACAAAGTTTGGGATTGTTAGAATGGAATCTAATAATGTGATAGTGAATGGTTCCCCTGAATATGTTAGATCCTGTTGCGAGGGTAGCCTCCACCGCCTTGGTGTAAACTACATTGATCTCTATTATCAGCACCGTGTTGACACTACAGTACCCATTGAGGATACTGTGAGTGGTGCCACTTCTGTTCTTGATTTGGGGATGAGATTTTTTATGATTGTCTTTGATTTTCTGTTGAGTAATGACAGATGGGAGAGCTTAAGAAGCTGGTTCAAGAGGGAAAGATAAGGTACATAGGATTATCAGAAGCTAGTTCTGACACAATTAGGAGGGCACATGCTGTTCATCCCATTACTGCTGTGCAAATGGAGTGGTCACTTTGGACTCGTGAAATTGAGCAAGATATCGTTCCACTTTGCAGGTACATGTCCATAATGTAAATACTATTTCTTTGGAAATTTTGATAGTTTCCTAATTCCTGCTCCCAATTGAGTTTGAGTTTAGGATTACATTTGCTTAAAGGCCCTACCTTATTGGTTTCAAATATACACACTTTTTTTGCTTGATAGGGAAGAGATTTGTTTGTTTTCTAGAGATGCACTTTTTATCAAATAGTTTTATTTTCACTGGCTTGAATTGGAACCTTTTTTGTGTATACACGACCAAGTTGGTGCCTTTTTGTATCCTTCATGAATCTTTATTAAATGCACTTTGGTCTTGGCAACACCACAGGGAACTTGGAATTGGAATAGTACCATACAGTCCCCTTGGCCGTGGATTTTTCGGCGGCAAGGCTGTCATAGAGAGTATACCTGCAAACAGTTTTCTAGTATGGGCTTAATCCTTTCTTTCTGATGACAATTATTGGCCTCGTTCATTGTACCAACATCTCTTTTCATCAGGCGTTTCAACCAAGGTTACGTGGGGAGAACTTTGACAAGAACAAAATCTTATATTCTAGGATAGAGAAGTTGGCAGAGAAGTACGGGTGTGCATCTTCGCAACTTGCTCTTTCATGGATTCTTCATCAAGGAGACGATGTGGTACCTATCCCAGGTGAGTGATTTTCCATTTTGTAGCTTGTCTCAAATTAGTATCTATGAAGATTACCAGGCGAATATAATGTGAATGTACAGGGAGGGAGGTAAATATTATCTTCTAGAATCAATATGTCTTGATGACTACAATATGAAATTATTTGAAAATGTATTATTCTAGAAAATAGGAAATTCTTCACATTAGGCTCGCTTGATGGGTCTTTTAGGAAGATAACTATAATGTCACGGCACTACCAAACGGAAGAAGGTAGCTTGATCTCTTCCTTTTCTCGGATGTTGTTTTCTTTCTCTGTTTTTCATATTAAACCAAACGAACTTTTAATGTTTAAGCAGGCTGCTTAATATGTTCTAATCCTTTCCTTTATAATGTTGATTTGAGATGGGAGTTTCCCTTTTGTTTATTTCATTGGTCAATAATTCATTAGTTCTCTGAATATATATAAGATCCCCCTTTAACATGGGCTCATGCTATATCATGTTACCTTTCAATTATGAACTGTTTTTGGCAGTAAATTAACATTTCTGGAACCTCTAATGTATTGTATTTGTAGGAACAACAAAGATAAAAAATCTTGATAGTAACATCGGCTCATTCGAAGTGAAGCTCAGCGAAGATGATTTGAGGGAGATTACTGATGCCATACCAATATCTGAGGTGGCAGGGGATCGGACTACTGATGCATTTGTTAAATGTTCATGGAAGTTTGCTAATACTCCAGCTAAAGCATAACTGGCTATACAGTTATACACCTTAAATCTAGTTTTCGGTCTCTTTGCATGTCTCTTCAATTTTATCGCATCTCAACAAAAAACTATTTGTTATTGGTTCTATTCGAATCACTCGCCAAACTTACGTTGTATGCTTTTTTCTAATTATGATGTACATGTTAATTTATCGCATGAAGAGAGAGACTGTGTGATCTGTAGCCAAGATATCCTTCATTTTGCCGAATCATTGTTCAACCGATGTTTCACTATTATTTTTCGGAGTTCATTAACTTCAAACTCGTCAGAATGTTTCTGTCAATGAAGAACGGTTTATTGTTGGTGTTGTGTGTTGTGTGTTGTGCCAGAAGACACTTCGGTTGTCGGTAAAAAAAATAGTTTAATTTTAGCATTTACATTTTTAATAATATGTTTCAAGAAGTTAATTGAAATATGTTAATATAAAGGTTTTCTAACTTTATCTAAATATATATTGTCATTTTAGTGAGAATTATTATTTTTTATAATAATTAATTTAATAATTAAATGCATCATGTATTCTAATTGATTAGCAATAAATTTTTTATATCGATTATGTATCAAAATTAAATTCATGTTTCAATTACATTCTATATTTAATGAGTCAACCAAATCAAATTCGAAAGGTTGAGAATACACAAGGTTAAGAAACATATATAAATACATTGAAGTAAATAATAATGAACAATCTTATTTACCGAAAAAAATGAATAAATAAACGAAATTGCACACAAACAATTCACTCACAGAGGGCACTCAAAGAGTACCCACATAGCCACACATGATCTCATGTCACACAAATTTGATCTTGTTCTATCCAATCACATAAACTTGCAAATTAGCATGCGCCTTTATTATCCTTGTCCGTTTCCATTAGGTCAAGGTACAAACTTCATCAAATCCTAGCCACAATCCACATATATAGAGACAAGTAGTCCAAACATTAATTTCTCCATCAAGTCAACGCAAAATCAATTATCCACCACACAATCTGCAAGAAAGATTGTTGGCTCCAGCTGCAATATAGCTTCATCCTTTCTCAGCTCAGCAAGTTCTTCCTCTGCTACCATCACCATCACCGTTCTTGCAAGCCCTCCCTCTGAGGAAGGCATCACCATGATCAAACCTTCACCTTCCACATTCCCCACGCGACACGAAACATGAGCTGGCCTCTCTTTATTGTTAAACATTGCTGCATATAGCAACGATTGATCATGATCTTTCTCACTCATCAAATGCTCCATGCAAACACAAGTTAATTCAGGTCCATACATGCAATTTGTTGATCTCAACTCTTGTGACTTTAACCATTCTACGTTTGACCAGATTTCTTCCTCTCTAAGCCCTTCCAAGTGCTTATGCACTAGACTAACTATGCCTCCTAAGTGGGCACTTTCCATGGGTTCGTCCACATTGTGTGTAAGCATTGAAAAATGCAAGGCGTTGCCGAAATACCCAGTTGGGAGTGATGCTTTTAGGAGATTCCTGAAGTCGGTGCAGATTGATAGAGAGTGGGTTTTGTCGTGACTTTTTGGAGGCTTCAAGCGAGCAATTCGAGTCCAAAACAGAGCGGAGAGGAAGTCAAATGGGGTGGCATTGGGACACGTGTCGTTGACTTTGGAGAGACATTGCTTGATGATTGAATCGGAAAACTTGAAAGTGGCTGTGGCCATGGTTCTTGTTATGGGGGATGAGGTGGGTGCATAGGGAGGGAGAGAGTGTGCATTCGGGTGATTTGGGAGTGGAGTGAATGAAGGAGGGTGTGTGATGGGTATGTGGCTGTGAGCTTCCGTCCATGATTTGAAGAATGATGCTGCACAAGTCAGATCAGCTACCATGTGACTACAACTCAGTCCTATTGCAACACCCCCTCCTTCGAAGCTGTTTATCTGCAACACCAATCTATATTATTCCATCTTATTCTATATCAATTATCAAATCGCCCATTCCAATAAATTAACCAATCTTAATAGGAAAAAAAAAAACTAGTTTAAGATTTTCATCCCAAGTTACAACTTATCGTTAGAATTGAATGATTGGAAGTTAACAAACATGAGTGCAAGATCTATAATTGATTCAGGAAAATAGCTAGACCCTTTAATTTATTGTGAGGAGAAAAACGTGCAAATAGCTAGGAAATAAAATGAAAAAGCTAAATGGATTAATTTCTTACTCTAATATATGATCACGAGAGAAGTGAGATATAAAAGGGAAATGATACCTGAATTCGAAAGGGCGACCAAGTTTCAGGATCATGAGGCATATCATCCCAAGCAATTAGAAGTTTCTCTTGGGATCCAGAAGCAGAAGAGAGCCATTGACGAAGGGTGGTATCAACGGTGGCCTTAATGACTCGAACGCCAGCATCATTGCACTTAAATTCAAAGTCATGATTCAGCACTCGTGCCAACCGACCCGTGACGGTCGGGTACAAAGTAAGAACCTCAGACAAAGATTCCCTCAAAGGGTCCAAATCAAATGACTCAAACAAGTTGTCCTCGTTCTCGTAGTAGAATATGATGTGAAGAGAATGATAACCCAAGGAATGGTCCAACGCTGATAGAATATGGCTCTTACCCGAACTAACGGGTCTGCTTGATACAACCGTTAGTTTTGAGTTTAGTGTTACCTTGAAGTTGGACATGCTTGTGCCTGCCTTTACCTTTGCCACCACTACCCACACCAGATTATGCGAATTCAGTGTACAAAAACATTAAAAAATAGTATCAATGTAAGCTTTGGATGAACCATATTAAGAGTATTAGCATATTTGTTTACATATACGTATATATATACGTAGATAAGGCATCATAAAGCAGATGAGAAGATAAAGACTTAATTTTAAGTGCACAGTTGGGAATTAAAGAGGACGGTGATGGTTGGTAGTTTTATTTATGTTGCGACATTATGTTTCTCTAACCTTTATACTGTAGAAGTGCCTAGCCTAATTATGCTTACAGGTGTTAAGTGAATAAGGTGGAAATTTTTTGAACTTAAAGTAAACCTTTAAAATATAAATAAAACATCACTCTTGTGAAAATAATGGTGAAATCGTATTTTTTTTAATAAAGAAAATATATAGTGGAAAATTTATTTTATTATAGATAAATAAATTTAAAAATTGACATGAAAGAAAAAATTATTTGAATCAATACTCTATCTGATTTTGGATGAGAGGAAATTATAGAACATAAAAAAAAAAAAAATGGAATAAAAACTTGGAGAGATTAAATTTTAACCCTAATGATTTGATCTTATTTGAAAATGTTTAGAATAAGTAATAAGCAAATGAGGACTGATTTTGTATAACATTTATTGGATACTGAAGATATTAAGAGGGTTTTATCATTTTGTCTTCAACTCAACCCTCCTAATTTGGACTCCTATGACCTATTAAACAATTTAAGGTTGCATATTTCTATATAATATGGATTGCTATTATAAAATGAAAAAAAATCTTAACCAAAATTCAAATAAAAATGCTCATCTTTCTAATTACTACCAAATATGTAAATTAAACATCTTTTTTTAATGCATAACAATATATTTGGGTGTTTATTATCACTCTCATATATCTATTGTCTCTATTGTTTTTATAAAAAAAAAACTATGTAAAAAAATTATGCTATTAATATAACAACAAACGAAATAGTTTTTAAAAATGATTAAAATAAGAATAATAATATACTTAGAAGTGAGAATATACATGTCTCATAACAAATAACCTTGAGTATTCTATAGCGAAATTGTAATAGCAACCAATTCCATAGCTACTGAGCACTTGAACCCATTAATTAGAGATGTTATTATCGACATTAATTTAGTGGGTAGGCTGTCAAATTGATCACCCAACTCGTTAAACTTGAACACGTGTCATTGCCAACGACCAAACTTAATTTGAAAGAAACAATACATTTGAGCTTTCCATGATATATATGCTGAGTTGCCATTAGAGAAGATTGAAGATTCAAAGAATGTTTACGGTAATTTCCAGTTATTAACAAGAAACAAGGTTGCAAATTTCTCCATGGAGAGGAATTCAAATGGAAACAATAATTATAATTTATAAATCATTTTTAATTTAATGTATAATTTTTAATACAACTTGTTCAAATAAGTTATGTTTAGTTTTATTGTCATTTTCAATAAGTTTTACATAGTAAGCACTGATGATGGGGAAGATTTTTTTTTTTTTTACATAGTAGCGTATTACTTCTTTTCTTTTCTTGTGAAGTTACGATCATATCCTTCACTTTTTTTTTTATGGCCCATATTCTTCATCCATGACCATGAGCACGCTTGGCCCAAATAAAGTCAAGTCAAGGTAAAATAAATAAAAAAGGTAAAACAACAACATTAATAATTTTTTTTTTAAAAAAAGAGACGTGTTAGCCTTTCAAAATTTAAAATGTATATGATTTTCAATTAATTATAGTTATTATCATAAGGTAAAATTTTCGATGACTGACTTTATTCTTTTAAAGGTTAATGATTATTTATTTAAAATACAATTTTTAAAAATAAATTTGAGAAAGTAATAAACACAAAATAATTTAGTAAATAAAACTATATTTACAATGTCTGTCCCATTTATAATATCATTAAGAATTTTTGTATAATAAAAAGTATAAAAGAATTAAATTACTAGTTTAGTAGTTTAGAATAAATATGTAAATAATTTAATAATTAAACAAATATATAATTTTATAAATAATTATATGTTTATGATAAAATTATTTTAAATAATATTTTTTAAAATTATGTTAATTTAATTTTATAATTACAACTATTATGTATCAAAATATTAAAAGTTTAATAAAATTAAATAATATTTTATCATATACTGTAAAAAAATTAATTAAATGTCAATAGTAAATATGCATTAACAAAAATTTAATATACTGTGCCTCTTTCATTTTAAAATTTTAATAATATTACTTGTGTCTTCTTTTTATTGACATTTTTATTAATTATAATTGTTAAATACTTTAAAATTAAAATATCAAATATCAAATACTAAACTATATTTTATTTATTTCATTAAAAATTTATCCCTTTAAAACACAAGCATATATATATATATATATATATATATATAATTATAATTATTAATAATTATATATCATGCATTTTAATTATTAATGTTAAAAAATTAAACTAATATTGTATAAAAGAAAAAATTAACTCTTAATTTTTTTTCTAACGATTTAAAATGCAAAATAAAACCATTCTAATAAAATAATAATTCTTCTAATATTTACTTGTCAAATAATAAAATAAAAAATGAAAATATATACTTAATTTTTATAATTGACAATTTTTTTTTATCATATATCACTATACTCAATTTTTTTTAATTTTATGAGTGTTTTATTATATTTTAATATTTGCTGTCATAACATCAGAATACGTGTCTTGCCTTTCAAGTATCACATAAACAGAGGGAGTTGAGGGTGAGCAGAGAGAAAGAAGATGGTAGCACGCAGGTTTCAGGTGCTTCACAATGACTCCGACTTTGATATCGATCACGACACCGATGACGGCTTCGAAGTACCTCTCTTTCTCCATCTTTCATCTTTCTCACAACTCAATTTCACTGCCTCTAATTCATCCACTGTTGCAGGTCTTTCAATTCCTACTCTACTCCCTCACTTCTGTTCCACCTCATCAACAAAAGGTTTATATTTCCCTCTATAATTCCCAACTCCTAAATTTTCGTATACCCATTTATTAATTTTCATTCTTTTCTCAATGGCATAGATTTATGGAGCTGAACATGATACCCAAGTGGCCACTGACTCTGATCTCATCACCATTTCTGACAAACTACGACTCGTCTCCATCAACGATCCTCAACCCCAACCCCAACCCCAACCCGAACCAAGCGCTGCCCATTTGTTGAAATCCGATGAGGAATTGGCCAGACTCTTACAGGTTTCACGCCCATTTCCCTTTTGTGTTCGCTATGCCTTCAAATTTTGTAAAGGGAGTGCATTTCTATATGTATTTCAAGTTTGAAATTTGTTTTCATTTTTAATTTTTTATTTACCCTTTTTCGGATTGCGTGAGTATGCACTATGTCTAATGTCTGCACAGGCTGAGGAGGAAGCACTTATGTTACAGCAGTATGTGGCCATCCAAGACACTCAACAATTTGAGAGTAGAATACGGCCTTACGTTAGTCAAGTCCTCATGGTATTTTTCAGCGATTGATTTTGAAATAACTCTATTTATATTTATATTTTGTTTTGAATGAGGAGCGCAAGACATTTAATTCATGATGCTGCATAACATAACATGTGAAAAACAGAGTTAGTTTTATGGTAAAATAGATAAACTCTCATTGATTGCAACTTGCACTAGATGCTCTGTGGAAGACACGGGCCTCTATGTTGTCCTTTTGACTATCATGATATACAATTAGTTCCAGCATTCTATGTGTTGATTGCTTTGATATCTTGCAGTATGAGGATGCAACGCGCCAGGAAGCTGCTAGGAAGTCCGTTCCTGTGGAAGAGCTCGAGGAGAAAGCTTTGGTCTCTTTGGCCAAGGTAAGATCATGTGTATTTCTCTTTTAAGAGAGCATCTTACTTTATAGTACAAATATGTAATTTCGTTTTAGAGGATGTTAATATCATGTTACTCAAAACCAACTCTTTTCCTGTAACTCTGTGTGACTATTTTAGAAATTCATTCACCCTGGAATTGTCTTTATCTTCATTTTGACAAGCACTGGGTGTGGGGGTTTGACTTTGAGCTTGTGAGGTTGTGATGCTGTTACCATTTCATAAGTACAGTGCTTTATATTTTGCTATCATTGTTTTGTAATCTGTTAGCCTGATAAACATTGTCCAGGAGGGGAACTTTGAACCACCGAAAATAGAAAAAGATCATGCTTTCCTGCTGCAGCTGCTTTTCTGGTTCAAACAATCCTTCAGGTTTAGATTATTTATTATGTCAGCTATCCTGCTTTTAATTAATGCCAAATGAATTAAACGCTTCAGTGGCCAGTTTCAAATGGTCAATAACCCCATAAGGACAGAACAGAGCAGATCATATGTCTCTGTTTCAAATGGTCAATAACCCCATAAAAACGTACTTGCGATTTAACTCAAATATGATTCATCCATTGTTTGTATTTTTAGTATATCTTTTATTTTGTCACCATGAGAGACACCAATTAACTTGCATGCCTATTTTCTTTTGCTAATGATTTTTTTGCCCCTTCTTTCTTTCTTGTTCTCATCAAATAGCTGGGTCAATTCACCATCTTGTCATGATTGTGGCAACGAAACTGTAGGCCAGGGCATGACTGCACCACTTCCTTCGGAGACTCTTTATGGGGCTTCTAGGGTTGAAGTTTATCGGTATGATCATTGAATGTATGCTTTAGTTTAATGTGAGATTGCTCTGTTTTTCACTGAGATCAGGAAATTGGCTTTGGTAATTATCATAATTTGTGTATGTCTTAATTTTCTTTTAACATCATACATTTGAACTAATCATAAACCTTATTTAAGCTAATGTTAATCAACTGATATGTCTGCAACATATTTTTTCTATAATCAACTTATAGTTTCTTTAAAATTTAAAGTATCCTATTTTTTCAAAATCAGCAAACTGTTTCCTGTTTGATTTTTTAGAACAGATCTTGTCTACAAAATCCTATTTTTATATGATAATATGCATTCCTTTCTTATTCATTACATATCTATTTAGCTTTAGGGAGTCAGGTGATAACCAATTAGTTTGGTTATTGGTACATGAATCCTGTCCTTTTGCTTATCAAGCATTTTTTAAGGTTTCTGCCTGTGTTCACTAATTTTTAGCTTCTATTATTTGCCTGACTTTCTTAATCTTTCTATTATGCACATTATCTTTCCACAACCCAGCTGCACCTTTTGCTCCAAACTGACTCGTTTTCCTCGGTACAATGATCCAATGAAGGTATTCAACTTGTGTCAACTTGCTATGCTTTATTCTTGGCCAGTTGCCAAGCCAGTTGCTATGCCAATCACATTGATGTTGTTGGATACTGCATTAATTTACAGCTTGTGGAAACAAGGAAGGGCCGTTGCGCGGAATGGGCCAATTGCTTTACACTTTCTTGTCGAGCTTTTGGCTATGAGTCACGTCTGGTTTGTAACTGGATGAAATTCAGTCTTTTCAATGTGCTGATGTTTCTTGGTTTTTATGCTGCAATTGAGTATAAAATGTATCAGTTTTCTGTATCATTAATTGCTAGGAAGTATGGTGTAAACCTGATTTTGAATCTTTGAGGTACTTATTTTGTGGCTTAGCACATGATGATTCTGATATTAAAAATGCAGTGCTAAATGTCATGTATCAAAAATCTATATGAGAATGTTGTCTTGTGTTTTGTAAATGATCTAATTTTAGACTCTCTTACATGAATAATATATGTTTGGTTTACGTATACATATAAAAAAAAAGTCATGCTTGATATGCTTAATTAAATTGTAATCTACAAGGAAAAGATGGGCATGGGATAGACTGGCAAATCTAAATCCAATTCTTGAATTTAGCTTGCATTCTCGTCAGGAACACTTGGCCCTTTAGGGTATTTTGATCCTGGTGTTCATTGATTCCTATGTAATGATTTTGCCATTTTGCTAGTGAATTTATTTATGATGAAATTTAAGTCCTTTTTTTTTTTTTTGCATATATTTTTAACTTAGGGTATACATATGCTTGTTTATGTTGTGAGGAATAAGTTTCCCATCACTGATTTTGGTCGATCTGCAGATCTTCGACTTCACAGATCATGTATGGACAGAGTGCTTCTCTCAATTATTGGGAAGGTAAAATTAAAGCAAAAGTTGCTGGTTTTCACAATGTGCAGTTAAAACTATTTCTGGTTGGACAGTATTTGTTTCTAAGGACCTATGATCTTACAGATGGATGCATCTTGACCCCTGTGAAGGAATCTATGACAAGCCATTATTATATGAGAAAGGGTAATATTCATTCCTGCAGTACTTTTCACTTTTCTGTATGCATCACTTTCATTCATTTATTTGGCTGTGAGAAAGTAGTTGTCCTTATTAGAAGTTTCCTTCTTGCTTGCATGTTTCCTCATTTTTCTTTTGATCTGTGGCATAGGTGGAATAAAAAATTAAATTATGCAATAGCCATAGCAAAAGATGGAGTTCATGATGTCACCAAACGATACACAAGGAAGTGGCATGAGGTAGGTTTTACAATTTATATTCTTACTTTCCTTCTATTCTCTTTATATGAAGCATTTATTTTTCAAATGCATAAGGATCCTGATTTGCTGATAATTGATATGAATTTTTTTTATCTTTTTCATAATTGAGGTCCTATCTCGACGTACTATGGTTACAGAGACTTCTTTGCCGTCTGTACTCTCTAATATAACAAGAGAATGTCGAAGAGTCTTTTCATCTCAAGAACTTTCAGTTATTGAAGCCCGTGATATGGAAGAAAACCAACAACTTGAGAGGAGTTTACATTCTAAAGATGACGAATCACTCTCATTACCTGGAAGAAGAAGTGGGAATGAAGAATGGCGCAAATCCAGATTAGAAATTGGTTCTGATAAGTTTAGTTCTTCAGCTTGCCCAGTTCGTTTGTGCATAGATGAGCATGTGACAAAGATTTATAATGCATTCAGCCCTGTCCTTCATCAATTTGTTGAGGAAGAATTAACAAAGTCTGAAGCTGTTGAAGTACTCAGAATCACTAAAGGAATTCTCTTGGATCTTTGCAATTCCCCCTTTAAAACAAGAAGGGCCTCCATCGATTCAGTTCTAAATAACCTGAAATTTCAGAAACTGTTGCCATCATTTGATGACTTACTTTTTGCTCTTTCACTGGAGAAAAAGGTGAATACAGATGGGAGGGTTGAAATTTGTTTGGCTGGTAACCCTGTAGCAACTTCTTTAGCATTGACTGTTGCACTCGATGCTCTCGATGACATGATTTACAATCTTAACAAGTGTGAAAACTATGGGAAAGATATGTTTCTGTTGCCACTTCTGAAGTTAAATAGAATACATTCCGGTTCAGTCATTGCAAGTGCGGAGGAGTTGCCTTTTGGGATTGTGAGTTTGTATATAGCTGGCTGTTTTATATTTTCATCATAATCATGCCTTATAGCATCCATAAAATTGTCCTTGTTTTATAAAATTTCAGGCAACATCAGCATTTGATGGAATTCGAATTTCAAAATGGGAAGAACCAAATGGAGCAAGAGGTATTGATATCCAATTAAATAACTTATTTGAGGTTATAGAATTTGACTCACATCAGCACTGGTACATAACTCTGTTAAATTTCTCATTTTTTTGAGATATGCTTCATTTGCATTCTGTTTTCCTAGACATAAATTTTAGGATTAATGAAAAAAAAGAATCCATTTGACCTGGGCAGAGATTGCCTTTATGTTTCTTACTTTTCACCTTTCTGTTACTGAAAATGTGTTTTCCAGAGGATTTTCCTCTGTTCTAAGGAGCTATGACCCCTTTAGTTGGAGAACTACTATTCAGGGATTTTCAGTCCCGATCACAATTCAGTCCCAGTTTAAATGCCAGTGCCAAAAGTATAATTCCATTTGATTACTACTGTTCACCCCCATAGTAAAGGTGAAGATGCTGCTCTCTTGATGCTCAAGTAAAAAATAAACAAATTATTACATGACTTTGTAGGTTGTTGGATCGTATACAGAACACTTGACAAAAAGATGTTTGAGCTTGTGGCATATGAGTTGATGTCAGCCAATGATGCACCAGAAAGGGATCCTATGGACTGGTATGAATGCTGGAATATCTGCGGAAAAGATAGTTTACTCTTGATTCCTTTTATTGTTATTGATTAATGAGTAGTTGAGTTACTCATCCTTAAAACCTAATAGGATACTCAAATCCTAATAAGCTTGGTTGCTCCTAATTAAAATAATCTAAGTTACGTAACTGCTGCTCCTTCCAGATATGCTTAACCTTGAATTTTAGTTTACATTTTAATCCATAATCAATTTAAAAGTTACTTGATTGTACTAACTTTATTTTTACTTCCAAACAAAGATTTTAAATGCTTTTTAAACAGGTGGCATGGTATAGTTTATTGGTATTATAAAATTTATGCTGCCATTTTATCAAAATCAAATCCTTAAAAATTAGATGGAAGGCAAGCCAAGCAAATTATGTGTCGTGTATATTTTTCCTACAGATGTACTGTTCTTTTGTTTTTTTCCTTGGGTGACTGGTATGTTCATTGACTAGCATCTTTTTCCTAGAGAAGTTTTGGCAAACCTTTCTTTGCTTGGTAATTATTGTCATGCATAAACTTCGATAATAAAGTGTGTGTTGTGCATTCATGATTTTATGGCATATGTTATTTTTCTCAGGATTCTTGAAGGGAGTAGTGATGAGGGGCTCAATTGGCAAGTTTTGGAGAAGCAAACCTCTCAGTTCTTTGAAGACCGTTTCCAGCGTAGAACATTTACAATTGATTCTGCAAGTTTTCCATGTAATGCTTTCAGGTAATTTACCTTGGCACAAAGGAGAAACATGAGCAAAAAAATTGGAAGTGGGACAATTATTACTTAAATAACTTTTATTAAAACTATTATTATGTTTACAAATGAATTTATTTTTTTTATGTATAAAAATGAAACTCAAGAGTTAAGACTTTAATTTCAAAGATTCTTATTGTTTTATTTATATTTTGATTTTTCTGATTTGTGTAAGTCTACATATGCCGGGCTCACATTTTTCACTGTCATAACCGGATAGTTCCTCAAGTCTAAGGTTAGCAAGGCTAAATGAAATGATTAAAAATTTCATTTTTATAAATAATTCTTTAATAAACATGGAAATGTCCTTCAAATATCTAAAAGAAATTACAAATTAGTATTTATATCCTCAAAAATATCATATACCCAATCAAATTCCAATGAATATATTCTAAATTGAGATGAGAATTAAGAGTAGAAAGGTGCATGTATTGATTGCATCTTCCGTGGGGTAATACACGGTTTAGATAATGATTTATTATTTTATAATTTTTTCTTGATTGGCATGTGCGATATTCTTGTTCTTTCCAAATTGACAAAAATTGTGTTTGCAGGTTTAGGTTTCTAGCAGTTAGAGATACCAAGTCTAATTCCCGGCTGCAAATCGGTAGCATTGACCTCTATGCGAAAACCATATGAAGTACAGGTAAATTGGGAGCAAATTCTTTTAGGTTTATGTTTCTTCTCAATATATCTTAAAAGGTAGAACTTCCTTACTTGGATGTATAGTCAAACGCCATTCATCACCTTAGTGTATATACTGGTCAATGTTTCCAACATAATTACAAAATGCTACTGGGATCGCTTAGATTTTAAATCATTTTTATTGGCTTGCCTTATAATGCTAGAGATTTTACTTTTTTTTTTGGCAACTTATGGTAAACTGTGTTCCCTGATCAAGTTTGTATTATTCTGGAATATCTTTCTGAAGCATTAATGTATTTAATTTTCCTGCAAGTTTTGTGAAAACGTTTTATTGGTTTCTATTAGTGTATTTGTGAGGTAGTTCCCTAAAATATATGTTCCCATCCTTTAAAAAAATGGAAAGATTTTTTCCCTCATGCATTGGGGATTTACCCGTTGCACAAAAATTCACGTTTTTGCTCACAATTTTCGGACGCATCTCCATACTTTCTAATAGGCTTCAGCAACCCATAATTGAGTAAATTCCTAAGCCTGTGCTATGAGTTTGCTAGTTGAAAAGAGTTGGGATGAATGAATGGCTTGATCTGAATATTAATGATAAAAAATTTAACGAATGTACAAGTAAAAGAATATAAAAACCAAAGGCAACATATCCTCATCTCTCCAGATGCAAGCTATATTCTATGTAACCTTGAAAACTAAGCTAACGTACAATAACAAAACTGAAGGGTGAGACCCTTTCTAATTTTAACGAAAAGAAAATAACAAACTATAAGGTTATATAAAAAAAGTTGAAAAGCCATGCCTAAATGAATATGTGGAATGGTGATACAGCCCATACTAACATTTAATATCTTTAGGCATTTTTGATATGGCACGTACACGCACAAGCAGTTCTTGAGTTATGTTTGCTTTGTCAATAACAAACTGAAAATCACACCATTGACCTTCGTGAATGTTGTTGCTCCGCCTGAAATTGGACCATCCATCGGACAAAAAATGACGACGGCAGGTGCCGTGGTGATGATCGCCACCGGCCATAAATTGTCATTCTCATCTCTTATACTTATCCTTGGGGTCAGAATGATATTAAATTTCTTCAGCACTAGTCTAGGAATTTCCTGCAATCCATAAACACCAATTATATCATCCAATATCCAATGTTACCAAACAACTACTTAGCAGTGGAAACACCATATAGATGCTAGACTTAGATACATATGTTCAGCAAAATATGTTGGTTATGTTGTATGTTTTCTTCCTTATAAGTAACTGTATATTCAAAAGCAAAAAAGAAAAGATATCATTTAATTTTAATTAATTAAATAACGTTCTTATAATATGTTTTACACCATTTCCATAAATAATAAAGAACAGTAATTTCTTCACATAAAATGCACGATTTTGAAAAAAAAATGCAATTCGATGCCAATTTCACAAACAAGCACTTAACTATTTAAGGTAGACCAAAAAAACTCCATGCATAGATTGTATAAAATATGTATAGAAACATAATAACTGACCACTCTATTCAGTTTCCATGCAGTTAAGCATATCGAAAAATGAGGGTTCCACGGTGGATCCAAGTTTGCCAGATCAGGTTTCATCTCATAGCGGTTAACATTTTCTTCTTTAACTCCATTTAATTTGCTCTGAGCACCTTCAGAAGGACCTATAAACATTCAGCACAGAGTTGCGTTTAGCATTTGCATAACAATGAGATGAAACAATATAAATATTTACACAACTGACCCTCTAACACTGGTTTTTTATTCTCATTTGTTTTAAGGACTGTTGTTGATAGATTTTTCCGTTTACGACCCCGCCGGTTTTTCTTACTATTCAGATTAGAATCTTCATCCAAAATCACAATGGGAACAGCAACTTTTTCGCAACATGCAGGTGCAGGTGGAGGTGGAGGTGCGGCTACTTTCCTGCACCCAGTTTTCGAAAATATCTTCACATAAAACGAAGAGTTTCCATCATACTGAAAAACCAAGAAGTCCCCTTCTTCTAAACCTTTCTCCTTAGCAAATTGCTCCCACCCGCTTTTGAAAACCAAGCGATCCTCGACTTTCTCCAAGCAAATATCATCCCTAGAGTTTATATCTTGGTCTACAAGAGTGGCCTTGCATGGTGTGGTTCCATTGAAGAACTTGGTGAATGATTTTGGTATTTGCTGAAACAAGAACAAGTCCTCAGTAAGTGTCACTGTCAGATATACACAATCGAATTGGCATTCGATGAATTAGCAAAGCAAACCAAATGAACAAAGAGAACTGAAGCAAGTATATCAGCTTTCTTTACATGCACTAAATTCAACATGTTAGGGAAGGACTAAGTAGATTTTCACGTGGTAAAAATTGTTACGTGAAAAAAACTAATGTAAAAAGTTGTTATGTGAGTAACATAACTCATAACAATCCTTGTGTTAAACTTGTGTGATCTATTTATCTTAAAAACTTTGCCAATATAAACTCAAAACCATCTGGCTCATGTACCATTTAATTTGTCACTAACCGTCGGGGTGAGACTTCGTTATCTAAAATTTATCGAACGACCCTAGAAGGAAGAATATTCTCATGCTCTAATCGATTCTTTGACGTTAGACAAAGAAAGAATGCATAACTAAGAGAAGACATTGAAGGAAAATATAAGAATTCAAAGGAAGAGATAGAGTACCAACTGGGCAGAACCAGTCTTGAGCAAGAAAACTTTGAAGAATTCCTGAAGGGTTTGATCGCCAGAACTGTGCAGTGCGCTCTCCATGTTGATTTGCAGCTTGCAGGTATGCGAGTGTGTGCGGTAGCAAGAACCAACGCGTCAAATATATATTAACAAACACAATCTATATTCTTGCCTATTTTCAGATATATTACGTTAGGATATACAATCAAAAAGTAGATTGATTAATTACTCCAGATATAATAAAGATAAGATTTCAATATATTTTCAAGATATTCAAAATTTTTTGGATAATTTAATACGTGTTTTTTTTTTTTTTGGGTGCAGAACTCTTTGGTATGTGGTTATGATAAAAAATAAAAAAATTTGCTTTTGTTAATGCGGGTATTAAGGAAAGTATTACCATGCGTTGAGTTCTTATATGTTACATGTTAAATTCCTCCATTTGTATCTAATAACTTACCATTATCTATTTTTATTTATTATATGTGAATTCTTACTCTCAAACTTTTAAAATTATCTTAATTGAGAATATTTTTAATATTTTCTTTTTCATTATATTACGTGATTTCTTCTATATTAAATATTTACTTTTTTATGATTTTTTAATTTTAAAAATCTATATTAACGACTACAAGGAAGCCCGCAAATAAACAGTTCCAAATCCAATTTCATAAGATGAAAACAGCTGCGCTTTTCAACCCCGGATTTACAGCAAATCTATCTTTCCAATCTCAATAACCTTATGTTTAGAGTTTAGAAGAAGAAAAGGAAAACGAAGAAGATTAGTAAAATTATTTTTTTTTAAAAAGTATTCTCATTCTAATTCAAATAAAAGATACATATCACAATTTACAACCCAACTTAAAGTTGCATATACATTTGCGAATCAAATTCTTATTAAAAAGATGAAAATAAATCCTTTGAATTCTAATTGAATCGTACTTTAAAAATTATTAAAAAGTTTGACTAATGAGAAACAGATCTCAAAACAAAGATTGTGATACATAAAAGATATAAGATAAATAACAATAGATTTAAAAATAGAAAATAATAAATATTGGCTGGAATAGAAGAGATAGAGTAATAATAAAAAAGGGCCAAGCAAGGCAAACCTGGAGAGAGAGTGGCTTTACCCACCAACCATTGAAAGCAGATAGAAAGCAATTAGCAATTAGAAAGTGAGTGAAGAAAAAAGGCCCACTTTTTTTCTCTTCCAATATTCTCAAAAACCACAACTCAGTTTGTGTTGGAATTCAATAACAGTGCCACTCAATGGCCTCCTTATCATCAATTGCATCGCCTCCATCACTCTCCTCCGCACACCACAATGCATCCACGCGCCTTATCCTACGCACTCCGAACTCCCTTAAACTGCGCACCAGACCTAACTCTCTCCGCGTTCGAGCCATAACCCTAACCCAAGACGACCTCAAGAAGCTCGCCGCCGACAAGGCCGTCGAGTCCGTCAAGAGCGGCATGGTCCTCGGCCTCGGCACTGGCTCCACCGCCGCCTTCGTCGTCGCCAAACTCGGCCAACTCCTCTCCTCCGGCGAACTCTCCGACATCATCGGCGTCCCAACCTCAAAGCGCACGGAGGAGCAGGCTCGCTCCCTCGGCATCCCTCTCTCCGTCCTCGATGACAATCCTCGCCTGGATCTGGCCATCGACGGCGCCGACGAGGTGGACCCCGACCTCAACCTGGTGAAAGGGCGCGGTGGAGCGCTTCTCCGTGAGAAGATGGTGGAGGCGGCGTCCGACAGGTTCGTGGTGGTTGTGGACGACACGAAGCTGGTGGAGGGGCTCGGGGGGAGCGGGCTGGCGATGCCGGTGGAGGTGGTTCAGTTCTGTTGGAAGTACAATTTGGTGAGGTTACAGGAACTGTTCAAGGAAGAAGGTTGCGATGCCAAATTGAGATTGGATGAGAGTGGGAAACCTTACGTCACCGATAATTCGAATTACATAGTGGATTTGTACTTCAAAACTCCAATCAGAGATGCCTTGGCCGCAGGCTCTGAGATTTCGGCTCTGGAAGGCGTTGTGGAGCATGGCTTGTTCTTGAACATGGCTACCTCTGTTATCATTGCTACTAAGTCCGGTGTTGAAGTCAAGAACAAGTGATATTCGCTCATCTCAACGGTCAAATCATAATTTCGATTTTTTCAATGTTGACGGTGTATTATGATTTTTTCTTGTTTTGGGAGGAATGATATTAATCATGATGATTGCGTCTATTTGTATGGTCATTTGTAATTAAACTATAAGATTAATGAATGAAAGAGGTAGCAACTTCAATCTCACCTTCCTCAACTGTACATGTTTGTTCTGTTCTTCATGCTGGATTGAGGGTAATACCAAGCTACAATGCATTTCATTTTTTCACCCCAAAAAACATGTTTAGAATATAAACTAAAAACCTCTGTGATCAAATCTCTCATTAATTGCAACTGCATAGAACAAAGACAATTGGATTAAGTAAATGTTTTGATTGTCATCGATACATGTTTACTTCAACTCTCTGCTAGCAACTACTTGTACCTTTTGTATTAGATTTACATCTATAGTTTTTTTTTTTAAAATACATATTGAAGTTTTGTCCTTCATGCGCTGCCTTCAAAATTCTTTCAAAATCTTAACAAGTTAATATTTTGACTCTCTCTTAACCATCATTTTTGGAAAGTTGAAAGTTGGTTCTGTTTAAATATTTAAAACTTAATTTTTATAAATCCTCTTGAGAATTTGAAAGGAAAAAAGAGTTAAATCAAATATACACTGAGAATGAAAATGGAAAATAGAGTAGAGTTCACGTTCAGGAATGACACATGGAAGAAAGCTAGTGGCATATGTATGGCTGTCGCCGTCTCGGCTTCCCTCCAACCAAGCTGACATTCACAGACGAAGTTAACGTGTAGTTTTACTAATAATAAAAAATATGTTCTGGCTAATTTATAAGAAGGAAACTTACACTATAGCACAAGATCATTTACAGCAGGGGGAAGAAGTGCCACAAGATTCAAACAATTGTGATCTAGAAAAGGAAAAAGTACGCCAAAGACCCTTTTCCTTGTTCTTTTGATATGGTGTAATTGCAAGAATTAATTGAGATGGAGAAAGTGAAGAAGGATACATAGACAAAAACAGGACAACAGCATGCTAATGAGACGACAAATCTAGTTCCTGATTATTTCTTTTCTTCATCGAAGTTACATTAATATGAACACTATTTCTTTTCGTCAGTTGATATGAAAGGCTTTTGATATCTTTTAATTTCAGAGTTGCAAACGTTTGCATATTGACTAAATCAAAGCCAAACCCTGTGTACAACAGCATAGAGACGAAATCAAAGTCAATGTACATATTTAAGTAAATGGTGTTAATTTATATATGTTCAACATTAACTTCAAGATAACACATACTAAGTTGAAGTAAACAACTAAATGTCACAGTTGATCCCTGATCTTTCTCCAATTCATATTCCAGTATAGACACTGATAGAATAAAAAACTACCATCTTAAATTGATTTTATAAATTAAGATCTTAAATTGTGCAGTCTTAGCAATAGCGTGCAAGTAATGCATGGCCCTTGGATCCCGGAAAAAGCATCAAAGGAATAAAAAAAAGTTATAAAATGTTAACATTGACGCTTATACCTTCTTATTTCAACAGAGAGGCACGGTCATTGAATACATGAATGTAATTTTATAACTAGCTAGTAGACACTGATAATCAACGTCTTTTAATTTTAACAGCATGGTCCCTAAAAATTACTTAACTCTAGTCAAAATTTTACAGCTCTTGAAGATCAGGCTGAGGCAATGTTGAAGTGGAATGCTTCCCCTAAAATATTTAGGTAACTCCATGAGGGTGGCAAGTGGCTCTATCAGGTAAAGTTTTGCAGGCCAAAGCCAGTAAGAAATTGTTAAATAGCAGCACAAGAACCCAAAAGTGAAGAAGAATGCAATATATATAATGCACGTGTATAACAAGATTGAAACCATCATATGAACAAGAAGATTCGCTCCCTTTTGTGTATCTAAGAAATGGGGAAAGCGGGCAAATGGATTAGAAACTTCCTTCTAGGGAAAAGAGAAGAGAAATTCAAGAAGATTGATGCGTGCCACCCTGAGAATAAGGCTATCAACATGGGAAGTCAGATTGTGAATCCCAAAGTGAAGCGCAAATGGAGCTTTGGAAAATTAACAGGTGGAAAGATAACAAGCAAGGTATCAGGTCATAAATTTTCCAGATCTTTTGACTCAGGAGACTCTGCAAAACTGCAAATACAAACCTTGTTGGAAACTCAGACTCCGAGGATTCTTTCAACAGCACTGGCTAAGGTTTGTGAAGACACTGAGTTTGAAACCACAGCTGCTACAAAGATTCAAGCTGCCTTTCGTTCATATTTGGTACAAATTTCTCTTTCTATTCATCAAATCTTCATCTTCCTAGGGATATCCTTTGATAATCAGAATGTTGTATTTTAATGATTTTAATAGGTTTTTCCTTGCATCATATCCCTGGCCGCAAACATATGGACTAGGTTTGATGAACATGCTACATGCAAATTTTCAGGCAAGGAAAGCATTGTATGCTTTAAGGGGACTAGTCAAGTTGCAGGCACTAGTGAGGGGTCACCTTGTAAGGAAACAAACAACAACTACAATGCGTGGCATGCATGCGTTGATGGCCATACAAGTTAGAGCCCGAATTCAAAGAATTCAGATGGCAGAGGAAGCAAATCTCCTCTGGAAACAGCCTATGCAACATAGAGAAATGCCACACTTGAAAGATCTCATAACAGAAGAAAATAAAGTAAGACTAGATTGGCGTAATATGATCATTCAAGTAATAGAACCATTGTATTCAATTTAGATGAAAATCTTGTTGAAAATTCATCCTAATAAAGCTTTTGGCTAATTTTCAGTTACCTGTTCTGATTTGCTGCATTCTTGATAATACCTATAATACGTCTATTTTGTATAGGATTCGGGCGATATGAGTCTAGAAGAAATGTTGGAGGTTTGGAAAAGTAGAAGTGGCCCTTTAGATGGTTCACACGATAAAAGAGGGCATGATTCTATGACATATTATTCGAAGCATCTGCCAGTTTCCAGACGAGAAAACCAACACAAGAATGCTTTACTAGCAGAATCAAACAGCCAAGGAAACTACCGGGACATGTCTGAATTTAACCTAACCACAATGGCCTTATCAACCTCTCAGCGCCATCCAGTACCCCATCGCCAATCATGGTCACCAAATTACATGAACAAGACAGAATCTTCGAGGGCTAAAGCAAGGTCTCACAGTGAACCAAAACAACGACCCAGATGGGGAATGAGGCACAAAAGCAAGTCTGTGGAATCTCCACGGAATGGTCCAAGACAAAATCTTTTCTCCAATTCGTTACGCTTCGATCATGGAAACCAGGACCATTGCGTTATCAGTCTTCATGGATCAATGAAAGATAGCAAGCGCGATTCCTTCGGCAGCAGCACCGGCACGGTTACTAGTGATTCCTATTATTGAATATCTTGCTTAGTTACAGAACAAGCTAGTAATTCATTTTTGAACGTTAATGCCCAAGTCATTTATTATTTAAGATTTTTGTACCCCTTTTGAGTTTGAGCACCACTATTTCACCACCCATCTCTACCGCTATAAAAGCGGAGTGTATGGTAGGATGCCAGACGGATAGCTCAAGCATACGTCAGCCATTCAGTGAAAGAAAAATTTTGAACATATTTCTACAGAGTATCATATTTATAATTTTGAACATGTCATAAAAAGATCTATCGTCTTTCCCATTCTCATTCGTCAGACTGAAAGTTTGAGTTATCGTTGTTCAGTAAGTGAAAATTGTGTAAATGGAAAAAAAAAAACGTTACCTATAAAAATCAGTAGCCTAAATGGCCCCGTATGAGAAGAAAGAAACACCGAACTCTACAAACGTGAGAAATTGCAGCAGTTTAGGTGGATTATTCCCGGTTGAAAGTGTTTTCTTTGAAACTCTTGCTCAACCAAATAGCAGTTTCCCGCGGGGAAGCTTTCCCTGGCCCAAATGGTTTTAACAAAACTGCAAGTTCTCTGTACCTTTCCTGCTGCAGTAATCTTGCACTAAATTCAAGCAACCCCTCTAAGGCCTCAGCCCTTTGTTGGAAAGACGTAGTATCAAACTGTCTGCGGTGCAAGTCTGAAGAGTTATGGCTTGATGCTCCAGCAATCGCATTTTGATTCGATGAGACACTTTTGTCCTCATCGTTTTCCTTGAACATGCTGCGCTTGATTCCCTGCCAAGTGTCACATATTTTAACTGTGCATTTGTCTATCAAGGTTGAATCATTGCCACAAGGAGGGGAGCCTGAGGAACCCTGTGCTGAGGTTAGTGAAGATCTATTGATGGGAAACAATTGATCTTCATAGGATGCTAATGGGAATTCAGCAATCCTATCAATTCGGGGAGAGTTAACTGAAATATTTGGCGAATTTACATGGCCAAGTAAACCAGCACGGGGTCTGCGAGGAGGTTGCTGAATGGCACCACTTCTCGGCAACGGCAATGATGCTCTGCGAGTTGTATGGACAGGTTGGTTTGTATTGTGTGAAAGCTGCAACCATGAATTTCAGAAAGTCAAGGCATCTAAAATTCTTAATTGAACAAATCAATTGCAAGTGAAAGAGTAGTTCATTGTAAAACCACTGACCCACTTAACAAAGATGAATTGCTTAAGTTTGTTTCATGATATATCATGTGGCAAACATTAAAATATGATTGAATCCAGCTTGCCTTACCGCCTTATGGTTCTTTGAGGGTTCCATCAATTTCTTGGGAGCAGCAGAAGTTTTTGATGGAGTGAGTCTTGGAGTTTTGGCATTAGTAGAAGTTCTGGAAACAGCTGGCTTAGGAATTGATTTCGCATCATGGCTGTCTCCAACAGACAGTTCAGCTAATCTTTGATTCAGATGATCAGGAGTTGTACAATCTATTTCGAGTGTAGAGCATAAAGAATCTTGCTCTACTCCAGATACATTAGGATTTAAAGTCCGATCATTGCTGAAAGAATGCCACTTGTCCCCAGAAATGGAAACAGGATCATCTTCTGGCTTCAAAAATCTCGTTTGCTTCATGTAGTTTGATTCTGACCAATGACCTGGCAATGTACTTCGCCTGGGACTATTGATTTTGAGATGGATCTTAAGAACATAAGGTTGAAGATGTGGGTGCCCAAGTAGTTCAGCAGCCTACCACCAGAAGAACATGGAACAAAGTAAGAAAAACACAAGTTGGTAAAGTAAATAAGAATATTTGAATTGCATGTTTGTTCTTTGGATAATAGTATGAACTAGAAGGTACCATGTACCTATTCTACAATTGATTCAATCATGAAGCAAACAATACATTGTACTAGATGCTGCACCATTACATTGCATCGAATTATTCTAGGTCAGAGGAGAAGTTTTATACATACACTAGGCCTAAGCTCTGGGTTTTTCCTCAGCATGCTTTTAACAAGACCTCGACTGCCAAAAGTGAACAAATATTGTTAGAACAATTGCATAATATAAGTAATTGATCGTTGTAAGTTAACAAGAAACCTCATTTTCAATAAGCTTTGACATTCCTACTGCAGTTAGATTAGAACAAATTTAGACAATAGGTTAACAAAAATGCTGAACTTAACGACTTTAAGACATGACAATGCAATTAGTAACTGCCAATATAAGACAAAGTAACTACTCAATGAAAGAACAAGGACTTACAATGCACCAGAATATTTTGTTGGCAGCGGGGCCACTATTGACTTGTTAATCTTGTTAATCAGGGCTTGTATATCCTGCTCGAAAAAATTGAAAGATAATTATATAACTTAATAGAAAGCTAAGTTCACAGAAAATATGCGAAAAAAAGTAAATGCCAGTAGTTTTTAAGTTTTCAAGAGAGAATATAAATGCAGCTAAACAAGTGCGGCTGATAAAGTCATAACAGAAAGTCAGAAACAATTGGCACGAGTTCAAAATATATAAAATAGAGATACAGAGAGAATATGATGGTACAGGTCAGTCCATGTAACACACAAACATGCGCAAACAAGGTAATATGACAGGACATGACTCCTCTAAAGTGAAGGGTGCACTTTAGAGGATAAGATGTGGGGTTATGACCTGGGATTTAAAAAGTAACAGAGTAGTTTTTACTTTTTAACATCTTTATGGTCATTATGTGCATGTATATGTATAACAAACAATAAAGTTGTCAAAATCTACTCCAGCTGATTTTTAAGTCAATAATTATAGTTCTACAATTTACCTTCTCCTTGTGGAACCAAATTCATTATGATAATAGTCAAATTGATGTGCATACATTGGTATTTGATTGATACCAAACTGAAAATTGGTAATACAACAGCAGCGTTGAAAGCACTAAATATGTTTCAAGAAGAGATATAAACAAAGAAAACTTCTAATTAGAGTAGCAAACTCACAAATGCTTTGAATGCAGGCTTAAGTGAGGCCATTTCATATACACAACATCCTGAATAACCAATTTCGGAGATCATTAATACACAATTAGCCACATAATAAAGTACAAATAACCATAGTACATGAGTACTAACCCAAGGACCAAATATCTGATTTAGAACCATAAGGTATGTCAGCAAGGAGCTCAGGGCACATGTAGCTAGGAGTTCCTACAACCTAAATTACAAGACATTAACTCCTGTTGATGATTACCATACAAAAGTTAACAATTGGGAACGTAAACTCAATTCTTAGATTAAATATTTCTTACAGAGGAAGTAAGATCATCTGAAGTCAACATTTTGGCAAGTCCAAAATCACCTGATTCATCACTAATCACTCGTAAGCAAACTTTTACGCATCTATGTTTTATTTAAAGGTATAATAGAATAACTTACCAAGACGTATGTCATGATCTTTTGTCAAGAATATATTTGAACACTGATAGAATCATGTGATTTTAATCAGTATATGGCTACACTGAATTTAGAAAATAGAAATGCTGTCACTAAGCACGAAGAAGATTCTGCTGCTAACCTTGACATCACGATGAAGAATATGGTTCATGTGCAAGTAATCAAGTGCCATAAGAAGTTGAACAAGCCACTTACACAGTTTCTGCAAACACACGCCCTGTTTAGATTTTAAATGTCCAAGTCTAAATATTATCTGGTTTATTCAAAGATTAATATTCTTGTCCAAACAAAAGAAATATGTGAAACTATAATTTCTGCAAGGGAAAATATTTTGGACATAACCTCCTCCGGAAACATTACGCCACTAGCTTTCTTTATAGCTTCCGCCCTATGTTTCATCGATAATGTATTTAAAATGATATCAACGACACAATTTATTAAAATAACATAGTGAAAGAATATAAAACCATATATTATAAGCTAGTAAATATCTGAGAAAAGAAACTTACATGTCTCCACCCTCACAATAACCTATAATAATGCACACATAGCAACCCTGAGAAGGAAGTCAAAATAGACCAGCATGAAGCAGTTGCGATTAGTCTATATGTCATCCATCAACAATCAGCAATAAAGCAAAACTGTAGTAATAAAGGAAATAGCAAAAGTTTTTATCCAGAAAAGAAAATAAACTTAAATCTTAACTAGTAACCATTTTTATTACTTAGTCCTTTAGTCAACGTTATTGGAATTATTCATTAAGGATTTGACATATTAACCGCTCAAGTCACCTTATGATCTTTCAATGGAAGCCTATTAGGCCAAGTGAAGCCATTCTTGTAATTAACTGAGGAGGTGAGGAGAAGTAGAAATCAAGAATCACATACCTTTTCTACCCATGAATCTTTATACTCCACAATAAATGGGTTTCTCAATTTGGACAGGAGCTCCATCTAAACAGACCAAAAGGAAAAGAAAATGAATAATATCCCTAATTATATCCACAATAATGTCACATAATGTTTGGAGTCAACAGAAATTGTTTACAGCCTAAATCAATTCCATTCATATTGGGGTTTGAAACTTCTTTGTTGACCCTGTAAGAGAAAGAGATATCTCTAGAAGACAAAAATGGACTGACCAAAAAGGCAGGAAGATCATGCAGTGGAACACAAGCACCGAAAGGGAGATTTTAGAAAACAGAACAAGATGTTTAGTTAGTACTTAGTCCACTTGTGAAAACACAATCAAGCACAAACCTCCTGGTGTGCAGATCTACGTGAGCGCTCAGTTTGGCGGGCAAGGCGAATCTTCTTCAGTACATATCTACATAATTCACAAGAAAAAAATGAAAGGAACAAATGAATATAACAGAAGCTGAAGGGGATAGGAGGGAAGTAATGCAGGTTCAATTCTCACTTTTTCTTCTCATGTTTATGCTTCACGAGAAGTGCAGAACCAAAAGCACCTTTTCCAATTTGCTCAAGGATGTCATACTGCTCCATGTCATCAATTGGGAAAAGATTTCCCTCTCCTGGGTACACAGTCAAGTATGTTAGATCCTTTCGAAAAAATTAGAAATTATTATTTGTAGTGAATATTAAACCATAATTGGAATATCAAAGGTAAGAAGACAATTACTGAAATGTAGTGATGCATTAGAAGGAATGTAATGAATGTGAACTGATAAGGAAGAGTACCCTATCAGCGAAGTTGAACAATTACATACGCTAGGTAAGTAAAACTTTTTCTCTTTCTCCTTTCTCAACAAACAAGAAAAACCATGTCGCAATGCAATGCTGATTACACACCTAATCTCTATCTAAAAAAACTAGTTATGAAAAAATAGCCGAAAAGCAAGTTTACAATGCTCGTGCATTACAACAAGGATACGGCATTGCAATTTGCAATACTACTATGCACAACAGCAAAAAGAAAGTATCGATTACATTAACTAATGCACAATCAGGTATGGTAATTATTAGCAAGAAAACTAGAGATATAGAACGCGAATACTAGAGGAACTAAGGGAGTGGTAAGATTTGCTTCCTAACCTGCATCTCTAGTAAATATTCTAACATTTAGGAATGAATTTCGTGAAGCGAAGTACGGAGTACGGAAAGAGTAAAAGAAAGTAAACGCGGAAAACGCAAGCGCAGAAAATGGAGAGAAATCCAGAAACACGAAAAATCAAAGAAACGAAGGAAAAAAAAAAGGAAAAATATACCTGAGTTGGGATAAGAACAAGTTCAGTGGATGAAAGGGATTCAAAAGGTTGAGGGAAGAGACGAATCTGAGAATGCAGGCTTCGACATTGGCAGAGTGAGTGCAAAACGACCGCGTTGTTGGAGAAGCAGCAGCTGCAGCTGCAGAGGAAGTTGCAGAAGCTCTTTCGCCATTGCGGTTAAAAGAAAGAAAATGCCAAATTACATTGCAATTTATTAAAGCAAGCGGTATAATTGGTTACTGTGTGCGAGAGATTGAGTTCATCAGAGTAAAGGAAAATTATGAAAGGGTCAAAATTAGAGTGATTAACTCAATGATTAATGCACCTCAGATCTCTTGTACAGTTAAAGCTGCTTCGTAATTTCATGAAAGAAATCAAAATCTATGCGTCAAAACTTTTTATGTATTAGTGGATAAATTTATAATATCGCCATTGATTTTCAAGATATAATCAATTTTACATTCTAATAAATCTGTATAAAAAAGGTAATAAAAGAAGGATTCATAAAAAAAATGATATTTTAAATATAACAAAAATTCTGAATAAAATAGCTCCAACTAATGATGTATTTATTATTTAACTTGAGTAATTAATATCCCCGAGTATGGGGAAAGTGGACAGGGAAAATCATAGTGGGACACACCACTTGCTACTTATACTAATTTCATTTCTTAACTACCTTATTATCCGGAGCATAATTTGATGAATTTTTTTTTTAACATCGACTTTAGTCTCATTCAACCAGTCGCAAATCTAGATACGATTAATGAGTTAATTATAGAAAATTTTGCATACACAAAAACTTAGACGCACAATTAAATGTAATGAGTGAGTTTATCATAAAAAATTTTATATACATAAAATATCAAATTCAAAATTTTATTATTTATGTTAATAATTTTTTTATTCAAAATATATTTATCATATTTTTAGAAATTCAATACAATAAACTTAATATTTTTTTATCAACCTTCTTTGTTAATAAATCATAATTAAAATTGTCAAACATCAGATTTGAGTTGGCACTTACCGCTGCCGTGACTGACGACTAAAAGTTGAGCATCATTACACGACGTGCTTCGATTGTAAATAAGAAAATATTGTTAGAAGTAGGCATCACAGCTAAGTTTAAATCTGTCACTACTTGTTTGGTCTTGATTTTGACAATAAATTTCATTTTGATTATGATTTATGCGTTTGAGTTTTCTTATTCAAACTATAATATTCACACCAACCGTGATTAATTGTGTTAATTGGCATGCAAACCACTTAGAATCCATAGGTACTTCAACTTCGCATTGGAAGCTTATAAAACAAATAAAATCTAAAGACGGTGGATGAGTTTCCCTCACAGATTCATTTCACATATAAGCAAAGGTGTGTTGTTAGTTTGCAGAATTAGAGTCCAAAGGGTGAATTGCGTTGACTGGGATTGGAAAAAAGTCAACGCAGAGTGAGGGAGGAGCACATGGTAGGTGGCAGCGTGTGACAGTGAAAGATGAATGGGTCTGAGAAGTGTGGGGCCAGAAGGAGGCTGACACATGATATTTAGTTTGCTACTGCAAAAAGGAAAAGACAATAATATGGGACCCTCTCCCCAACACAGATATTAGCTGTCACAGTTTATTCTCTCTACCCTCTTCTATTTCACCTCCTCAATTTTTTTATACAATAAACTAGCTATACTTTACATCATACAAACCTGTCAACTAATCACATAATTTCACTCAGTAATGCGAAATTTTCCTCTAAAATATAGCTATGAGCCTCCATATGAATAAGGAAAATGTATATTGCCATGAAAATTTGTTTTTGCAAGATATATTACATTTTGTAATAAGTCATTTTAAAATGCTTTATAATATTTTGTGTTTACTTCAAATTTTAAAATGAATATTCCCTTTTTCAGCTTTATGTCAACTTTTTCGTCTAGTTTTAGTGTAAGCTAAATATTATTTTGAGGACTATGTTGTTTCTTTTAACAAGTCTTTTTAGTAAACAAACCTCTCCAATATCTTATATTGGTTATTCAACCCAATAACGATTAATTAATTCATTGGAATTTAAATCCTTCATTTTTTTTTTGTTATAAATAAGAAAAAAACGAGTGAAAAAAGTAAAAAGTGTAGGGCGAACTTTGCCCCTTTAATACTTAGGTATCTGATTAAATTAATATTTTACATTGATGAGTTACGTGATTAAAGGTATTTTTTATTTTTCTTAGTTACTTCTTGATCAACAGAGAAAATGTCATAAAATATATGAGATATTCAAACACTTATCAACACTAAGAGTTTATAACATGTAACATTACTTGTCCAGTGTATTATTTCCTACGATTTGAAGTCTAATTAAAAGAGAGAGAGAGAGAGACACTAATCTAGCTCTAATTCATACAACCTTGAATACACTTCATTAAATTTTCAGCATGTCAAAATCTGGCTCGAATATATGTCTCTTGATGGTCCTCATACATATGACGACAAACCAGATTATAACCCACACTTTCCTGGAAATTTTCTAGTCCTAAAATCAATTTGTTGTAAGTAATATGTTCTTCAATCTGCTGGCAGCATCTCATAGCCAAACAAAGCATAATATTTCACCACATAGGAGAACCTTCAAGTGAAAATTAACTTTGATGTGAACTCCATGCGTAGCATTACATAAAGAGCATATAAATATTCATGACCATTATCCAACATTTTCTTCTCCTTCCTTAAATTTGTTCTTGTCTGAATATGTTGTCTAAGAGTATCCTCCATGCGAATACAACTAACAATAGCCGGCCAGGTAAGGTAAAAAAAAAAACAGATAATATCTCTTATGGAAAAATGAATTGTAGCAACTACAGTTCACAACGAAGGTCAACTTTTTTTTTTTTTTGGGTAACGTAATTTCATATTAATACTTTGATAATTTTTTTAATTACTCCTATTTCAATTTCAACAACATTAACTGTCTACTTACAATATTTTTAATTTGTTTCTTTCTATCGGTATCGTTCACTCGAGTAGTCAAGTCTCCCAAAAATCGAATTAAAACTAGCTGAAAATCCTGACAGAGACCAGTCAACAAGAGCAAATAGAAAAAGATGTTTTAGACGTCTTCTTGTGTTAGCTAGCTTAAAAGGGGGTCCAATTATAATGATAAAGACTCATAATTAGGTGGAGTTCAAGGCTCGACCCTTTGTTACTCATATGAATTATGCATGTACTATTATACTAGCTATTCGAATTAATTAGTCAGTGTACTCAATTTGTATAAATTAAAAACAAACATATATAAATTCAAGTTATGGTTTTTATTTCCATTGCATGTATAGTTTACATTTTTCTCAGATGATGTAGAAGCAACAGTTTGGATGATTCTTACGTTGATCAACACTTGGATCCTATTTAAATGATGATTGAAAGATTAGATAATATTTTAACCTTCCACATTCCTACACATACAAAATAAAGGAACAACCCAAATAATTAGAATATGTTTCATGTGAACAAAGAAATTTAATATGAACAACTGGTGGAGCTCCACATTAGAACTCAAAAAAAATATTTAATTGGTCTGTTAACGTCTCTAAATTCGATCATTATACCTTCCCAAGATATAACCTAACAATAATGATAGTGAATTAAGCAAGCAGAAACAGGTCGATCAACAAGGATGATTTGGCGGTATGAACCATTGAAAATGACCAGTCAAAACGTACAGTAGCATTCACCTAAATATAGCATTTTATAGCGTAATGAAATTTGTTTTATATTTGAGGTTTTTTCTTAAGAAAAAAGAATTGTACATAAAAAATTAAAGAATAAAAAAAACACTACAAAACAAATAATTTTACTTCATTTAACCCTCAAGCCAAACGTTTCCTTAAAACATATGAAATCCAAAACATTATTGTTCAGCTGACAAAAACACAAAAAATGGAAAGAAAGAAAACTCAATAGTATGTGAGCGCTCCGCAGCAAAAGAAACTGAAATCCAAATGCATCTCGAGATATATTCTGCGATGATCCTGTGATAAGACCAAAATGTTACAATTAAGTATTTTAATTAATGTATATTTTTTAACGGAGAAATTTAGAAACAGATTAAAAAATAGAAAGTATAATTTGGATTTTATATAATTTGTATTTGATTTTCTAAAATAAAGTATCATTATTATTAAGAGCAATTATCATGCATTTCAATTATTATTTTATTTTTAAATTATTTTATAACTTTTCGCATTTGAATAAAAAAATTAACACTCTTCTCTTTTCTCCTCCAAAACAAATGAAGCAAAAAATTAAGATTGGCGGCATTTTACTTAAAACGAAACAAGATCAATGTAAGGTAGCTGCTCTGTGTAATTATCGTACAAATCAACTTAATATCCTTAAGCATGCTATTGATTGATGATCATGAAAGCTAGCTATAGTGTATAACCTTTTCCAATATATTTGGATAAAACACACTGATAATTCCATTCACTTTTTTTGTAATTAGTACCAGTCCCAGCAGATTTTAGAATGTCCTAAGGAATGTCTCGTCCACCCGTTTATTTCCTCGAACAATGTGTTACAATGTCTTCCCAATTAATGTGCATTAGGTCGTTAACCTATATATATATATGAAAACATCCAAGAAATTAATAAAAAGGTGAGATATAAATTGAAATGGCGCTATAAAGTCATATATATTCACCGCAGAACAGAAATATTGTTCCTCGAGCTGTCGGTGCTAACCAAAATTTAATATACATTCAATTAATTTATGCTATATATATATATATATATATATATATATATATATAAAGCCCTCCCACCACCAAAAACAAAATAAATCAACGGAAAATAGAGGAACCTATTATGCCATAGAAAATGGGAAAATGAATGAATTTGAAAGTAATGACAATATCCAAAGGATCGTTGCTTAATTTCAAAGTTTTCTCACCTGCATGATCAACATGCATACTGAATCAGAGGACCAGACCCCACTTGAGAAGACTCATCAGCTTGAGCTTGATCTGGCGGCACTTGAGCGGTATTCGCGGTTGGATTGAAGTGGTTCCCTTGCCTTTCAGATTGTAGCACGAGTTTTCCCTGACCATATAAACAGCTAAGTTGATGGAAATAGGGACAGGTCCTAGAGTCAAGGGACCTTTTCTTGTTAACATCCTTTGTTTTTCTGAAGTACTTATTTATGTTTTCCCATTTCTCTTTGCACCTCTTTGCACTTCTCCTGTATCCCAGATCTGACATCCCTTGCGAGATTCTCTCCCACAGAGGAGCCTTGTTGTTTCCTTCTTTCTCTTCATTATTGTTGTTACTTAGACTTGTGCACCTCAGGTTTATCAGTGCTAATACTTCATCTCTTGGCCATCTCCTCCCAACGTCGTCTTTCTCAGTAGTGGTCATAAGGGTTGACGTGGCCTTATTTATCGAAACTGAGTTTGACTCTAATTGATTATTGTGGCTATTGAGCGAAGAAGTAGGGTTGTGAGGAGCTGGAGATGAATTGGAAGAAGAAGGAACTTGTAATAATGTGTCACTTGAGCTAGGGTTTTCTGCTCCCAACGTGCTAGTGGTAGTTTGATCGTGATTAAGAATCGTTTTAGAAGAAGGTATTGGCTCAAGATTGTTCTCTTCAGTAGAAGGATTATTAGGGTTTTGAGGGGAAGAAGAAGAGATAGTAGTGCGTAGACAATTTCGATTTGAACCATTCGTTTTGTACTCACCATTTTGGCTTGGAGGGGAAGTTGTTGCACATTTCTTTAAGAATTCAATGATGGTGGTATGCCTATCACCCGCAATAGCTTGCTCATGTGCCATAATCTCAAGTTCCTTGTTCATCTTATCCATCTCTTGCTTCTTCCACGCTTCCTCCCTCGCAAACTTCTCTTGGTCCCTTTTCATCATGTCATCGAGGAGCTTGTTGTGTATCTCTTCTTGTTGAGCCATCATCTTGTTCACAACACTCTCACAAAAACCCTTGAACATCTCAAACCTATCCTTTCTCTTCCTCTTCCGCTCCTTTGACTTTTCCACGACCTTGTCACTTCCATCACATTGTTTGGTCGCCTGTGCTCCAATAATGTCTCTCGAATTTTCTTCCAACGCGTGGCCCATGTTGTCTCCACCTAGGTGGTGTGTCTTTTCACTCACAACCCCATCATCACCACCCTGATCAGGGTTTTTATCACCGTGACAAAGCTCCTCAAGCTCACTAAGGAACCGGTAATTGTTCTTGCCATAGTCATCAATGTTGTCGAAATATCTACTTTCATCTTCAAACTTCTCCTTGCATTTCTCCGCACCCTTCTTGAACCCAAGCTCTGCTAGCTTCCTGCACACATCATAAATACATGAATATATACATCAAAGACCAACCACATAAACATCATAATTTATTATTTTTTACATCACACGTATGTACTGTTCCCAGCACAATTAATTAATTAATGGATTTTTTCAACTTTCGTTCCTTCTCCTCCCCGGCCCGCTATAGTTCAGCTAGCCATATAGCTTTCTCTTGGGGTTTGTGTGTGCGAACGTGTCATGCTTGAGCTAAAGTATTGCAGCCCGTTAGTGCACGTGTGCGTTAATTTGTCTACCACATGAAGGTAACTTATGAAAAATATATTAATCATTATTCCTCATGCTCGCGAGGTGATCATATTCAAAATCAGGTTTTCAGCTTAATTAATTACTTGCTCAAAGGAATGAGTTAATTAGAACAGAAAAGTAAGGTTTAAATGTTGAAAGGAAGTACATGATTAAGTTAAAAAGAGTGATGGAGTACCTTGAGACATGCTCCCATGTCAGCTGTGGGAACCAATTTTCCATGCTAGATCTGATCCTCAGCAGTGCAAGAACTTCATCGTTAGTCCAGGAATCAGTTAACTGTGTTGATTGTCTTTGATCTCTTTGAATCTCGACGTTGTTGATTGAAGGAACCATGTCCATGGTGTTTGGTTCCTTCTCTTCATCTTTGTGGGGGTGCAATGGGTGCAAAAGATTGGTTTGGAATGGGAATTGATGAGAAGGGTTGTAAGGATCAAAGGGTAGGAAGCTATTAGGGGTGGCAGAAGCATGAAGAGGGAAAGATAAGTGAAGAGGAAGAGTGGTCCTTGGTGCTATGAATTGGTGGAACTGATCTGCTGCTCCATCGAACATGTTTGTGTTGAAGTGCTATCTATTTCCTTTACCTCTTCCTTTCTCTTTTGTGCTCACTGTAAATCAGCCAAATGCTACACCAACTTTTGTTACAAAGCAAAATGCTAACCTCTCTCTGTCTCTCTCTCTCTCTCTCGCGTTTATCAAGGAGATTGTCCTTGCATGAAAGGGAAAAGATAGCCCCCGACACCCTTTTAGGAGAAAGTGAACTCACCGGCCACCTCTTAAACGATAATATTTTACGCAATAAAATATTGTGTGACCTTGGACAAGTCAATCCAACCACGTTGCTATTGAAAGTATATTCAATTCATTTCAAACTTGTCCAACCCTTTTCTCTTTTCAAACAAAATCCAAAGCCTTCTTTGTCACCCATTATAACACACCCACAATCAAGAATATTTTAACTAACTTAGCCTCATGCTCACAAAATCAAATTGTGATCCACAGGGACGATTAATTCCAAAAGCAAATTGTGACGTAAAAGAGAAATTGAACCAAGGTAATAAATCAAGCAACACTTTTAACAAAGTTTGAATACCACTAAACTATTTGGAACTTCACAAATATGTAAAGTTAAATCAGTACACACGTTACCTTATTATATACTGATTGATATTGATACATGATATGATTCAGCGGTTGAAGGAGACGCGCGAGGAGAGGGAGAGTGTGGTTAGTAGTAGAAGAAGGGTTTGGGTGGCATGGAGTAGCTGACGGAGATGATGGTGTAATTAACGGCATAGGGATGGCAGGACACGTGAAAAGAAGCAGAGAGTGGGACCAATGATTTAAGGATGGGAATCTTCACTCCCTACAAAGGAATACAGTGCTGTCGTACTGCAACAGCAGCCAGCACGTGCAAGCGCTTACTGTATAGTGGACGATTGTACACAGTCACAGAACACAGAACAAGACCCAAATGCACATGGGATAGGAGCTTATGTTTTCTCTGTTTCAAGCTCATATGTTTCTTCAGCTTTTGCATGATTTTTGTTAGTGTAATCATCTCTCTTATGAAATTGTAAAATGGTTTTTTAATTCACATCTTTGTTAGTTTTGTTGGGGGAAATCGATGTAAAAATAGCATTATATCAGTTAACTATTGAAATAAGACAATTAAATGAAACATCATGAACAGGTGAGTCTGTGTGATGTGAGTGAGACAGTGTCTGTCCACCCAAGCGTGGGGCTAAGGAGCCTCTAATTGTAAATACTTTTCATTTATAAACATTTTCTAATATTAATATATTTATTTTTTAAATTATATTATATTACTCGTTATTTTAAAATATATTGATTTAAAGCTATCTTTATTTAAATTACAAACTTTATATATTTTTAGCTTTTAACCCTACAAATTATCATATAGTTTTTATTTTAAAGAATATAAATTTTATGAAGTGATTATTTATTAATTATATTAAATCGAAACTAAACCTAATGTAGTACAATCTGATTAAGTAAACAATGAATCTAAATACAAATAAATAAGTACTTGTAGAATATAATATAGAGATGAAAATTATAATTATTATTCATAAAAGAATGAGTCAAAGCTTATATTTTTAAATATATAAATATTAAAAAGATATTATAAGATCATACTGAAATGTGTTTGAATATATTTCTTGCAATATTTATTATTTCTTTCTTACCTAAATATGTGCTAATATTCTGATTATACTTAACCATTTAAATTATAAATTTAAACTTCATGATCACAATGGCACAAAAACAGAAGTACTAGTTCACATTCGTTCCTACCTAACTACTTGAATGCGTGCGAACAGTTTATAAACTCGTATGGTATTACACAATTTTTTTATTTTTATTTTCTCTTGTTTTATCCTTTCTGTATGTCAGAACTTAGAGCCTGTGCCGTTTTTGTTTGATATAATATTTACAAATAAAAGATTATTCTTTTATGGAATTCTCTTAGCATACATTTTTATCATTCATTTCGTTTTCAATAGTAACATTCTTACTCAGTAATTACTTATCAGAAACCGTATTGTTGTTGGGAAAAGTTATTGTCATGGATCACCAAAACAAAATGGTTTAATCATGTTTTCAAAAAAATGTAAATAAAATATCATTTTTGTAATTATTTGTCAAATAAAAAACACTTTCTCAAATTAAAATCCAATAGTGCATGTGTTATCTTTAATCTTTGTGTTTTATGTATAGTCCTTAACTAAGAGGTCATAATTTGTTGTCAATCATTATATGTTTTTCTTATTCATATTTTTTTATTTGGGTTAGATTACATCATATGCCATTTTTTAATAAAATTCCTTTGCCTTGTAAAATAAACATTAGCCAACAATAAGTAGACACATAGATGTCAGAAAAGAAAAAGAAAAAGAATAGTTGCTCAAGAAATTGAGAATTGAGGCATATAAGAAGAAACTAAATGCTATCCTTCCATTCCCCACAATCTTTGGATCAAAAAGAAGAAACCAAATAATTATGGAGGAAAGAGCACACATCTTATCAAGAAGAAGAAGATGGAGTAGAAGCTACAAATTAAATAAGAGAATCGAACATTTAAGCTTCTTGTCAGGAAGAATCCCCTCTTACCAATGTCTGCATAATTCGCTTTCCAAAGTACATGTGAGTTGCCAAGAAATTGATTGAAGCTACTGCAAATGTGTATGCATAATAAATATTTGCCTTTCCCTCTTTAAAAACAATTTTTTTTTTATTTGTGTGTTTTTGTTATCCTTTTACATGAATACATAAATAAAATCGGAAAACTACTCCTCGGTGCAAGAGGAATGTATTAATCATGTATGTTGAATTTGAAAGCAATAACTGCAATTATAAACCTGTTAAGTACGTACTTTAATTGGATTTTGTAAATTTAATTTTAGGCGAACTTAATTTTTGAAAATTAATTTTAGTAATAAATAGATTTGAGTATTTATTTATGTTTGAAGTTAATAGTATGAAGAATAATGAATGGAATAAATGCTATTGACATTTTTTTCTACTTTAACCTCTTGGTTAGATAAAAATAAGTTAGCATTAAAAATTAAATTGTAAATGAATTGATGCTAAAAGAAATTATTTTCAAGATTGTTCTGGTAATGCAGATAGAAGTTTTAAAGTATTTTGTCAATATTGATACAAGGTGTAATTGCAATTGTTTATGTTTACGTGGTTAATAGTAATCATGAACTAGTCAACATTTTGATATTTGCTGTTAATGATTGCTATTCATTTCTGTTTCATTAATCACAGACACTGGTGATTGTCGTTTGAATGATTATCATTTATCTTTTTTTGGTCCACCGATTATCATTCATCTTTGTTTTTTGGGTCGTGATTATCCTTCACCTTTGAATGCTAAAAGAGTAAAATATCAAAATGGATCAAGTCAACCACATACAATATATGAGCTAAGTCAACAAAATTATTCTAACCAAATTAGACCTAGCCCACCCCATTGAACCGGGCCAGCTCATAAGCCCAAAAATTTTAATAATTATAACAACTTCAGTCAGACTTAAGTTTCTTAATGCAAGTTAACCGAACAAAATATTTAAACATATAAATGAGTGAAAGTATACGTATAGATGGCCCAACATACCGGCGCCCCCCCCCCCGCCCACACAACTATATTGTCATTGGAAAAAAATCAAATTAACTTCCTTAAATGCTTTTGGTGTTATTTTACAATAAAAAATGATTACTTGTTTTATTACCACAAGAACCTAAGCAATTTTATGTTCGTTGCAGTTCCATTTTAGTTATTCGCAAATGTGTGTATTTAGCTTAATTTATTTTAAATAAGTAGTTTTTTTTAATCAAATTTTCTTTTCTTTTGAAAAATGATTATTTTCTGAAAAATAAAGCCTAAATCACTATAAACCAATTTAATATCAAAAGAACCAATTTGAACAAATTAAACGAGATATAATGGCCCATTCTTTCCATTTTTTACATTTGAAAATGGAAATGCCTTTAAAGAATTGCACAAATGAAATGCTTCAGAAAGATATTATTATTGCCTGACCAAAAAGGAAACGTTATTATGGGGAAAAAATTGCAACTCATTCCATCTATAAATATACATCAATTTTGTTTCAGGATTTAATTCCTTCATAAGAAGCTGGAAATGTGTATGATTTTAACCTAACATGTACAGTAAGGAGATAAGTGCACACCAATGTCCACAATAAACAAGACAGTAGTCCCAACCAGGAAGATTAATTTGGATAAACTATACCTTCTATAGCATGCTCTCACTGTGTAAAAACACCAAATCGATTGTTGAGAAGAGCAGGTTTTCATACCAAGAAGTGTTCAACTTCCTAACAATGGTCTAAAATATCCATTATTCTAAACAACATGTGTCTAGGAAAGCATAGGATTCAGATGTTACAGCTAAAAATAACACAATAGAAAAGCAAAAAGATAGTATGTATTCCTGGAATGAAAAACAGGAGAAAGCGCAAAGTGTTCAAACACAAGGACATTTTCTCAGCAAAAACGATATTAATTGCACTTGCAAATTTTTAACTTAATCTTTCAGCATAAATAGTCAGCGTAGAATTTCATGGTTCTGCAACAAAAGCACCCGAAAGATGATTTTTCCCTCTCTTCCGTCAAGATTATAAACATCAACTGAGAATAAGTAACACGCGCTGAAACACATCTGTTCTATAAATCACTTTCTCCTGCCGAAAACATTGCTAAATGGGTAGCCACGTGCTCACTACTGGTTTAATGTCTTTTGATATGCAACCTGTAACAGCGTCAAAATAAAAGAATCACACAAAACTGCAAGTGAAGGAAATGTGCAGTGACTGCTTATGAGACTAACTGAACCACCCAGCCAGTTTCCGCTATGCCAAAAGAATTCAGTATGTCTAAAGAATATATATAGTATAAATCTGATCCCTGTTTGGGCAACAAGCCAGAACCAAGTTTTCTCCCATTTTATAGGGTTTTTAAAGGCCTATAATTTAAGAACATATTACCGATACTAGAAATTTATCCCGACCATGATTAACTTGAAGATACATAATAACAGACCCCAAGACTTTTTAGATTGGGTGCTTACAGATGTTGAAGTCTTCAGCAGCTCCCGTATGGCCATTGTTGCATAACATGAAGCAGGAAGAGTAAAGCCCAATTTAAGAGCAATATGGGAATCTTGAGAGCTGGAGCCACCGACAGATTCAACATGTGGTAATATTATTTCCTCACCAGCAATCTCATTATAATCGATCTCAACCTTTGCAAGGTCATCAGTGCTCTCTAATTCTTTTATGCAATCAAAGGCTTCTTCCTTTTTCCCATTTGGTGCATCCATTAGTTCGACATTGTTGATGGGTTTAGACTTGCTAATTTTGTCTAAATCTGTCTCTACTAACGGTTTATTACAATCAGTATATGTAAGTAATTCCCTACAATTACAGATATCAAAGACATTATTCAGTAAGTGAACTACACACACAAACAAAAATGAGTGAAAAATACAAGTCAATGCAATCAAGTGGAGGGTTAACTGAGGTACATACCATTCAAAGTTAATTGGTTTCTGAAAAACCCTTCTGTAACTTCCAGTCATACTAGTTATCGAGAATTCCCTAATAAAAAGTAGGAATAAACTAGGCTAAGAGAAATACCAACAGAAAAACTAACAGTAAGATAGAGAATGAATGTAGAATTGGACTCATAAAGATTTGAGTTGAGATTCTTATTACATACTTCGCACTATGCACGCTCTTAGTTAAACTGATTCCATCCTGACCAATACAAACAAAACAGGTGACTGTTTAGGGAAAAAAAAATAACAACCTGAGGAACAATTATGGAAAACAAGGATGCAAAAAAGGCTAGGACTGCAACCCAAAAAAATATATACGTATGAGCTGGTTGACCACACTATTAGATTGTAACACAAGGAGGAGGAAGAAAAAAAGAAGCAATGAAGGGACTCTGTCCATCCATTAATAATATCTCCACTAAATATCAATTGTCAACTACTGAATATTAATCTTAACACATGCATCTGGCAGGGCCAACATCAAGGGAAACTAATTTAAATAATCAATTTATCTCAAATTTAAGAGCATTCTTTCTTCTTTCATCACCAAAGGAATGCCTCTGGCTTGACACAATAAAGTGAACCTGAGAAGGGGCAACATTTATATTCCCCTTCCCCCCCATCATGAAATAAATTATTTGCTCAAGTACCCCAAAATGCATAGCAACATCACGTTTAATAATAGCTCAGAAGTAAAATATTTGACATGACATTCAATCTTAGCTTCTTGGATATCACTCCTAATCATATGCATACAAATTCAGGTTATTGAAAGTACAAGGGGCCAAATGGACATGTACTTTATTTGCCAAATCTTCATAAACTTTGGCAATATCATTGGTTGGATAATCTACTCGTGAACTGCAACATAATAAATACATAAATGTCAGAGACTCAATATAGGTTGACGATCTGAGTCATTATTTGGTCATGCTTACCCTGGCATAGGAAGGATGACATCATCAATTGTGTAACATCCTGAACTGAGATCTTCAGCGTTAACAGCCTGCCATATGAAGTAAACTGTAAACCCACCTTAAATTGTAAGCTTATGTTAGAACATCATTCATGCCACTTTTGTCATTCCTTGTTGCTTTATTCTTTTTGCTTCAATCAATAAATTAACCTTTCCATAGTTGTACAGTTGTACTTTCCCTCATTCCTCCCAAATAAAAATAATTTTATATTTGAGAAATAAAAAATGATTTTACACTCTACCACCTTCTAATGATGATCAGAATCAAATCTAGTAGACCCAGAATTATATGGAATTAAGCTGTTGACGAATATCCCCATAGACTTCTAAATAAACAGATGAGAAAGATGTCATAAAAACTGACATACTTCTAAACCTATGTTGTAGTTGAGTGTACTAGTAGACCTCTGTAAAGGGCTAAAATCAAAAGACTAACCTTCACATAACTATTTATTTCTTCATGAATATCTCCCAAAACTTCTTCATTATTAGAATCATACTTATCACCGCAGTTATCATCATATTCAGATCCAACAAGCCCTGTAACTTTTACAGTAGAATTTTCTTTACAATATACCAAGTCTCCTAACACTATGTGTGCTGTTCCTGCCACATGGTAGAATCACATTCAACTGATAAATATTTTGACTTCAACAATAGTAATTCATGGTAAGAATTGTAGAGATAGTGTATCAAATGTAATGCCAGTAAGGATATTAGGAGATATCACATTAAAAGCAAGGCAGACCTAGAAGTATATTACAAGTTGCAACTTACCATATTTTTGCACCCTCTTACTTGCTGCATGGTTCCACAAATAGCTTTGGTAACTATGCACATACCTTTAATTAAAACAAAAAGTAAAAGAAAAGATAAATGATATCCTTAAAAAAATTATCTTGAATCATATATTACTTATTTTATTTGTGTTCAAAGCACACTTGTCTTTACGCATAAAACAAAAGAAAACATCATCAGATACACAGCACAAATAACCCAGCTCCTGCAAGAATTTCTTTTGTATCTTCCTAGCTTTCAAATTTTATTCATTTTGCATTTGTGTGGACTTCACTGTTTAATATACACTAAAACCTTTCCTCTTTAGCTGGATGCTGTGTCAAAACTCAAAAGCAGAGATTTAGTACTAAAAATACCAATTTTATTTTGTGATAGTGAATGCATGTAATCTGTAACATGGCAAGAACACATTTGCATGTTTGGTTTTGAGTATTTTATGCTCATGAAAAGCTTTTCAGCCAAAATTTCACTCTTGCACATTTTGACTATTAAGACTTTCTAAAAATAAATATGCTAATCATAATTGCAAGTGAACTGAGATGTGTACCAAAATTTCACATAAAATTATGTGAAATTCAAACATAGGTATATGTTTATATTGAAATGTAGAGATAGAAAAGGAAAAGGATAATAATCGAGAAGTAAAACATCTGAAAGAAAACGTTTTGGATTCTTCAAGCAAGAACAACTAAAATGTAAGCATACTACTACTATGCAGTGTCCAAAGAAAAGAGATTCACAAAATTATATAAATAATGCTAGAAACTGAGGAGTGATAGAAACGAACTTTTTAGTATAAAGATAGCCCAACTAAGAAAAATTACTACCAATTAACAGTGGAACACAACTTTGGCCAAACATTCAACAGAACCAAAACAAATCAATAATATCATCGGATAAATATAACTCACATCATTCTCAATGTCCGTGGAATACTTTTTAAAGCCTGCAAATAGTTTCCAGGAGACTTTTTTAAACATTGTAGCTGCAGAAGATTTGTAGACAAAAGCATTATTATGACATAATACACTGATAAATATAGGGTGTAAACAAAAAATTGCTTCACATTTAAGTGTCTAATGCCAAAAACATTTTCATTTGAGGCTTACCACAGCCCTTTCAGCAACTAAATAGTGAGGCAACTGCCTAAGTGTCCCAACAGCATCGCTACTTTCTTTATAGTACTTGCGTGCCTTGGCTATGGCATTTCTTTGTATTTAAATAACAATGTCATGAAGAACAAAAGAACAAGGCAATCATTATGCTACTTTTAACAATCAACACGATTAATCATTCAAGACATTATCCATTATATATGATAGAAACAATGAAAAGGATATCTCCATCTCTTGGATCAAGGATCATGTCTACAGCAAGTTTCCATTCCCCTCGGAGTAATGCAGCTCCAATAAGGTGAGTTGGCACAGAACCACTTCCAAAACGCTGCATAGGGAGCACATTCACATACAAAATAATTTGCACATAAAACAAAATTGAAAAGCTGCTTAAGTTCTATAATAGACACAACCTAAAAAGTTAAAAACCTAGTTAAAATGCTACAAAATGCTTCAATCCCTGAGCAAAACCAGCAAGAGACAATATGTTAAAACAAGAGTTTACATTTCAATGCAAGTTTTGGGCTTATAAGAATTTTAATAGAAAAAATTTACAATAAAGAAATGGTGAATTTGAAATTGACATTCTTTTCCATTCCAACTTGCTTAAGCTTTTTATGACTTTAGTGTGAAAGCCAACATCAGATCTAAACAAAATTGTTCCTAAGATGAAATTTAAACTAAATTTAAGCAATGTGAGAAAATTTTTGAAGACAGTGTATTTACACCATTCCAAAATATACAACAAAACATAAGTTTGTATCACAAATACACAGGGCCAACATATGTTGGAGACGGTGAAAACTACCATAGATTTATTTTCAAATATAATTTCAAAAACAAATACGCTACAATAGAGATAGTTTTTGCTCACTCTAGTAGATATAAGAGGAAAATGGGAAAACCATAAATAATAGTATTAGTAATTGATTAATGATGTTTTAGTTTTATGGGTTCATGAAGAACAATTTCCCACTTAACACCATTATTGGCATAATTTACACAAGTGTGTGCAGCGAGGCAGAGATTTTAGTGGGAAAGAAATTTAAAAAATACAAAAGTGTTAGGACCAGGGAGTTTTAAAAGCTTTGTCACACATGGATGAATGCAATAAAGTCAGAAAATCAACTGCTAACTAGGACAATAGCTATCCAATTCTATATTATCATAACATATCCAAGAGAAAATTAATTGGTGAGGGAAAAAACCCACACAAAGAGGGGAAGTGCAAAACTTTGACTTAGAAAGTACCTGTAGACCAAAGTAGTTAATGAAGCCATGCCTTCCTAAGGAGTCTGAAGATTCTTTTATGGTATCTTCAGAATCTGCAACAATACCTCTGAGAAAATATGTCAGTGCTAGGAATAAAAATATAATGCTGCAGTTGCATTATAAATAACCTAACCACAAGAGATGCTAGTTTGACATAAGAAAAGTGAATTTCATGCATAAATAACACCCTCACCGCAATGTGATTGTAAATCGATTTCCCATGAGCTGGCCAAGGCAAAGCCCTTCCTTAACATAACTGGACAATAGTACTTTTATAGTTATTATTCACCACAAAACTTATTAGTAAGAAGTAAGAACATCAAGCACTCAAAATCCAACCGCCTTACCAGAAATCACCCACTTTAATACCAAACAATCTCTCATTAAGGGAAGCTAGCCTACTTGCTTGCTGCTTATAAACAGTAACCTAGAAAAAAAGGAGAGTCAAACCAACTGAAGTATCTCTCTCTAAATGAACAGAAATGCTAGCAGGAAATAAAGAAAGGAATGAATGTTCAATGTTAAATAAGATAGCATATGGAAATTTATTACCCTTTGGGTTGTGACAGCTCGCTTGTCCTTTGTACCCGCAAATCCAAATGATCTTGGCTGTCAGTTAATTATCAACCAATTAAAACAGAAAAGTGGAAAATTTCAACAAGCTTGTCCAGAAATCAATAATAATATGAGCTATTGTATTTATTTATTTTTCTTGTGGGTGGATCAGAAGGGAGGCAAGACATAACACAGACAAAACCAACTTCCTTACCCATCAGTCATCAGAAATAAATATGTTTAAAGCTGCAGCAAGGACTATATATGGAATAAAATGCAAGTACTCACTAAATGCATGAACTTGGATACTTGACTATAAAAATGTGCATCATACTGAAATAATAATATTTTACATCAAATCATATTTTATGAGCAGAAAAATCATGCAGTCAAGCTCCTTAATCTCCAGGTTGAAAACTAAAGGTTTAACAGAGACATAATACACTGATACACAACCATAAATATGTTAAGCACTAAAGCACATAATTCATAAATTCCAAAATATGGAAAATATATTTAATTATCACACATGTACTGTTTCCCAAATACATACTAATAACCAGGAAAAAGGAAATTATCACATAAAAGAACCTAATCAGCAAACAAAACTTCACTTTCTGTCCAACAGAATGCCTATCGAATTTATCCAACACTGAACAAGACACACCTGAATACCAAGCATATTTCCAATAACCCCCAAGGCTTCCTGGCTATCTTTGTTCTCCTTATAAAGATGAAACCTTGAAGAATGAAGAAACATTGGTAGAAACATTCAGTTGGTAACAATGAGCAACTTAAAACAAATACAACTAAAAAAAAGCAGGAAAAATCATGGCCAAATATAAAATGCAACCAGGGAGTGGCTATCACTTTCTGACAATGACTGAATAAAATATAATTTAACACAGCCAAAATTCCCCATAAAGTCGAACCCTTTCAGATATTCAACATTCCACAAGTGGCTACTTCTTTTACTTCATACTACAGCTAATCAACAAATGCTCTTGACCAATTTTGGATAAATTTCTTAATAAATACTCATAAGAGTTAAAATAAGTACTAAAATGAATCAAACTCCTTCAGTAAGTTAAATTAACTTATATTTCTCTATTTTTTAAAATGTATCTCATTTAACTTTTTTAAAAACTTAAAGAATATAAGTTACTTTTAACTTTTGAAAGAAATTTCTTTCGTATTTTATAATGATTTTTTTTCTCCTATAAATACTTATCTAGAAGTTTTTTCAAACTGGATCCGTGTGTTGCACTCAAATGGAAGACAGCGAGCATTGCTTGATATCGACTGTTTGATTTCAGAAAATATTTTTGTTTTTATTGCTTATTTTCACTGTTAATTATAAAAATTATATCTTTTTATTTTGTTTTTTGTTTTTTGTTTTCAAAATTTTATATAGGAAACAATGAAAACAATAAAAAAGTATACATAGATGCTTTTCTTGTTTCCTATAGGAATATTTGAAAATAAAAAACAAATTGAAAACAATATGACCTTTTTATAATTAAAAGTGAAAATAAAAATATTTACTGAAACCAAATAGCTCCTTATATTTTATGAAACAAAATGACTGAGTAGCCTTACCTAAGGAACTTGCCAACATTTTCTGGCCAATTTTCGGAACCTCTGCTGTCAAAGGGCTTATCACCTCTTTCTTTACGTTTCTTAGAGTTTTTCCCTTTCTGGGGTTCACCTGAGTTCAATCTCACACGGATGCATTTTGATGAAGCATCAGGTCCATCTACCGTGTCAGTGACCAGGAACTTAAAGTTTTCCTTAAAGAAGTCATGCATTTCCTTAACAGAATTGAGAAACATAAATTTTATGTCATTTCATTAAAGAATTTACTTGCCCGCCGCAAAAGCAGAATCAAATCAGTCTCATCTTTTTTATTTCAACTAAATCTAAAAGCAAATATAGTGGCTGGGTTCTGAACTAGAAAAAGACTAAATAAACAAATGAAGAGCTAATCAAAAGGATTCAATTTCATAGACGGTTATTAATCCAAAATCTGTATAATTTCCGGTAAATATTTCAAACCAGTGTAACGAGACACCCATTTTGACCCTATATCACAGTGCCAACCGATATAGACTTCTTTTCATTTGGCTCCTTAATGTAACAAAAAACAAATAATCCACAAAGCTCAAACTAACCTTTCGATGAGATTTATCAGAATCCGGAGAAAGAACAATTGGAGAAACACTGTCTTCTCCACCAGCGTTAATTTTATTAATAAATTCTTCCAAAAGGACCGCATCAGAATCGCCAGCAAGAGACTTGAAAGATTCAATTTGAGAGGCATAACTTACAACTGCAGTCTCGGATGTGCTTGTTCCATTTTCCTGAACTCTCTGAAATGAGGACAAAAAATCAGATACTAAAAAAATGCACAAATCAATCTATTAACGAAGCCAAATTGATTAGACCTTCGGTTCCTCTTTGGGAGCATCAAGTGAGGACAACTGAACTACTGTTCCATCTCTGTCTACTTCATTCACGATAAAATCAGAATACCTGGATCAAACGGTGTTGAATAACTCTTGAGCATACATCATCAAATACTAAAGGAATGATTCGTGTTGTTGTAAATGTTCAATTGTAGATTACATGTTGAATGAGAAGGTAATGAAGTAGAATATGAAGAGACCTTTGCTTTAAAATACCGCGGAAGCCAGGAAGGTTGGAAATGTAGGAGGAGATACCCACATCGTCTTCTTCTACAGTCATTGCGGTTTCACACAAATGGTAACCGCCGATCAGTTACCAGTGGGTCTTAGTTTAGGGTTTAGAGTCACAGAGCGGGAACTTCCAACCGCTACTATGGTATGCGGCTTGTTGAAACGCATGGTTTTAAGTTCTCCTGCGGGTTATGTAGTGCGAATCTGCAAAGCCGGTACGGTGTGAATTAACAAAAATAATCGTGATTTTTAATTTATTTATTATATAATCAAATATTAAATAATTATTGATGGTGATGTATTTATGGATTTGGTGACACTTTACCATTTCTTATTTTTAGATAATAAATATTATAATTCTAAATTAATTCAGGTAAATTTTAAAAGTAATATAGAATATTTGTTTCAAATGTATATGAAAAAATAATTTAAGTATGATAATTTTATGATACTAAATAAAGAGGTTATTCTATGTATATTTTTTTTAACTGTTATTCTATGTCTTTTATATATATAATAATTATTATCGTTAATTTTATATTAATAAATAATAGAAAAATAAAAATATTATATTTCATGATCCAAATTTTAACTTTATTAATAGTTGACACAATTATATTGATAGGGTAATATTTGTTCTCGTATTTATTGAACTCATCAATAGATTTTAAAAACATATCAAATTGAATTTTTTAAACTGATAATACTCATCTTTGCAAGACTAACAGTTTTATTGTTAAATTTATTTATCTTTGTATACTTTGATATTTTATGTAGTGTAAATATTAAATTATGTTCTTAACACTATTTGTGCTCCAGATAATTCACCAAGCAACAAGATTATTTATGGTGATATATAATCATTTTGTACATTTAAAGTTATTAATTATTATTGAGACTAGATTTGCATTAATTGTTGTGATGTCAAAGATAATGAAAATTATTAAACATGATATTCAGTTTATAATAATTAATGAATAGTAGTCGCACTACAAAGAAAATTGTGTTTAAAAGAACATATTTGTAAATGAAACAATTTCAAATGATCTTTGGTGGGATTAAGTTGGTTATATTTTAAACTTTATAAAACCTACAAACAATGTTTTGTTCTTGTAATATTAGTGAGTTAAAAAACCTTTGTCTAATTTATAATAAATGAGACTCTACGATTAAGTAAGTTAAAGTAAAAATATATTAACATTCGTCATAAATACTAAAAGTTACATGATGTTATTTGTCTCATTTCCTAAATTCTAAATAAAATTAATTAATTTAGAAGGTTCAATTTATTTTGTTTTTTATTTCAAGTAGGTTAAATTTTATAATTTATGTATTTTTATAATAAATATTATCGTAAACAATAGCTTGAACCAGTTTTAAGTTGAGTTCATCCACATGTAGACAATAAGATTTGTGTAAGAAGAAACAAATTTTTAAAAAATTATTTCATAAATTTAAAGAAAATACTATAAACTATTTAAGAGTTTATTAAATTCTTAAGTGTGGGAGAAGAACTTAACCAAATTTATTTATTGTAAGATATGTGAAACTTTCAACCAAAAAAAATAGATGAATTCCTAAACTTTAATCTACTGCCTTTTAATTATTTTCATAATCATGTTACTCTTTTTGTTGTGAGTGAAAATTAAATATATATTTCTTTATTCATTATTTGAAAATAAATAAGTTAAATATAAAGAGAGATCAATATTATAATAAAAGTATAAAAATTATAATAAAAATAAAATTAAATTGTAGGATACTTTTAGAGATGAATGATATATATCTGAAGAAGCTCGAATTATTGAAGTCACTATTTTTTTTTTATAAATTAAGTTTTAAGACTATTATTTTCACAAATAATGAGTAAGAAAATAATGAAATTAAAGTTGTTATTTTTTAATTTCATAATTATATATTCGTTAATAAAATTTGATGACATTAATATTATAAAATAATTTATTATTATTCATAACAATTTCAAAATTTTTAAAGTTATGTAATATGAATAATTTTGAGATTTTATTTTTTATATAATAATTTATTATATAATAAAATTTTAAAAGATTATATTACGTATTTATTTGTACTCTACATTATTTAAAATGAACCTATATTGTACCCGGAGGACCTAAAAGAATTATACTTTTCCTCTCCAATAATAGATGTACTAACTTTATTAATATTTAAAGGAATATGAATAGCATTTCACCTATTGTAAAAAATATTTTCACATTCACTAATGTCCTCTCTTGTTTTGGTCTCAGTTATTTGTCTTCCTCATGTTAAGTTAATACACTAATATCACAAGGGACATCTACTTATGATTGCACAAATTAGAGTTCATGATACGACATATTTTTTTTATCACATCTATCATTTAATCTAAATATTTGATATGATTATATTTTAAATACATCAAATAATTATATTTCAAACAATTTAATTTAGTTTAAATAGTAATTTAACTTATCCTACCAACGAAGACAAATGATAAAAATTTCACTATTACAGTATGACATTGAATAAAATAATATTGTTATATATTGGAAAATTATTTATTCAATCAAAAGTGGAAACAAATAAAACAAGCCTAAAATATTTATAAATTAAGAAGACTTTCGATTATTATTATTATTATTTTTATATCTCTTGATATATTTAAGGTGCGCATACATACTTTTTAAAAAAAAGTAGATATACATTGGTATTATATTTAATTAAAATATATTACCAATGTTCAAATATTTAATATTATTATTTAATTACAAATCATCACATATATTTTTAATAATTACTACTTTAAAAACATATTTAAAATAATTTATAATTATTTAGTAGTATAAAAATATCTATATCGATTAAACTCGTATATTATTAACAGTTTCATTGTTGCAAAACTTTAATTAAAAATAAATTAGAAAAAATAAACTAGAACATGATTAGTTAAAAATTTTGAATTTACAATAATATACAATTTTGTTAGTAATATATTTTTGGTCGAGTTTGGTTGATTTAAATATTTGTTTATTTAAATTATTTAATTTTACATATTTGTGATTGGAAGGCGAACCTGGAGTTGAAGTGCGATCGCATCCGAGGGTGTATTTTCTTCTTTGGGAGCACACAAACACAGTGATAGTTCCAACAACAGATCGAAACCCCATCTAAGGGAGAATCGATTTGTTTGTTCCAATTTGGATCTGCGAGTGTGAATTGCGCAAAGATGGTTACGAAAACAGAAGAAACCCAATTGAACAGGCTCGAAAGCCAGGTTGATAATGGCGGCGGAGGTGCTTGGGAGTACCTTTGTCTTGTCAGAAAGCTCAAGGTTCGCCGTTCAGAGAAAGTCCTCAAACATGGCCTCTCCATCTTGAACGACCCCAAACAACGATCCACTCTCGGCCACGATGGTCCTTTCCCTCACGTCACTGACCTATTTTTGTTTTATTTATATCGAATTGAACTTTTGGCTTATGATTGTCTGTTTCTCGATGCAGAATGGACTTTGTATGAGCAGGTTGCAGTTGCTGCTATGGATTGCCAGTGTCTTGATGTTGCCAAGGTTTCGATCTATTTTGGTTTTGTATTTTTCGATTAGTTTATTTTGTACAACGTAATGCATAGAGAAAATTGTAAAATCATTGCTTCCTTTTGTTGAGATATATAGCTGTTGGGGTGAAATTCGCTTGTAATGCTGTGGTCCAATATCTTATGCACGGGTGAATCTTACTAATTTGACATTTCTTCCTAACCGGACTCTACCTTTACTGTGTTGTTACTTCTGTTATGGAGATGCTGGTGGTTTATGTGTAGACGGTTGCATGTGGGTTCTGCAAGGAATTGTGAATTTGCTTGATGCATGTTGATTTAGTGCAGCTTAATACTTGTAATTCATTACTAAACTCGTAAGGAAATCGTGCGCTGTCTTTGATTGCTCTGTCTTCTGGTTAGTGTATCATTTGTTTTAAGTTTGAGCCTTTTTCTAGCCCTTTTTTTCTCTGTTGGTGATGGATGGAGAAAGTAATGGTTTTCTGATTGGCTGTACTGCTATTCTTTCACAATGTATTATAGTAGCATTCTCATTAAAATTTTGAGGCAAGATGTTTGATCTTGTTTGCATTTTGTAATTTCTGAACCTGGGAAGTAATATACTGCTGAGCTTTGTCCATTATGATGCTAGGATTGAGCACTTGCTGCATTTGTCTCCCTCTTATACTATGAGAAGTCATCTGGTTTGAGATATTACTTCTTGATTTGATAATAACTTACTTCTTTATCAGGACTGTACAAAGGTTCTTCGGAAGAAATTCCCAGAAAGCAAAAGAATTGGTAAGTTGATACATTTGAATTTTCTGTCTTTTTCCTGTGTCATGGATTTGAATTAGTTAACTGAATAGCACTCTGTCCACAACTCTTGCTTGATGACTTACTCCACACAACTCTATATTAGCTTAAAGGGGGAAAATTTTAAGTGGACTCCTTGAACTCTTGTACATTTATGCTTAGATGCAAACATAACAGTTGTGTAGGTAGCATTACTCTGGGTAAATTGAACTTATTTGGTGACATATGCCTTTTAACTGCCTAGTGATGTATCTGTGCTCCTATACATAGATCACTGATAGGCAAAGAAAGAATTTCTTTTGAAATTGCAATGACTGATCTGGTGGCATTTTTTTTTGGTCTTGATCCTTTACCTTTAATACTGCTAGAGCTATATGATAATTTTCCAAAAACACTAACTGTAATATTTATTTGTCCAAAACACAAGTAATTGGATTCCCTTCTCTGACTGTTGATGCCCAGTTCTGGTTCTCTTGGAGAAAACTGAGACTGGTGGATGATTAACTTGGATGATTTGCATTTCATTCCTTCAAGAAGGATACTGTATAATATAAATAAAATACACAGTTAGAAATTTAAACCTGTTTGTCTGTGCATACCCATACGCATGCTCTTGTTCCCTCTAGAAAAAAATATGATTTGAGCTGACTAATTATTACAGGCAGGCTGGAGGCTATGTTGCTTGAAGCAAAAGGGTCCTGGGAATTGGCAGAAAAAGCTTACACAAGCTTTTTGGAGGACAATCCTCATGATCAAGTAAACTCACTTAACCTTATGGGTGGAAAAAGGGGAAACAGTTAGTTGCTCAGTTACTCCATGTGATGAAACAGATATCTTATAATTGTGACTTCTTTTGTGTTTTTTGCATGTTTTGTTACGTGGATGATTTATAATATTCCTTCAGTTTTACCACTAATTAGGGTAGGCTGGTTAATAAAAACCTAAAGCTAAGTGTTTATCTTTTGGTTGTTTTGAAATTGTGCAGACCATCCATAAGAGAAGGGTTGCTATGGCAAAGGCACAGGGCAACATTTCTGTGGCTATTGAATTGCTTAATAAATATCTGGAAATGTGAGGATGTTAAAATTTTGTTATCTTCCAAAATTGAAGATAAAAAGGAAATCTTATTTATGATTTTACATCAGAAAAAAAAGCATGTATCTGAATTATTTTTCACATTTGAACAGATTCATGGCAGATCATGATGCATGGAGAGAACTAGCTGAAATATACGTCTCCTTGCAAATGTAAGATTTTATTTTGCTCTTTCTCTTCCGGTCTGAAAAAGTTATGATAGGGGTTAACGTATCTAGCTAATTATTCTGCTACCCTATTTTTTGTTGGCTCTCTATCTTCTGTTAGGTATAAACAAGCAGCATTTTGCTACGAGGAGTTAATGTTATCTCAGCCTACTGTTCCACTCTACCACTTAGCCTATGCTGATGTATGTAACTTCTTTATGAACTGTTATTAATTTGTTTTAGTCAAATCAAATTTTTCTCCTCCTCCCCTGTTGCCATGCTCTGATAGTAACAAGGCACAGAAAACATTTCATGCTAGAGGAGTTAACTTGGAAGGGTCTTACTTCTACATTGCACTAGAATGTTTTCTTGACTTGTGGTATTGCCAGGTCCTTTATACACTTGGTGGACTAGAAAACCTCCAAACTGCGAAGAAATACTATGCATCCACTATTGACTTGACTGGAGGCAAGAATACTAGAGCGCTCTTTGGTTTATGCTTGGTAAGCTCTTTTCTCTTCCATCCAAGTGCTTATTTTGTGTGATCCTCTGCCGGTTAATGTGTCTATGAACTGAATATAGTCGACCTTATTTGGAAGTTGGCTGAACCTAAGGTTTTATTTTACATTAAAAGTCCTTATTTAGTTCTGCTTAGTAATTTTCAGATTTCCCATCATACTTTGTTGATTCTGTCCTCAACAACTTGGGATTTCTGGATTTTTCTTTTCAAACCTATTCGTTTTTATACCTGAAATTTGATTTTTGCTTCCATTCTTCAGTGCACCTCTGCTATTGCACAGCTTACAAAAGGAAAGAGCAAGGAAGAGAAAGAAGGATCTCAGTTACAATCTCTAGCAGCCAAAGTATTGGAGAAAGATTACAAGCAGAGAGCTCCCGACAAGCTCCCTCAACTTACGACTGCCTTAAAGAGTTTAACGTTGACATCGTGATGCAGAATTTCTCAAAGATTGTTATTTAGTCACGTTTTGACATTTTCTTAGATTGTTGCCAGCTTGAATCAACATATTTAGAAATCCTGAGTCATTTTCTTCTCAATATTAAAATGAAAATTTATAAAGTCCTACATTTTACTTTCGGTAACGAACATTTATTTAGAGACATGTCAGGTTTCAGATGGCCCTGTGGATCTAAAAAACTTTCATATAACTTTACTAGTGCATTTATGATCGGGTATAATTTGCTTTTGAAATATTCTTGCTTTTATTTTTTTCATGGCAATGCAATTTAAGTTAAAAGATTTATCTTTTCTTTTTGATATATGTTTTTTTTTTCTTTTGGGGTCCATTTAGGATAATAGTCATGTTATGCTTTGATGATATGGCCCATTCAACTGTGAATGGATCCTGGTCACGCGGATTGGGGCCGCAGGGTTGGCACTCTTCTCTTTCTTGTGCACTCAACCCTGTTTGCTCCATTTACTTAAAAATGCTATTCTCACAGGCAGGTTTTCTTAAAAGAATCTCACATTACTCATATCATTCATTTTGGTAAGATACACAAACAATATTATCTTATTTTTGTTTGAGATTAACGTGTATTTTTTTCTATTTTGACACTTCTAAATCATTACTATTGACTTTGAGATTGTAGAAGGTAAAATGACGAAGTTAGTTGAATGCGAGTAAATCCCAAAGTTGACAATAGAATCATTCAAATATGTTATCTTTTAAGTCTCAAAATCAGAAATATGTTATCTAAAATTATTTCTTAAAGATATCATTAGACACAAAGAAAAAATACTTTTAAAGATTCATTTATGATAATTTATTATTACCAAAAAACTAATGATATATTAAAATGTAATGTACTTTTACCTTTTTATACAAAGATAGCGTTTTACAAAAGTAATATTGTTTAGGCAAATGTTAATAGTATTCTAAGAAAACAAATGAATTAAAATAAAATTATTACATTCTCATTATGATTTTAAATATATTTTAACTTGATTTTTAATGAAAAAATAGAATTTATTAATTATAGCATGATCCTGTAATTTAAAACTTACTAGAAAAAGAGTTAGTGGGAATGAAAGGGCAGAAACTGAACCGATGCTTAACCATAGTTGAGAAGCAACAAGAGAGGACGGGTATGGTGAATTTGTCGGGAACGGTAAGGACAGAAGGATGAGATTTTGATGCATATGGGGCATGAGATATTAAAATGAGGTTGAAACTATATTCACTATTCAGGCTGAAGAGTGTTGACGTACCAATTGCAGCTTTTTTATGGTCTCCCATCCCAATCCCATGGGGCATGCCCCCATACCAGGCGCTGTTATGTTGCCTGCACAACCCCCTCCTTTCTTACTTCCAAAGTTCCAATTTTGCCATCACTTTTCGTCAACTCCTACTTTTCTCAATTCCATTTTAAGGCCATGCCCATCGGTATTCATAATTCAACGCAAAATCGTGTCCATATACACCAAGCCAGACCTAGAAAATGAAAAATTATAACATGATCAGTGATGTGATACAATACAAATAAAATATATGTTATATAAGAGTATGAATATTGTTATATATTTAAATATATAAATATATTAATCTTTTAAAAGAAATTATAGTATTATTCCATCATAAATTGATGAAAATTTATATTTATAGTATTTTAATTAATTGATAGTGTATTTTTTTTATATTAATAATGTCATCAAAATTAAACTCTATTATTATTGTAATTACATAAATGGAACTACATATTTCATCAACGAAATGTTGCACTGAAATACCATTTTTCATTCGCAGTTGGGTTATTTGTGATGGCGAGGGAGCAAGAATGTAGAAGCATAGATTGTTCGCTAGCTTTCAAACAAAAACAGGAGTAAAGTTAGTGTTTAATTACAGCTACAGTACAGTGCAGTGGTCATAACTCATGCAATGCACATCCTATGCGACAAACAAGCCTGAAATAGATTCCCAAAAATTACTGTATTATTCTTCTTAATGTCAATTCCAGTGAAAAAGACTTCATAAGTGTCACGTCAATTTACAGATTCCCTCATTTCCGTTGCAATTAATGTCCCGTTCTATAATTTATATTCCAATATTCCCTTCCCTCCAAAGATTTTATTTTATGCATTCGTCCACAACATTAGTACTTTATGACAAATAACTATGCTTCTAATCTTATTCATTTTGTATATACAAAATCACCTTCCCTTTCTGGAGTTGGAGTAATTAATTCTACCTCAAAAATAAAGATAAAACTTTTTACCCTTCTCATAGCATCATATATATTTGAGATTCTCAGATTGGTATGATAATTAAACTAGAACATGCAAGGTGTAACAACCTCATTAGCATAGTTTCTTAGCTGGTTTAAGACGTGAAACAAACACGATTTCTCGTTCATTACCACCAACAAGAGAAACACATGACCGCATAGCTGAGATCAGTGCACAATCACTTCATGCTAAATAAACCTCTGCAGAGCTGAAATATATAAAAATAATGTACATAAGGATCAACAGAAGGGTGAGAGGTCTTTTTGTTTTACCTGCCTAGTTCAAAGATTTCTTTGATCTGAGGTTTTTAACTGAAATTACAGCCTTAAGATGTTAAAAGAAATTGTCATTGTCAGTAACTAGTTAGTCTAATCATGCAGCAAATTACAGGACTAAAGAAAAGATAAATAATTATATAACATTAGAGGCCACAATGAGCTGGCAATATCTCATCAGGTTCAGCAGAAAGATTTTGTGGATGAAACAATGATTCACAAGCCATGGCAGACTGGCAATTGTCTTCAGAGAGTAAACTAAAATAATATTTGGCCTACCATCATATAAATATATTATTGGCCAGAATCTCATTCCCTATTGGCTACTTATTATTAGACATCAAAGTAGGCAATTCTTTTAAGGAAAAAAATATTCATCCATCAAGTTTCATCTGTAGCGCATAAAATAAGTATAAATTGCGTAGTCTGATAATAGGTTCACCATCTCAGTTCCCTGAAGCAGAAGAAAGATTCCAATGGTTGCTAAAAGAAAGAGTATTGACATTCATCGTAATTTGGTGATCTTCCACTCACTATCTTCCTCTTCAACCTCAGTTCCCCTAAGCTTATTAATTACTACACTTTTTGGCAAAGAATATTTGTTACCTACCTAGTAATTGGACATAACCAGTTTGGAGTGCCAGCCTCACATATTTGATGAAATGAATCCTCAAAGCTAAAAGTTAAAACATGACAACCCAAAACTGGGAATAGTAGATATATACTTACTAATTAAAAGAGAATAAAGATGTATTTGAATAACACAGGAAACAAACTGTAAACTTTGTAGTTTTAGTAATATGAACCAGAAAGTTAACACTTGAAGACAAATGTACAGCCAATTGGGAAAAGGAAAAAAGGCTCTGATCTGTTCAAATAGCTCAGCTAAATTGAGGATGTGAATTTAACAAGGGAAGTGAGAGAAACAAAGGGACTCCTTTTTAATCAACTGTGTTTTGTCACGATTGATAATTCAAACCTCAGTGAGAGGTCTGTAAGCTATTAACCATATGATGGATTTCTGCTTCTTTACACATTCTTCCAAGCATACAAAATAAGCGAGAAACCACGCCCCTGCAATTTGGTCTCAGAAAATCTCTCAGAGAAAGACCAAGGGGAATCCGAAAGGGGTTGGCTAGCCCACAACTTATCCGAGGTGACGCATGTTCTGAACATGAAGACAGCATTTGCAAGAGATGTACCGAAGAGCCAATTATGGACATCCCAGAAAACTTCTACTGCAAGGCCATCTACCAGAATGGTATGATTCCCCCTGAACTTCCATCTCAACCGCTTCACTTGCATCACGGTTTTGCTGTCAATGCGAATTATAAGGCCCGGATCACCAACACTTGCAGTGTCACATTCAATCACAAGATCATGAATTTGACCATTGTCACAAAACACAGCCTTGGTACCAAACAACTTCTTACCAAAAACATGTTCCTTCTTGGCAACTAAAACAGCATTGGACGGTAATGGAATGGCATTGGCCTTCTTTAAAGCCTCTTTCCTCAAATCCCCAAGCAGAAGAACCATTTGTCGATCTACAACAGCCCCTACATAAAATCCTCCCAAAGGTTCTGGCCCGGAACCAAATTTAGCTGAAGAAAGGTCCCAATATAGATCAATTTTACAAGAATGAACCTCTAGACTCTTACAACCTCTCCTCTTGGAGAACACCCACGGTTTGATATCCACCTTACAAAGACACTGACTAGAAGAGTCATCGATCCCAACGCTGAGGCCTTGCCCCATTAAATTCTTACTCCATGTGACAGTAACCATGCAGGAACTACCACGTATCTGGCATTGATAAACACAGGTAACCAGATTCTGCGCAGTTTTAGTGGCACTTGAAGACGAAGAATCAGCCACTTGAACTCCATTTTCACCAAAGCAAGAAGGGAAATCCTTCATTTTTGTGCTTCAATTACCAAGCTATTTTCCCTTGGGGGTTTTTCAACAAACAGATGGAAGCCAGTTTTGCAGTGAAGAACAAAAGCACTCACCGAGTTAAAGGAAATTGAAAGTTGAGACAGACCCTTACCTTAAACTTGATCAGAGATTCAGAAACACAGCAAAACCGATGCATCGAAATAGAGAGAAGAGAGTGTGGGTTGATGACAAATTTAGAGAATGTGGGGAGTAAAACAGCTCAGACTTGAGAGAGAAGCAGACAAAAAAGCTTACTTCTTTCACTGTCAATGTCCCTGCCTTACTAAAGATTGGAATTTTTAAACAGAAAAAAATCCAAAAGCCGAAGAAACAGCATAATAGAAAAATGGAAACAACCTCAAGATGAAGAGAAGGGAGAAGAAAAGAAAGTAGAACTGGGTATTGTGGTGATTGGTGAATGGTGATGGAAGGTGAAAACAAACTAAAAAGAAAAAGATCCTTTTTATAATGTGCAGTTTCTCTCTCTCTCTCTCTCTTTTGTTTTTAGTATTCTTTTTCTTTTGGGTGTGAAGTTGCTTTTACCTGAGACGACGAAGAGAGGAGGCTGAAAATGAAATGGAGGGTTTTGGTGGCATAAGTGAGTGCTTCACCTTCATGAACAAATTCAGAGACAGTCACAGTGACACGCTGTTATTGTGGACATGCAATGGCTATTACTCGTTACAATCAATCATGTCATTCCAATTCCATCTCTCGTGTATTTATGGTTCCAAATTATTTTTGAAAATATTTCATTGATGGAGATTAATGTTGGGAGGTTCCTAGGACGTGGGTCCCACAAGCTCGTGGGAATGCAAGTACCATGTCACGCACGCATCGCCTAGGATAAGGACATTGGGATACCAATACGATGAGATGAGTTCATCAATCATGCTCGTCAGCTCATGCTCATGCTCATGCTCTGCATACCCTTCCCCTCATAGGAATCATCGTTATCAGTTACTCCTCCTATGTCCGTATTCGCAACTCTATCTCCCTCTCAGATCAAATCCAACTCATCAAACATGTCTTAATTAATGTAATATTAAATTCAATTTCATTTCATATTATATTAACTAATGCTCAAGTTTTTAAATAGATTCTCAAGTTATTCATAAATGGTGTATTTTAATTTTTAAAATTATTTATTAGTTCATTGTTTTATAAAATACTTGTTATTTTATTTGTAAAAAAATTAAAGTGAATTTTATTTTAAGTTTTTGAACAAAAATAATTTTAAACTAGTACTAAAAAACACAAAAAATTTATTTGAGATAATTTTTAAAAAAATTATGTATATTATAAATATACTTAAAATTTTGTTATTATTTTAGTTTATAACAAAAAATATGAATTTTTTTTTAAACATAAAATCTTACCTCTCACTTGTTATGCTTATTATTTTTAAATATTTTATCTTTTTCTACTTCTTAAATATATTACCCTTATTATAGATAAAATAATAATAATATATCAATATTACTTACACATGTTAATTAATGTAACATTTTTCTATGTAAACTAATAAAAAAAGAATATAATAATATATTGCCTCCTAAATTTGTCAGCAGCACTACTCCAGCCTCCAACAATGTAGACATGTTTTCGGCCCATTGTGAAGAGAGGAGTTAGCGGGCAATAAGGTATTGGGCTTGAGTTTGGCCCAAAACTCCAAATTTATCAGAATGAGAGGTGAATGGGTCACTGATTCACTATCATTTTAATGTCTTAATAGTTTGAAATTTGAAATAAATCGATACTAAAAATAAGTTTGTTTGATTTTTAAAAAGAGGTTTTTTCAAAATTTAAAAAATAAGTTAATTCTAGAGTATTTTAAAAAAAATTAAACAAACATTAAAATTGATCTATAAATATAAAGATTTAACATTTTTTATATATATATATTTATATATAGAGAGAGATTCACTTCGGTCTTCCTTTGTTTGGCTGCAATGATATCATCCATCTCTTGCAAGCAAGTTGGTGGGACAGGGCGTTCCAAGACGATGGTCGCATGAAGGCAGAAAAGACATGATTAAGGTGCTTCAAGTGTTTTGTTTTATAGACAGCGATAGTGAGAGCGACCTGTGACAAATTGTTTGTGTTATTATTTGGGTTTGTGAGTTAAAAATTATCTGTGAATCCGATAATGGATGCGTGGCTTAGAGAAGCTGAAGAAGCCTCACAGTGGGTAGAAGACTTAGAGAGCAAGGCTTTGAATTCCAGTGTTAGTGTTAGCATTATACACTCTGCTCGATCCAAATTATTGGAGCTTGGAGCCAAACTCGATCGCCTTGAATCGCTTCTGCGCAATCCACCCCCCAAACCCATCCTGTATATATTTTTATATTTATTTCTTCCACCATTCCAATTAACAAATATAATAGAAATATACAAAGTTTTGTTTGTTTCAGAAAGTGATGTATGTCTGCAGCCAATTTACAGAACAGATGAAGATCTGGATTTCCGTTGGACACTGTTTTCTGATATTCAGCTAAGAACCAGAACTTTGGCTCGCTCCATTTATGCATTACCATGCCCAAACCCAAACAGGTGTTGCAAATAACCATTCTTCCATTTCAACATGCATGCTATAGAGTTCAACCCTTTTATGTATGAGATATGGACATTGTTGAAAAGTTCATTTTGGTGAAAAGTGTAGTGAGACTTAAGGAAAGGGGATTTTCTCATGTCATAATTTTTTTATGGTAGCTACGTCTACTGTTTATGGCCCAAAATCAATGATTATGCCATCATTTTTCAGTCTATTGATTTTGACATATAGGTTCACCTTTCAGTATTTGCACTTCTACTTCTGTTCAGGCCAAGAAATGTTTCTGCTACTGGAAGTAAAGAATTCAATGTCAGAATTGACTATTATGACCAAGGTATAGTTTATTATATTAATTCATGCAACAATTTTGGTGAAGGAAACACTTCCGTCGTGTGGATTTACCCTTTTTGTGAATAATAATAGCTTTAAGATAGCTAAATATTGTTAATGAATGGAGGCCCTGTATGTCAAAGAGAATCCACAATTGAAGAAGTACTGCTTAAATCAAGGATGCTAGAATTGTTGTAGAGTATACTTCAATTAGATTCAATGATTGCTCTTGCTATGCTTGTTCTCTTACCGTTGAAATATACATGCTCATCGTGTAATTTTAAATCCTTGAAATAATTGGTTTTTGATAGAACTCAATACAATATTGATCCATGTAGCTGTGGGAACAGGTTTGGTTGTTATGGTTTATTATGTCTCCCTATATTCCTTTGTAGATCTGTTGCAAACCTCCTACTCCCAAGGTCAATCAGAGTTGCCCAAACCTCTTCTGGTGAGTTTTTTGTAGGTCAGAAATTATAATCCTTGAAATTCATCGTTTTGTTTAATGGTTTTAAAGGCTAAAATGGTGTGTGATCCCCTTGTTTTCTCTCATGGCAGTCAGATGAGGCGAACAGAATTCAGGTATGTAAATACTTTGATTTTTGGTATTTACTGATGTGTGTATTAACAATTTAACATGGCTTCTCTGCACAGCTCCACTTGGTCTTCCTTTCACTTGATTAGTTGATTATGTTTTGTGAGCTAGCAGGTTCAACCATTAAGTTTTATCTCAAAGATTTCCCTGTGGAAGGCTTGTTCTACTATCTTATTCTTCTTGGGACTGGCTGCACTTATATCCTTTGTTGTTCTTCTCTGCGCAGCCATCTACCATTCTACAAATTGAAGGATTAGATCCTTTTCTGCTTTGATCTGACGATTCAAAACACCCGAAGAAGAATCATAATGGTTGTTCGTAAACATATGTACAAATATTCCACAAACTTGGTTATGTACATATAATTTTTCAACATAATGGATTTTAAAAGGAAAGGAAGACTCCTCATGGGTGGGATTACATGTTTAGGCTTGCTTTGTTTATTCATGAGAACCAAATTTACACCATTATAATGGCAAAAAGTCACGGTTGGAAGCAAATTTTCTCAAAGAGAAACTTTTTAATTATAGCATAACTATTTATCATACAAACGGGCACTTCATCAACTAAAAATACACGCACCACTTTTTCACGCGTTAAAATTGGGTATATAACTAGTGGGGCAAGGACCTTTATTAGAACATTGAACTGGGAAACATTACTTTGATTGAATTTTCTATTATTAGATTAAAGGATATACTTTTACTTTATTATTTCGTGGCAGACATCTATTTAAACGTAAGTGCCTAATGAATGCGGGTGCCACAACACAGCCCCTCCACTAACAAGCTCTCTGGTCTTGGAATCTGTATCTACTCTCTACATTGCCATATTGCATAATCCAATTTGAAATATCCAAATTGGAGCAATGGCTGTAAATAGAAAGGGTAATCAACCATTAGAAATGAAAATTTGGGCAGACACTAGAAACCAAGTCAGGAATCAAGAGTTCTGTTACCTTGGGTTATCCTCAAATATCTAACCTTTCTTATCGCTGCTGTGCATAAGAAGGTTCAACCCTTCAAGTGTTGTCAACATCAAACCTGAGGGTGGAGAACATCTACTTATTAGCAAGTGCATGTTTGTTTATCTCATCATGTTTGATTTCTGTTTTAAAATTAATTTTCTGTTTTTAAAAATAAAATTTAACACAAATTTGTATTATATTTTAAATTAAACATGCTCTTAATTTTTAGTTTTTACTCTGCCCGTGAAATTCTTAACCAAATGGAAAAACAGGCCCTTAGCGCTGACCACTTAAGCTGACTTGGTAATCTTTCAATCCTACTAAACCAATTTCTTAGAAACCTCAATCTATGAAATAGTCACATTACTCCTGTCTAACTTTTCATCAAATTCAGATCAGAATCTATAATTAAAAAAATTTCTTCCCAAATCCTTGAACTATCAAATAGTCTATCACATTAGTTTCTCCTCAAGATCTAATGTAACCCTTTATTTTCTTTTACAATTTTAAAACTTAACGAGAATTTTTTAAAATACAACTAATTTGAAGTCAATAAAATTTTGCAACTTTAAAATTAATCTACCGTGGACAGTGGCTTTGTTTCACGGGTTGTTGTAGGCTGGTTTTATCTGAATTGCGGACCACTCATAATTCATTCGTTTTGATTTATCAATCAATTATATTAATACTTATTTAATATTATAAATTTATATCATCACATTCAACGACTATCAATGTTGGATTATAGGCGGTCTAAGACCATCTTATACATTTTCTTGTTTCACTTTAAACTTGGTAGACTTTATTTTTCATATTCAATTAAGCGGTTGAAAAGTTACTAGAGAAACAAGAAATGATGGTGATACAAAAAATGTATGACCATTTTAACCAGTTTTCAAACAATATAACTTATAGAATAATTTAACAATTTAAAAAATATACAAAATTAATATTTGTACACAAATTGGTTTACAGTGATTATTAATAGCAGCCTGAGAATATCATGTTTAAATTAAAACATGTTTTTACACAATAGCTTTGGCTTAAATATTGCATTGCAATTGCATGATAGCAAGAAAGCGTGTTCTTTCTGGCAGGGAGAAAAAGAGGTGGTTCAGCCACCCCTTTCTTGAGGGCCCATCTTGAATTCCCTTTTGAGATGATTGACAGAGGAAATGAATATAGAAAAGGGCAACTTTCTGATGCAAGAAAATCACAAAGGCCCCTGTAATGACTTTGATGACTTGGAAAGTCTAAGTGCAACCCAGCTCACTAGCATATGAGAAAGATACCATTATATCGACCATGTCAAAGGCGTAAATCAAGGAACAAAAACACAAGCCAATGAAAAAGTCTGCGAAGGCCTTTGCAACTAGAGTTGATGATTGTAGCGAAAGAAGCCTAATATTTCATCATTAAAAGGATGCAAAGCACTAGACTTTTGCAAACATCACACCTAAAAAGAGAGAGACACACCCCTCCAAAACATCCATAAAATCCAACATCTATTTATTAGATATAAAGCCAAAATTTATCAACCCCGCTTCTCAATTCTCATACCATGCTATTACAATTTGGAATTTTTTTCCATCCCAGTGTTCTCGCACATAGCCAACACTCACACACTCCTCTCCATACAAGCGAATCAAACATCATTAACTAATCGGTTTCTCCTTCCACATATGGTTCAAGAAACACACAACAAACAACATGATCACAGCTTGTTTCAACCAACCCAACACACCATCATCAAGCAGCACCAACAGCTACATCTCTCAAGTGCCACAGAATGTGGTAACATGCACATACCAAACTCAACTCTTCAACACCCCCACTTACCTCACCCTCAGTTGGTCCAAAACCCTTTTCTCTCACTCCTTAACCATCTCCACCCCACACATTTTTTCCTTCACAATTTCTCTCAACCCATCAACCCTTTACTTCTTCCGAACACGACACGCCTCAAAATCAAAATCCATCCACCATCGCAAACTCAAGCTCCATTGGTACTTCACTCACGCAAAGTTCATTCAAAACTCCGCGGAGCCAGACTCACGCTTCTACATAGCAATCTCGCACAATGGCATGCTCCAATTCTTTCTTGGTGATCTTCTCCACGATTTCACTCGGCGCCACAAAAACACGTTCGGTTCTGCTGATGCTATTCTTGTATCGAGAAGGGAACACGTGTTCGGAAGCAGGAGTTACGTGTCACGTGGCGTGTTCATGGGTTCGAAACACGAGATAGAGATCGAGTGTGGTGGCGGTGTATTGAGCGTGAAAGTGGACGGTGAAACTCGCTTGGTGGTGAAAAGGTTGGCGTGGAAATTCAGAGGGTACGAGAAGATCTTCATTGACGGCGTTGAAGTGGAGTTTTACTGGGACGTGTTGAGTTGGGTGGTTAACGGCGACGGTAACGGGCACGGTGTTTTTGTGTTTCAAGTGGGTGATGGAACTGTGTGGCCAGAAATGGTGGGTGCAGAGAGAAAATTGATAAGGAAGAGCGCGTCGGGTTCAAGCGTGTTGCAGTGGGCAGAGGAGAACAGTGACTGTGGGAGAACTTCGTGTTCTTCATCAACTATGTCTTGTGGGAGCAATGCCACTGGTTTCTCTTTGTTGCTCTATGCATGGACCGTAAATTAATTGTTCATCCATTTCATTTTTCTTTTTTAACTATTAATTCTTCTGCGGGATTATGATTTTGACTTTGGATTGCAATCGATTATTATTTTGTTCATATATATATATATATATATACACATATAAGTACATGTGTAATTCTATCTCTTTCATGTTCTTGTACAATATTGCTCTTGCCAATCACTGTTATATATCCATACTAAGAAATAAATGTCTTTCGATTCAAATCTTATGTGCTGTATGTTTTTAGTTTTGTTTCTTAATCAAATATTGTTAAGTAAAAAGATGTATTTTTCTTCTAATTATTAGTGCTTAGATCGAGGTACGTCGTTAAAGACAGAAGAAAAAGAGGAAAGATTTGAATTTATAATTATGATGATAATTTACTTATGATGTTAACATGCTTATTGCATATCTGTCATGATTTCAAAAATAATTTTATTCTAGACAGGTTGTTTTTATTCTCGGACTATTGAAAATGATTCGTTTAGAGAAATGTGGATGTCTAGTAATCATATAACATAGATCATGTTGCAAACACATAGTTTGGATGGAATTCGTGATTTCACATTGATATAATCAAACACCAATGGATTGGCTTTTGAAACATATTATATATGATTGATTGACATGAAACAAGCTTTTTAAGTGGTCTATCTTTCATTATTTGTGCCCATACGGACAATCCAAGGTATAGCGTTGCAAAGATGATGGGTATGAAAGTAAGTAATACGCGGTAGATTAGTTTCTAAAATGAGTAATACCCTAGCGAGGTGTTTGGCTGCTGACTTGTGTGTGAGCCTATTTCAAAAGAATCATGACTCATATGGCTCCAATTAATACTTTGCAAGTAAAGTTCCAAATAAGCCCTTGCTATGGTATGCTGATTACAAATAGGGTTGTCTAGTGGGTTGAGTCGGGCGATTTTAGGTGTAGTTAAACTAAAAAAATCTAAATCAACCTATGTATTATTAAATTCCGTTTAGTGGGTCGGGTTATACGAGTTTTGGGTAAGATGGGTTTAGCGGGTTGGACAAGTAATTTGGGTTAATTTGAGCCCAAAAAAATTTATTTATCAAAAACCATCAAAAATTTTATTTATCCATTTTTAAGCCTAATTTTTTTTTTATTTTTCTTTGCATATTTTTTCTCAATGGATTTCAGTACATAATTTTTTTTTAAAAAATAATGTTTAATGTTGTACAACCTTTGGCACAATAGTTGAAGGTGATAAATTCGAATGGTGATGACCTTTGGCACAAATTTTAAGGATGAGAATTTGAACGAATCTGAGTCTAATGTGTTATGCAGATTGGAATACTGTTGAATATCATCTCGAATATAGAAGGTCCAGCAAGTTCGAACCTTCTAGCCCACCCACCAAACACATGAACATTCCTAACCACACCTATTCATTTTTCTAAGCTAGATTGTTATCGCTAATATTTCTTGTTTTTTTTTTTTTCTAAAATGGAAGATTGAAAAGCATAGCACTTACTTTAGGAATGAAAATAAAAGAGAGAGAAAAAAGAAAAGACTGACTAAGTCTGAGAGATGAAAAATCTTAATAAAATATTTAGTTTAGGAACAAGGAGAAGAGAAAAAAGACTGAGAATATGCAGCTATTACGAATAAAAATCCTAGCAGAAGAAATGAAATCGAATAAAGAATCAAAAAATTAGAAAAGATAAAAAATAAAGTTAGCATGAAGTGCGCTAAAAATTAAAAAGAGCCTTAAATATATGTCACTAAAATTTTATTTTTTATTATTAATTTAATAAGTAATCAGGTCGATTAAAGTTTTAATTCTTTTACTCAAATTTAATCATTTTTAATTGTATAACTTTATCTTTAATGATCCGTATTTTTCAAAATAAGTTAATCCAACCCTATCCTATCCGTGTTTTGAGCTTTTGGATAACCCGGTTCTGAACGAACTCAACATTTTTGGACAGCCCTAATTACAAGTAGAGAGCCCGCCCTTTGTTTATGATAAAAGACTCGGTGGAGATTCTCTTCAACATGAGTCCTTGTTCTCTTTATTCCTACCATTTTATAATATTAAACTAAACTTGTCTTTCTCATGAAGATATAAATTTATTCCCTAATCAAAGCTCTTAGATGAATTAACATGAGCCCTTGTTATTTCGCTAGTTTAAATCTTATTCTTTACATTTTTGTTATGCATAATTAAAAAATTGTTTATAACATAATTTTTTAATGTGCATCTAAGATGTATAATATTTTTTTATTAAAAATAATAAAATATTATTAAATTAGTACGTTAATAACATTAAATATTATAATTTTTAATAAAAAATATATTATATCTTATCGTTAATAACATTGTTTGTCCAGGTAGCGAAACAGAGAAACCCTAAACAATTGATTATGTTTTGACCACATTCATTGAATCCATTCGATCAGTCTCAGACTCTGAGGGGTGTGTGAAGCAGTGACTTCTCAATTCGATCAAAATCTCAATGGCAGCAGAATCCATCAAAATCATCGCCGCCGCCGATGACTTCGGCACTCCTCTCAAAGACGCCCTCGTCGCTCACCTTCGCTCTCTCAACATCCAAGTCGAAGATATCGGAACCACATCCTACTATTCCGCCGGGGCCGAGGTCGGTCGCCGAGTTTCTCAATCCTTATCTTCCTCTCCCGAAGTGCGCGGCCTCGTCGCCTGCGGCACCGGCGCCGGCGTCTCCATCTTCGCCAACAAATTCCCCGGCGTGTACGCCGCCACCTGCCACACTCCCTCCGACGCAGTCAACGCCCGTTCCATCAACAATTCCAACGTCCTCGCCGTCTCCGGCAAGTACACGTCGCCGGACATCGCCATCCAGATCCTGGAATCGTGGCTGAACACTCCGTTCAAGTCAGCGTGCCCCGCAAACGATGACAAGCCATGGCCGCAAGAGATCCAGTCGTTCCTGGACAAATCGCTGGAGGAAATGTCGGAGATCGGAAAGGAGGAATCGGCAGCGGACACGTGCGCGGTGTGTTGCCTTGTGAAGAACCGTGAACTTAACCCTATCGACATGATTCCGGGAGGATCGATGAAGATTCTGAGGGAATCTCCGACGTCGGCGTTCGTTAGGTTCAAGGCTGGGAGCGTGGAGCCAGCGCATCACCACACGTTCGGGCACGATTTGGTGGTTATGGAAGGGAAGAAGAGCGTTTGGAATTTGACGAAGAAAGAGGGATACGATTTGACGGTTGGAGATTTCTTGTTCACTCCTGCAGGTGATGTGCATCGAGTTAAGTACTATGAAGACACTGAGTTCTTCATCAAGTGGGATGGTCATTGGGACATGTTCTTTGATGAAGATCTTGAAACTGCTAAAGAGGCAATTGATAAGGAGTTAGGCTTAGCCAAGTGAATGTCAAAATTAATAGATCGTTGCCTTCACTTCTGAGTTCTGATCATATCACTTGTTCTGTGTTGTATATTTTGTATTTGTTAATAAGCTCCTACTTGTGTGGGTTTTTGTGTTGCATTTGATCTTATCTGTGTTGTGTGTTGTAATTATAAACTTGTTTATGGGTTGAATTGAATGTGGCATGCCTTATCCTTAAAGCAATACAATAGCAACTCACTCAAAAAAATACCTGATGTGTGCTTCCATTAATCACTTCCTTTTTTAGCATTCATAAAGAGTAGTTGAAATTTTCGGCTGCTTCATAATCAAAACACAGGTAATCATACATAAAATTAACCATTTCATGTATTTATTCAATCAAACTTTTTTAAATAACTTTTTTTCATTATATAAATAAAATTTTTAAAGCACAATAGTAAATTTTAATTAAATATTATATACTAATTATATTAGTTGTTATAATTTTTAATAAAAATTCGTTGAAAAATATTTATATAAATAGCATTGAATATAAAAAACGATAACAAATTTGCTGAAGCCCAGATGTTTACGTTGGTCTCGTAAATCAAGTTTGCTTTTCCCTGTTGAAAAGGAAGCCCAATATGATAGCTTTGGGCCCGCGTGTTGATTGTTCATATGCGTGAACACGGGTTTGCATTTCTTAGTCTTGTTTCTCCAATTTGACAAACTAGGCTTCAGAGTAATTATGCTAAGCACAAATTTTATAACATAAGTAATTAACAAAAAAAATGATAAAAATTTTATGGAACAGAAAAAAAAAAAAACAGTTAAATGTTAAGGGATCCAAGTAAACGAATTGCTTACATGCTTAAAAACAAATAAACGAATATATCAAAGTAAAATAAGCAAAAATAAAATTAATTACTCAAAGTATTTATTAATTTAACATCAATGGACTTTAACTAACAAATTAAGACTATATTTACATAATTTTAAAAAATTAAACTTAAATATAAAACAATACTTAACTTTTAAAATATATTAATTGAAATATGCATTAATAAATAAACCAAAATTATTCTTTTACAGCCTCAAATTAATAAACCCAAATCAAAGCGAAACTGCCTAGATTCTTGTCCAGGTCATGTTAGGTCTCTAATTATTGTTTAATTAAAATTTATTTAACGTACGTTAAACACAACATTGTTTAACATAACATCATATCAATTAAATTATCGTCATTTTATTTCCTTAAATCTCACATTCTCTTTTTGTTTCCATCATCAACAGCCGTCTTTCCCTCCCTCTTTGCTTTCCCTTTTATAACTATAACTATTTGTTATCCTTTTCATATGAAAAATAAAATAGGATTTAATAAGTATAACAATTAGAAATTTGGACACCTACAGTAATTAGTAAAAATTAATGTGTTGCCAACTATTGCCAGAGCTAAACGAAGAGTTTTAATTTTTTTAAAATTCAGGTTGAGATGAACTATGTTGTCAAATAGACGATTTACACTATCTATTTAGCGTACTTAATTATGTGGGTGGTCAATGAGTGATTAAGGAGACTTAGTTTAACACAAGTCGTTAATCTTCATTTTACTCTTAACTAATGAGTTACAAAACTATTAATTAAAAACTATAATCAAGTAATTATCCATAATAATCTTAGTTAACGAGTTGTCATTGTTCTATCTATGCTAACGAGGGTTAATTACCTCACTTGATCAACCTTATGCTCTTGTAAAGTTAGGTTGGGTTCTAGAACAACCCACTGATAGCTAAACGATCCTGCTATAAATTCCCACTAAGATTGATGGTCTTGGTTAACTTTAGATGAGGGCAAGCTTTTCCCTGATATAAACTTCTTTTACGAAAAAGGTTTCTCTCTTTGTATGTCTGAGAATGTGTAAATTAATCAACACAACACATTCTATGAATCTAAGAGAGTGTCCATCCATTACTCCAACAAATAATTTTTTTATACGAATCTTAGTATATATCATATGTAATATTATAGAGATTAAATAATAATAATAATAAAACTTACAGAAAGTAGCGCACTGAGAGTATATGCTAATCAAATCAGAGCCTCCCCACGAACAAAATACAGCTTTGGCTTGGCTGCTCCATCCTTTCTAGAAGAAACAATGGATGCAATGATGTATGGCTTTCCATTAACGCCATATATCCATTTACAGCGTTTAGTTTTTGACCATACCATCAGCGCTGCCCTTTACTTTAGAAGCTTTCAATATTAGAAACTAACAAATTGATTCTCAGAAGAATTGTTCAATGACAAGTAGGAATTACACATCTTGTTTGACAAACTAAAGTTCCTTTTAGTGTTTATTTATTTTGGTGGAGTCATATCTCTTTTATACATACATACACACACACACACACACACACATATATATATATATATATATATAAAAGAAAACAAATGTTAAGGATTAGGAGACTTTCAACATTTAAAGCCCTTATCACTATTCTCAGTACCTGAAGCCATTATTTTATGCATTTGATATATATTATAAATAAAAGAAAAAACAATGGAAGTTGTAATTCATTACAGTGTTTATTGCTTCGCGATATAACCTCGTATTTATTATTCATTTTCGTAGATGTAAGAATTGTATGTTGAACAATTGCAAGTAAATTATATCGTTTCTTAGTCAAAAGTCTGTATATATCTTTCCATTATATTTTTACGTAGATGATCTTTCTCTTCGTCTTTCCTACATTTCGAATCAGCAGTGTTTTTGAAGAATAATTCCATCACCTATTTGAACAATAAAATAGCCATTGTTGGTATACAGTATAGAACTCCTCATTGTTAATATTTAGAAACAAAAGAAAATTTAAAGGACTTGTAAGAAATTAACTAGTGTGTTTTTCAGAGTTATATATTATATAATATAATTACTTTTTATATGGTTTCATTATTTCAATCATTTTATTTCATGATTGTTTTCTTCTTTCAATCTCTATCTTTATCACAGAAAAAGGTTATATGAATGAGCAGTATAAATATTATTTTGAGAGATTGGGGGAAATGATCTATTGAGGGGAACTTTCTTGGCAGCCATGATAGTATAGTGATTAAAGAGGGTATTTGCGTTGAATACAGAAAGGGGGGTAGTTTTTAACGTGGAATGAAGGCACTAGGTGAAAAAGACATCCAAGAGTGGGGGAAAAAACTTCGATCCTTATCTATAGCCAAATAATGATCATTAAAAAGGTAGCCACTAGCTCAACCCAAAACTTTTTGACAAAAATTCATGAGACGTGATACGTATTGGGTGTTCCACAATCTTAATCACCGAAAAAATGTTCCCAAAATATTAAAGCCAAGATTAGCTGGTTGAGCTCTACTTCCCTTTCGCTGTCGCCAGCACTAGTTATGGGACCCTTAATGGAATTCTCAATTTGGCACAGTTAAGAATAAACCAAACAGGGAAAAGCCTCTGCTTTTGGACTCCACAAAACTATACGTACAAAGTACGTACCCACATACACACCATGGGAAGAAGCAGACATCGTTTTAAATGCATGCAGCATGCCTTATTCATTTTGTGACTGTGAACGAGATGATGCAAGTGCTCCATAATCTTTTCTATAAACATGCATGTGCCATGATGATTCTAATATAATATATGATCTTTTAGGCCATCTTTTGGTGTGGGACTTGTAAAGCACGTATATTGCTTACACTTTCCGCATGTAGTTAATTTAGCTTCCATAAGCTTTTTTCTCTTTAACTTTATTCGATATTGGATGTTGCAGATCCATTTGCTCGAATTCCTTCAACTCTTTGCTTGAATCGTGAGAGTTAAAATATATATATGATACCAAAATTTGAAGCTAAAAACCCCAAATGATGGCCTTTGGGGACTGATAATAATAATAATAATATGCAAATCCCAGTAAGAATCTTAAGGTATACATGTGGAATATTTAAAGATTAAGATAAACATTAATCTAATTACGTATCAACCATCATTAAGAGCATTAATAATAAGCTGAGAAATAAGTTGCACCTAATTAATTTATATATATTGATATATCTTCACCTACTAATAACGCACATACACCTGTCATTGTTTACTGCATGTTATGGTATTTTTGCTTTGAGACCAAACTAACTAAACGTACACTGTTCAGAGAAGACGCTTAGTTACGAGGCTTAGACCTTTTTTTATTTTTTATTTTTAAAAATTATATTTTAAGACATGATTTTTAGAAAGAAAATGAAAATAAATTTTGTTTCTTAGTTTAATTTCTAAAACTGCTTTTAAGACGAGAAAGTAAATAAATCAAAATACTGTAATTTTTTTATTTTTAAGTTTTAATAATTGAAAATAAAAAAAATATTTTTAAACATAATTTTTAAAAATTTACTCTACCAAACGATTTTTTATTTTAACTTTTAAAGAGAGAAAACATTTTTAAAAAATAAAAAATAAACAAGCCTTTTATATTTTGTGGTATATTGTAAGTCCTTCTAAAAATTTATATTTTGAATCAGTGATTATTTTCTCTATTGATGTGATGTTAAAATTGATGACTCAATTTGAAAGTTAAATATAAATTATATTAATAAAAAAATAATACAAAAAATATGACAATTTTTTCCGTAGAAAAATTTTAAGTAATTTATATTGTTTTTTATAAATCAATAAGATATTATGTACTATCTAACGTAAAATAATTATTATGATTAATTTTATATTAATAGATAATAAAAAGATAATTTTTTTTAAATATTAAAATTATTAATTTAGAAATAACATACAACGTCTTTCAAGTCTACAAGTGCATTAAGAATCAAAATTTTAAGAGATAAAATTTACACGTTGAAAAAAGTTTAAAAAAACTAATTTATGTTTGGTAAATTTTTTTCCATGAAATTAGAAAATAATCATTTTTAATTTTGTTCTTTGAAAAATACTGATAGTTTTAAAAAATAAACAACACAAAATATGCACTTACTTTTAACTGTTGTTATGTATTTATTATAAATTAAAATGATTGTTGTTGTTGGATTCTTGATTAGTTGTTTAATTATTGACAGAACAGATGTGGAGAAAGTTGTGATGAACAGGTGCATACGATCCCACTTATGTGTGTGCATGTGCTGTAGCTGGCAATCAATGCACCCTAACCTCCAAACACCACACATGCCCATTTCACATTTTCAGATAACTCCTACAAATATAGAGCCATTCTCTTACACTCACTCATAAAAAAAAAAAAAGGGGTACATTTTTAAGGGTTGTTCGTGTTTGATTTGCCATAATACTTTGGTTGGTGTTGTTTTTAATTGTTAGTGTTTGATTTCTTTTCTTAATAGGTAGCTACTACAGTACTTTTAAACTTGAAAGGATATTAAATACTTTCTTTAAATTATATTAATATATTTATATTTTTTTTAAATATATTATTAACTCTATTATTAAAATCAATAATTACTATAATTGTTTCATATATACAAAAAAAATTATAGAATACTCTGTCATTTGTTAGAACACAGTAAATCTTTTACTTTATCATCAACTACCTTCAAGCCATATTTTGTATTAATCATGATTCCACTAGTTTTGTAAATAAAGTTAAATTGAATTATGAACATAGAAGAAGAATGACAGAAAGATAATGGTGATGACATAATTGATTTTCCAGATGAACACAAGAAAAATAAGAGTCCAATAAAGAAGGTTTGTGGTTGCCAATTGGCACACGCACAGCATAATCTTCGATTGTGAAGTGAAAAAAAAAGAAGCCCCTTTATCTTTTTTTTTCCTATTAATAACTCCGTTTGTTTTATTCTCTTTTGGCTTTTCGCTTTAACTTAGGGTCACGCCTTCTGTTTTCATTTTTTAGTCTAAAATGTACGGAACTTACGGAATCCACGACTAAGTCAATTTATGGTTGCGGCGATTTTAATTACAGTTAAAATTGATATATATTCATTTTTAATATTGATGTTCTAATTTTTAACTGAAGAATAAGCTCAATAGTATTTATGATATTATAACTTTATCTTATATTAATTTTTTAAATAATATTCTTAAAAGTATACTCATTTTTAATTAATTGTGTATATTTTATTGTTTAAATTTTTATATTTATATATTTTACTTTAACTTATTTTTATACAATACTTTAAATTTTATTCTTTCAAAATTTAACTAAATTATACTATCCAAATGATAAACACAAATTCTATTTATTCATCATTATTTTTAACATATTTATCTTCAATTTTTTTTCCTTGTACTATTATTTGACTTCATTCCAAAAATAAATAAATAATCAGACCTGTTTATAATTTTTTTTAAAAAAAAATTGTGGTTCATAAATATAAAGGGTTTTACAGAGTTTTTTTATTGTTTCTTTTTCATATTTTTCCTTTAGCTGAATTTTAACTTTAAATATAAATTTAAACAAATTTAAACTTTAAATAAAGATAAATTTAAAATATTGTAAATAAAATTTCAAAACTAATATAATAATCATTTTAAATATTTTTAATTAATTTATATAATTTAATAGAGAATGCCTTATATAATTTAATATAACTATAAATAAACATGTGCAATATTAGCATGCACGTATTCACACGTGCACTTAACTTACTAGAAGTATCTCAATTACTTACCAAATCATGCCTGTACAAGTTACTCGGGAAGTTAACTTGGACATAATTAGTTTTTTTTTTAATGTGTTTAAAGGTGTGTAATAAATAAATAAATAAACTGTAATTAAAGATATAGTATTTGATTTTTTTAAAATATAGTATTTAATATTAGTAATATATAAAATTTATTATATATTTTTATACATATAATTAAAAAAATATTGTTAACTAGTGTTTTAAGAGAGTAATTAAAAATTTAAAAAATATTTTTTAAGAAAAACAACTTTTAACTCTTCAACTTGAACTATAATTTTTATAAAAAAATACGTTAAGAAAATATTAATTTTAAACTTAAATAAATAATAATAATAAAATTTATTAAAAATATTTATTAGTTTTTATATTTTTAATATAATAAATATATATTTTTAAATAATTTTGTTTACGTTACGAATAAGGCTAAATAAACTGATAAGTAAACGATCTAAACAGGAATCAAATGGCAAATAAAAGTAAGTGTATAATGACACCTAAATTAATGCCAAGAAGTTAGGCGACGATTCAAAGTTGATTTTTAGACTATTTATTTATTTTAGATATTAGCATCGATTAAAGAATTAAAAATCCTTTTTATTAAAAAAATTATTTTTTTAATCAATGTCATTAAAATAATGTTGATAAAGACTGTGTCGATTTTGAGTGAATAATTATTATTTATTTGTGAGTTTGAATACCTTGTAAAGAAATGTCCCCATGTCACGTACATTGTTCTTTTGGGTGGTCGATTAGGTCAAAACTCCTTTTGACTTTTGCATGCAAAAACAAAAAAGGTGTATTCGATCGAGAAGACTATCTTGTGAATTTGTGGTTTATGTAACTAAGATGTGGTAAAATTGCAGTAATCATTTCATTTATATAACTAATGTTATGTTTTTCCATGCTATCTCTCGCGTTTATAGACACATTTATCAGCAATAATTTTGGAAGCATATTAAAGGTTTTCATTTTTCTTTTTAACAAAATTAATTGTCACTTTTTATTTATAGACATATCAAATTTCATTAACTTGGCATTTGTTTAAATAAGATTTTATCCTTATAAAAATTATTACATCTGGATTTGATCCATAAAAAAAGTTGTTGACATTTAACTCTTACACCTAAACTCACCAAAGTTAATAGTGAAAATCTTACTTAAATTATTAAAAATTACATGTTTTTAAAATTTAAGAATTAATTTTAAATACAATTTTTTTTCATAAGAGCTATAAATTTATTTAAGGACACATGACAACGTTGAATTAAAATTTCATTCACCAACTTAATACTAATTGACGAAATTTAACACTGTAAAGTATTTTTTTACTCGTTTAATTTATTATAAACTTGATTTTGTTTTATTTTTTAAGGATTAATTTAAAAAGTTTTTTTTTATAGAAAAACCTTGTTTGAATAATTTAAAATTAAATACAATTGGCCCATAACCTTTTATCATTTAAAAACAAATATCTAAAAACAAAAAGTATGTTGAGATATTTTATGTTTTTTTTTTCTGTTAACATAGTTTTTGACTAATGAAACTAAAATATTGAATATAAGCATGTTTATATTAATAAAATTATTTATTAATACAATTTATTAAATTAAAAATATTTTTTTGGTAAAGATATTATGTTATTAATATATATTTATAATATTTATTCTAACAATTTAATTTTTACTTAAAAAAGTTACACGGATAAAGATTAATGCAACGTTAAACCCTTAAGTACAATCCTTTCTTTTGTAGGTATCAATTGGTTTAGTAAATAAATTAATTTTAACTTATAAGATAATTTTTAAAAATATAAAATTTTATTTTTAATTAGAATTTTGTTAATATTTATTTTTTAATTATTTTTACTAAATATTTGATACTTTGGTGCTTGAATTGTAAGCAAACTAATATTTTATTTAAGAACAGGAAAACTGGAAAGTAAAATTTGTAAAAAAGAGTACTATTTATTTACTAAAAAGTATTGGATTAAGATGTCACGTGTCTTGAAATAAATAAATAAAACTTTATTTAAAAGAAAAGAAAAATCTATCAAGTAATACGAATCAATTCATTGTTACGTATAATCTTAAAAATAATAATATTTTTGTATTTTTCTTTTGTTAATCGATAATTAAATTGTTCCTAGGGAATAATTACTTATCTTCTCATCTCTTTTAGATTGAGATGACGTATTTCTTGACACTACTTATATGATTTGACGTGAAGAGATATACCTGCAAAAGACATTCTGATGAAGTTATCAGTTTAAGCAATAAATACTATTTTATAATCAAAAGTCAACCATTTACTTCATACTTTCTTTTTACACACATTATTATGGGCTAATAAAATTTATGAGTTAACTCTAATTTTAGCCTTTTAATTACAGCAAATAATAATTTAATTATCACTATTTATTTAGATTAATTATCTTTTAACTTGACTGATAAGGTCCTTGACTATTTAAACTGAAGAAGTACTCGATTTTCTTTTTTTATAAATAGGACCAAGTTGGTGTTTATACAATACATAAATATTAATCTAAATTTTACACTATCAATACATACATACATTTTAATTATATTTGTTATTTTTATTAGATCATTTATCATAAATTTTTTATTTACATCGAAATAATACCCTATAAAAAGAATATCACTCCTTAATCTTAATTTGTGTATTTTCTTTTTGTACTTTATTTGTTATTTATACTTTATAACGTGTCGTCGTGGTCGGTGGCTCCGGTACTGTAAAATTGCTCCTCTGCTTTGTTTTTCTCTATCGCCAATTTTCAATTATTATTTCATAAAAATAAATTTCATTATTATATTTTAAATCTCTGTTAATAGGTTACAGATATTTATATAAATAAGTATTACACATATATAGAGAGAGAGAACAGAGAGAGACAGAGAGACAGAGAGAGAGAGATTGCAGTAAAATTTGGTTTGGCTCTCTCTGGGTGTGTATTTGTAGAGGGATTGAGGAAGAACAAAAGGAGAAATCTAATCGCAAGAGAGAGAGAGAGGATGAATGGTGTGAAAGAGTTTGAAACGGATTGCTCTGAGTTTGTTGAGGTTGATCCAACTGGCAGATATGGCAGAGTAAGTAGCTATGCCTCTTTCTTCTCTTCTTATCCATTTCCTTCGTCACTTTCATCAATCATCATCTTCTTCTTTGTTGCAGTACGATGAAATCCTCGGCAAAGGAGCTTCCAAGACAGTGTATGAACATTGTTTTTTTCCTTTTGTTTCTGTCTCACCCCTTCCTTCTTTTTCTCAAATTTCCGGTTTTTTTTTCCTTCCTGGGGATTACCTCTACTGATTACATCAGAGCTGAGGCCCCTCTTTGTTTTTTTCTTAGTTTGTTGAAATGGGCATTTGATTTTTATTTTTTATAATTTTCAATTGATGCAGATATAGAGCATTTGATGAGTTTCAAGGGATTGAAGTTGCTTGGAACCAGGTCAAATTGTATGATTTTCTGCAAAGCCCTGAAGATCTTGAGAGGCTTTACTGTGAAATTCATCTCTTGAAGACGTTGAAGCACAGAAACATAATGAAATTTTACACATCTTGGGTAGATACTGCAAATAGGAATATCAACTTCGTCACTGAGATGTTCACTTCTGGGACTCTTAGACAGTGAGTCATCTCGATTTTTTAATTATTCTTTCTCCCCCTTCTGCATTGTTAGTATATATACCATATGGTCATGGCCATTAGTTATCCTTTTTTGTGGTTTTGAGGTCTAGTATTATTATTATTGTTGTTATTCTTTCACTTATTTTAATTATCAAAATAGGTATAGGCTAAAGCATAAGAGAGTTAATATCAGAGCGGTGAAGCATTGGTGTAGACAGATCCTTAGAGGACTTCTCTATCTTCATAGCCATGACCCACCTGTGATCCATAGAGATCTCAAATGTGATAATATTTTTGTCAATGGAAACCAAGGGGAAGTGAAGATTGGAGATCTTGGCTTGGCTGCAATTCTACGGAAGTCTCATGCTGCTCATTGCGTAGGTATGTTTATTGTCTATTTCATGTCAGCATATATATCGTATAAGAAGGTATCAAGAAAAAACCCGGCCAACTCAACACCAATTGCTATTTGTTCACTCACTTAGTTGATGCAGCCTTTTGAAAATGACTCGATAGCAACATATGAAACTACATGATATACAATGCTAAGGGGGTGTTGTTAGATAATTAGAGGATTGATTTGAACAAGGATCAGTAATTCTAGTTAGATTTTTATCTGATAAATTTATAATTCTACAGGAACGCCCGAGTTCATGGCACCAGAAGTATATGAAGAGGCATATAACGAATTAGTTGATATATATTCCTTTGGTATGTGCATATTAGAAATGGTCACATTTGAATATCCTTATAGCGAATGCAGCCATCCGGCTCAAATCTACAAAAAAGTTATTTCTGTAAGATTGCTTTCTTTATCTTTTCCATCGTTCAAGTGTTTTCTTTTTTCTGTATCAGCAAGATATAGTTGACATTTTACACCTCCAGGGTAAGAAACCAGACGCTTTGTATAAGGTGAAGGATCCAGAAGTGCGTCAATTTGTTGAGAAATGCCTGGCGACAGTGTCCTTAAGACTCTCTGCAAGGGAGCTTCTAGATGATCCTTTTCTCCAAATCGATGATTATGAGTATGATTTGGGTCCGACAGACAGTGGATCATTTGATGACTTGGGTCCTCTTATCCATCAGCCATTCTTTGATCTCCGCCAGAGCTATAGTAATTTAAGTTCTGAATATTCAAATGGTTTTGGGTATGAAGGAGACTGGTATTCTCAACCAGCTGAGATTGAACCAAGTGGAATCGAACTTTTTGAGTGCCATGATGATGAATCCGAAGACGTTGACATAAGCATCAAAGGCAAGAGGAAAGATGATGGCAGCATCTTTTTGAGACTCAGAATTGCAGACAAAGAAGGTTGGAATGTCACTGCTGTTGTGTTGATACTTTATCCCAATGTATATTTCAGGGTGCAATTTAAGATTGACAATCTGATTTATTTATGTGACAGGCCGTATTCGAAATATTTATTTCCCATTTGACATAGAGATCGACACAGCACTAAGCGTAGCAGCTGAAATGGTTGCAGAGCTCGACATTACTGACCAAGATGTTAACAGAATAGCAGATATGATAGACGGGGAAATAGCTTCCTTGGTACCTGAATGGAAGCCAGGACCAGGATTTGAGGAAACTAACCATTTTGTAGATAAAAATTGTTGTCACTATTGTGTGTCTAATAATACTTCTGGTGACAATGTTATGAATTTTCTTACACATAATCAAGGTGGAAAGAACTCGCAGCTTCCTCAATGCTGTCGGCATGGATGTACTTCAATGCATGGGCGATTTGAGGAGATTACCTTTCAATCTGAGGAGTATGACAATCATGTTGGAGGGGATGCACCGACCAAATCAAGCCAATCAGACTGCTTGCAGTATGAGGAACTATGGAATCATCATGAAAGTTGTGAACTGAGTCCAGTAGAGTCTGATCAGAGCCACTCTGATGAACAATGTGAGCAGTTAGATAAATCAGTTTTAGCAGAAGATAAAGGAAAGGGTGGTTGGGAAAACAAGTTTGCACCAGATGCAGGAAACTCCTTACGAAGTTTATCAGGAAATTATTTCTCTACTATGTGTTCATTATATTCTGGCCTTGAGAATGAATATGAGAAAGAGGTTCAACAAGAATTAAGATGGATCAAAGCAAAATACCAAATGAAGTTAAGGGAACTTGGGGATAAACCGTTCAGTATAGCAGCTAAATCTTCACATACTAGTGATAAAAAGCACAAAACAGAACAAGCCATTATGCTACCTTCCCTTACACAAACAGTAAACGAAATTGACCATGGGATTCGCTTAAAACCATTAGGTAATTACTGGAATGGTGATTCCAATTGCCATTCTCAAGTCCAAAAGCGGCACCCCAATTTGGACACCCAAAGGGCCCAAAATTGTGAGGTGATGTGTTCCCATGAAGAAGGTATGGTTATAACTAAGAGTTTATTCACAGGGTCGTTGCTTCCAGACACACTACACAGAACAGTCTCCCTTCCAGTTGATGCTGTGGATTTATAATATTATGATGCAGTCGTTGAATTCTTTTGTATATTACATGTATATGCAGTCATAGAGGCTATCTGATTTCAAGATCCCCCCCCCCCCCCCCTTCTTTTATTTTCTTGGAATTTAAAGTTCCTCACACAATGATACCAAATCCTTGTCCTACAAAAGTATCAATATACTGAACAGTGTCATATATTTAGAAAAATCAGATTTTTTTTTGTGAGGATGGTGGAGATCTTATACATGGCTTGTATAACATTGAGAATAATACGGGGTCAAAGTCTACGTATTATTTTGGCGTAGTCTTTTTCTGGAAACAAATATTGGAATAAGTAGGAATCAGAAAACAAACGTGTTGAATTGCATGTGTGTTTTTTTCGAAATAGAACTGCAATAATTGAGTGTGGCAACTGGGTCAAATTCACCTTTCAACTAATGCGCGTGGAGATTCAACCCAACATTGGTGTCTGCCCAATTATGTTAGTCAATTACCCAACACGATTCTTCCAAAACAACGAGCATATTCTAGTGCTTTGGTGCAACACCCCGTTTGGTTATTTCTAAATTCCGAGCAAATCAACTAAGTGTGAAATTAAAAACAAAAATATAAAAAATTAGTATAGAACATAATTACTTAAACATGAATCTAAATACGCTCTAAATAAGTTGTTGGGCTAATGTACTAGTTGCTGCATTGAAAATTCTCCCACTTCGCTGCATTATTATATTGTTAAAATTAGTACTCACAGGAAGAAAATTCGTTTATTTTATAATGCGCACGAGAAGGAAGGGGACTGAAGGTACACTGACAAATGACAATGCAATCAATTATTTCTTACTTTTCTTTTAGAGTTTGGTTCACATATATTATTTGGTGTGTCAGTTCTGACTGGGCGTTGCCCAATGAGATGATTTCTGAGCTTTTTGCTTTGCTCATTGCCCTCTGCTTTATTTCTTCTCAATCATGAATGATGTGGTTGTTTTCAAAGGTAATCAATTAATATGATTGGATCTAAAAATAAAAAATATGAAAAAACTTAGACCTAAGTTACTCTTAAAAACTAACTCTTAAGAGCAGAACTAATCACATCCTTATAAAATTTTTTTTAGCTCTATTCTTAATTAATTAACCTGAGATATCTTAATAAAACATTATAAAGTATTATACTTTACGTTTGGATGTACGATTCAGCTTACAGAATTGAATGAATTGCTTAATTTTGATAATTTTTTTACATTATTATTTTTGTTGTTGCATATTTTAGGTTTTATTTTGAAAATTTAATTTAAGAGTTTAATACATTGTAGACTTTAATTTTTAGAAGAATATTTTGAAATTTACTTTCAAGATGAAAAAGGGTGCAAAAAGGATATTTTGTTATACTTGGCAACCTTGTTCATGCTTATTTTCGAATTTCAGTTCTATTTTATTTTTATTTTGGAGCATCCTCTCCTCTCTTAAAGTCATATAAGTTCTAATTAAATAAACCTTTAGAGATAGAATAAAAAAATTAGTATAAAAAAGAAATAAATTTTCTCTCATAAGTTAGAAACAATTTATCTCTTTAAATTTTAAAGAAGTTAAATGAGAGAACTTTTTAAAACTTTTAAAAAATAAAAAAATATAAATTGTTTTTAACTTATGAAATTTTTTTAATTCATTTTTATATTATTTTTTTTATAAAAAATTCTGTAATAGTTTACCCAAACATGATAATAATGAGTTGAATAATCAGTTTTGGAAGAACCAGATTGTGGCAAAGTCATAAAATTGCCTATTATCTGTATATCGCTATTGTCGTGACATGTTAGTATTAGAAAAAATATATAAATAAAATAGTCAGTATTTAGATTTATTAGATGTCAATTCATGCACAGAAAAGGTTTACTATGATATAGTATGTATTCATAAAAAAAATTGCCGCAGAAACGATAACACTTAAATTTCACCCTATTAAATGAGGTTGATCACGTGGTACCTATTGACTTCTATCAAAAGTCAAAATCTTAACCTTACTATTATAAAGAGATTTCCCATTTGATATCTAATTTTTACTTTATAAATTGTTGATATTAATTATTTGTTTAATGTTTTGAATATGATAAATTTGGAAATATACGATTATTCATTCAAATATTCAGAGATAAATAAAGAAGAATAACAGCGTTGATGTTGCAAATATCATAAGCTTTGCTGAGAAATCAGCACAGTAGTTTGTCTCTCTAAAAGAGTGAAGAATAGAAATGTTACAATCTCTTTGCCCGGCCCTGTGAATGTAGCTGGTGATTGGTCCATATTTATGAAACAAAACAAAGTTATTGGTAACCATTCTAAGTGCCTTCATGGAATCCGAGTAGTAGATAACCTTCCTTTAACCCTTCATTCCAAGCCAAGGTTAGGCCATGAGGGATAATTATTATTATTATTATTATTATTATTATAGCAGCAAGTTTAAAAAATAATTAAGATTTTAAAAGTTTATAGTATTAATTTGTAGAGCAGTCAAAGTTATGGGAAAAAGAATAAAGGAATAATATCATTTACAAAATCATCAATGATCTAGCGAAATCTAAATATAAGGGTTCATTTAATATACAATTGTACGATGTAATTTATAAGTTTGAATGTTTTAACCAGGCTTAAATATGTTTTTCAATTTCTATATTTTGGTGATGTTAGTTTTAATTTCTCTATTTTTTTAATTTTAGCCTCTGAATTTAATAATAATAATAATAATCTAGACAAAAAGAAAATCTTAATTCTTTGGAACCAAACCAAAACTCAAGTGAGTTGTTATTCACATTAGACTTCATCTTTAAGAGATGGTGCTGACCTTTTTTATGTTGTCATGGAGTCAATAAATGTCTCCACATTCATGATTGAGCGCTTCTGTAGGCTGTGACTGAAATAGATTTTAAAATTGAGGCTACTTGTATAGCTAGCAAATGCCAAACGGAGCTTAAGTCAGCAAATGCGATCAAAATTCAAAAGTAATAATTCCTCCGACTAGATATTTGGCTTCCGTTAAGACAAATAACAAAATAATAATAAGAATAATAAAATATTGAACATTGAAGTTCTATTTTATTTTATGATCACAACTTGCCAAACTTCAAAATTTTTAAAAATGTATTCCAGTAGCATGCAGTCATGCACGAATAAATTCTGAAAAGTTCACCGAATTTAACAGCAGGGAAAATTTCTAAACAGAGAAGACATCTATTTCAAATTAAAATGATGCAATGACTGTGGGTAAAATTGTACATATTTTTTAGAGTTGATCCTACTGGTAATTTTTACAACTTACACCATCAATATTTAAGCTTGAACCTTCAAAAGTGACAGCTGAAAATAGCCTTGCAGATTGAGTAGCAGGACAATCTCAATAGTTTTAACGTTATTATTTCGGTATAATTGGAGATGATCCTCAACTATGCAATCACGACCCAATTTCAGCTCGTAGTTCTGGAAGGCTAGGGGCAGCATGCAAGCATACCATCACAGTTTACAAAGGCCGTAAAAGTGGGTAATCTTCAAGTAACTCCCGTTCTGATAGAGTATCATTCTCATTCTGTGGGGTCCATAACACCTCAACCGCCTGCAAGTAATTCAAGCACATAGTGATATCATTTCAAGGAAATGAACTTGGAACATTTGCAAAAGGACTAACAACGTATCATTGATTTACCAATAATTTGCTCGAAGGAATGGATCCAAGTTTCTGTAAAGCTTCCTTCAAGTCTCTACTTCCATTGATGCTAGGAAGTTTATGTTCTCCTTCAGCAGCTGCTAAGATTGTTATCTGATATATAAGAGCATGAATTAGAAGAAAATTAAGAACTGTCCCCATGGAACTTCAGTCTTCTCCCTTCTGAGAAGAAGTTGGAAATAAAGAAAAGTATGACCAACGTAAAAAAGTTAAAAAATCTACATCATGAAAGAAATTGTTTATCCCTTCTATGTACTATTTCTGTTCCCACTGGACAGATTCACAGGGCTTAAATTCAAAATTTTTGAACCCAAAAAAAAATAAGAACAGGTTTATACAGTTTACTCTAGTTACATGCCTATTGAATTTAGGAGATTGATGATTGCCTGCTTAGACATGGATGTAGGTTAACGGATGTACCTATGTAATTTGGAAAGAAGAAGATGCATTAGAGTTATAGAGCAAGCAAATCATTACAATCTGACAACATCAAGAGAGAGAAAGAAAGCATCAAAAAGAAGTTTCAGTCCAAATTCATTCAGTGTACGTCATTACCATGAGACCCATTTAAAACAACTTATTTCTTCAACAAGAAAAAGGCAATCAGACTCAACTGTGCTGATGTCCAACAAACATAACAAGAGAACTGTAGGTTTCTGAAGAGTAAAACAGGAGAGAGATGTTCTCAATTGGTTTATTGATTTTCATCTGTTCATTCCCTTTTCTTCATTGGTCTTGTTGTCTTCCTCATAGAAGGAATGACTGTTGACCTATACTAGGCACGTGAACAAGGTTCATCTTTGAAATATTCACAAGAACTATCCCCAATGGTATGCAAAAATGTTCCTATTAGGAAGGTCAAATCTACAAACAGTTAACTAAGTGTCTCATTCTCAGCGATATGCTTTTAAGCTGGAAGTGTAATACTTGCGTCAGGACCTCATAGACCAAAGTTTTTCCACATCTTTTCTATTTTATTTTTCTGATAGAAAAATATCTTTTCTAAATATGGTTGTGAATAGCAATATTAAACCTGGACATTTGAACATGTATGAAGCACATAAAATGTACTAAGTCATAGGTGAAGTCTTTCCAATTTCATACTTAATGCAGGTTAATGTGTAATAATATGATTTCATTATGTTTTTTAAAGTTAATTATAAGTGCATGGTGAAAATATGGACCACTGCAATGCAGGTGGTAATACAACATCTTGAAAACACAAATAAGAAAGTTATTGGAAAAATGAGATGATACCACTATGTATTCATTGCTGAACCCATTTGCTCTCTGGCTTCTTGTGCTTTGCCTTTTTATGTTATTAACATTGACCAAAGTCTCTTCATCAAATTTTCCCCGCTCTTCAATTGAAAGTTGATTAAAACGTTTCTCCCCATCTTCCATACCCCGCTTTATGTCCACCTGCAAAATTATCAGGAAATACAAGCTTTCAACTTTCTTTAAACTCATTTGCAGATGGTTCTACTGCAGCAGATGTTTCAGGTAAGGTCAATATAGAGTATAATTGAAATTATATGTAAGGTTGGAAAGATTTTTCATTGATGGTGAACTCTCCAAAAAGAAAAAAAAAAACAAATAAATAATGTTTTCTAGTAGATATCATATACAATCAACTTGTCCAACAGATTACAGTAAAGTTTAGTACTATTTTTTAGGACGAAAGAATAATACTATTGTTATAACATAAAGCTCATATTTTCTCAAAACCAAAAATGCACAAAGTACTTAATAGCATTGAATTGAAAGCTCTTTAGCCACTTCACCACTTTCTCTTTAAAATTTAAGTGACAATCTAGTATATAAATGACGGATGTAGTATGTTACAAGATTTCATCAGTGACAGCACTTAAATCGATACTGTACTGTGCATTAATATCAAGCCATCAACGGTGAACAAAAAATAACATGACTAACAGCACAAAGCTGTGCTCTATACGGTAATGTCAAGAATTCCATGGAGGTTTAGAGATTAAAGTAACTTACGGATGAATATGCTGAAATGCAGTAATCAGGATGACGGAGCAAAGCTAGTGTTGTCTCTGTTACAAAAAATCAAGTAAAAAAGTAAATTAGAATAAAAAGTAGATCATACAGCCAAGTTGTTCTATGCTATATATCATATAACAATCAATAGGTTTGATAGTTAAAACTGAATATTCCTTTTCAAGAATTTCTATATTTTGGCAATATGTTTGACCCTCATACATCCACACTACGTTGAGAAAAGTGTATATCTTAAATTAAATCTAGAAGATTTATTCCTAACTTTGAATGGAAGTGTACTGTCAACATTACTGCTTACACATTAATACATGCAAATTGCCATTTTGAAACATAAAAGAATTATGTTATGCTATATAAACCTTGAGGCTTAGAACTATCCTCATATGAAGTGAAATTTTGTGATGCATCTAACATTATTCTCCAAGATTTTCTTTTTCTTTTTTATTAAAGAAGATATATTCTTTTGGAGCAATGGATAAAATGTCCCCCCAATAAAATATTTACATTGCGATTAAGCAAAGATCATAATTTAAAGCTCTTAGAACACAAATATTACAGAGCAAGCACTAATTTTTACTTAAATCTGCCATCAATCCGTCATTAATTGTTACACAAAATAGAAAAATAATAAACATGTTCAGTAAACCTTACAAGAAAATCCATATGTGATAACAAACAAATAATCAAGAAGAGAAAAAAAAATTGCATTTTTAGGAGCTTCACCTGTCAATACATAGTTCAGACCTTCTGAAGTTGATGTATCAGCAACTTCCGCAATCCTATTCAGATCCCTTTGAAGTGAGCGACCCATCCCCAACAATCCAACCTAAAAAGCAACACCTCCATTGAAAAACTGATTCTCCAAAGATTTAGGAATCATGAATAAACTGACACAGTTTCTGCTGTACAATGGTTTGTAAATCTAAATGAACATGCATAACTTCAGGTAAGAAACAGTACTGACACAATTTATTGGAAGGACATGAAGCAAAAATGATTTATGCTAATCCCAGCACCCAGGATAGAAACTGTTACTGCAAGTGACAGTGACAAATCTGATCACACTCAAAGCTTGAACACACTGTTTTCCTCAACAGCAGTCAGTACACTATTGCGAGACCCATCCAAAAGAAACCTAGAAACCAAAATAGAAGTGACAAAACCCACTAAAGCAAGAAAGAAACTGGAGCCAGCACCCCCTCTGAACCCTACAGCAGGATCAACATAAACCCAACTACCACCACTGCCAAACCCAAGCAGAGAAGGCAAATATATGGCACCGAGAAAGAGATGCCTTGTGTAGGGCTAGGGGCGAAGGATAACCTGACCACTGAATAAAGATAGCAAACAGAAAGATCTCCCACGCATTCAATATTCAGACACTGTTCATGCAGAGTTGGGGTGGTACACTAATTGCAACCCCACAGCAACGTTGCAGCTATGCTGGTTTCCATAACAGCTTCAGCACTTCTCATACTGCATTGACAAAACCCACAAATGGGGCTTCAAAACTTGGGTTTTCTTATTTCTGATTTCACTTGTACGATAAGAGACATTTGACACTAGATATAGCATAACTTTTTGCATGGAATATAGAAGCAAGTTCATCAGGTTTTATGAAACTGTGATTGCAGTGAGATGTGCAATGTGAAGCAAATTACAAAGAAGTTCTGCTTCCGTCTCAAGTCCAAGGGGTTAGCTCAAGTAACAAAGTTGTGACTTGCAGGCACAGTCACAAATTGAATCAGAGATAATTGGCAAGGACTGAGAGAATTGAGGAAGGCATAAAATCAAAAGAGGAATATTTGGGGAAATGAATGTCAAGGATTTTGAATATCTTACATGAAATCTCTCTCTCTCTCTCTCTCCCCCTCTCCTCATCCAAATAGGAAATAGCAACAGGGGGGACTTGTCTGTGGCCCAGGACAGGTAGGCAACCATGGGCCATGTCTTGTGAATCATCCCATTCCCATCCCCAAAACTCTGTTCTTTTCACTTTAATCAAAACTCTTGTTTCCATTGGCCACACCAAGTGGCTGAATCTGCATAGCATGTGACAGTCTTTCATAATATGTAATCAATAAATAAAAACCAAAGTGAAAGAACACCTAAACCAATTCCCCAAACTAAATAAAATTATCCTGTGTTTTCATTTATTGTGGCTCAATTAAACAAATTCATTCAGCAAAACACGAGAACAAGTATACACAATATACAAGGAGGGGTATGTCAAGGGACGCAGGTCAAGGTTAGACCATCAGCAACAAGAAAATCAATTACCTAATTTATACTTTCTTTGTAGACTGTCCAATTCATGATTTTTTTCCCCTTTGATCATTCTTCAATAGTGCTATTTTTGGACACTTTATTATTCTTCTCAATAAATGAAAGAACACATGTAATAAGCATCTTAAACTTTTGTTTAGTTATTTATCAATTGCAGTCTACAGCCCCTTTTAGGGGCCACAGCTTCTGCTAGAACTGCACAGCTTACTTCAATGCATAAGCAATAGCCTTTACGTACCTCCTTCAGCAACTTGAAGAGTGCAGTGTATTATGAGCAGTTTTCATGGTACAGTTTAGAGGGTCAAGTTGTTCCCCTTACATGTTAGGGACACTGCTTTGTTTCTTTCCTTCTGTATGTGCCATAACGATAAAACAAATGTATTCTATACACTATGACCCATTCAATCCCCTCAGTCTTATTTATACTTGCCATCACCATCTCCAACGATCAAACATGATTATTTTTGCCTTCTAAATAAAACTAATTTTAAAATGCACCCAAGTTTAGGCAATCTCTATTATCCTGAAGTGCATGTTTTCATTTATTAAAGTATCCTCCCATCCAGTACGTGAGAAACTATTAGACTAATCTATTGCAGTGCTGTTAGGCGCCACCAAAGCAGGGACTTCCCGTATTGCTTCCAAATACATTAATCCCATGATTGAACCAAAGACCACATGTTTGAAAGATCCGAGTCCCTTCCACTTAGACCAACACACGTTGGTATATTCTAAAGAACTTAATACAGAAACAAATTATAGATAAAAAAAAGATAATCCCATACTCAGGAGCTTCATCTGTCAATACATAATTCAAACCATCCAAATATGATGCATCTGCTACTCGTACAATCCCTACAACCCACAACAGTCCATTGAAATTCACCAAGGATCTTAGAATAATAAAAAACTGACACCGTGCAATGCTATCGGTAGCTAACAAAACAGTGACAGAGGAACCTTCTAAACCTAATTAAAATAGCAACAAACCTTGGCCACATGCACAACACAAGCACAGTTGCTCAAATTTCAAACGCAATAGCAAAACCATGAAGCATAGCAAAATGGTTGACTTATATGTGAAACAATGAAGAAACAAAGAAGAAAGTTAACCAGACCTGAAGCTTGAGGACGGTGGTTTTGTCGGCAGCAGTGAGCACACTACCCTCAGAGCGATCCGAAAGAAAGCCGGAAACCAAAACAAAAGCGAGGAATCCCACTAAGATGAGAAAGAAACTGGACCCGGCACCAACACCAACCCCAACGGCGGGCCCAACATAAACCCCACCGAACGGAGAAGGCCCATAATACGGAGCCGAATAAGAGAACCCTGGGCTTGGGCCCGATGTCCTCGGCACCGAGTAACTCCTCGATGAAGATGAAGATGAAGAGAAGGACCTTCCTCCCATTCTCCCTCCAGATGCCGCTAACGCAGCGTTTGGATCATACATTAACAAAAGCCCAACCAAGAGCGCAGCTACGGCTGGTTTCTTCAACGCCTTCAGCGCATTCGATACCGTACTCGCCAGAACTTCCCACGTGGATTGGGAATTGGACGAGTTTTGTGGATTCGGAGATGAGAGGCATTTGACTCCGTTATACGCAGCGGGAACTCGCCGTTTTGAGTCGGGTATTGGAATGAATTTATGGGGTTTTGGAAAAGCGTGACTCGGAGGCGGTGGCAATTGGTTCCATTTGAAGTGGGAGGGGTTGGGTTGGAGTAACAGAGTTATGGACATGGTCATGGAGAAACCAATCCAATTTGAATTGGGAGAATAATAATGTGAAGATGGATATGTATGCGTGCGTGTGTGTGTGTGTGTCGTCTTCTTAACAGGAAATAGCGATTTGCGGAAATGGCAGTATTGAGATTAGGGGATTTGTGTGTAGCTTCTGGCCAGGTAGGCACCCCAAATCTCTGTCCTTTTCACTTTCATCGCAACTATTGTTTCCACATACCATGCCACGTCGCTCTATCCACACTGCATATCAGTGTATTTTTATAATAGGTTAATATAAATTTGCAATACCAGTCAAAGATTAAGCAAATATTAATTATAACAAATTCGAATCCAAAAATCTATATTTTGCTTTACGTAACTTATTTGTAATTTCCTTCATGGTTTTTTTTTTCTTCTTCTTCATAACTGACCAATTAGAATTAACGTTACCTTTTCAATGCAACACATTCGACATTCGTTACTTACGATAATCTGAGCATATGATTGATCCCTGCTTAATCTACCATTGGTGTCCATAAGAACGAACCCATCCTGTTCATATTTGTCTTGCTTTACTTCTCTTCTTCTTAAACACACCCCGTCAATTACATCTGAACAAAACAATGGGTTTAAACGCCAACAGATCCATTTACCATACTCCTTTGTCTTTTAACCAAACCTTTGATATTTTGTGATTTCAATTATTTTATCTAAAACACATGTATTATGCTTACGAAATAATATTTCATTGTTACTTATCAGCGAAGACATTATTTACACGCTCACTTATTCAAACCCCGCTTTTTATTTTGGACTTCTGATTAATTAAACCACGAATTTTATATTGCACCAACTCTACACAAAATATAATTTCTGTTGATACAATAATTAAATTTTAATGATATATTATCTTGATTATTTGTATTGAAAATTGTTAAATTTAAATAGTTATAAAATATGATAAATTTTTTATATATCTTTAAAAATACATATTATATTGATTTTGATGTACATAAATAAAATATAAAATGATATTGAATTAATATAAAAACTTATACACGTCATCTATAAGGTAAGTTCTTTTAATCCAACAAATTGTTTTTGAAGAAGATTATTTAATAACAATATTTTAAACGACATAAGAATAGACATAATTTATACTAATATAAAATAATATATTCTCATATAAATAAATGTTTCTTCTATATTGAAAAAACTAAAAAATTCCAATTCCAATTCCAATTTGATTTAATTGGAGAAATTCAAGTATTAATTACAGTAATTAAAAATATCACTTAGATGGATAATTAATCAAAACAAAAAAAATTAATATAAAAGCTCGTAAAATGCAAATTATAAAATGAAAAAAATGTAATTGTATGACAAACACACCGTTATTGAAAATAAAGAATCAAACTTCCATCACGATCAGTTTTATTGTTCTACATTTAGATTCAGAAGGCCATGAGCCCACTATTGAAGTTTTAAGCCCAGCCCATTTGGCATGTAAACCCTAATGATATAAAATGGTTAGGTTTCATATCTCATTCTCCCCTAGTGTGTGTTGCGGAGCTGTGACCCTCTCACTGCATCTGTGTTTTGTTAATTCCACACCTCTGAACAGTATGGCGGATAAGGCCGTAACTATCCGAACCCGAAAGTTCATGACCAACAGGCTTCTTTCCAGAAAGCAATTCGTGAGTTTTCCATTCCCTTTCTGCAAACGACAACTTGTAATATTAATTTCATAGTCTTATTTGCTTTTTTTTTTTTTTGCTTTTTTTCTTCGCAATTCCTTACGGAGGGGAATGCATTCGTCATTCTAAGTCGCTTTTTATTTTTCTATGGACTATTAGAATCGTGTAGGTTCGTTTGAACTATGTGGTTATAGAATACAGTGATTATTTGTAATTACGTAATATTAGAAAGCTTTAGATCTGAAAATGCTAAAGGAATTTGTGTGATTATCACATCTATATGGTTGGACAACATATGTTTCGGATTTCTTAATTGTCTTTTGGCATATGGAATTTGGAGGTAATTGTCCCAATTGTAGTGTCAGAAATTTCTAGCGTTGGCACCTTCTAATCTTTATTTATTTATTTTGGGTTGCAGATTGTTGATGTTCTTCATCCAGGGAGAGCAAATGTTTCCAAGGTACTTTCAATTCTGATTTTTTTCAAGTTTCAATTTAAACGGCTCATATTAGAAATTCAGGAGCTTTTAATGTTTAAAGTTAGCAGTTGGATGTTAGTATTTTAAGTAGTTATGGACTGACAATTGCATTATCAAACACTATAAATTTGTTGTGTGTGGAGTAAAGTCTGAGCTTAAGGAGAAGTTGGGAAGAATGTACGAAGTGAAAGACCCTAACACTGTATTTGTCTTCAAATTCCGAACACATTTTGGAGGTGGTAAATCCACTGGTTTTGGATTGATTTATGATTCAGTGGACAATGCAAAGAAGTATGAGCCCAAGTACAGACTTATCAGGGTGAGTCAGCAATCAACGCAACCTCCTCATTTTAATTTTTGTTTATGTTGTGATATATACCTTTTGATTTATGTTCTTTAGATTATTGCAGTACCACACTCCTTACAATATTGCTGTTGCTGACTTTTTTCTCTATATATTGCCACTGTTCCTTCTTTTTTTTGTCGCTTTTCCTTCTGGTGAACTTATAGTCTTGCAATTGCTTATTTCGAACTCCATATACATATTTAGGTATTTTGTCAGTGTTTTAGAAACATCAAGGTAAGCCAGTGTTTGCCTCATGATTCATTAGAAATTTTTGAGAAAATCATGAAGCATTTATTCATAGTTGGTAATGGTGACTATTTTCATTCTGTTCTTTAACAATGTCTTGATTTCATGTATTTTCATTTGGCAACCTAATCTTATTGTCATTCAATATTTTTTCATCTCTCTTTTTGTTATCTGATATTTGACTTGAGAATTACAACGTTTTTGTAATGTCTCTTAACAATGTTTTTGTAATTTGTGTAAGCAAACTTAAGTATCCTTCTATTTCAGAACGGTCTTGACACTAAAGTAGAAAAGTCAAGGAAACAAATGAAGGAGAGAAAGAATAGGGCTAAGAAGATTCGTGGAGTGAAGAAGGTAAATTTTAGCAAGCAATAATTTTGCATACTTTTAGGTGATTGATGTTTGATTAAATTATAAAATTTGTCATTTGTTATTTATGCAGACCAAGGCTTCTGATGCTGCTAAGGCTGGGAAAAAGAAATAAGTTTTGATACGTTGTATTTCAATTTTAAGGTTATTTTGGTTTCCGTCTTTTGTAATAGCTATTTAATCTTAGGCTAGGCTTACAGAATGAGATATTTCAGTGCAAGTGTTGATCCTTTTTTTAATTTATGTTCGGTTATAACTGGAGACTTTGAGCACTAGCGATGAACAATTTTGAGAACTCATGTTTATCTTTTGCTTTCAAATATAGTAGATTCGAGCTAGAGAGTTACTATGCTGCGTGAATTGGGCCTAAACGTAGCAACATTATTTGCTTGCTAGCAGATTATCTTGAAAGTTGTTTTGTTGATGCTAAGTAGCTACTTACGAGCCTCGTACGCAAAGTTAGAACAGAATTATTTTCGTAAAGTTATCGGGTATGGAATATTGAATCCCACGGTTTGGCTTAGTTAATTCTTACATCCAAATCTAGTTGTCCTTACTTTTGTAGTGAACTTGATCACCCCAGTTACGGAGTAGTTAAAGAACCATATCTTATTCTTTTGAATAGTTTCTTTTTATTTAATATTCACTGTGACTTCAATCTAACAAATTTACTAGACCTCGAGTGTTATTTTATGATTCTTGCAACCTCTATCTGCTTCAAGTTATAACTTCACCAACACTTAATTGTTTGGAATCACACCAAAACTCAAGTGAATCATTATGTACATTAGTCCTTGTCTTAAAATAGATGGTGCTGACCTGTTTTTTGCTGTCATGGCGTCAACCAATGTCTCCACACGGTTAAACGCAAATGTAGGCCGCGGCTGAAATAGATTTTAAAATTGAGGCTACTTGTATAGCTAGCGAATGCCAAATGGAGCTTAAGTCAGCAAATGAGATCAAAATTCAAAAGTAATAATTCTTCCGACTGGATCTTTGGCTTCCATCAAGACAAAAGGAAAAAAAAAATTTAAATTAAAATATTGAACATTGTAGTCTTATTTTATTTTTTGACCACAACTTGCCAAACCTCAAATTTTTCTAATCCATGATTACTTTCTCGAAAAGTTCGCCGTATTTAACACGCAGGGCAAATTTTTTAACAGAGGAAAAATATTTCAAATTAATATGTAATGACTTGTTGTAATATTAATTGTACATATTCTTAAGAGTTGATGCTACTGGTAATTTACAACTAACAGCAATAGCTAAAAAATAAAAATATACAACTAACACCAATATTTAATATTCAACCTTCAAAAAAACCACAGCTGAAAATAGCCATGCAGATTGAATGGCAGGACGATATCTGTGGAGATGATCCTCAAATAAGCAATCACGACCCAATTTCAGATCATAGCAAGCATACCATCGCAGTTTATAAAGCCGCAAAAGTGGGTAATCTTCAAGTAACTCCCGTTCTGATGTAGTGTCATTCTCATTCTGTGGGGTCCATAACACCTCAACTGCCTGCAAGTAATTCAAGCACATAGTGATATCGTTTCAAAGAAACGAATGTACAACATTTGCAAAAAGATTGACAAAGTATCATTGATTTTACCAGTAATTTGCTCGGAGGAATGCATCCAAGTTTCTGTAAAGCTTCCTTTAAGTCTCCACTTCCGTTGATGCTAGGAAATTTATGTTCTCCTTCAGCGGCTGCTAAGATTGTTATCTGATATATAAGAACATGAATTAGAAGAAAGATTTAGGAACTGTCCTCATGGAACTTGAGTCTGCTCCCTTCTGAGAAGTTGAAAATAGAGGAAAGTATAACGAACATAAAAAAGTTATAAAATCTATATCTTGTATTTTATAATGTGATAAAAATTACTCCTTTTTTATTTTTTTCTGTTTCTAACATGATCATATCATATCATTTAAAAATATTTTATAACATTAAAAGATGCATGAAAATTTATGTTTTTTTTTTTTCATAGCTATTTCTTTCTTGTCATATTTCTATCATAACAGATAAATTGTAATGTTATTTTAACGGTCGATACTCCACAACCTATACAAATTAAAAAGTAATTATACTACATTTGTATAAATGTCTGGTATAAACACCCAAACTAAACGTTAAAATAACATTATTATGCAGTGTAATGATATTTGTTAACATTATTAAAAAAATTATATTTTACATATATTTTTTCAATAACATGAAAAGAAAGACCTTCTTGTCAATATTAAAAAAATAAAAAATTAATTTATTTTATTGTAAATAATAAAAAGCAGTTTTTATGGTCGTAGAAAAGAAGTAGAAAAAGGGCCAAGACACAGAGTACCTTAAGCCCAACAAGCCACCACATCAGAAGGAAATATCATCTAAAAATTGACAAAGACAAAAACAGAAGGAAATATCTGGTGAAGCATGGAAATATTCTGACCCCATTAACATCGTAGACAGAGTCGGTAGCACAGTGAACGAAGCGGGATCTCAAGATCCAATTTCTCCGTTGAGAAAAAGCACTTATCCCTTAAAACTAAGTCAATTTGCTTCCGTCTGAGTCATTTTCATTCGTCTCATATCATCATGGAGCATCCCCCAACAACTGCTGCTACTCCCAGTGGTAGTTTCTCCATCAAATTATCTTCAATTCTTGTCATTAGCATCTTCAACTGTTTTTCATTTTCGTTGTAAAAGCAAATGAGGGTCACAAAATAGAAACTGCTTTATATATCGCAATTCAAAATAACGCCATCTTTTGCTACGCTTTCGTTGATATTTCTGCAAGTGAAGTAGATCTTGATGTGATTTGTTGTGTCTAAGTTGAACTTTTAACTATACAAGAGTTATGGTTTGTTTGTTGTCTCGTTTGTGATATACATCTGTTTGTGTTCTCTTGATTTTCTGATTTGGCATACTGAAGAAGAATACCTGAATCATTGGATCTAAACTGTTAGTGTTCCTTTTTCTTCTTCGTCTTTTTGCAGTATATTTATCCATGTTAGCGATCCAATTTCATCATTGTGCAATTGACGTTTTAATTTTGATATGATGATACCTTTTGTTGATTTTGTTAATGTGTTGGAAGCTATTTTGCTATAACGTTTTAATAAATATGTCTCATCTTCAAACACTCTTTTGTTTATTGTCTTAATACATAAGAAAAACAGCCCCCTTTCCTAACTGATCAAAAAGAAATCACGACTCCAGAAAAGTCAGTTTATAATGCTTGATTTCCAAATGTGTATTTCACTTTGTTTCAGTATTCATTGTGAAGATGGTTACGTTTTTAAACCCTTAGTACGTAATCAGCGATTCAAAGCGGTAAAATCAATAAGGAATTTATATAGAGGAAAGGATGCTGATTTTACTTGATATAAAAGAAAAACAAGTAGAATGAGTACTACTGTCCAAAACTAGGCTATACAGAGCTAGGCCTCTCCATCCATGACTAACTTCTTTATTTTCAAAAGATACTCCTCTCACACGCATGTCCCACTATAACGGACTCCCTCCTTACTTTGGCTCACTTACGTCTCTCCCGTTGTCTATACACTTCTTCTTTCTTCTAGTGTAAATTTTCCATAGTGTGGGCTTGGCCCCATTTGAACCCATATTCTCACCCACAGTCCTAACATGATCGCTCATTTCAAATAAACCTTTTTCAAATACGAGTCATTTATTGTTCACGGGCTTTGATGTGCCTCTTGAATAATGGTTTATGTATAGGACTGTAATATTTATTTTGTTAACTGGTAACTAGCTCCTACTCTCCCATGGGAAGTTAGAGTGGTTGCTAATGGTAACTAACTAGTTACTACAGTACAGATTTTCTTCCGTAGTTATTGCTTTACCAGTTTCATTTCAAACTGCTAAAACTTGAGACTGTACGTGACATTGTACACAATTATGTGACATCATATACAATTATGTCTATCTCTCATTTCCTTTTAATCATTTTTATATACATTCATTTCAAAAATACATCGCATAATGCAGAGAGATGCCTAAAGGTGTCTCAATTTGGATGTTCAAAGCACATTTTCCTTACATTAGTGGTTTTATTTTTAGCTGTTACAGAAGCTGTACAAGATAGAGACCAAAAGTTCATAACAAAAGCAGTCGAAGAAGCATATAAAGCGGTGGAATGTGGTGATGGACGCCCATTTGGTGCAGTTATTGTTCGAAATAATGAAGTAGTTGTAAGCTGTCATAACATGTCTCTAAGAAACACTGATCCCACTGCTCATGCCGAGGTTACTGCTATCAGACAGGTTGAACTATTTATTATTATTATTATTGTTCTTTCTTTCAGGATTTTAATATTGATTCGTGTGATCTGAGGTCTGTCCTGCGCCTATAGAAAAGAAATAATACATTGTCAAAACAAATAATTTGTTTTTTGTCACTTTTCTATCTTTCCTTGTCTCTTCTTAGAGCGAATGTTGCCATGACACACCACAATCGAGTTGTTAGACGTAGCCAATACCCAATAACCCCTGAGAGCTCATTAAAACTTGTTGAGAATATAATAATGAATATTATTTAAAAAAAAAAAAAAACGTATCCCCCATGACTTCCTTTCAATTTTCGTTTTTCTTCCACTTTTTGCCATCTTCTAATTTTCATCTTCACTTTTCTTCGGTGGAATAAAAATGATAGGTTTTTATTAAATTTTTTATCGAACTGCATTCAAAAAATCAAGGAAATAGGTACATTCATTATGTTTTCTTTAACTAGTGCTCTAAGCACACAGGTCAGCCTTATTTTAAAGTAGTTCAGGATTAATGTTTCCAGTTTGCGTTCATTCATTCAAAATCTTATTCATAACTAGTTACATTGGAATCTTCCTAGAGATTCTCGGGTTACGAGTTTTTACTCAAACCAATGTAATGTAGTGCCCACTCATCTAGTTGTAATATAGAAAAGAAAAGAAAAAATATACTTCATGAAAACCGTTTAGTATCATTCTAATAGTCCACTCATGTAATTGACATATTGGGTGAAATAAAAGATAGGTAAATCCTAAAAGTAATTAAGGGTTTTTTCCTATTTCTCACCGCAAATGGCTTGTGGTAGAGGACTCTGGTACAAGCGTGGAAGAGAAGACAAAAGCTGGAAAACGAGACCCAGAGAAGAATCGTGGTTCGAGCTTCGTGTTGGGGAACTTCTCATTTTTTCTGTTATTTAGAAAATCAGAAAATGTTACCAATATAATTGTTCCTGTTAAAGAAACACTAGTCTTCAGGTCCTTGCTCCGAAAGGATGACGTATCTCTGGTAGTCGCTGACGTGTGGGGTACCTATCTCTGGTAGTCGCTGACGTGTGGGGAAGGTACCCGCAAAAGGCACTCCGATGCTGAAGTCAGGATTCGGTTCTGAATAATAAATGATATTTAATAATAAAAAGTCAACTCTTTACCTGTACTTTTACTTTCCTTATATAGGCATTGTAATGGACTAATGGGCCTGTCAAGCTAGTTTTGATTTTAACTCTTTATTTAAAATAAATAATATCTTGATTATTACCGTAAATTAGGTTTAATTACTTCTTAATCCTGACGAAGGGTATCCGGCCAAATAGGTACTCGGTTTCATTTTCCTACAAGTAGGACCGAGTTGGTCCCTATTCAGTACACTAGCCCCCAAGCCCGAAGAGGTACGAAGCGAGGGCTTTAAATAATTAGAAATGGCAGACAGTTGATTAGGGTTAATTTGAACAAGACCGGGGAGGGTATTCGGTATTGAATAGACGAGTGGTGGTAGCATTTACACTTGACTGATGTGCATTATGTATACCTATTCGGCCAAATTAGGCCGAATAAGTACTCGGTTTCCTTTTCTTACAAGTAGGACCGAGTTGATCCCTATCCAGTACAATAATTTTTTTTTATTATACCAGGAATATAAAAAAATATTATATTTAAATGTTTAAAATTAATTTTAAAGGTTAGAATTAATAATTTTTTTAATTTATTGTATTATCACTGTCACTAAATTATAATGAGCTGTCAACACTTATTGTGTGTAATAATTCAATTTTGGTTTTGTTATCTCATGAAGATTTACTCTATTTGTTGGCAGCAATAGAAATAAGTTAAGCATAAATAGACTTTTCTGTTTAATAATTTTAAAGTCTAAATTTAACTTAATACATAGGTTTTTTATCAAGACTAGTCTGATATTTTTAAAAGTCTGATTAATCTATTAGTTTTTTTAATGACCTATTTCATGTCAAGATATTTAATAAATTAATAAACTTTTTTGTAGATAAGTTATTAAATTACCTAAATATGTATGTCATTTTAAAAGTTATAAATATTATATCTAAATAAACTATTAAAAAAATATTCAACATATTGAATATATATAATAAAATTATATATTCTTATTTATTACTTTCAAATCATATATTTAATTTAAATAAGTAAATCACTACACAATACAAAAAATATAATAAAATAAACATTAATTAATAAATTATTAAGTAAATATAATAACATAAAGTCTTACACATTAAATCTACAAATACAATATAACTAAATAAGTTTAGACCTAAAATTAGTAAATATAACAAACAAAAATCTAAAATGCACAAATAACAATTATTATACTATAAATTTTATATAAAATTATTTAATATATTTTTATGAATTTTAAATAAGTTATTCTAATAGACGTAATAGACTTATTTAATTAATTAAACTTTTTAGTTCTTAAAAAGTATAAATGAAGTCAATTAAATAGATTAGGATAGATTAAGCTTTAAAAAGTTAGACTTTGTAGGCCTATTTACATCCCTGCTTGTTGGGCTTGAAACCGTTCAAACAGGCATCATACATATATCAATGTTTCTTTAATTTTTGCTGGATTTTTCAACGTTTTATGACTGAGAGATGGTGCAAGAAATGAACGTTAATCCAAATGCTTTTGGACTAGTTAAATCCTTCATTCAGATAGATTCATTTCATTGACACTTCTAACTGTATCCTCTGTATATCTCTGGTTTAATTAACGTTTTACGGTTATCTATTATGATATCTGATTATGAATGCCTGTTCCTTTCATTCCCTTATTGTAAGGGTAACTTTCTGTTTAAGTTAAAATTATGGGTGCATGGAAACAAGTTTTTTATGTTCTATCTTTTACGATATATACTGATCATGTCAGGATATCGATTAACATTTGTCATGAAAGAAAAATATAAAATAATGCGTTTCCCTCTTTGAACTAGTTTTCATTGAGATTGGGATCATGGTTATATTGCCCAAGCCTTTCTTTTTTGCCTTTCTTTTTTTGTACTTATTTTCTTAAATATACATCTTTTTGGACCTCATTCTGTAATTGGACATATTCCTCTGTAGGCTTGTCAAAAGCTTAATCAACTTGAGCTCTCTGACTGTGAAATCTACGCATCTTGTGAGCCTTGTCCAATGTGCTTTGGTGCAATTGTTATATCAAAAATCAAGGTTGACATTTCCACTCCTCTCAACTTCTCAGAACACCATCTCATCGTCTCTCTCTTTTATTATAATGTATCTCTAATTGATATTAAATCGATTTCATTTTTGTCTGTTCATATCCAAACAGAGATTGGTTTATGGAGCTAAAGCAAAAGCTGCAATAGCAATTGGATTTGACAATTTTATTGGCGAAGCTCTAAGAGGCGCTGACTTTCATCAAATTGCCCACTTGGAGATTAAAAAGGCCGATGGTGCTGCTGCTGCAATTGCAGAACAAGTATTTGAGAAGACGAAAGACAAAATTACTCTCAGCTGATTGCTATAGTCAAAGTGATCACGATGAACTAATGTAACATATGTTCATGAATTGAAGAAATGTCTTATTTGCGTGCTATTATGTTGGTGTTAATCTGTTTTTAACCTGAATAATTGCAGAAGATTATTATCATGGATATGTTAAGTTTATGAATCACCAACATCTTTGATTGTTTTGACAGTTGCTAAGTAGGTAATGCTAGTTCAAGCAAGAGAAGGAAGTAAATGGGCTTGATACCAACTGGAGTGAATCTATGAATGACAGTGCCATTAAGAATCCAAAGTTTATGTTTCTCAGTTATATAATTAAATTACATTTCTTCTAAAACTGAAAAAAATAATTCAGAACAGATACCAACTGTTCTACTATTTAAACCCTCAATTCGTTGCACTGTTTTGAGGACACATGGTGTTTCTGCAATATTGAGAAATATTAGCAATATACTTTATTATTCTTTCTGTTCTCATTTATAAGATTTTTTTTATAAACTTTTGATAATCCTAATGCAAAATATTTTATAAAGTTTTAGAAGTATTTACTATTTTCTCATATTTTCCCATATTTTCCCTTCATAAAAATATTAAACTTTTCTTATTTTTTTTCTTATAATTACTACAATAATAGATTTTATTTTAAATAAAAATATTCTTAAATGTAAATTTTTTAAAATATATATATTGACTAATTTTAACAACTTTTCTTAACTTGTGTGATTTAATTGAGAACCTTATAAATAAGACTAGAAAAAGTAATATTTTAATATACTTTTTAATTATTGAATGAAATTTATTAAGAGGTGTAAAATTATGTAGGCATCGTTCCTCTTAAAAAGTTTTACTTGAAGCTTCTAAAACATTTAAATAAAAAAATACTTATTATTATTATTATTGATTTAATTAGTTTTTAAGAAGCTTATCTTAAAATTCATTTTAAACCTCCATATTAGTTGGACTGACCCTGTTCCTACCTAGCCTTAAAGTACACCTCTATCCCCGAAATCCTCTGCTTCCTACATCTGAACGGATTTGGGTTCAGGGATAATTGCCGGAGCGACCAAGGATTATTCCTCAGTTCTCTAAGCGATGGAACAAAATTTCCATTTTATGGGAAAATAATTTGACAAACACGTATAATCATTTATAGGATGATCGATTTATACTAACGTTAGACTGTAACACTTTACATAATTTATGATTTTAGATGAATGCGATTTTTGTTAATTCAATTATTAGATATAAGAATGCATTATATTGACCTCTTGGTATCAAATGATTTTAAAAATTGGTCAACAGTAAAAAAGAAATTATATATATATATATATATATATATATATATATATATATATATATTTTAAAGATATGAGTGACGTTAATCTTTGATGCATATTAATTAAGTTGGAACGCATCAAATTTGTCAAAATTATTTAACCTAACCTAATCTAATCTGAGCTGAGAAATTTTGGATTGATTTGGGTCAAGTCTTTAGTTTGGTACATATTTTATTAACAAATAACATTTAAAGAAAAAAGATAATTAGATTCATAAATACTCCTACTAAAGAATGAATTTAGATGAATTGTTGATGTTAATGGAGGGAGTCTTGTGCCGTTTAGGAAGGTGTCATCCCTTCCAAAGGAGAGGGATATTTTATGTAATTAACTCACAAGTTAATAAAAATAGATTTTATTAACTTGAAAAGATAGGTTACACGGGGTGCATGAACCACAAGTTATCTGGGTGTATGAAAGCACTATCCCACTGTGGTAGTGAGTAGTCAAGTGGGAAAGAATCTTCTCATTTACATGGTAGATTACAATCAAGTTTTGCATATATTTCTCCATAAATATTAAATAGACCCCTTTCATTTAATGTATGTTAAAAGTTATTATGAGAATATCTATTCTTGTCTTGTATAAATAATTTTATAAAAAAATTATCATATATTTGATAACATTTTGAATAATTCTGGCGTTTTATTTTTAAGTTTAAAACTTATAAAATTGTACATTCTTACATCAGAATACTAAAAAATTCATGTACTCTTATAACACGCATGAAAAGGGAAGGAAATGCAAATGGAATACGTCAATGCATTCAGTGTTGAGTGAGCAATTGCGAATTGAAAAGAAACGTGAAATGAATGAAATGAGTGAGTAAATTGAGTTTCCAAGGTTTCAAACTGCCACCAGCCAGCTGGAGTGGATATACATAAAAGAAAGCCACAATCGTTTTATTAAATCAATTCAAAGTGAAACCAAAATCCGTCTCTTCTATTACTTTTAGCCAATTTAGGTTTTAAAGTTTGGATCCCATATGAATAAATTGTAATTTTTTCATTAATTAAAAAGTTATGCTAAATTTGTCTACAAACTTATTTTAATAAAAAAAGATTTTGAAGTAATTCACATAATTCTAAATGCACTTTAAGCAAAATTAAATTTATAAAGTCAAATTCATTTAAATTCAAGTTTTGGCATTCATATATCTTATATTTTAATTAAAAAATGAGTTTTAAATTTTTTTGAAAAAAATAGAACTTTTGCTAATTCATTTAAACTATTCTATGGACCTAACTACTTCTTACACCTAATTTGGGTACATATGCATTATAGATTAGTAATGGTCTTTCTCGCAAAAGAAGAGCGAAGATTCCATTCCTTGTAAAAAAGAAGAAATAACTAAGTTTGTACCTAAAAAAAAAAAAACCGAAACTACCATTCCAAATGCAAATGCAAATGCAAATGGAATTAACGAAAAACAAAAACCAAAACTAAAACCCGTGAAGTGAACCACTACACTCTGTCTTGGCCTAACCACTAACCAAACTTTCTCTCTCTTTCATGGCTTCTCAACAACACGACACCGTTTTCCCCGAAGAAGAAATGGACGACGACGATGAGGAATCTCAGGAGGACGAAGAAGAGGAAGAAGACGACGACGACGTTTTGGTCGACGACGAAGAAAACGAACCTTCTCCTTCTGCCTCCTCCGCTCTCGCCGTCACGGTCGCCGTTCCCGGTTCCACCGTATCCAATGGAGGAAACGCTCCAATTTCCGCCGCCACCGCCACCGCCACCACAATCGTTGTCCACGACTCCCCCGATCCGAAACGGCGGCGCGTGGAACAAATCGAGGAGAAAAAACCGTTAGACGATTCGCGGAGGCTGTTTCAGCGACTGTGGACCGACGAGGACGAGATCGAGCTCTTGCAAGGTTTCCTCGACTACACCTCACAGCGAGGATCCTCTCACCACAACGACACCGCTTTGTTCTACGACCAAATCAAGTCAAAGCTCCAACTCGATTTCAACAAGAACCAGCTCGTCGAGAAGATCCGAAGGTTGAAGAAGAAATACCGAAACGTCCTCAACAAAATTGGCTCCGGCAAGGAATTTTCCTTCAAAAGCGCTCACGATCAAGCCACCTTCGAAATATCTCGCAAGATCTGGAGCAACATGGCCCCGATCGGCGACAATTCCATGGACGACGACGAAATCAACCTCAACCCCATCCCTAACCCTAACCCTAATCCGAATCTTAATTTTAGCCCCATAGTCCCGAAGAACGAAGTCATGTTCGGAAATTCGGTGGAGAAGAAAACACGGAAACGCTCTCGGCCTCGATCGGCGATCAAAGTCGACGAGAAGCGCGAGTCAATTGATGGATCGGCGTCGAACAAGGATCAGAATTGTATCAGAAATGCTACCACTACCGCTACCGCTACAGCTACTGCTACTCCTATTACTAATACCAACAATAATAGTAATTGTAACAGTGGTTATAGCAATAGCATACCGAGTTTGATTGAAGAGACAGTGAGGAGGTGTTTGTCGCCGTTGTTAAAGGAGTTGGTGGGTGGGGCCATGGCGGGGCCGTTTGGAGCGAGAGGGTTGAATTTGAACCCAGTGCCGTTGATGAATTTGAATTTTGGAGGTGGGGATTTGGTGGATGAGAAATGGAGGAAGCAACAAATTTTGGAGTTGGAAGTGTATTCAAAGCGGTTGGAGCTTGTGCAGGATCAGATCAAGGCTACCATGGAGGAGTTGAGGTCAAGTGGTGGAGGAGGAGGAGGTTGACCAATGACCACACCTTTTATTTTGTTATTGTTTTTGCTTTTGTAGTGAGTGATTGGAATTCTTCATCTTTATGTTCAACTTCATACAGATTTGCTTCTTAATTTATCCACGATGGTTGGCTGTTTGGTTGATACTGATAGTTTAGTAGCTAGCTAGTAAGTCAAGTAGTAACTTGTAATTTAATTTTCAGTTTTAGTTTTTGTTGATTTCGTAGAACACTTGTCCAATAAAATAAAATGTTTAATTTTAGCCATTTTCTTGTTCCTTTATTTTAATGGTCTCATACATGTACAGAACTGATTGAAATAAATTGGTACCCATGACTGCTTCTGCTTTATACCTGCCATGTGTTGTTGTAAAATACAAATTTTAGTACTTGTTTATATTTGGGGTTTGCTGATCCATATTTAGTATTCTTGTTATTATGGGGGGGATTGCAATTTGATTCAATTGATGGTAAGATGCTATTAGTTAATCTATAAGAGATTCTGTAATGTTCTTTGTCAGTTGTTGAATAAAATGAGAAATAAAGTGTGCTCCTTCAATGCTGAATTGAAGACTTCAAGTGGAGTGGAAGAGTTTGTTCATGATATTATTCTGAGAAATATTCCTTATAGGCCGCGTGCCGTTGGACCCTAACCTGTCTCGGTTCGTGTCTCCGATCAGTGATCAATAATCAGTTTTGGTTTTACTCCCTATTCGATTGTTATTGAATATTCGTTTTTTTTTTTCAACTAAATCATTAAATAATTACTTGACATTGCAATAATTTACGGTTTAAGTAAATATAGTTGATAATTATCGATCAATTTAATCCCTATTTTTTATAAGTACAAGTTTTTTAGTCCCTGATTAAAGTGTTTATCAGTTGATCGTAATGTCAACTATAAAGATCAAATTAGTTGATTGATATCAAAGCTGGGAAATTTCCTTTTACGAGTTTTATTAACAAATATTGATGTCAACATTTTGTTATATATGATATCAGGAGTCAAAATAAACGTCAATTTTAAAGATTAAATTGATGTTTGACTCGATTACAATGAAGCAGATTCATCTTTGGATTGAATTTCCACCTTTCCACAGAAAAAGAGGTGAAAAGCTAAAAAGATTAGAAAACAAACGATTTATTTAGATTCGTGCAATGATTAGTTTATCCTTTATCCTTTATCCAACGTTTCATTTCAGTGTAGGTGTAATGCCGCAATTTTACTTGAACATGCTTTATAATAAAGTCAAATTGCCAATCATGTGGCAAAAAAAGAAAATAATGGAAATATTTGTGTTTTTACTTGGAGAAAAAATAATCCAAAGAAAACAAACAAGTTCATTAATCTTGTAGAAAATTTAGCGGGCCACACTGCACAGACCCAAACCCAAGAAGAAGCCCAATTCATACAATATTAGTTTTTTTAAAAAAAGAAAAACAAGAAAAGCAGAGATTTGCATACCTTATCCAAGTGTGTTTGTTGTGAAATTGATGAAAACTATGGCTGGTTCTACACACCACAAAAGAAACAATGGCTTGTGCAACCCTTCACCTCTCAACCCCTTTCTCCCAGCACAACCACCCTCTCAAACCCAAACTCCATTTCCCAACTTCCTTCATTCTCCCCAAAACTCTCTCCGCCAAACGCTACAATAACCCTCCGAAATTCAGCGTCGACATCTCGAACGAAGAGCCACCCACTTCACCAGATTCAGAATCAGAATCAGACAAACGGCGTTTGGAAGAGAAATTCGCAGTGCTGAACACAGGCATCTACGAATGCCGGTCTTGTGGCTATAAATACGACGAGGCCGTTGGTGACCCTTCGTATCCAATTCCACCTGGATTTCAGTTCGAGAAGCTCCCCGACGATTGGCGATGCCCCACGTGCGGTGCTTCACAGAGTTTCTTTGAGAGCAAAATGGTTGAGATTGCTGGGTTTGCGCAGAACCAGCAATATGGGCTTGGAGGCAATTCTCTCACTTCGGCCCAGAAGACTGTGCTTATATATGGCAGTTTGTTGCTTTTCTTTGTGCTTTTTTTGAGTGGTTACTTCCTTCAATAATCATTAGTTTTGGTTTATGTTTAATTTCTCTTATTGGGTAACTCTTTTCTTTTTTAGTATATTATATTATTAAGCGTGTGAGGAGGGCTTATGTATTCAATTCATGCTATATATATGTAATATATATCTATATATATAATTCGATGTCGAAAGTTTGTAGTTTTTTGTTTAAACGACAAGATCTTCCAATGCTTTGTTGATAGCATGTCTATGTATGAAGTCACCATTGAGAGCCAGCCAAGTAATACAATCAAAGAAACTTGAAATTTGCCTCTGCATGATGTTTTCTTGTTTAGGTAACTCAACAGATTATCCCTACTATAAAATTTTTATTTGTTAGATTTTACTCTTGATCAATTATGCATTTTTCCCACCCGTGAGAAGAGCATTTTCATGTAGACTATCTTAAAAGGCACACCACACGCCCCTCATGAATGTAGTATGTCTAAATTATTAGTATTTCTTAGATTAGGTTGATATCCACAGTTTAATTGTTGGTGAGGCTTCAGTTAGCCAGCCGTTTCAATTTTTAAGTAAAAAAAAAAAAAAAAACTAAAGGGAATCGCTTATAGTTACTCTCTTCGATAAGGAATATGTGTGTTTTTATGGGTATTTGCAGGTTTATGATTTATTATGTTATGCCTTTTGAAAATAAAATGGAAAGTATGATAAAAGAGAATCTTCTCTCTCTTTTTTTTTCAAGTATTGGCAATTTTATGCACTATTTTTTTCTTTGTTGCTACATTAACATATTGTTTTCATTTTAAAAACTTTTTTTTTGCAATATTTGATTCATCTTTAAATCTGCCCAACATCACGTAAAAATTTGTGAGTCACATTCAGTTTAATAAATCTTGACAATTATCTTCTCCTTTGTGTTCAATAATTCTTATTCATGTAACATATTATATAAAGCAACTAAAACGCATAGAATATTCCTTTTAGGCTTCCACTTACGTCAACATCAACAAGGATCGACTCGAGGATAATACGTAAAGTAAAATAATAAAACCTCACATAAATTTGTGTCAATTTAGTTTTAGAAATAAAAATATTTTTCAATAAAAAAATATAATTAAAAGTATTTTATTTTTTTGCTGAAAAAGGGAATTCAATGGCCCAAAAAATAAAACAACACCTAGAGTAAAGATTTAGACCAAAAAAATCCTAGAGAATCCAGCCTTAACAAATGGGCTAAAGATTGATTAACTTTCTTTAAAATATGATTAAACTTAAAAAATTTAATTTTTTTAAGTAACAATCTAATCTCGCTAATTACAAAATACAAATAATGTTGACTATTTTAAAAGTTAACAATCAAATAAATAACATCTTTGAAATCACATTCAACCCAAATAATATTAATATTCTTCACAATGACCAATTCAAGTTTCTTCATAATACCCCAAAGTTTAGCACAAATAGGAGTACACACAAGAAGGGATGGTAAAAACTTGCTACAAATATGCCATTATGATCACGAATAAGTCCTCCATAGCTTGTCATTCCAGGACTTCAGACAACTAAACCGTCAGAATTTAATTTGAATTGCTTATTTAGAGGAGGCTACCAACGCACTAAGTTTTGCGGCCTCCTTACAACAATTCAAAAATTTTTGGATGCCCCTACCATAAGCTAATAAAAAGTAATTTTAATATATATATATATACATATATATATATATATATATATATATATATTACATTTAACGGTTCGAGATTAATTTTATCAAAATTAACTTCAAAATAAACAAATCCCAAAGCCAACTTGTTAACTTTTTAAATTTAATTTTGAACATCTAAGATAATTTTAAAATAAAAAATACCCATTATATTTCTATATTTTCAATAGAAATATAATGAGTATTTTATTCAGAAATGTTTGTTAATACAAAAAATCACCGCACATTTTAAATCAATCTGAAAGACTAATACTAATAATTTTCAATTTAAAAAGAGATCGAATGAAAAAGATTGAAGTCAAAACAACATAGTGAGGCAAATTTACTCTTCCAAATTTTGAAGGGTTACACACATTTAATTAAAATAAGAGAAACGACAAATTTAAATGAGAAACAAATACATTCAGGTTTAGTTTGGACCAAAAACGAAAAAAAAAAAAAACTTGTCTTTTTTTTCCCCTCAAATTTGCGATTGTCTATCCAAGTCAAATATGGTACAAAGATCATAGAAGTGCAATTGAGCGCAGCGGAATTTTATACATGCTGCCCTACTCATGCCGCGTACAGCAAATCAGCAATTACAAGTTTTTACAATACTTAGATTGATATCCTCTATCGGCCTCGACCAACTTCATTAGTATAAGCAAGAATATTTTGAATCTAATATAGCTCTCCCACCTTTCCAATTGGTATAGCCAAGAAAACTATCAAGGAAGTGCCCGTGCCAGTGAAGGCAGAACACAATTCTCGGTAGCACCTTCACTGCAGATTACTGTTATCGAAAGCTTTGACAAGCATTTGTCTGCCTAATGCATCACGGTATCAAATAATTGCCCCCTCAAACTCCATTACTGAACTTGGATGAGCTCCAATTTGAGGAACAGGCTGAGAGAAGGAAGAGCGCTTCGCTCACAAGGCAAATAAAATCCAAAACAAAAACTATTGATTCTCATACTCTGGCATATCTTGGGGTTGACGAGTTTTAACTTGGTACACCTTCTTCATGTGCTTATCATAGGCTCCCCCCAATGCAGCTTCTTGATGCCTAGCATATATTCCATTTGTATCTGGTGCTTTAGTAATCCACTTTGGAGGTGGTATAGGAGGACCCAAGTTCTGCACAAATTGGTTATGTAGATTGGTTACAGGCCCTGAATTAGGAGGCCTTGATAACATCACTGCAGGTGTCCTTGGCGAAGGCACTGCATATGACCTAGGTCTCGCACCTTCCTCCATTGTCAAAGTATAAAACCCAGTTTTCCCATTGTGGTACTGTTCATGGTGCTGCGACCTATCTTGTATCCTTAAATTCTGTCTGTCTTGTCCACCATTAGATGAGATCGGATATCTGGGCCTAGTTATTATGCCCTGGTGATTGTAATATTGACCATAACTATTTGTGTCCTCGCCAAAATATTTTCCAGATCCAGAGGGTCCAGCTGATCTGAGCCTATTGGCATGATGGCCTGGAAGCTGCTCTGGCGATCCATATGGTGTATTATTCAATTTAATATTAAGGGAGCTCTTGACAAGACGATGTGCTGCTTCTCCCAGTTGAGGGCCAGCTATTGCTCCAGGTACTTGTGGTCTGTCAGATGCATCACAGAAAAAGTAAGAGCTCTAACAAAATATGTCTTATCATACACGTGATAAAGACCTGATTTCATGCATCATACATTTTGCAAGCTTAATTTGACAGGCATTGAGAACTCATCAAATATCAACTCACACAAGAAGGAATTTTCAAGATTTTCCACAAAACTATTACTTTAAGTAAACATGGACAATTTCTTCTAAACATTTTGTCCACATACGATAGTTATTAATACCAGTACCACTACCTCTACCACATTGAACATTAAATTCAATCCGACTCTGCATTGTAACCTAGACTGCAAGAATTTGAAAAATATAATACACCAATCTAAAGACCTCAGGAATACGATTCTCACCTTTCTCTGCTGTGTTGCCGCCTACCACCATTGTCTTCATGCCATAACACGGGAAAAGGTTTAATATCAATGGCTTTTAATATCTGCAAACATAACCAATGTCAAAGTAAATGAGATATATACCAATGACAAATAGGAAACAATAGTGAATATATATATTTTTCTTTGAAAACGATAAAATAGAAAAACATAATAATTGATTATATGAATCAAGTCATGGCAACTATCTGAACCATGTTATAAATATAAATAAATGGGTTGTGTATTTTTCATCCCTAAAAAATTAACATTTGATTTGGTCCCTATAAAAATAATTTCCATTTGATAATTGATTTTATCAAAATTTGTGTTTTAGTTCCTGCACTTTGCCAAGTGATGATGTGGCTTAATCAGGTTATGCCATGTGGCAATGATTTGATTCTCACATCAGCACTTAGACCTACACTCATGACAGGGACTGAAAACACTATTTCCAATAAAATCAGGGATCAAATGGACACAATATAGAGAGACTAGAATCAAAATTCACTAATGTTTCAAGCACAAAAAGCATATTTTAACCTAAATAAATGAATCATGAAGCTCCATCCACAGGATCAATCCATTATGTCAGATCTAATAGAAGTTGGTATACGAACCTTTTTGGGCATTACTACACCATCCGGAGGTTTTGGGATATGTCTATGTTTAAGAGGATTAAGATAAGCAATATTTCTGAAATTTGAAACACTCAACATGAGTTCATCCAAAGATTTTAAAATACCAGGCAAGTGTAAAGGACAAAACTTACAAAACTTGATTATACTCGATGTCTTGCAATCCCTTGATGGGAGAGGATACAACGGTTCTGAGCACATTTCTTTCATATAACCAAAGATATCCATTCATACCATCGCTGCTAATAAAGAAAGCAGAACACACAAGACTGATGACAATCACCAAACATATTTATGATAAAGACTGATGACCATTGCCAAAACATATTCACTAACCTAGTACTTGGGTCAATTATAAGAGGAAGTCTTTTATGCATGGGCACTTCGGAAGAATATTGGTAATATGACAAGATATGTGGAGCCAATTTATGCCCACGATTGACATAAAGCAAATTGAGCATCTCACTATTTCGGAGCTGTTCCTCCTCCTGCACATAACAAATCAGAATGAAGTCAACACAAAGACACAACTAAAAATAAGCTGGTCTGACAAATTCATGTGGTGTTGGCCAACTCAGGGCAAAAGTATGACTCAAAGTCAACTGTGGTTAACCTCTACAAGACTAAAAATATATATAGAGTCAATTTCCAGCTCAAACCAAAATTTACAAAAAAATCCAGCAATTGCATAGCAAAGAGTTGGAGATAATTGTGCAAAATTTAACAGTGTTAACATAGTGTATACTTAACAGAACTGTTTAAAAGTTGCCATAGCCAATCAACAATTTGTTTTGATAAACCATAACTGTCAACTTCTTTGACAATTTATTCTTCGATGAAATTTTCACATCAACAACTTTGGAGCACAAATCCGATTTGGTTAGTCATAAATTTAGTAGACTAGAAATAAGTATCATAACAACCAACACCCTTGCCCTAAAAATATAAAAATAATAAACATTTCCAGACCGTTAATGTGCCTTCCAGCTTCCTTGTCGCAGCAAGCAATTTCTTCTCATCAATGAATGGCAACTTGGCAACACCCTGAAAAACACTCCAACAGTAACCTTAACTCCCACTTCATTCTAAAGCATCAATAAAATGTTATAACAGACACAAACACACACCCACAAAATAAACCTATATTACCTGCCATGCAAATCGTTTTCCATTCATATCAATCTCAAAATCTGTCAAAAAGAAATACAAGTAATTCTACAAACTATATAAGATACAGAAGAATATGTTAACAACAGACAAATAATCTCACCAGCAGGATAGAATTGAAAAATAGGTGATGAAGGATCAATCATCAAATCCCTATATTTTTCAGGAAGAGCACCTGAACTGCAACAAGAACTTAACAAGCATCAGCACAGAATGCATGACATGATAGATCTGAGGACAGGAGAGCCGAAGAAACCTTGAAGCGGGTAGGGTCCCCATGAGTTGATCAAATGGTTTAAATGCTTCTCCCAAAAAAAAAGTTATTTCTAGATCGGCTAGATCTTTAAGATCAGAAGCAAAAGGAGCATAATGATATGGGTAGTACCTGAAGGAACAAACAACGGCAAAACAAATGAACAATAGCCATACATTATAATGCACCTAAAATCAAGGCATCTAGTCCCTATTATATCTAATATGTTCCCCAAAAAATCATGAGTAGACGTTCCAGCTAGCAAGCATATTTGGAATAATAACAGAATTTAATGAAACTTAATAGTTCTGAGTTACAAGGTTTGAAGAGATGCACAAAGAACTTGCTAAAAGAAAAGATGTGGACCAAGACATTCATGAAGCCAAACTCAAGTAATTTAGTACAATACTACAATTATGAAAGAAAACACCCAACCCATTATATTTTAATCTTCTCATCATCCTTCATGCAAAGCAGCATAAAATTTTTAGATCATCTTACTACAATATGGAGAGGGAACACCACCAAGTGTTAATTAAAAATGAGGAATAATTGGCATATCCAAAACAACAACCTAACACCTTGATTCTACTAAACCTGTGTATGAAAAGACACTTGTACCCATTGCTGTAAGTGCAACATAATTAAATGTTAACTTAACCAATAAAACTTTACCAATCACATATTAATAAATTTATTTTTCAAAACACCCATTGCCTAGGATATTATCACGCCAACAAACAATCATAAAGTCAACTAAACATCCAGAATTCCAGACAAAACCGGCTCGTAGTAATAAAAGGTTTAAGCAGTTGCAATTGAATGAATTGATCCTTTGAGGGACCAATAGAGGGGATATACTTTATCAGTATGAGTTTAATAGTGCATTTCTCACCACAACTGATTACTCACAGCATATTATGCATGTAAACGTGTCATCTTAACAATCCAGTAACAGAAAATAGAAGGAATAGGGAGCAGATATAACCTATAACTATTAAAAGCATGACTAACCATTGCCATGAGCAGACACCCTGATAGTAATACCGGCAAACCCAAACAAGGCCTTCCACATATTTCTGGACCTACAAGGAAAACTAAGACAATTAGCCATCTTCTAAGGTAGTGTGTGTGTGTGTATATATGAAAAACATAAATTATTGGATTTGAGTAAAATAGTCATCATCAAGAAAGTAAAAAGGAAATAGAATCCAACAAAAACTAATCAATCAATTCATGAGAAAAACAAATATAAATTTTCATTCAAGCCAAAGCCCTTATTATCTCATGAGCATGACATACTGAGCAACTGTACAAGCACACTACCTCTTTTTGCGAAACACAGGCAGGGAGAAAGATCGAGAATTTAAGACACACCAACAGCATGTGACTGACATACCATTGAAAAATAAAATGGAAAAGTCTGGGGATCATTTGGTTTGAGAAATTTTCTCTATTTACACTTTTAATTACAAAATATCACCTTGTTCTTACTTTATTTCTTGTTTTCAAAAGTTTGTATGGGAAACAATGAAAACAATAAAAAGTTATTCATTGTTTCTTTTACAAACTTTTGAAAACAAAAAACAAAGTGAGAACAAGATGAAAATTTAGTAATTAAAAGTACAAACTGAAAACATTTTTACAAAGTAACAAGCCCTTGTATGCTTGTCTAAGGTGTGTTTCAGAAATTTTGAATCTTTTATCATTAAAAATATGGTACTTAATTTTTAGTGTTAAAAAACTTAAGTCATGAATGTGTATGAAAGGGGTGACAGCAAACAATTGCAGAATACTGGCAGAACATACTGTATCTTTCTTGATTTTGTCAATCTCCTCCAGATCCAATGCACCAAATTTTTCAGCATAATACCTCTCCTTGTATCCAGGCTCTCCTAACTTAACCTGAAAAAAATAACAAAAACTTTGTAGTTCACAAATTTTCTCATCATATTGGATTTCATGTGGTCTGACATTGGCCAAGCTTCCCTATTCAGTGATCATACATACTTTGTATGAATTGTATCTGACAAAAAATATATATATGTTGTCCTAAATACTATCAGGCTAACTATATATGATAATACTTTCTATGGATTTGATCAAGGATCCTTTAGCTACTTTCAGCTAACAAAAGGAACATTTAATTTCAAAAGGACAATTTCCAGTCAGGACAGTAAGTGTTATCATCAGTTGTTGCCACTTATAAAAACACACACTAATAAGAAAAGTAAAAGATCAATGAAGTTGTTTTAGAAGAGCCACAAATAAATCACAATTTTTTTTTTGCATCCGAACAGTTAAACTAGCAAGTAGTTAACTTCAAAAGTTCAAATTGAAATCAACTGAAACAAACTCCTTTTATTTATAGGCAGATGTTGAAGTAGTTTCCAGCACTGACTGTGCAGTTCTTATTTCAAAAAATGACAAAAAAGGAAGTACAAGGTACAACCCTTCAACATGGCTCGCTAAAATTTATCAGATTGCCCCACAACTGGTTAGCCATAAATGCAATGAGGCAAACTAGGAGTAAGTTCAAGCTCTTCAACCTTACTTCCAAGGCTGCCAAAATAGAGATCCTGCATAGGATCAGACGAGGGAGGTAGATCTTATCTGTTAATTTATATATATATATGTCACGTGACAATAAAACAAATAAAGCATAATAACAATAAAAGTACACTCACAACTAGTATTTAAGCATCTTCTAATTCAAAATACATCAGTGATGGAAGTTGTAAATTTATGTACCATCCTTATAAGGCTCCCTGACGACATTTTTAATATGAGAAAAAACAGAAATTTAGTGGGGAAAAGAGGGAACCACAAAAGCATCACCCACTGACCAGCAGAACACAAAAATTTTCCACACACCCACAAATCAGTGGACAACAAAAACAGAAGTAGGTAGCAACTGCAGAAGCAGCCCACTCAGATCTCATTCACACAGAAACAGAGGCACCCAATATTTAGTGTCACAATGTCACACATCTAATAGCACAAGGTTGCAGTGGTGCGTTGAACAATACAGCAGCAGCAATGGTTTGAGGAACCAACACCGCCCAATCATCAAGGAAACAGAAATATTCAGCTGCACTGGTTTTTTCCTCATACCACGCTAAAACAACAATCTTTTCTGTGAACACACTGCTAAACACAGAGTGTTTACAGTCAAACATTATGATAGGAACTGAATATACTATTGGATTGCAAATGAAAACTCAGGGAATATCCCTGACGTTACAAGGGAAAAACTAGAATTAACAGAAAGGAATTAATGGACCAATGCAGAAAACAATGAGGCTGTCCTTCAGCAGCCACCCCCCAAATAACCTCCCAGATAAATCCTACCCTCCTCTCACTAGCATCTACAATATATTGCTTTCCTTCCCTCATCCTCACCCCTCCACGTCACTAAACTTGTTATTCAGTTAGAATCTTTTCTAACAGCCTCTCTACCCACAATTCCTCCTTTACCCCTCTTCCTCTGGTATGTCTTAAGCAAGGGCCCAATTGTCTTGGACCCAACACATTATTTTACTATTTACATCACCCCCAGCAAATTGTGTTCTGAGCTGTGATCAAGACGATCCTTTGGAATAAATAGAAGCATGCAACTCTGTAAGTCAGAAGTCAGAATGCTATTTTGATTACCATAATTCTACGGGAAAACAAATTTAATCACCCATCACAACCTAGACAAATCACCCTTGATGTATGTTAGGGAAGCCACTAGAATCACTATGGTTTGGGATTCAGAAAGTTATCATGGAGTTCACAAACACAAGTTTAAAAAGACAACTAAATAATACTAAATTCAATCAAATGCTCATAAAGATTCTAGCAATACAACTTATTACTGAACCTTATCCACAACTGACGGCCGTGGTTCTTCAGGCATCTCTCCTCTTGCCCTAGCTTTCATTTCTTCATTAATTTCAGTAGCCTGAAATACAATCAAATCACAGATATTGCATATCACGAAGTAAACTTTAAAACCATATTATAGAAATATAAAGCTCAAGCATATGAGTTATAAAATTAATTTGAAGGCTTTGAACAGACATTAGTATCACTTTTGAAAGACATCCCCCAGATGTAAAGCCTAATGTCATAGTATACCCCACATCAGAATTCCTTTCAGAACAATAAATACTGAGAGTTCATATATATGTATGCTGGCTCATGAACTTGCCTGTCTGTAACAAGTTACCACCAGAGTTGAGAGTTAAAAATTATTAAGGAATTATCCTCTACAATTTTATTGGATAAAGGTCCAAAATAATTCTTTACATACCAACCAAAATCTGCCTAACCACTTAACTCTACTTACAGTCATTTCCTCCATTCAATGAAAAATTAGAGGACAACTCCACTCCCAAAATAAGCATGATACAGCCAGATCAAATTTATGCTTCAGCTAGAGTTTATGCCCCTTTTTAATAATTATTTAATCTGTGTAGCATCCAAAGCCAATTTAGTCCCTCTATATATGCTCAATGCAAATTTAAATCAAAAACAGTATCATTGAGGAACACTGGAACACTCCAAGTCTTCTTACCAAATTAGTTCCAAATCAATTCAAATAGACAGAAAAAATCATGGATGAGAAGAAAAGGCAATGCTCTTTTAGAAAATTACAACAGTGAAAATGGGCCAAAATACACACAATGAATTGAAGACTTCTCCATGTCAATATCAACAGAAGAACTTTCTTACAATGCTTCAAGGCAGCTAACCCACCTCTAAATATACAGAACCATGAATATAAGCAGAACTCTGACAGCTATTAATTTTACTAGCGCAAAACTTCAGAGGGTTGGGATATTTAAGAATTCATAATTATCCCTTCAAAAGAGGGATAGTCAAAACAAAAAAATCACAATACCTGCTGAATGCGAACTCGTTTCTGAAATATTTGATCTTCATATACTGCAACAGATTGAATAAAATGTTCCACTCCGTCCAAGGAAACCTGGAAGATTTAATGATATTTTTATTACAACAATCGTTGAAAAAGAAAAAACTCCAGGTGGATGACTAAAAGACATAAGACACACAATTAAAGGAAGATGACTGCCAGAAAAGATTGTCACATACCAGCATACATAACAGCCTCACAACAACATACAAAATGACAAACACAACTTAATTGAATTTCAGAAAATAGAAACTTACCTCACCCGCATCAGTAAGATAACCACCCATGGCAGTGAATTCCTTTCTATAAATATGCATCAATAAATTTATAGCCCCCTGAAATAGTAAAAAGCTTATCAAAGAGAACAACATTGACAACTGAGTAGAAAGGGAAATACAGGAGATAAAAGGGAATAACTTAACCAAGTTTCTTTTTAAAATAATTAAAATCATTCATTAATTACAAGAAGCAGAAAGCATTGGCATACTTTCTGCTTCAAGCTACAGCTGAATAAAACATGGTGATGGTGCCCTCTACATGCTTACCTCCCGGATCTCTAATGTTGGCATATGTGGAAGAAAGTCATTGCCAACAAAGAAGCATAGAAATACAAAATCATCCACTATGCGTTCGAAGTCAATCTCAAAAGGAGGGTTGGGAATCTCCAATTCATATTGCAAATATTCCCGCAGCACCCAGATGTTAAGAAACTGTACATGCAAGGTTTGAGGTTGAAATTAAAAATCAACAGAAAAGAAAAATAAATATTAAGCTTAAAATGCTGGATTCCAATACTCCAACCTGATATTTCTTCTTGTGAATAGGGGTATCATCATCAGGATTCCAGTCTTCAGCTTTATCACCTGGCTTTCCACGACATTCAGCTGCAAGATGGCCAACTTGGCCACACTGATAACACTTCTCCTGCTGTCCAGGAAAAGTGATTACCTGTTCACTCATGAAATGAATCATCAAGGCAATCAATTGGGGTCAATGAGCTAAACACAGCATGACAATTTATACACTGGAAACTAACCTCCCTCAATATTGAAAAATGAACCTCATGTGTGGCTAAGGATAGCATAATCAAATCAGCATCCTGATTCAAAGGTCACATCAATGACATCATACCATATTAAAAACAAGGAAAGGATAAATACACCTACATCACATAGAGTGAAATTTTCAAAATTGGAGAAAAACTCACCAATCCATACAAGCAGTGTCGAGTATTTGGATTAAACCCAGGAAGGTTACGTTGCAATCGTATGTATTCCATTATTTTATGTTCACCCTCACCGGGAACATTTGAATCAGAAAGTATAACCTTAAAAAAAAAAATACCCAATGCAGCTCCATAAATAAATATATAGAAACAGACTATTCTGAAAATCAGATGTGTATACAATATGGGAAAAGAAAATAGACAGGAATGCTCCACAAGGAAGGAATATCCAATCTTGAAGGGATCATGGGGGCAAAGAATAAATAGGATAAGATCAAGTACACCTTTGTATTCCGCCAACCAGGATTGTAGTTCAATCTAGTCTGTATATAATACTGAAGAGCCACGGACAGCACTGCCATAAATTGAGTGCCAGGGGTAATGACATTTGAGTCATAAGTCTCAGGCTTGTCTTTAGAAGGCAAGAGTTCCATTACACCCTCAAATTCTTTCCTGAGTCTCTCCTCTTCAGCTTCCTACAACATCACATCACAACTCAAGGATTTTTGTAACAGAAATAGGAGGTCATTGTAAACAGGAGCATATTTATATTCTTACAGCCTCCGCTGCATCTTTAGCAGCTCGGAAACGCCGTGAGCGTTGCTGATTCATTTTGGCTCTTGGTGCAACACCATCTGAAGGGGCAAGAAAAGTACAAAAGGAAAGAAATGGTTGGAATGAGAAAGCAGTTCAAAATGAAACCAGACACACAATTCCTAATATTACAGACAAAAAGATTACCGCCTTCCAAAAATTGAGCAATTTTTTAATTTTCCATATTGGCTATTTTGTTTTACAAAACAGTTATGAGTCTTTTACTTGAAAAGATGTGCACTTAAATTTGAATGTTCAACCATACAGGAATGTGCCCAGTTACTAGTCATCAAAAAGAAATAGAAGACTTAAGGGAAACCAAGTTGCTAGATGTTTATAAACTTCTTTATTGACTTCTTTAGTGTGATTTCTAGGTATCCTTAGAGATATCAAATCTCTTGGATTTATAACTTAAAGGAGCTGACCTGGCAGATCCTCCACAATGAGAAACTATATAAATCACTGCTTATTGCTTACAAAGAGGAGTAGTGTCAATCTTACTTCATCAGTGAGTATCATCTGTCAGTGAGATGAAGTATTGGAGAAGTATCCAAGTACCAGTATCAGAGAAGTATCTGATACCATACACAAAGCAAATGCAAATATTGGTGTTTCATAGATGAGAAATATGATAATAAGAAAAATCAACATACCAATTGCAAGAAAAAGAAGCTTCCTTGGGCGAACCAACGAATAGAGATGGTCAATGTAGTCGAAGATTGATTTGAATACATCCTCATAGGTAGCAGGTGCTGGCTGCATTGAAAAATTAATCAAGCAGCAGCGGGTAAATAGAAAAGATAGATTACAAAAATTATTTGCTTTTTATACACAAAACAGAGAAATTACAGATCCCAATTGCCATAGTGTAGTCTACTTTTTACGCGGTTTCACCCTACTCACATGATCATGTAAGGTGTCGTTTCTTCATTTAAAAAAAAAAAAAAAACCTCTATGAAGTGGAAACCAGTTGATAAAGCATACAAATGCAACAATTCCAGTTTTCAACAAGCAATTCAGGAACAAGCGACCTTAATGTGTAAATAGAATTTTATACGAGAAGTTGAAACAGAAATCTCAGAAGTTCACTATTACAATTTTCTGCTCTTTAAGTAAATTTCTCTTTGGCTATATATATATATATTGACTCTGTTCAACCAATGAAGGAGTATTAACACCAACAGAATATTAGGTCAATTGGTTGCAAGTTCCGAACAAAATGAAAATGGAATTGGGGGAACAAAGTGGATTGAACAAAATGAGGTTAAGCGAAGCAGTTAGGTAGGTACCTTGCCATCGGGGTGAAAACAGGGGTGAATGATACCATTCATGTCCAAGTACAAGTTGTCGAACTCCATGCCATTAGGATTAGGTTTAGACACGTTAACACCGGCGTCGCCGGCGGCAGGCTCTTCCTCCACGACATCGGCGATCGAGAGCGGGTACCGGTCCGCGAGCCACCGGTAAAACGCTGGCACTCCCATATTACCGGCTCGGCTCGGCTCGGCTCGGTCCGGTTCAGAAACGACTAGAGAGGGGAAAATAGCAAATAATGAAGAGGAGATGGAGATCTGTGTTACCGTTTAGAATGTACGGGCGGCTGCGATAGCCGCCTTACTTGATGAGACGGAAATACCCCCACTTTTAAGAGTGTCTAGGAGGAAATCACAATAAAGAAGACAAAAAAAAAATTATATAAAAATGTTAATAAAAATAATATTTTATGCGCATTTAAGAGTATAATATTTTTTATTAAAGATTATTAATATTTTATATTATTAATTTATTAAATTTTATGATTAATAAAATTTGAATAATTTTTTATTATATATTTTTATACAAGCTAAAAATTAAAAAATGATTTTTTTTTTCTTGTTGAATGCATTTAAATGAAAGTTTATTTAAGTTATTGTTTGATAAAATTATTTTAAATAATAAATAATATCATAAATTTAATTATCATTTTTTAAAATAACTATAAGTATAATAACTATAATTTATTATATCAAATATTTTTTTAAATGTTTTATGGACAATTTATAAAACTGTTTATAACTTTTAAACATTTTTTACTTTATTTCAATGATATTTTTAATATATTTTATCAAAATAAAATATTTTAATATATTCTAATAAATTTTATTGTTATTTATATAACATAAATTATTATTTAAAAAATATCAACTAAACACTTAAACAATGTTAATTTCTATTGAATACATTGTTCTTGTTTTTCAAATAAAATACACGTATTCATTGATTTTGCCCTGTTCTTATTACACTCCTCTTCTTCACACGGGCTAAGAACGAAAAATATAGTGCAATTTATTTTTCTTGAAATATCACATTCTCTTTATTTTTAATTTTATATTATACTTTAAATTATTTTAACTTAAATATATTTTTAGTCTTTATATGTTAGTAAACTTTTTATTTTAGTCATTTCAAAAAAAATATTTTGATTCTTATTTTTTAGGAATTTATTATTCTTAGTCTTTTGGGATTTTGTTTATAAAATATTGATATTTGATAATATTTTAATAAACTAAATTAGCAATTGATATTAAAAACAAAATAACATTGTGAAAAATATGGACTAAACGAAAATAAATATAAAAAAGAGGATATGGCATATTTAGACTTAAATATGGCATATTTAAGTATTTTATTTTATAAGCAAATTTTGTATTTTTATTTTTCAACTTTAAAATATGTTTTAATTATGTCTTCCAATTTTTTTGTCATCTTAATCTTCTAACTTTTATAGATATTTTAAATAACTTATTTTCAATTCAAAATGTTAACTTAGTCTCTTTTTTTTTTTCCATCACATGTACTATAGTCATTTCTTACATTTGCACTATGCCACCGACACTTGTCTCATGCACACACAAAATATTTGGTCTCATTTCATGATTTTTCATATTGGAATTTTTACTCTTTTAATATGTACTTGTAATGTTTTTCGTTAAGTAAAACTTTGTTTTAAATGCAACTTCTCTTTCTACAATATGTTCAAGTTACTCAACATTTTTTACTTAGACATATGCAAATAGTAATCACTTTAATATCTTTTATTTTTTTTTAAAAGATTTTCATCAATGTGCATGTACAAGTTTTATAAATGTTGAATGCAACAAAAATATGTTGACTGTCAAACTTGTTAATGTGACACAAGGTATAGTTGTATTTCATCATATAAAAATAATGTAATAAGAGAAATTTTCAACATTTTTATCATCGTATAAAAATAATGTAACGAGAGAAGTTTCCAACATTTTTATCAACATATAAAAATAATGTAATGAGAAAAAATTTTAACATTTTTATTTTCATATATATATTTTATGAATACAAATTTTCTGTAAAACAACACTATTAATATTAAAAATCATAGTTGAAACATTCAAAGTTAAAGACTTCATTTGAATCCTTAGACTACAACGATGACAAATGTGATTTAGGGACACTAGCTAAACCTTATTTAAATACTTGTGTTTTTGCCATCCAATATTAATTTAAAGTATATCATTTACAACGCAAGTGATATATAGAAAGAATAAATACTCATACATGAAAATAAGACCAATCATCTTGTACTTGGACAATGCAAGTGATAATAACATGATGTAAATGTAAAAAATGACCTTACATATTATTTATAAAATATTACACAAACCTAAAATAATAGCAAAATAGAAGATTTGAGAGAAAAATAAATGATAAATAATACAAAACAGTACAAGTGATAAAAAAATAAAATTAACATTTTTAATAGAAAATAAACTATTTAAAACTTTTATAAAACTCAAAAGTTTAAAATAAATAAAAAAGAAGTAGATGACAAAATCAAACTTACCTTAAAGTTAAAGATAAAAGCATTAATTTTGCATATTTTATATAATTTATGTTATTAATAGTTGATTTTAAACTTCAGCATTAACTAAATTTTTCAAATGACAATTTTCAACAAAATCCTAAAAGAAGTAAAAAGGGTATTGAAAATCAAACAATATTTTTTTTATCATGTTTAAGATATTGTAATTATAATTCATATTTATTTTTGTACTTGATTTATATTTAATTATTAATAATTATTAACGTAAAATGCTCTAATTTTATTAAATATTTATTTTTCCATATAAATAACACATTAAAAAGTTTAAAATACACAAAAATAAAAATAAAACCATCCTGCACAAACGCGTTAGATGAATTAGTTCATGATAAGTTAAAAAAAAAAAACTTAACTCGTGTTTATTTCATTTAATCAATGTGTTAATCTTTATTTAATGTTTAACTTCATAACACAATTTCACCAAATTAATCAGTAGGTTGGGTCTCAAATTCATTTTAAATTTAATCGCTTGGAATTATATTTATATTATTAATATAAATGTATATAAATGTATAAGTAGTTTATAAAATTAAATTATTTAACAAACTAATTGTAAAATTGAATGATTTACATTAAATGATTTAAAAAATATATAATATTATATTTATATAATATTAAAATTAGATATAATTTATTTTAATAATCTTATTAATAAAAATATATTATTAATTTAAACAATAACTTAAATATATTTTTAAAATTATTAATATTAACATGTTATTTTAATAAATATTATTTATATAAATAAATTTAAATAATTTTATTTCTTATTTTTTTAAATATTATATATTTTTAATTTATTTTTATTTAAAAAAATATACTATTAATTATTAAGATGAAAAAAAAACACCGTAAAAATGAAAAGAAGAAAATAGTAATAAAATTAACATATTAAAAATTTAATTGTATAAATAATAAACTATCTTTTCAAAAAATAAAGATAAAAATATAATAGAAATATCAACAATTAAATTTTAAAATTAAATAATTTTTTAAAAGTTGTAAATTTCTTTAATTTTTAGTTATCACTAGCTTATTAACTAAAGCTAAATAAATTATAAATTCTTAAATAAATTAAAAGCTACCCGTTACAAGTAATCTACTTATTATTGGACCTAAGTGAAGCATGTTTTATAGATTTTGAAGTGAATGGCACGTCCTCTGAGTGGGTTTTGGGTTCTCAAATAGTGATATTAACAATAACAATGGCATGCTAAGTGAGAAGGTTATAGGTGGCTTTCAAGTAAGGAGCAAGCAATTTCTAACAAGCATTGCTTGTGGATACTCAAGTTAACAATCTCAATGTCTTTTCTTCCCAATCGCATTAATAATATATGTATTGGGACACCTCTAAATAATTTCAGATCAGCAGGGTAATCTTTTTTTTTTCAGATAAGCAACTACATAACGTGAATAGATATATTCCACCACCTAGTTTAATAATGTTTTTTTCGTTATTTACCCTTCTGGATCTATTATTATTATTATTATTTCAACTTTTTCAATTAAAATAAGTTATTTGATTTTTTTCTTCACCCTAAAGAATGTTATTATTTTAATAATATTTGAATATACTCGATCGAATTTATATATACAAAAAAAGGAATACTCCATCGAACCGAATCTTTTTGATTTTGTTCTTTAATCAAAACAATTAATAGCTGTTAATGAGCTTACCTCCTTTAATGAATAATTATTAAAGTTAGTCAATAATCATTATTATACGAGCACAAGGTGCATAAATATCATTAATTAAGGAGTTATCTTTTTGGTAAAGATTAATTAATGACTTATCTGATTGTCACTTTTAGAAACAGTTTTTTAGTTTCAAAACTAATAAAACAAAAGCCGTGTTTGATGAAGATTGTTCTTGTTTGTAGTTTTAGAAACAGTTTTAAAAAGCTTTTTTTTTTTAATAAAAAAAGACAGGAACATTTCAGTAATTTTTTAAAGTTATTTTTTTCTGTAATTATGTAATAAAGAAGGTACCCTTCTCCTTAATCTTCATTATAAAAGTTGAACAATTATTTTCTTATTGCGTCATCGAAGATTTTGGTTCATCTAAAATAATAATTTCAAATAAATTTTATTTTTTATTTTCATAAAAATAGTTTTGAAAATGCATTTTATAAAACAATTTTAGAAAGGATAATTTCGCCGTTTTCTTTAATAGAATCCATCTCTTAAAAACAAATCAATGATAATCATAAATTACTCTGATTCCGTGAATTTGCAACCTTTTTCTAAACAAGCTCTTAATCTATGCATTTAGTAGGACTTATTCTATGTAATCGTGTTCGTGCATAGATAAGCAAAATCGGAATTATAAATAATAAATAATAATAATCGTGCATAACATACTTGAAAAAAATTGGAAAAATATCTAGATTGATCTTGACGAATTGGGGTTTTTGTTTTTCCACTTTTCATTTTCCATTTAGCGTTGAAAATTTGAAATATCGAACAAAATGTCAAAGGCCAAAAACGAACATGACAAAGAAATACGTGAGAGACTTAAACAAGTAGCAATCCAATACTAGTTGTCATAGCTTTCTTGTTTTGTTGCCTTTCCCTGTTCGGAAAGATCAAAGTGCCTCGTTATATATATATAATTTTTATTAATTATTTTACTATTTTATAAATTAAATATAATAAAGTGTTTAGTATATAATTTAAAAATATTATATACCATTAACACAAAAAAATAATAATTCTATACCCTTTTTAAATTAACCATTATAATTTTGTTAACATCTTATAGATAAACAAATTTATATATTTTTTAAAATTATTAATTTTTATTATCTATTAGATATATTTAATATAAAATTAATTATGATAATTATTTCATATAAAAAGAGTATGTTCTTTTAATTTATAAAATAACATTAAATTTACTTTTTACTATTTAAGTAAATATGTGCTCACATAAATTTATTATTTTAAAAATATAAAAAAAAAGTCCATGATTTATTTTTTAATAATTTTAAAAAAATTATTGACAAGGGGATTTTGGATTATTTAATATCAAATGCTAATATACTATCGTATCAAGAGCTCATAGTTTTTCGTGTCCTCTTCTATATATAGTCTTCTCTGTTTTGCAGATTCTCTTACGAAAAACAAGCGTTGCTCTGATAAGGTTTTGGTGACCGGTGAGTGGGTGAGCTATTCAATTCCATTTCCCTGATTACTGCTTTCAAGTTTCTGAAGGCACTGCATTGCTTTAACATACTTTTGTGTTTATTTGCTTCAGCTTTGTATCTGTAGAACCGTAAACTCTTTCTTCTAACGTGTATGGCTTTTATCGGTTACTTTCTATCTTCTGCCTCAAATTCTTCATTAGCACTTAGATATCCGAATTTTATGTACCTTTTTGGTGGATTAGTTGATTGATTATCAACTGTTTTAACTCCCCTGACTTTTGAAGCTTGAACTTAATTTTAGGGGTTATTATGCTTATTCCTCTTTTTTCTCCTAGTAATGGATTGATTTTTTTACTTCTGTAAAATGAATTTCAGTTTTTTTCAATAAGTAAAATAAGTTTCCCTGGTCAATCAGAGATATGAACAATTTTATTTTATTTTTTGTCTGATTTCCAACGCTTTTCCTGTAAGAGTCGTGATCTGTTCTTTAATCGGCGAATTCTGATATCTTTGGTGTTTACTTGGACAAGAAAATGAAATGAATTAATTTTCATATCCAAGAGACTCACAGGATTAGTCAGCTCAAGCAATCCAAGTCTGGATAAATTAATTTAAATGTCTTTATGTTTGTATTTACGGAGATCATCTAATGATTTGCAGTACTGTGCTGTGCTGAAAATGGCGGCAGAGAAGTCAACCATTGCAAAGGATGTCACTGAAGTAAGTCTTGTTCAACGCTGCCCCTTTTGGTCTCCATGATGAAGCTATCCGGCTCACAGCTCATATGAATTCATTTTTCGAATGTGCAGTTAATTGGCAAAACTCCATTGGTATATCTCAATCATGTTGTGGATGGCTGTGTTGCCAAGATTGCTGCAAAGCTAGAAATGATGGAACCATGCTCCAGTGTCAAAGACAGGTATATAGATGATTTCCTCATCCTTACCATTTTTTCTTGGTGATGCTTTCTTGTTTATGCTCACACCCTTTTAAAATTGCTCAGGTTGATAGAAGTTTTGTTGTGGAAGTTGTATGATTGATGCCCATTGCCCAAGTTTCTTATTGTCCATGCCATGAAATAATATGATCAGAAAACTTATGTATATATAATTACTTATTTTGTACAGGATAGGATATAGCATGATTGCAGATGCTGAGGAGCAGGGACTCATTAAACCGGGTGAAGTTAGTTCTTGCTCTGGATTGTCCTTTCTTTCATGTATATTTGTATTCATGCTGCACGCATATATCTTTTATATCTACTTATTCCTTTCAACTTTGAGGATGTATTGTCTTAGTCTTTACTATTTAATTCTTATTGATGCTGACATCCCCTTGCTTTCACATTTAAAAAAGTGAAAACAGGAGTGGTTCTATAAGACACTTAACCAATTCATCATCATTGCACAGTCATCTTTCAAGCAAACCTAGATATTACTGTGTACTCCGGCGTTAATATGGTTTATTGTTGTTCATGTTGTAGAGTATCCTCATTGAGCCTACCAGTGGAAACACTGGCATAGGTTTGGCATTCATGGCGGCTGCTAAGGGTTATAAACTTATTATAACCATGCCTTCTTCAATGAGTCTGGAAAGAAGAACCATTCTTCGAGCTTTTGGAGCTGAGTTAGTTCTCACAGATCCTGCCAAGGGTATGAAAGGAGCAGTTCAGAAGGCAGAAGAGATAAGGGCAAAGACTCCCAATTCTTATATGCTGCAACAGTTTGAGAATCCAGCCAACCCAAAGGTATTGTGTCAATATGCTTTGCGTTTAAAATCAGTTGGTTTGAGAGTATTCACACATGCTTTTCTTCCTCTTATTTAGATCCATTATGAAACCACTGGACCGGAGATTTGGAAGGGCTCCGGTGGGAAGGTTGATGCTCTTGTTTCTGGGATTGGGACTGGAGGTACAGTAACAGGGGCTGGGAAATATCTGAAAGAGCAGAACCCCGATATAAAGGTTAGGCTTTTAATATTCTTATTGTGTGTTAAATTGTTAATCTTTCTAATGTTACCCCTGTATTGTTTGTGATTTTCCCCCCTTTTCCTTAGCTATATGGCATTGAACCAGTAGAAAGTCCAGTACTGTCTGGAGGGAAGCCTGGTGAGTATTGCTTTCTGATGCATTTTACTTGTTGTAACCTTCTCTGATTATTTCTTTTGTTAATGCATTGAATTTAGCATTCTTTCTTACATTTTGTTAAGGCTATTTCTTTTTTCAAGTCACATTCTGGCTCAACTTTTAATGTCTTTTGATTTTCTACAGACCATATGGTCTTTCATGTGCCTTTTTCTTTAAACCATATGCAAATCTAATTTATAGTTTCCTATATTTAGAGGTATATGTGACAATTCACCGTTAATGCACTGAAAAAATTATTCAATCATGAGCTTATTGGGCATTTGCAAGTTGTTAATGCATGAATTGCTCTCCACTTGCTGTGCTTTGACTGCTTTCTTGGAGAGTGAATATAGGACAGGACTGCCTTTACCTGCCTGCTTACATCGGTTCCCCTTCTAAAATTAGAAGGAATACACACACATGCACTGTTTTACTGTTTAAATTTGTCAAATACTTGACTCCTTTTGTGTAACTTTCCTCTAAAAAATGCATGGCTGTTAAACGAATATAAGGCCCTCATAAGATCCAAGGAATTGGTGCTGGCTTCATCCCTGGTGTTCTGGATGTTGATTTACTTGATGAAGTTATTCAAGTAAGCCACAAACCTTTTGATAATTTTTTTGTAGTAGTTTTTTTTGGCTTGCATGATAATCTGGTGTGCCTTCATTCTTACTTCTTTGAAAAATCCAATTTTGTACTCTGCCTATGTGCAAAACTAGATAAGAAGAGAATATAGTGAGCATGTAAATAAATCAAAATTTTAATTCTAGTATTAGTATCTCATTATTAAGTGTCAACTAGACCGATGGGAATAAATTTTGAATTATTTTGAGCAAAATTAAATACTGTAATTTTTATTAGCATGAGTATGCAATCCGTTTTATTATCACTTTTCCCTCTCGATTCAATGAAGTGAAGGCAAGAAGTGTGTTAATTCACTTCATATGCGAGGAAGCGTCACTAACCAAGAGTTATGATAATTTATCCATGCATTCTGAAAGTACAGACAGTAACTCATTTTTGTGTATGATTTTAGATTTCAAGTGAAGAAGCTATTGAAACTGCTAAACTTCTTGCTTTGAAAGAAGGTTTGCTGGTAAGTTCATCCAAACGCTATAATGGGCTCATTAGTGGTCTTATCTCTTTTCATGCCTTGGCCTTGTTTAGTCGCATCATCTTTTCATAGTAACATGACTGGATCTGTTCAGTTGGTGTGCTTTTGTGACACTCACAATGAGGGAGACGATTTTTAATGCTATTCTGTTTCTATCATAAATGTATTTCAGGTGGGGATATCATCGGGTGCTGCCGCTGCCGCAGCAATTAAGATAGCAAAGAGGCCAGAAAATGCTGGAAAACTCATTGTTGTAAGTTGGTCTACTGTTCATCTGGCATTAGATTTCTTCTGTGAACGTGTTGTTAGTTCTGCTATGGATTCATTGTTCTTATTATATTTACTATATATATTCCATCACTAAAAAATTTGTTGGAAAACCTGAATAGGTGGTCTTTCCAAGCTTTGGAGAGCGTTATTTATCATCTGTGCTTTTTGAATCTGTGAAGCGAGAAGCAGAGAGCTTGGTCTTTGAGTCTTGAATAAGAAGCCATAATATAGTCTTCTGCCGATCGTGTATGGAGTACTGAGGCATTTGCTACTTCTCAAGTTGCTTTGTCTCTTTGGGTTGTGTGTATCTATTTTTTCCTTGCAAATCTGAAAAATAAATATGCTTTTCTGTTCTCATGTTAACTGACTAAGATTCAGTAATAGTGTAAGTTAGAGGGTGGAATGTTCGAACTTGATCATAATTATTGATTACTTGCAGCATGATGGAAAGACCAAATGCCTGTCTTAGTTTATTTGCTGGTTAAATCCTGGTTTTTGAATGTGCAATTCTAATGGAGAAAAACACTACTAACATATGTCATATTGTTAAGGCCTAAATATATTTTATTCCATACAAATATATTAAATATTGGATTTAATTATCAATGCAAATGTATTCGACGCTGGATTTAATTCTTCTAAAATTTGGGTTTATGTAATTAATTTTTAAAAGTTAGCGTTTTTCCATTAACTCTGGCTTGCTTCCGAACCTGGCAATTATTTATTTTTTTGGGTCAACTGCAATTATGGCGGGTTGGTGTATCAGCATAGTGGCATTTGGTTTGTACTTATGGTAACTTGATTGGACGTTGGGGCCTTAAACATAAGCGCATTTCGGGTTCGTATAATTTGTAAGAGAACTTCACGGGAATGACCTCTACAATTTCGGTTCGGCCGATTTTAGATATAGTAACATCTGGAACACATGATGATTGATAGGTTCTCTTCTCCAAACTGCGGTGTTCTGAATTTGAAGAAATCTATGGAAAATAAAGATGATGGGTGAAGTTGACATGAGACAGGACCAAAACGTTTTAATAAAGATACAAGTTAAAACTTAAAAGATTATTAAAATTTGGTATATGTAAATAATTTTGAAATACGTGAAAAATGAGTTGATATGTTAAAAATTTAGTATTAAGCAATTTCTCTTTGTTTTTTTATTAAAAAATCTTCTTAGACTAGTAAAAATTATTAATTTGTGGGCACTATACTACTATCATGGTGGTTATTAGATTCATTTAAGCTAGAAATGAACTCACTTTGGATGTAAAATTGAATATACATAGTTTTAGACTTTACAAATGTTCTTACTAGTATTGTGATCACATATTTCAATCCTTAGTTAAACATAATAGTTGTTCTCTTTGGATATATGATTTATTGAATCTGCAGTATTGGGTATGTGACTCTAAAAGGTGTTTTTAAAAACAGTACTCATCGATTGTCGAGACTCCCTTCAACACAAACTCATTGTTTTTTTTTATAGATGTTTTACTTTGTGTGGAAATTTTGCTTTATGGCGAATAATTGGTTTGAAGGTGTAGTTGCATGCAAGTGTTATTTCCTAGTTTTAGTGTGGGTTACCTATTCAAGCATAATGCTCAACTAATGGGATTGACAATAACAATACATTACGATTTATAATGGTGCCTTAAAAAATAGCAAATTAACAAGACACAAAAGCGAAAAAATACTAGTTTCTAAATAGTAAATACTGCTTGAAAGACGGATGTGATTATTTATCTATGAGATAAAATCTAAGTTTCTCAAGAACAAAACTTCTAGAGCTTGTTGCATTGTATTACAATTAATTCAATCCTAGTGAACTTGGTCACATCCATCTATCAAGATGAAATACAAAACATCATCAGACATAGAATTTCAATTATATAGTATTAATTGATACATGTATATTGCTTTGACAGTGTCTTTAAAGGCATTTCTTTGCAACAATTTTCCAATTGAATACTTGTATACAATTGTAAAATTTTATAAAATTATTTAGTTTTGTATCTTTGTTAATAACTAGATCAAAAGCGGTTTGATCAAAGTCCGAAAAAAAAAAGTTTTAAACTAGCTGCTTGAAGACGAAGATACTTAACACCCAAAACAGGGAAGAATTCAATTGCATTGGAAAAAAAATTGTAAATTTAGTTGTAAATGCTTTAAAAAAAATGCATAATCTAAAAAAAAAAATTTTAAATGATACCATGTGGATTGTAATGTTTGCTTATGTATCAATCGAATTCTCCAATGTATTATTTTAGTAAAAGAACCGAAACAAACTTATACTTTTATTTGTTTCTTCACCGTATATATAATAATGTTCAAACACACTCATATACTAACATTGCTTCTAAGGAAAGCGGATAAAAGGATAGCAAGAAAAGGGGGTAAAAAAATAAAAATTTTCATTATTCTGTTTGTAATTTAAAGAGAGAAAGAAAATTATCAATCGATCATATAAAAAATTTCACTCAAGTGATCAAAAAATTGGAGTTCGCATATTTTAAGTAAAAAGACAGAATTGCCTTTGATTTAATTTTTCACATGCTTTTTTTTTTTTCTTGAAGATAGTTAAGTAATTTTGTGAATATATTTTTTTCTCTCATTTTTCTATTTAACCAAACCAAAAAAATAAAATCAAATTCCTCTTTCCTTCCAATTTCTCTCATTCCAAAAAAATAAAAAAAATCGTCGATTTTCTTCGTTTTCTTTTTGTTCAGTGTCGTTACAATTATTTTATGCTTTAAATACTTTATAAAAAGAATACTTTCTACATTTAGGCACAGTTGTTTGGGGCTTAAGAAATTAAACTCCAGAAGCGACGTCGTTTAGGGTGAAACACATTTAAGCAAACCATATACTGCTGCTTCTCACTTTCGAGTCCTCTATTTCCCTTCTTCTTTACGACCCCAACAACGATCGAAGTGATGGAGTGTGTGGCTGAAACCCAGAGAACTCTGTATGTAATCTCTCTCTTCCTTCCTTCATTTCTTAACACTGGCTCTGTCTCGAGTTAGGGTTTTAATAGGGTATAATTTGAATCTACTCTTAACTCTATTCTTCGTAGCCTCTTTTCTTTGCCCTAAATTTTGTTTTCATCTTTAGGTACCCATACGTTACTGGATCCTCCGTAGTCGCTATCAAATACAAAGATGGGATTCTTATGGCTGCTGATATGGGAGGTTTGATGCTTAATCTCATCAATTCTTATTAACATTATGGTTTTTTCTCACCCGACTTTTGCTTCTCAAGTGCAAATTTTTTGTGTACTTCAGTATGAATAGTATGTGATTTCTTCTTGTTAGTGTTGTAGTTACCTTTCCTGCTGTTATATTTAGATTTTGCTCGGTTCACTTTATAATATAATAGTTAATTTGGCTTTAATCTTCATACCGATTTGGTCTCAATCTGATTATTGTTGAAATTGCTTTACCAGAGTTTTTCTTTTTTAAAAATAAAAGAAAATTTTTGGAGAAATGAATTTTGACTTCTTACGAGCGCTGGTTTTAGTGGTTGTCTTCTGACTCATAGATATGCCATCTCTGCAAAGTTCATCAGTGTTTTGAAGTATTGAGCTCACTTTGCATCTCATGCTGGTTGATGTAATGATAGGTTCATATGGATCTACCCTGCGGTACAAGACCGTTGAGCGTGTCAAGCCTGTTGGAAAACATTCTTTGCTTGGTGCTAGTGGGGAAATAAGTGACTTTCAGGAGATTCTACGCTACCTTGATGAGCTTATGTGAGCACTTTTTATTTTAATAATAATTGTTAATGCACTGGCTATCTCAAATAAAAAAAAAAATAAAGTTTAGCACAGAAGGGTGTGATTAGTTAAATGGATTGCATCTGCTTTGTTATCCTTGCTTAGCTTATTTATTTGGCTTCAAACCATGTAAAAAACTCCACTGTGTATTTTTCTCTTAACCTATTCAATATTACAAACTTCAAAATTCTCATGTAACTGTTGGTTTTGGGTTTTGACTGCTGCAGACTTTATGATAACATGTGGGATGATGGGAATTCCCTTGGGCCTAAGGAGGTGCACAACTATTTAACTCGTGTGATGTATAATAGGCGCAACAAGTTCAACCCTTTGTGGAATTCACTTGTACTCGGTGGTGTGAAAAACGGACAGAAATACCTTGGCATGGTATGCCTTACGTTGTCATTATTTATTCAGTTCCACATTAAAGTATCTGCAATTTTTTCATTAAAAAATTATATATTTGTATTTTATCATCCAGGTTAACATGATTGGTATTAATTTTGAAGACAACCATGTAGCAACTGGGCTTGGAAATCATCTTGCCAGGCCAATTCTCCGTGATGAATGGCATGAAAACTTGACCTTTGAAGAAGGTGTCAAGTTATTGGAAAAATGCATGCGAGTGCTTTTATACCGTGATAGGTCTGCTGTCAACAAAATTCAGGTTCTGTTCTCTTACCTTTTCATATTTTGCTCTGCTCTCCCCCTCCCTCTTGATTTTCCATTTATCAAAGCACATAATACAAGTGAAATCTGATAAGCTTCTTACTGTTCACCTTTGTTCGGCGCTAGCATGCCTAGAGGCCAGGTGCTACGCTTAGGAGAATATTCTTCTAAAATATCCGTATCGTACATCCATTTTTTAAGATTTTGCTCAATGTTTGGATTGACTTTGGATTACAAATGGTATTTGTAAGGGAGGTGTTTGAAATTAATTGATGCTTTTGTCTTTAGTTCTCTTGACTTTTCTACACTGTTGTCATTGTTTTGAACGCCAGATTGATTTTTTAGTTAGAAGTTTTAGAGGTCACATTTAATAGCTCAGGAAGTACGTGGTTCAGGCTGAAGCATTTGTGAGAAAGTTCAATTTGTAGGATTTTAGCTGCTAATTGGTGAGTGGTGACTCACATGCTTGGTAGATCTCTTTGTTCCTTTCTCTACATGAGGTTGGATGCTTAAGTGGTCTAATATCTACTTTTAGCTCACAGGATAGAAAAGCGATTAGGTTTCTAGACAGCAAATTGCTGTATTCTACTTGTGTGAAACAACATGCGAATGCAGAGTAATGACAGTGTTTCCAACTTTCCTTTCATAGTTAGAATAATTAATTTTGGCCGACTCGGATCAGCATAGCTTGGCATGGAATCATGACCACATGCAAAATGATGGTTTTACCCAAAAACCCTGTATAAAAATAAAGGACGATCTAGTAATAATTTGGTCTGTCTTATTGGATGATTTGGGGTACCAAATTTGACATGCAAGAGTAATATCAGTGCATTTGTTTAATGCAACAAAAGAAGGTACACTTGTTTATGAAAAGTGAAGCGTAGTAGGGGATCTGGTGAATTAGTGTTAAATTGTTATTTGCAAGTCAAACAGGAAGGTGATATAACACCTAGAATTGGTTCCTTTCTTGTCATTACCATTTACCTTGTAGTTGTGTCTGCTGACCTTGTTTTGAAGGATATCATCTAAATAAAAGTTTCAATTCCTTTTGCT